GATGCCGTCCATGGACTCGAGAAGTCTTTGTTATCAGATCCCAAGAACGACCTCTCGGGTTATTTAGCGGTGTTGAAGCGATTAGAGGAAGCTTTGAAGTTTCTTGGGGAGAATTGTGGGTTAGCTATTCAGTGGTTGGAAGATATTGTCGAGTATTTGGAAGATCACAGTGTCGCTGATGAGAAGTATCTCTCGAACCTGAAGAAGTCTCTGAGAGTTCTCAGGGAGTTTCAAGAAAACGGCGGTGGAGGAGAGAAAGAGAAAGCTCGTCTTGACGGCGGGCTAAGGGATGCAGCTTTAGACAAGCTCGAGAACGAGTTCCGACGGCTGTTGAAGGATAACAGTGTCCCACTTCCGATGGCGACTCCAGCATCGCTCGGCGACCAGGCCTGCATTGCTCCGTCGCAGCTGCCTGTGACTGTGATCCATAAACTGCAAGCGATTCTTGGGAGGCTCAGGGCTAATAAGAGACTCGACAAGTGCGTTTCGATATACGTAGAAGTGAGGAGCTCGAATGTTAGAGCTAGTCTTCAAGCACTTGAGTTGGACTATCTAGATATCTCGGTTTCTGAGTTCAACGATGTGCAGAGCATAGAAGGGTATATAGCTCAGTGGGGGAATCATTTGGAGTTTGCGGTGAAGCATCTGTTCGAGGCAGAGTTCAAGCTTTGCAACGATGTCTTTGAGAGGATCGGTTCGAATGTTTGGATGGATTGCTTCTCCAAGATTGCTGCTCAAGCGGGTATGCTCGCGTTTCTTCAGTTTGGGAAAACTGTGACTGAGTGCAAGAAAGATCCGAACAAGCTTGTGAAGCTGCTTGATATCTTTACTTCTTTGAACAAACTGAGAGCAGATTTCAACCGTCTCTTTGGTGGAGCAGCTTGTATCGAGATCCAAAACTTCACAAGGGACCTCATCAAAAAGCTAATCGATGGTGTAGCGGAGATCTTCTGGGAGCTTCTGGCTCAGGTAGAGATTCAGAAAAAGACCCCGCCTCCTAGCGACGGTGGTGTTCCTAGAGTAGTCAGCTTTGTGACTGATTACTGCAATAAACTTATAGGAGATAAGTACAAGTCAACACTTACTCAGGTTCTGCTCATTCACAAGAGCTGGAGATCAGAAAGGTTTCAAGATAATCAGCTTATTGTTGAAGTTTTAAGAATAATCAAAGCCATTGAGCAAACCATGGATGAATGGATGAAAGCGTATCCTGATCCAACGCTTGCCCATTTCTTCGCTATGAACAATCACTGGCATTTATACAAGAACTTGAAGGGTACGAGGATTGGAGGTCTGTTAGGAGACACGTGGCTGAAAGAACATGACCAGTACAAAGAGTACTACGCTACTGTCTTCCTCAGGGACAGTTGGGGTAAGCTCCCGAGCCATTTGAGCAGAGAAGGACTTATAAACTTCTCGGGTGGACATGCGACGGCTCGTGATCTTGTCAAGAAGAGACTGAAATCTTTCAATGATGCGTTCGATGAGTTGTATAAGAAGCAATCCACATGGGTCTTGCCTGAAAAAGAGTTGAGGGATAGAGTTTGTCAGCAGATAGTTCAGGCGATAGTGCCGGTCTACAGAAGCTATATGCAAAACTATGGTCCAGTGCTTGAGAAAGACCCGAGTTCAAGCAAGTACGTGAGGTACACAGTGGTAGCTTTGGAGAAGATTATCAGCTCTCTCTACATACCTAAACCCATGAGATATGGAAGTTTCAAAGGAACACCACCGAGTGAGAAGCACAAGAACGATGTTGACCTTAGACGCACTACTTCCGCTGTTGTCTGATTGAAGCCGTGTTCTGTGCACACCTCGATGGCTGTCTTAAAATGTGATCATATTGTGTCTGCTCTTCCATCTCCTGGAAAGACTATCTTCAATGGAGAAGCAGATGTACTACTCTTTATACGTATATAGATACTTTCTATCAGGTATAGCTTTTTAGTCATTGGTCAGGTCCCTTTAGGTCACTTTTCTCATAAGATTTCATGTTAGGGACCACGCGGGTTAGATTATTCTATTTAATGTGATAACCAGAAGATGAGCAATTTTCTTGTTCCCAGTGTTGTGCTACTACATTTGTGACTTTTATGAATTTTAAGAATAATGGAAAATGTAGGAAAACCAGTTTCTCTGTTTATGATTCAATCGGCAACCTGTTCTGCGGCTTGGACTCTTAGCACTTGCTTTGAAGTTGATTTGTTCGTTGACTATTAGAAATATAAATAAATGAGAATATATCACTATTTATATCTTACTACAGCAATGATGAAGTATTGAGGTCAAAGACCAAAAGAATAGTATATTGTATACACAATTCGATATCTCACTAACAACTCTCTGTACACAGCTCGCAGTGTCCTCTATTATCATTTGGATTCTGCAACTTTAAACAACTCTCGCCATTTTTGCGGATCACTTCCTGGACCATCCCCCTGAAACCATATTTGTCAAATATATGTTAAAAAGACGAACCAATCTTTGAAACATTCTCAACGATCAACTAAAGCTACGACTCTCAATACCTTAACTGAATTGATCTCATAAGCTTTGCCTTGTGTGAATTCAATATCAAGTGCCTGTATGCAAGCTTCAGCCACCACAAGCCTGCTTACCTCTCCAACAAGTTTGTCTCCTGTTACAAAAGGAACCTCGATGTAAAGCAAGCAGTCTCAAATTCTTTAGTGGTACAAGGACAAGACCACCAACGAAGAATCTCAAAATTACCTTGGCCTATAACAACTGCACGCCGTTCACCTGCGGTAGCTTTGAGCAAAGTATTCAGATCATAAGATGTGTATGGTCCATCAGTCAACCTACCAGGTCTGGTTAAAAATCATATAATACAGTCAACCATATATTGCCTGTATTTTCGAGTATTAACTCTGATAATTGAGCAAAGAAAGTGAGTAGCTTTTTTTATATTCCAAACCTGATAATGGTGTATGGAAGACCAGACTCACGAAGAAAATCTTCCCCCATCTTCTTGTACTTAAGAACCCCAAAAAGGTTCATGATACTGTCAAACAAAACATACATTAGTATTTACACGAGGTAAGGAAATTCACAAGACTTTTTTTGTGTAAATCATACTCGGTTTCACATATGATTATTCAACCTTACGGAGATTGCCATAGCGTAACGAAAGCAAGTAAGCAGAGTCTCACCTCCAAGGAAGCTCATTAGACTTGGTCACACCTACTGATGAAACCAGAACAACTCTCTCCACCGATGAGGGCAGTGCTGAAATGAGATTCCTCACACCTTCCCAATCTTTTGAGCACAAAAAAACAACATTGTCCCAATAAGGGATAAGCAATCACGACATGTAATGTAATAGACTCTCTGTGTCATTCAATTCCGCGTTATTGATTACAAAAACAAAGACTACTGAAATGGTCATGGTTCTTACTTGGAGAGAAATGTTCTCTCACCTACTTTATCAGGTGTGTTTTCTCCACTCCACCTCTTAGAAGGAAAAGCTGTAGTTCCAGTGCAGCAAATCACATGTGTCACACCCTAGAAAGCAATGTAAAGCAAGCTAAATCAGTTTCAAATCCAAACATGAAAAAGAAAACACAAACTCAGGCGAACGATGAATAATGGAAGACGACGAACCGAACCTCAAACATGGATGGATCAAGATCCTCTGCATTCCTAGTATCCCCTTTGACTACCTGTTACAAAGGTTTTAACTTTTTATGAGAGGTTCACAGAGAATCTTAAATGTTCATAAAGTAGACAATAGCATCCAAACCTGTAATGAATTTTGGTCCTGTTTACCGAATAACTTGGTTGCTTTCTCAAGGTCACGCAGTAATAGTCTTGCCTTAATGTTCCTGTTGAGCAATGAAGCTACCACTAGTTGCCCTGATACCAAAAAAAAAATACGAGAAAGAAGTTTGCACACATCAAACAATTGGATGGTTCTTCTTAAGGAAGCTACACAGATTTAACAATCATTCAGTAGTCCCAAAATTTAAGAATAAAAATGAAAACTTCGAGAAATTCATCATCCCAATTTCAAAAACTGAAGTAGATGATATGGTGGTTCGAACTTCGTACCTACACCACCAGTGCCACCGACGACAAATACAAGCTTTGAAGAAGAGGCTAAAGCCGAAGAATCGACGGATTCTTCTGTGAGAGCTTGGATTGACGTGGGCGATGAATACAAAGATGCTTCATTTCTAACAAGGAAGGAAGAAGTAAAGCCAGAAGAAGATGGAGAAGAAGGAGATGGGAGTGGCGGGGACGTAAATAGAGGGAATCTGATAGGGGTTTTTGGGTATTTTGTAGCGGGAAGAGGGGAGTAAGAGACAGGAGCAAAGCTGAGAATGGTAGCCATGAATGGTCGACGGTCAGGACAACCAAGCGACCGAGAGAGAGAGAGAGAGATATCTTTTAACTACGTAATTTAATTTTGTTCACTTAAAAAGACTAAACGGGATAAGTGAAGACTGTTTGACAACTCATACATTTGGTTAATGCAAAAGAGAAAAAAAAAAAAATCAAAAATTTGGTTCACTCGTTTATATTAAATAATTTTGAGTAGCAGTTTCACATTTTAGATCAAATGTAAACATTCATTATTCATTAACCTTTTTATTTGTTGGAGAAGTAGGAAAGTTTCGACTAATTTCCGCATCTATGGAATGAGTGGGATGTTGTAACTATGAGAATTCAAAATCTTGGTTACATTTTACATAGCAAATACTCAACTAGTAAACCACCATGAGTTATTAATTTTTCTATTCCAAATAACTTTACACTATTCAAACACAGAGAAACAATACAATAGTTTTCAAGATTACTTAGATTAGGCTTGAGCCACACAAGAGCTAAAACTGCTAATTACTTTGTTCATACATTACACATTATTACATTCACACACGTATTTCTTATATATGTAAAACGCAATAACATATAGACAGTACAACAAAAACTAGACTCGGTACTCTTTCCATGAAGACTAAGTAAATATTATGTTGACTTACTCACAAATGGCGTTGAACAGGCACAAGCTGAAGAGGTAGTTTCTTGACAATGGTGAGATTACCAGCTTCTTCCATATCAATATCTTCTTCACTTACCATCCCTTCAGGCAATCTCCAATCAAAGAAGTAGAGCAAATTCAAAAGTCCTAATTCCACAGTAGCAATCGCCATTGGCATCCCAGGACAAATCCTCCTGCCAGAGCCAAACGGTAATAGCTCAAAGTTTTGTCCTCTAAAATCCACACAACTATTTGTAAACCGCTCAGGGATGAAGTCTTCAGGGTCGGTCCAGCGCTCGGGATCACGTCCGATCCTCCACACGTTAAGTTGGATTTGTGTTTTGGGAGGAATGTCGTAGCCTTTGATCTTGACGTGAGACACTGTCTCTCTTGGGAGTAAAAATGGGAGTGCTGGGTGTAATCTGAATGTTTCCTTGATTATGAGCTTCAAGTATTCAACTTTGTCTATGTCTTCTTCATTGATTCTGTCCTTTTTGAGCCCCAGGGTGGTTCGAATCTCTTCTTGTGCCTTTTTCATCACTCTAGGGTTTCTAGCGAGCTCAGTCATCGCCCATATCATGGTTATAGCGCCTGTATCTACCCCCGCCAGAAATATATCCTGACCAATACACAAATACGTAAACACATGGCACATAAGATTCCGAAAGAAATTGTAACTTCATTGTTTCAAAAAGATAAATTCACATGAAAATGCAACATTGAAAATATATTGTTAGGGTGTCTAAGCAAACGTCTAATGCAAGCATAGATGGCGTTTGTATTTACGGTTAAACAAACAAAAAATGTTTGAGTATTGTGGTTTTATTTGAAAAAAAAAAAGATTCTACTATAATATTAAAAAACGTCGCAACCAAATAAATCAAGACCTAGATAGTTCTAGTATAGTGGTTTGATCCTCCTATAGTAGTTGCTAATTGTTATAGTATTGAATAATGAAGCGAAGATTATTTGAGCTTTTACCATGAGGACTCCCTTGATATTATCAATGTTGAGCTGGAAATAATCTTTATTTCCTTGTTTCTCCATTATATCCAACAAGAGTGCAACAATATCCGCGGGAGAATCCATAGCTTTCTTTCCTGCTGCTTCAGGTTTCAAGTGATCATCAATCACATGCTGGTAAAAAGCATCAAGCTCTCCAAACACTTTGTTTATCCTCTTGTGTCCCCCAAACAACCAATCTAGGAATCTCCCAATTCCACCGGGGAACAAATCAGAGCAAGTGAAACTACCAAGAGCCAACAGTGCCTCACTCACAAGTTCTTCGATTCTATCTTTTTCGATTACAAAACCACTCTCGTTGAAGTTCTGTCCTAAGGTTACTCTACAGATGATGCTTGCGGTCAAAGAAAAAAAGGTTTTGCTTAGATCCACGGGAGATTGTGTCAAAGCCGACTCCGACACTTTCTTCACCATAAACTCCACCTCTTCCTCTCTGATATTCCTAAAAGACTGAACTTTTTTAAGGCTGAAAAACTCGATAACAGCGAGCTTTCGCATTTCTCGCCAATACTCACCGTACTGCGCGAAGCTGATGTCTTTAAACCCGTAGGAGAGTTTCCCTGTGGCGACCGTTTTTGGTCTGCTGCAGCATCCAAGGTCATGGGGTTTTAGAACTTCTTCGGCTGCTTCACTAGAGGAGATCACAACAATCGGAACAAACCCGAGACGAAGAGATACCACAGGTCCGTATTTGATGGAGAGACGATGAAAGCATCGGTGAGGCAATCCGGAAAACTGGTGCAAGTTTCCGATGATTGGAAGGCTTGGAGGACTCGGAGGAAGAGTCCATTTAGGGTTTTCTCCAATCTTTCTCCTGAGAAAGAAGAGTGACACACAAGTAAGAAGCAATAAACCCCATAAGAAACAGAGAAAGATAGCCATTTATTTCCTCTCTCTCTCTTTCTCTGTTTTCGAGGAGATGAGCTTAGCTAACGTTGTTGAATATAAGATAAGTGAAAGAAGTTGATGACGTATTGACGTTAACTTTCCAAATCAAGTGGTTGATAGGAATCTTATTTTTTTTTTTAAGGGGAATTTAGCTATTAGAAGCAAATGGACTATGAATGACCATTAAGATTCTTTCCAATGTGCAAGTTTTCTCGCCTGTTTTGTTTGTGTGTGGTCGCATAACATGTGTGCGAAACAAAGACAGGAGGATGGTGCCATCAAACTAAATTGGATTTTAGGTTGATATTTTTAGTATATGTTTGAATTCGGTTTTCTACAAGTAGAAAGAAAAATTCGCTTGAAAACAAATTTTACTCTTACTTTTAAGAATGTTACTTAGATATTAGTTTCCATTTCGGATTTTTGAATTAAGAGAAGAACATTTACCATCTTCTAGTTCTGAGTGAGATGAAAAAAAAATGTTTTGAAGTACAAAATAAGAAAACCATCACGAGAGGATAAACATTCTTTATTTAGTAGGTTTCTGTGACAAGTAAGATTAATTGTAAGAAGCTATCCGTGTAGACATCATCAGTATCAATTATAAATCAGTTTTAATCTTATCTCTAGTTTCACTGATTGGTTTTTATTTATAATGTAATTAAAAACGAAAAGTCAGTACTGAGAACTGGATAAGGTTGGGGAGGTGTTTGGTAACTGGTGTCATAACGACCACTTAACTTTACGGTACATCGACAGCACCGGACTTAACGGAGACAGTAACCCCGAAACGTCCGGCTGAGTTCGGACACAGAGCCAATCCGTTATCACCACGTCATCATAAACGTGTCAAACGTCAAACCCGCCGTTAGCGTCCTTCCCTCGGTTTTCTATTCTTAGAACATGTGCGTCTACACACAGAGACTCGAAATACTGTCAGTCATACGTATATATATACGTATTCGTATCTACGATCTTTTTAATATCTTATACGGAAACTTGATCCTTTTCTCTTTTATCCTTTTCCCATCTTCTCCGATCGGTGGAAATCTCTGTGCTTTCCTCTCTCTCTGGAAATCACTCCTTTAACCTGCGCCTGCTTGAGCTCTTAACCTGCGCGCATCGCCCGTTGATGACAGCTGAGCTCGATTGGTGGATAAGCAGGAGGAATCGAGGTCGAAGAGGAGAAAGCTAGAAAATTTGAGAAATCGCGGTGAATTTACCGGGAGAGATGGAGTTTTTGGCAGGTTCGACGTTTGGAATTGAAAAGGCGGCGCAGAACAAGGCTGTTCCGGCGGCTCTGTTCTTGACGGAGGAATCTAGCCGCGGTGGAAGCCGGATCGGGTTAAGGAGATGTGTTAGGTCTCCGGCGGAGGAGTTATCGGAGAGTTCTTCGTCGGTCGGGCTGTCGGGAGAAAGTAGCGATAACGAGGAAGAAGAAGACGCCGTTTCTTCTCAAGGAAGATGGCTTGATTCCTTCAGTTCCTCTCTGGAAGATTCTCTTCCGATTAAGTACGATATCTAATTCCAACCTTTAAAATTCGAAAAATGATTTTCTTAAAAAAATGAGAGAATCAAATGTTTCTTTTTATTTTCGCCTGAATATATTCGATTTGAAGCGCAGAAAACAATGTTTTTTAAAAAAACATCACCTGGAAAAAGTAAAACAGTAGTACTCTGTTTAATCAATTATCTATATATCCCTTAATTTCGTGTTAGATTCTCTATTCTCGTGGGTTTGATTTTCACTGATCAAACCTGTATGATCTAGATTTTGATGGTTAAGTTTGGTTTTGCATAGGAGAGGATTATCAAACCATTACATAGGGAAATCGAAATCATTTGGGAATTTAATGGAAGCAAGCAATGTCAAGAATCTAGAGAAAGTTGAGAGTCCGTTGAACAAGAGAAGGAGGTTGCTTATTGCTAATAAGCTGAGGAGAAGAAGATCATCCTTGTCCTCTTTCAGCATCTACTCCAAGACTAACCCTAACTCAATGCCTTTACTTGCATTACAAGAATCTGACGAAGAGGATCACAAATACAATGATGATTATGATGTCAGTAGTGATGATCAAATTAGTAAGATGCAAGAGAAGAGGATGAAGATGACGAATAATAGAGATTTGTTGGTTCAGACTCGGAGCTGTTTCTGCTTAACTAGTTTTCAAGATGATCGATGATCCATTTTGTTTTATTGTTCCACTTTGTGTTCTCTTTTTTCTTTTTCGTTTGTGGGAGTAGAGAAAGTTTAATTGTAATGATCAAGGAAAATAATTAATGACTTGTCCTTTAATTGTAATACAGATTTGATTTGAGAATTCTCAATACATATTGTCTGTAAACTTTGGTGAGATACATTATTTGACAAAAAAAAAATCATAAAATTTTGCTCGGTTAGGTCAGAGATTCGGTGAAATGAGACCAATGATAAGGTTTCTTTTAAATCTTTGTATAAATGATGATGGTAGACGTTGGATAAGTCACGTTCTTCCATCTACTTAAACTGAGATATTCTATAAAATTCAGGATTTTTTTTTTTTTGCCATCAATTCAGGATTTTTAAAAACGGAAGATGTTTCAGGGTTTTTGACACATTATTGAGGACATTTTTAATACTTATCCGCTTCATGCGCATAGAGAGATAATTTGACATAAACGAGATTCTAAAATGGAACAAAAACATGCAACTTTTCTACTGCCGACAAAAAAATTTAAGAAAATCACGGTTTTATCTCCCCAACAAACGACAATATAGAAGAAGTAAAAAAAACAAAAACGTCAAGAAATGTAAAAAACACACAAAGCCGCCGTATAAGGAAAAATCCATCGGTACCATACCGGAAACTATACCGGTTAAGGAGTGATAACAAATTAATCTTTACATAATGCTTAAACGCCTCTCTCCCCCTCCATATAGTAAAAACAGATTCAACCAACAAAAAAATTGCTCAAGAGAGAAACGTACGTAGTCTAAACATGTTGCCTTGCGCGCCACCGTTCCAAGCCTGTAAGAATCAATTGGTATGGTACCGGTTAAGGAGTGTGAGAATTGAATAAGAAAGGATGAGGATAAAAATGTTTTAGAGAAGATGGTAATAATAATATTAAGCTAACCTCAGCTACTACTACCCTTTTGTTTGAGGGTGATTTTGTCCCCAAGACTTAAAGCAATCCCTTGCGTCTTGCTCCTTATCCTTATGTATCCACTCAGCGTTCCATCGGTTTGCTTCTCGATACTCACATTCACAAGCGCATCCTCACCAAACACACTTTTTGCATATAGGTTTGCTGCAAGGAACCCGCATTCGCCTTCTAGTGCAGATCTGCAGACAGAGAGATGCACTAATTAGTCATAACTATAAGAAGAGATTCGGTTTTACACGGGAAGAAAGAAGAATCTGAACTTACGGGGCAGTGAGACACTTCATGTTTGTGGATTTAATAATGTGCTCGAGGAATTCTCTTCCGTTTTGAATCGTGGTGTTCACAGCAACCTGACATGAAGAACATAACGGGAATATTGGATATACCCAACTCGAACAAACCAAAAAGAAAAAGGTACAAGTGTACATGGTTTCGGTGAATTACCTTGTTTTCCCATTCAAACTCTGCCCACATGGTTCTGAAAGCAACCTCTGAGCAAATAGCAGGGGAGATATAATCCATGATATCAATGTGTATGTCGTTGAGAACCACCACGTTTCGCTCCATTACATTTGATGTCTCATAGACTATGTTGCCGAATATGACTCCGGTCTCTGTGGACGAGACCTTGATGTTTGCTTTTATCTGCATGCTTGTTTCAGGTGCCAGACTATAGTTTTGAGGACGCTCAACAAGCTTGAGATCACCCATGGTTGCTAACTCCAAGCACAGATTCTGAAGGGTTTCCTTAGTACGGTTGATAACAGTAACTTCGAGTGCAATGTCATAGTGATGGACTGTCACATACGCTTCTGCATAGACTGGATCACTGAATCCTGTGAGTTGAAGGATGCGGTTGAGTTTGTTTGCATCGTTCTCGTCCTTGGTGAATTCTCCAGTTGCACGCTTTAGGTCATCTTGTACCTGGTCTTCCAACTCAATTTGACTCATTCCCTGAAAGAAAATTATCATCAGTAAATTGATCTACTGACCAAAAAGAGAAAAATATAACCAGCCACTATCAACTTATGTTGTCCTTCTATCAAATTGAAAAAAAATGATACAAAAAAAGGACATGAGAAGAAAGTAGACACCAACGTATAAGAACTGAACAGACAGCCAAGGAGAATTTCTAAGGGGGAAAAAAGCAATGACGCAAGGGATAATTTAGAATGTTATTTACCTTCCTGCTCTTTAGATGGAAGAAGTCAATGAGATCATCAGGTTGAGCATGAGTTGTTTGAGTCTTCGCCTTAAGCTCCTCCATCTCTCTAAGTTGTTTTTCAGAAATCATCTTCACAAAACTCTGGCGGCAGGATTCCAACCATATCTTTTTCAACTCATCATTCCTATGGCAAAGCAATTTTATGCACAACGCAATCCTCTCATATGAATCATTATCAATAGGGTGTGGAGAAGCAGGAGATTGCCCAAGTTGCAACATAGAAACCATGATCAGCAAGGCCTGCGTGGCTGTCTTGTTCACTTCAGTTTTAGATGACTGAACCTCCTCCAACCTAAGAACAAGTTTAGTCAATGTGCAAGCAACCACTGCTCCTAGGAAAAAATCACCAGTTAGAAGAAGTGCTCTCAAATTTCCAGAGGTCAGTAATCCTTGAACAACTGTTGGTGAGGAGAATGTGGTTTCAGAAGCCGCACTCTGAGTAGCATATGTTCCGTCAGCAAGAATTACAGGTTTTCTGGAGGACACCATGGCAGACGAGGTTGGCTGAATCTTCTTTGATGTCTCAGTTGGCTCAGATTCCTCGGAAACAGAGTAAAATGGTAACTCGCCAAGGCATTGTTTAATGGTTGAAATGCCACTCTCAACTTCTGAAAGCGATAGGCAATACTCCCCAATAATCCAAAGTGCACAAGGGCAGACCTTTCCTGCGCGGATCTGATAGAATGTATCCAGTAACCTGGTTATGATTGAAACTCTTAACTTAGGATTTGTTTCTATTATCTCTCTAACAAAAACAACCACGTCAAGAGCTGAAGCCACATTGCTATCTCCCAGGAAATCCATTAGAAGATGGACCACGGTGCTTGCAACTTCAGGGAACTTAACTGCACAAGCATGGATTGCTTGAATAAGCATCTGTCTGTACTCTCCATTCTTCTCAAGCTCTCCGCTCTGTGTCTTCACAACTTCTTTCTTCAACATTTGAACGACCTCGTTTATATTATGATGAGTAATCAAGTCAAGGGAAATGTCAAGTGTCTTCCTGCGGATGTCAAGGTTCGGGCTTGAGAGTGCTCTGAGCACATCGATTATCAACTCAACCATGATATCTCTGTGCAACGACTTAAGCTCATTCAACCGATCGAGCAAGATAAGCTTCACATTGTTGTCACTCTGAGATTGAAGAAGTTGACAATAGGTGTTGGCAGCAGCTCTAATAGCTGTAGGGGCAGATGAGAGAGAAACAAGCGTCCCAGCACATTCATAGATAACTGCAGAGGAAGTGGCACTTAGCAGAGAAATAATAATCTTAATATATTTCCCTTTCTGTGCTGGTTTAGTCTTACACACACTTCGAATCAACTCGAGCACCACCATCTGAAGTGATTCATTCCACTCTGAAACCTTGTCCACATTGCTCAGCAGATAATTCACCGCTCGATCTTCAGCACAGGTAAAGAGCATCAGAAATGCATTTCTCTTAGCAGACGGATCTTGTTCTGTTGATAGAGCTTTCTCAATCATTTCAGGTGCATCCACGAAGAGTTGCTCGCCATTTGGAAGCTTATATATAGACATGACGGCCAGAATTGCATTTCTACGAACATATGGATGGCGATGCTCCAGGTTTTGCAACACTGATGGAGTCAAAGGCTCCACTATTTCAGTCTCCTTCAACCGGCAGAGAAACCTCAGCGTCACTCCACGAATGTACTCATTCGGATGCATAAGGTTATTCCGAAGATTCTGGCATATCAAAATCATTTCGGGCAACACCTTCCCCTTAGAATCGGTTTTTTCAATCAGCTCCAGGTACAGCAGCAGCAGCTTCTGGATTGTGTGGTCCTCAGAAGGCAGCACGTATCTAATAATAGTTATGAAAAGATGAGGAATGGTTTCACCATTCAGCAAAAGCATAATCGCCTTCTTCATGGCATCAACTTTTGCTTCAACATCATTGCCTTCAAGAGCTTCTTTAATCTCATTGGCAACCGCTGGAGTACCTTTGTCATAGTGTACAAGCAAGGTACTAGATTTGTCCATCTTTTCCGATGCTGCAAAAAAAGTGCAAGAGAAACAAAAATGAAGAAAGCTTATGAGCTCAAATAAATAGGAAAATCATGCGAGAAAAAAGTAACATAAGATAAGATAGAAAGTGAATAGAGAGAACATAATGAGGTACAAATCACATATGCAAAATGTTAATATTTTATGCGGTTTCAAGTTTGAAGTTCCCATTCCAGTTTCCTCATCATGCTCATGTAAATTCTATACTTAAATTTATCTTACAATGAATGAAGCATGTCCTTGTATTTCGAAATTCTTTTAAAAATTTAAAAAAGGATCACATCTCTGTTCCACAATCCATTGTTTATAAGCAAACATCATGGTTGCCGACGAAAATTCGGCAATGTCTAATCAGGGACAGGATGCAAAACATTGACAAAATTAATATCCTCAGATCAAGCAATAAGCATCACTTTACTACGACAACGACCAAGAGCATTAACGTGAATCATTTTCGAACGATAACATAGCTTCGGATCAACTGAAATTCAAAACAAATGTCATCTCTATGCTTTTACTCCCCAGATTTGAGGAGCATCAATCGAATCTACATAGTTAGCAGACTCACTCAGCTGCATAAACATGAAAATCGGGTTCCTAACGGTGTTGGATCAATCTACAACGAGATCAAACACAGAACCACCGAGAAAATCGAACAATGTAGGTTTTCACAAAAGGGAAAAGGCAAAAGGGGATCGATCTCGATCAAATCTGAGATATGTTAAGTTTAACAGAGAGACGAACCTTAAGGTACGAGATCCAGAGAGGGGAGGAGATCGAAGGAGCTACAAAACTTTGGATCCAAGAGAGATTTGGATCTCTGGGAACAGACAGTCGCACAGAGTGGGATAATATGTTCTTATTATGGTGGATTCGTCTTGTGTTTACTCGTCGAAATCCGATTTGATCTTCTTCCTCTAGTTAGATTGGAAAAGGCTCAAACAAATAACGGAAAGAGCGTGTCAAACCTTTAAGGCCCAACTATTGATTGATGAAAAGCCCAGTCCAATAGAACTTTTTTAATTGTTTCCAAAATACAGTAAACTAGACCTTAATCAGGAATTTATTTACCGATTAAATCTTAGGACAATTCGGATTATAAATTTTACCTGGTTAATATATAAGAGACCACTCTCATTTCACAACAAACAATAATCAGCTGTAATTTAATATAATCAAATGTTGGTCAATGATTATAAGCTTCATAATATAAACTGATCATGAGAGAATAAATTATAGATATAAAAAAGCTCAGGCATCCTAAATTTTCCTCACGTTCTCTAACACGGCATCCGCCTCATAAATCTGCATAGCAAACATGTTTTAATCAAACGACTGTTTTATATATTCAAGCTTACTTAGTGGTGAAAATATCTATGGAGTTTTTAGTAAAATTAAACAAGTAATTTGTAATACACATTAATTATTACAAACGGAAATTTCGTTATACGAACAAGCACCACTAAGTTGATTTGGAGAGGTGTTGCCGGCATATTACGCTTAATAACTATACAAATACACTAGCTAGTGTCGAACTTTGGTCTCTAATTATTTTGTGATGATTTATGTTATTGGTTTTTGCCTTCGGGTTTAGCTATTTGCAACACTTTATGAAATTTAACAAACCCATCACTAGATTCACTACTGGCCATGGAAAATTATTCCCAAGCTGTCGCAAATAATTGATCTATAAAATTATATAAAAGATTTATTTGCTTGTGATGTATTGGCGTATGTTACGATAAAGTTTTTCTTGCAAGTAAAAAAAGAAAGTTAAGAAACATTCTATAGGATTTTCCCTCAAGACATATAATGATTTGATAGCTTTATAATCTATGATTTGTTTGAAAAGAATCATTCCTATAAATAATCAGTGTTCCACCGAATGATTAGCACTTGTCATTGCATTATTAACATAGCATGTGTTCAGATTCTTTTGCTGATATATATACCAAAATACATACAATTATGAAAATATAAACAATAGTGTATGTATATATAGAGTACTAGATCTAGAGGGTTGCATCATCAAATCTAACTCATCTTCCCAATGGAACCCAAAACTTTGATATTCATCATAGTCATCGTTATCACCACTCATGTTCCTTCGCTCTCTTCGCAAATCACACCCAACAAAACACCAACAACATCAGCACTAACAACTTCTTCTCAGTACAAAACCCTAACACGAAACACCATTCAACAACAGTTTCTCCGACCACACAACACCTTACGAGCCAAGCTACGTCTCCCTCCACTCAAATGGAGCAACAATCTCGCCCGCTACGCCACCCGGTGGGCTCGAACTCGCCGTGGGGATTGCAAACTTATCCACTCCGGTGGACCTTACGGGGAGAATCTCTTCTGGGGGAGCGGAAAAGGGTGGACCCCACGGGATGCGGTGGTTGCGTGGGGCTCGGAGAGGAAATACTATGACCGGAGGACTTACCGTTGCAAGGCGAATGGAGATTGTTTGCATTACACGCAACTTGTGTGGAAGAAGAGTTTGAGGATTGGGTGTGCAATTGGTTTTTGCAAGAGCGGTGACACATTTATCACTTGTAATTATGATCCTCCCGGTAATATTGTTGGACAACCACCCTTTTGAATACTGTGTACACTTACATCTTTATTTTCCCCAATTACATATGTATGATTCTTCCTCTTAATTTTTTTATATTTCAAATAATGTGTTTATATATACGCTAAGTCCCTGAGAGAACAAAGAACAATGAAACATATAATGTTCGTTTTATCATACATTTATTCCGTCTACCAACTATAACCTCACGGCAAATGGGATAAATCTCAAGACATGCATACAATAAAATCGAAAACATTAATTAGACATTTCTACACGCTGTAGTAAATTTGGTATGTTCTATTGACTTTTTCAATTTCCATGGTTAGAACTTGTGGAAAGTTCATACTTGTGGAATTTCTACCGCGATTCGGTTGCGATGGGAGGACCGGGAATTAAGTTCATGTTTGATTCGGTCTAGATATTGGGTTATTCTGATTGGGAAATTATGAATCAATTAAAACCGGACCGTAATCTATCTAAGGGAGGAGAAGTTAACTTGGGCCTACAAGCCAACATAACAAAAAAGCCCAATCAAACTGAGAAGCTGAACCCTAAGAGCTCTCTGCATTGACGCCGGCTGGCTTCACGTCGTCTCATCTTCATCGCCGGCTCAAAACGCCGTCTCAGCTTCCTCTCCCTTGTGGCTGGACTGTAGCTTCCTCCCTCATCGTCCGCCGTTTATGTGTCTTGGTTCACTTTAGGTCAGCTTCTCTTCGATTATCTCTCCAGATTTCTCAACCGAACCGATTAGGCGAAATAGCGTACCGGATTTTATTGGCTACTTTCGTCCGGTTTTTTTAAACCGTTGGCTAAACCATTTTTTCTTTCTTTCCCAACTTCCAGGTTATACCAAGACAGAGAGAAGAGAGCATTTGGCGATAGGTTTTGCGATCTGTGATTTACTTCGGAGAAACGAAAAATGGCGTTTAGAGGGAAGGAGATGATGAAGAAGCTGGTGAAGAAAGTGGGAGCGGAGACTCTGACGCCGGAGCTGAAAGAGAAGCTCAAGGTCTGTGTTCCGGATAGCAAAGTCGTGATGGGCAGAGCCAAACGCGGCCTCTACGCCGGCCGCCATATCCAGTACGGAAACCGCGTCAGTGAAGACGGTGGCAACAAGTTAGTCTCTCTCTCTCTCTCTCTATCCCTCCATCCCTCTCAAACTATTCGCTTGAAATTGGTTGTATATTGGAGCTTGTGATGGTTTTGGGAATGCTTTATGGATTTAATTTGCTGAAATGAAAATCTGGATTTGCGTTTGGAACAACAATTCAGTATGCTTCGAAATCTTAGCTGGTTACAGATTCTATAGTGTGCCTCATTGTTGAAAAGCAAGGCTCAAGATGGCATTGGTACTTCGTGCTTTGTTTCTGTATCATGCCTGTGTAAAGATTCTAAGTTTTTTTTGTTGAACCATGTTGTGATGAAAGATATCCCCTTTGTAGGATCTGTATCATAATCTGATTTCTTTGTTACTAGCTCATATGTAGCTCTGAATGGTTTCGTTAACGTTTTTTTTGATAAACTCAAAAGTTTGGAACTTTGTGGTGTGATTCGAGAACAGGTCAAGAAGATGTTGGAAACCAAACGTCCAGGAGAAGAGATTGTTCAGCTACATATTCGACCGTCACATCAAAGTCAAAGTGACGATGCACGCTCTCCGCTGCATCGACAAAGCAGGAGGAATAGACGAGTACCTGCTGAAAACACCATACCAAAAGATGGACACAGAGATGGGTCTTTTCTGGAAAACCAAAGTGGAGCAAAGATACGCAGAGCTTGGTCAGATGGAAGTAGCCTTCTTCACTCCAGAGGATGAAGCCAAGTTCGAACAAGGATTCAAAGACTTGAACATAGCTAAGAAAGATGCTCGTAGGGAAGGTCGTAGGGAAGCTAGAAGAAAGATGTATGGAGGAGGGAAGGGTGAGGAAGAAGCTTCTCTTGGAGCTGGAGGGTCAGTGTCACACCAAGATGATCATGGGTGGTTAGAAGCTAATGCTTAGAGAGTGCTGCTCTCTTTTCTTTTGCTGAGCTTCTTCAACGTTTTGGATTTTGGGAAGATGAGAGAGGTTAGTGATATTGTAGGTTGTGGGTTCGATTCCTCCCCTACGAATGCCATCACTCAGGTTTTCACTTTTGATCTATGTCGAAAAAGTCTTTGTAATAAACGGTTTTACACCACTTTGGAAATCTCTATGATTCTATTTACCTTTTCTACACTTGTCATTTTTCTTCGATTCATTTTTAACCATTCGTTTCTTATACTTTTTCTCAACAATTTTTTTTTAAAATAAAACATTGGATCCACCAAATATTATATATATCTACTCTAATTTAAAGTTTGTTGTTACTCTACCAAAACAATCTAATTTTCAAACAGAAAATCAAACACAAATAATAAAGCAAAAAACTTTCCTATAAATAAGTTGAAAAAAGCAAAATCAAAGGATAAAGGCTAGAGGTTTGTTGCCCTAATAAAGGACAGCAGATAATTAAAATACATTATCCTTCGTCGTGCGTAATTCGTCATCAAATACTTATGATGTTTTTCTTTTTAATTTTCTAACCAAAACAAACGATAGTCTCTTGTTTTTTTGTTTTTGTTTTTTGATTACATTTGGTCAAATTAACTTTGTTTAATTATCTTTAGTTCTCTACCACTACCTAGAGACGTCGCAATCTCTACCAACCGTCAGATATTCCGGCCCCATTATAGACGGCGAGGATCTCTGCGTCTCCGTCATTTCAGATTCTTTTTTTTGCTAATAAATCGTAAATGAAAATTTGCTTTATGGTCATTCTGGAATAAAATTAAATATATTTTATTTATCATTAATTCCAAAAAACCATAAATTACTTAATAGAGTTGAAAACCGAAAAAACAAAATATCGCCAACAAGAAGAAACGCTATTCTATTTTCTTCATTTTCCAATTTCCAGGAAGAAGATAGGACGAAATCGAAAGGTAATCATCGAACAAGATAAACAGCTTAAGCTTTGAAATTTTCTTCCTTTTCCCTGATCAATTCTCTCTTTTTTTCTCTCTGAATAATCTATGTCTTTTTTTTAATTGTTTTCGGTCAAATTGACTCGTGTGTTTCTGATGTTTTGGAAATCAGTGATATTGTTGTTCATCAATCTCTTCTTTGGACCAGGTGAAAAATAAAACATTTTCTGTTCTGTTTCCGTCGAATTACATAACAGGGAAGATATTAGCAGAGAAGTCTCTTTTTTTTTGGAGGTCAAATTAGCAGAAAAAGTCTATAAAATGAATTTAGCTTAGAATTATCTCCCTTCATGTTCAAGAATTTTTTTTTTTTTTAACTAGTCCATGTTCATGTTCATAGAAGTTTGAAAATGATTCTATATTGACAAGTGAAAATAGTTTTACTTTGGATCTTCTTATGAAAGGTTTTTCAAATTGATATGCTTCTTCTATCTAAGAAACCATCAGCGAATGAGAAAGGTTTTGTTTCGATATAACCCTGTACAGACTTTTGTGATGGAATCTCTTTAAGTTTGGCTAGTAGTTGTTGAGATCCTTATTACAAGAGTTTAATGAGAACATTGCTTTCTTCTAGTGATGCTGTTATGTCTGGTGGGAAATGGTTTTAGCAGTTTAAACTTGGAGATTATGAATCTGAGCATATCATGTATTGATCTTTCGCTCGTTTTTCCTTTCAGTCTTTTTTATCTGTTCAAATAAATAGTTTTAGCTTCAAGAGTTTGCCCCTTCATACGACTAAAGTGAGTGATAAATGTTATATGATAAACTAAGATAAAAGAGTATTTTTTTGTTACAGGTATTGCATCCATTTGAATAGTTCATGGATCGTTGGTCGGGTAAAAGAGCCATAGAGGCGCGACCGGACTCAAAGAAGGGGACTGGTATTGTTTTGAGAGAGAGATTAAACAGCAATGGTTGCAAGGTTCCTATTTGCAGCGATGAGAAAAAATCAATGAAGTTTACTCGGTTTGTTGGCTCCTCTGATAAGAAAGAGAAGTCAGTGTGGTCTCCAAGCCGCTCTTCGCCAAATGGGAAGGAAGTAATTGGAACTTCCTCTAAGACTTATGGCTCTAGCTCCTCTTCCGCGAAAAGTGAGAAGCAACCGTTGTCTCAGACAACCATGGATTCGTCAGAGAGCAGCAGAGGTAGCGAGGACGAGACAGAGACAGAAATCTTGGAACTTTCTCGTGGAAGAGATAAACAAAGAGCTCGCAATAAACTTATTTATGGAAAAGTTCAAAGACCCGAAGCTGAGCCCTCAGAGTTGCCATCAAGCTCAAGAATCAAGAGAGGTTTTAGGCAGAGGTTTGGGTTGAGCAAGCAAGAGTTTCGTCCTGGTTCATCTGGCCAGTCAACATCTTCAAACCGAGGATGCAGCCCGTTGTTATCCGGTGTCATCCCAAGTGGTTTTGGATTGGAAAAAAGATTAAGTCGGAAAGTGGAAACAATCAATAAGAGAAAAGTTTATGGAGAAGGCAGTTCTAGCTCCTCAGCTAGGGGTAAAAGTACAACAGAACCACCTGCTGAAGAGAGACGTCGTGTTTTTAACCCGAGAGGTCCTGTTTCAGATAGCAGACGAGCAAGACATTGCGTTTTGAATGATGACAACGATGTTGCTTTAGTTGGGAGTCAGAGATCGGTGAATAGGAATAGTAGCCGCATTAGATTCTCGAACCGAGGGAGTGGTAGAAATGGTTTATCCTCTATTACAACAGAAGAGATGTCTCAGGCTGAAACATCAGACAATCTCAATTCTCCTGTCTCTTTGGAGCTCTTCTCTGGTTTTCCAGAATTTGGTCTCTCTGGTTCCTTATCGAGTCCAGACAGCTTTCGCAGTTACAATTTAGATGGGATCTCTGAGGTTACCATTGAATCTTACTCTACAACTTGACATCTCGTCTGAGCATCATCAAGTAGTGCTGGCAACTTGACATCTTGTTTGCTTTTGCAGATTTTGCCAGAACTTGATAGGATCGAACAAGATATTGAACTTAATTACGAGGTTAGAGTTTCGCGCATGTGTTGAGTTTCGGATGTTGTGATGTGTATTTTTTTCTTACTCATAAAATTTCCTCTCCTTGTGCAGGAACTTCTTCTCATGGAAACAGGTTTACTTCTCGGTGGACTAAGCTTTTATGACCAACACCGAGACATGAGGCTGGACATCGATAACATGTCCTATGAGGTTTGTCTTTACATCTTTCAAACCCATGTTATGCTTTGCAACATATTATCTTCACACTTTTGACTTCTCTTTTGCATGATTACAGGAACTACTAGCTCTAGAAGAGAGAATTGGTACAGTAAGCACTGCTCTCACAGAAGAAGCAATATCAAAGTGCTTGAAAACAAGCATCTATCAGATGAAACCTTCAAGTTATGGGTCTATCACCAAAAATCCTTGTGATCACAAGGAAGATGCCAAATGCACTATTTGCCAGGTTCCTTTCTTTTGTCATGTTTTGTTAGTCACAATCAAGTCTTTTGGGTTTGATGAAATCTCAAGTAAAATCTGCCATGAGGTTACTTAGCTTTGCCTGTTGTTTGAGAAAACTGTTGCGGTTTTTGGTTCTCAGGAAGAGTATACGATAGGGGATGAAGTTGGGAGGCTACACTGTGAGCACACATACCATTTGAAGTGTGTGCAAGAGTGGTTGCGGATGAAGAGCTGGTGCCCAATCTGCAAAGCCACTGCAGAAACCTCCTCGTCGAAATAAACGCCATTCTTCTTCTTCTTCTTCCTCTTAATTCGTCGTAGTATTTATTTCATCGTAAGCCTGTGAACAACAATGGAACCCGTCGAAAAACGGCCTTACCATTTCCTTTGTGTACATACCAGTTCACACCGGCTCTGTCTCTCTTGACTGTATTCTCTCTATATCTCTTTTGTCTAATGACACAGCTCATGTGTTTCTCTTCGTCTTTTCGCCAATTTTCTGTTTTATTTCCGTATTGTAACGCAGGAAAGGCGGAAAATTCTGAATGTTGGACACAATTTGTTTAAAAACAACAAAGAACTTGGTTATTTGGATCTCTGGATGCAATGAGTTTTGTGCAGGGAAAACTTGAAAAAGACATTCAAAGAAGACGGTAGAGTCACCTTCTGCATATTTTCAAAACATATTTTTTTCTCCCGAAAGAAGAGATTCTAAACCAGCTTATCACAATGATTCTGTGTGGAAGAAATACATGAAACTCTAAAATCCATCGCCGACAAAATTACTCAATACCTTGTCCGGCAAAAGAAACAGGCAACAAACTCTCTAGGATGTTTAAAATGAGGAAATACATTGAAATGAGGACTTCAAAAATAACTTTTTTTCATTGAAATGAGAAAACAAAAATGTAAATGTAAAAAGTGATGTCAATGTTGTTTTCAAGATATGAATTCTACACAGTTCTAAGACTATGTTACATACATAGCAATACTGCAGCTATTACATGATTGTTTGTACCTTGCTCCCGCCTCAAAGCCCACAGTATCTCTGCCAAAACTTTTCTCTTGATTCCCTTTATCGGCCTTGCGTGTTACACACAGGGCCTGACACTAGCTGAGATGGCCAAATTACTACTGATCTTACAACAACACGTATTTTTTGTTCAAACACGGGCTTATCTGCATTCAGAAATATGTACTAACCTGCCCCGAGTCTGCGACTGAAGGACATAACACATCTCTCAGCCATCAGGTCCACTGGACCAAAACCAGTGGCCAGCTTTTTCTTGGGACCAGAGCAGCTTTACTCAGACAATTTGCAACATCCAACATCCCCAAACATCTGCATTCACACCCCTTCTCGTTCCTCGAATGAACGAATGAAAATTCTCTCCCGAAGCGAGGGCCAGTCTTCGCCAAGCTGAAGTGGACTTAGCTCCATTGCAACTCTAAAATCAAGCAAAGACACCGGATGCTGTTCTTGCGTTATACGAGACGGTTGGTTGCTACTTTGTATGTGCAAACTATTACTTGGCCGCACGCCATTCACAGTTTCGTCTCGGCTCTGCAGTTTGTCCAAATTAGTGGACCGAGCTCCAGCCAAATCAACGCACGATTTGATCAGTTTCTTCAGGTACACGTCCAACATGCTATTCAACGTGCTAGTACACTCCGGTGAAACTCCTCCAAGTCCCTGCACTACTGCAATACTCTCCATCCGCTTTCTAAGCATCTCCATGTCTGATAACCCACCACTGTCATAGCAGCTAATCAAGGCAGCCCTGGTCGAAAGCGGACCTGTTCTGCGGGCCCCACCGACACTACTAGCTGCGCCAAATGGAATCCCTAGAGGTGCAATTACAGGACTCGTTGAAAGAACCAACCTACGAGCTTCGTCATCTCTGCTAACCGGAGCTGCGACTTTACCTTTATCCGGCATCCTCGTTTTTTCAGCAGGACGAGAAAGTGCGCCGCCTCTTTCGTCGGCGTATTGACCTGATCTTTGGTAAGCAAAAGGACCAAAATCCCCGTTCTTCTCCGTGTTTATATAACCGCTCTTGTCTTCTCTACAGAGTGGCTGATGCAACAGACTTTCAACCTTCCCGTTTGGTCCAAGCGGACTAGGCCTATCTCTGACTGTCCTGTCACACGTTCCAGACCGAACCTTGGATAACACCCCGTTTGACCAAACGTGATCATTCCTGTTATGGTTAGGGACTAGAGATCCGCTCTGTTCAGGTCCGTCTTCTGTCCCAAGCACCAAATATTTTTCAGGGTGGCCGGTTTTGTGAAGTGGTGGTGGGGATTTAGCAAGAGACGCATTTCTCAAGATGGAGTGAATTAACTTGTTGTGTAGAGGAAGATTCTCCCTCCCCAAAAGACGGCAACACGACTTATCAAACTCACTCTTGGTGAGCTTCTGGCTCAGAAACCTTCCCAAGTAATAAAAGTACCTTCTAGATCTTTCAGCCCCAATCTTCTTCACTATATGCAGTTTCAGCTCAGCTAGATCAATCCTGGGATCTTCAGGGCGTTGCATACTTGTCTTTGTGCTTCTTCTTCTTCTTCTTCTTCTTCTTCTTCTAAAAACCCGAAACCAGATGAAACAGTCAGAGGAGTGCGCAAAATGCACCCTCACACCAATGAATCCAACTCATTAACTTATACCTTGTGAAACTCAAATCCAGGCGCATTTCAAGAACTCAGCTGAAGCGTTTTAGCAAGAGAACACTCCCAGATTCATATCCCAAACGACCCAGAGCTCGTAAATCTAGGAGCCATACAATGGAAAGCCAAATCTCATCTCCCCAAAAACCAAAACCCTAGAGATCCTAGTATCCAGTTTACACCAAGAAGCTTAAATTGCCCACCTGGGGATGATTCAGTATTACAAAACCCTAGCTCAAAGTTACCAAATTCAATCCCTGAGAAGGAAGAATCACCAAACTAACCCTTTCGGCAACTTCAAGAGCGGGTACGAAGACGAGACTGCACCAGAGCAGAAAAATCCAGCATTTATTCGTTGAAGCCCAATTCGGAAGCTAGGGAAGTCGAGGATTCCCGGAATTTGAGTAGGAGCAAATCGAGATCAGTGGAGTTTGGAAAAAAATGATTCGAGCTTGAGAACAGAGCAACGAATTCGAATTGCCTAAAGAGAGAGATGAAATTCGAATTGAAGATTGGAGGAAGCGGGCAATGAGAAGCGGGACCCAAGCTTGTAAGCAAGGTAAAACAAGTGTTTGGGAGATTGATTTGAGCAATCACCTTTTTTGCCAAGATTGACCAGAATAATTCAGACAGATACAAAAAACCGAACAAAACAAGTAACTTCCGACCAAACCAATGATTTCTCGGCTCCTCAATACTCTTGTGCTCCGCTTCGATTAAATCTTCCTGGGCTTGTTCCTATTGCTTTCAGATTTGAATGTCCGAGCTTTCGCTCTTCTGTGTTTATTAGCTTCGATCGCTGCTTATTGGGTTTTGTTCGTTTTTCTTCTTCCTTTTTTTTTTTCTTTTTCCCTTTGTCTGTTTTTTTCTGTTCTCTTCTCTCTCTCTTCTTTCTCTCTCTCGATAAAATGTGCTTATTGGGGGTTTTGCTTTTGTACTTGAGATTATACCAAGTTGACATAAGGAATTTGTAACACTAGATTGAATTCAACTAGCAATCTTTTGAACTGAGTGATCTCATCTAGGCTATATACATCGGATCATGTCAGAATCTGTACCTATAAATATCATATTTGACACATGACACTTTTTTTTTTTTTGCTAAAATGACACATGACACTTTAGAGGATGAAAGGTGAGTGTTAGTAATTGGGATTTCCCCCAAAAGTTACGTGTTGGCTTTTTTGTCAAGTTAAAAATTTAAATTTGGCACTGAACAAAGTAAAAAAGAGTTCAAAATGGAAACCGCAAAGTGCAAAAGGCTTTGTCAGCTAGAACGAAACCAATCTTCAAACTTACAACATAAACATTAAAGATTCGGAAATTAATAAAAACAGACACAATTCAACATAACCTCAGAAGATAAATCCTCCTAACTCAGATACTACAAGAAAAACCTAAGGAGATAACACAAAAGACCAAACACAAACAGAGTGGGACTGAGATCTAAAAGAGATGACACATAATCCTACCTCATAATACTCTCCTACTGCATTGGGTTCTTGTGTACAGCTCTCTGCTTACAACAGTTTATTTGGCCCGTCCTTTGCCTCGACCTCCTCGGCCTCTCCCTCTACCTCTGCCTCTTCCTCTTCTCGAGTATGCCAACACCTTGGAAGTACCAGGACTGCTACTTGCTGAGTTTGAGTTAGGCAGAGACTGGTCTCCTGGGAGCCACTCTTCTTCATGCGTGCTTGAACTGTTATGTGAGGCACTCGAGTCGCTGTTATTGTTTTCGTTATCAATCACACCATCTGACCCATTCCCTACTGTGATATCGTCACCAGGAGTTTCAGCTACAGGCTGAGAAGCCTCGGTTTCATCTTGCGGTTTGGGTTTTGTTTGATCTTCCATAGCCACTAGTGAGCTGAAAAAAAGAAAGGCTTTGCTTAGTAGGAAGTAATGTCATCTTATGTCAAAAACCAACCATACAAAGGAGCCCTCTTTTTCAAAGAAGAGAGCAGTTTTTCACCTCGGTGATGAAGATGGGAAACCGTTAGAAGCAGGACGTGATGCGCCTGTTTCATCAGCTTCTTTTGATGTTTCAAACACATCTTTTGGGATACAAAAGTTCCCAGTTGGATCCAATGTTGCCCCAAGGGCTAAGACAGCTGCATTAATACGAGCGCAAGTAAATAAAGAGAACCCAACTAAACATAATCCAAAATCAACAGTACTTAGAAATCCAAATTGTTACCATTTGTGGCGTCTCCCATAGTCGAGCTAGGTTGGATAAACTCGTCATCTCCACCGGTTCCACTGTCAAGAAAGATTGAGAAACTTAAGAAGATGGATCCACTAAAAAAAAGGATCTGTACAGAAAAGACAAGATATAAACTGTGTAAGGAACTGTAGGGTAAAAAAAAACCTTCGAGGAGCGGTATCTGTATCTTCCGATGGCTTGACTCCTTGTGTGGAGATAGATATCTTGTCCAAATTAACTCCACCTTAGCAGAAAACATTAATCAATCCATGAGACAGATCATAAGAAATTGAAGATAAGAGAGTGAATACAAAGAAAGGATGAAAAGAGAAACTAACGAGATCTAGTGTGTAAAGCTACTGTTTCTTCAACGGCTTGATTAGCTTCCGTAGTCTTCACTCAAGTAAAACACACAAGGGAACGAAGAAATTATTGGACCTGCAAGTTTCTTCTTGTTATTAAGACATAGTGTAAAGGGTGCTTGGTACCTGATTTTGTTCAGAGGTAGGTACGGTCGAATTTGGTAGAACCCCGCTTTGCTCATTTCGTACAGCTGAAAGAACAAAAACAAAAAGAGTTACTACAATATAATCAGAACTGAAATTACTTTCAGCTTTATCTCATGCTGTCTAATACTGAAAAACTAACTCCACATGTAAATAGTGGAAAAAAATAAAACACCTTGCACACCTTCATCAACATTCAAAGGTGCATTTAAAACATAGGGGCTGTGTTTAGGTTGCAACGAGGCTACACTACTAGGGGATGCAGTTTTAAGCATTTCTTCTGTTGCTTTAGCTCTGACTTTGCGAATCTCATCTTGAATATTCCATGACGGATTAGAACGGGATCTCCTTTTCAGCTGCATTTTGGTATCAAAAGTCAGAAAGCAGACGCATGACTATGAGAGAGCCATTAGAAATACATGATGGTATGCAAACAACTTCAGACTTTCAAACTAATATATTGGAAAACTTCCTGATGTACCTTGGAAGAGGCTAAGTTTCCAGCACTATAAGGAAATGGTGTCCCTTCCTTAAACAGCGACATCCCTCCTGGTGATGGTGACCGAAACTCTGAATTGTTCACAGCCGGAGATCCCCATGGCAGACGAGCTCGCATATATGACTTGGCCACGTCCACAGGCGATCCAGCACCATCTTCAGTTGCCTGGAGATTGAATAAAATGGCTGAGAAGGTGATCGTTGTCTAAAGCACATTGGAGAAGAGACTACAAATGGCGGAATACTGAATATGAAAAGCTATCAGAGAATGAACAAAGTCTTATAAGCATATGGTCTTCGTCCTCTCGAAATGAATATCAGATTTTACACACAAAAAAAGATATATCCTTGTATAATAGAAAGCAATGACTCAGAGCACAGAGACGAGACATATTAACAAAGACAAACACGGAAGAGTGAAGAAAGCAGAGTTTCCAGAACTTACTTTAGACTTTGATTTTGAAGCTGATTTCTTCTCCTCCAACCATCTTTTTGCTTCCATAACAGCTTTATTGGACATTTCACCCACATTCACCTCTAGAAACAAAAAGCTTGAAGATATTAATCACATAGACTAATCGAGTCTGCCTGTACAGTCTACCATCAGTTACATACCACTTGTCAATTCATTGCCACTATGCCTCCCCTCATTAGAAGCCGGGAGACTGGGATGATCTACAACTCTGGCCTTGATGATATCTATTAATCTATCGCCTTCTTCCCTGAAACAACATACACATCAATGACTTAGCAAGCTCATTAACAAATATTACAGATATATTTCAACTAAGAGACGTATATGTAATAATAATTCAGGTTCAACTTATGATGTCTAGGAAACCAGACACAACGACATACCTTGCAAATGTTTCTTGCATGAGAAGCTGCTCAATTACACGCTTAGAACTGAGTCGTTGGATGGTTGATTGCTGGCCGTTCACAAGGTCCTATTTACACAAGCACACATCAGATTCACTCCACACAAACTGAAATCATGCTTCCATCAAAATACGTTGTTGAAAAAAGATAGCTTTGTGAACTTTATTTCTACAAAACCATCGAAAACATGCTACAACACATGCTTGAAACGGTGAAAAGGTAAGACTCATTACAGGACTATCGAAGAATTCAAACTAGAATCTTTAGCAACACCAACCACTATGCCAATAAAGCTGAATCATTTCTGTGAACATTGGATTTGATAATAGATCATAGGCCTACGGTCTCCAACCAAGTTTAAAACATGTCGTAGCATATCACCTAAACGACTAAAGTGGTTCGTACCTCTACCATTGTTTCATCTTCAGTAAAGTCGGTAATGTTCTTCTCAACATCCTCGTCACCTTCAATTTCTGAAAACAAGGAGGAGAACATAAAAAAAACCTATTTTGAAAGAGACAAAAAGAAGACGCAAAGCTGGCCGGTTATTTCAATTCAGACTTACGTTATATGGAAAAAACAAGGAGCATAACGGCTCGAGCCTAATTGAATTCGTGTATGAAGAAACAAAAAAAATTAAAGCTTCCGAATAAATACAAAGTTTACAGCTTTAGAAGTAAGTAATTTGGAGAAATGGAGTAGCAGTACGCTTCACTGAAATTTAAGTGTCATATTGAAGGAAAGAGAAAAAGGTTGGAGCTTTAAATCGATTTCACATTTCAAATGAAACGACCAAATAATCAACCAAAAATCAGTTTTTCAAACTAATCTTATCTGAGCCCAAATAAATTATACATAATGTTTAAGGGGATGCATTTAGCCCACCACATACCTGAAGAAGAATCCTCGTCCTCCGAAGAAGATGAGGAGGATTCAGAAAAGACGACGGAAGAAATGAATTTCCCGGCGCCGGAAGCAATTACGCTGGCAGGTTTGTAAACGAGCCTGGAGATCCAACTAGGGTTTTGCTGAGGAGGATCCCGGGATCTTGGAGCGGGGCGGTCATACGGCCCCCTGACGACGGCGGTCCGGCGTGGTCGAACAATCTTGCCTCCGGATCGAGGCTGGCGTGGTCCGGCGTAGCCAGAGACGGGATCCATGGGAGAAAGGAGGAGGGAGAGAGAGTTCGTTGGAAGGAAATAATCAAATGTGTTAGGGAAATAGGGAATTTTTGGTTATTTGTCGTCTTCTTGTTCTCTTCTCCTTTTTGTTTTTTTTGTTTGTGATGGTAGTTTCCTAAATCACAGGGTTGCGGTTGAAATTATTTACCCAAAGAAAATTAGGGAAAATCAAAACAATAGAGACACCATATCCAATAATGTCAACAACATAGAGCATGGAATTCTACACACAACCATATAATATACAACTTTTTCAAAAGCAAACATATGAACTTTGGTGTTTGAATTTATTTATAAGATTGAAATTTCCCTTTTTAGGTTAGAATTCAGCCTTTTGGGTTTATAATTTATAATTTTAGATTTCAAGTTTGAATTTAGTTTGTGTAAGATTATGGTAAATAGAACAAAAATATTATTAAATGTAATTTGTATGCTCTATATAAATTAGCACATTCTTAGTTACTTATCTCTCCAACTCATCATCATTTTTTTTTTAATGACAAGATTATAAAATCTAAGTTAAGTAACTTATATTATAAGATTAAATTAGAGAGTGATGGTTACTTATTTGTGTTATGCCATAAAACAGAGCCAAAAAAAGTAAAATAACATGTCAATATATTTTATTTGTCGAATTTTTGGTGAGCTGGAATCGCAGCCGTAGGATAAGACGCGGCTGATCTGATCAACTTTTTTTTTTTTCACGGCAATCAATAATCGACGCTTTTTAGACAAACACAGAGGATTAATTTTGGGTATTCCCTCCTCCTTTCACCGATCCATCTACGAGCCGTCGCTCTATACACATCCTTAACTCGCGAACAAGAAGATATTTCTTCGATTCTCCATTTTCCATCTCCTTGAATCGATCGTGATTGAGATTGAGGGAAAGATGCCTGGTTTAACCTGTAACGCCTGTAACATGGAGTTCGAGGACGAAGCCGAGCGAAAGCTTCATTACAAGTCCGATTGGCACCGTTACAATCTCAAGCGCAAGGTGAATGGTTTTTTTTCTCTGGTCAATCTAAATCCAAAGTACAACAAGTAGAGTTGTTTATTTTGCTTTCATGATCTTGATGTTTATAGCTCTATGCACTCGAATCACGGTTTTCTTATAAAGGTTTTTGAAATACATCGAAACTGTTAGGTCGCTGGAGTCCCTGGGGTTACACAGGAGTTGTTTGAGGCGAGACAATCTGCTCTTGATCAGGAGAAGAGTAAATCAGATGAAGCACCCATGCTTTATACTTGCGGAATCTGTAGCAAAGGTTACAGGAGCTCCAAGGCTCATGAGCAGCATCTCAACTCGCGGAGCCACGTTGTAAGGGTTTCACAAGGGACGACTATCAACGGTGAGGAGGATATAGCCATTATCAGGCCGCTTGCTCGCCGTGTCAAGAACAGAGATGTCGAGGATAGTGAAGATGAGTGGGTGGATGTTGATTCAGACGAGGAGTTGGCTGCTGAAGAAGCCTCTGATTCTTTGTCTAAGCTGAATGTTAATGAAGAAGACATGGATGAAGATGATGCAGGCAAGTATGAGCTGGATCCGACCTGCTGTTTGATGTGTGACAAAAATCACAAGACCTTAGAGAGCTGTATGGTTCACATGCATAAGCATCATGGTTTCTTCATCCCCGACATTGAGTATCTCAAGGATCCTCAAGGGCTTCTCACTTACCTCGGTCTTAAGGTGAAGCTTTGATTTTTTTTTAGCATTCATTCTGCTAAAGCTTTGGTTTTTTTTTTTTACTTCTGTTTACACTTTGTACATGCCTCATCGTTCAGGTGAAGAGAGACTTTATGTGTCTGTACTGCAATGAGCTGTGCCATGCATTCAACAGCTTAGAAGCTGTAAGAAAGCATATGGAAGCAAAGAGTCATTGCAAATTGCACTATGGTGATGGTGATGATGATGAAGATGCTGAGCTAGAAGATTTCTATGACTACACCAGCAGGTTTCATCTATCTTCTAATCCCTTGGTAGTTATTCTTTTATATCTCTCTTTTGTTGTGCCAAATCTTAATGCATCTTCCTTTGGAATATATATGATATGGAGCAGCTATGTTGATGAATCTGGAGACCAGATAGTTGTATCTGGTGAAACAGACAACGCTGTAGAACTCGTTGGTGGTTCTGAGCTCGTGATCACCGACAGATCTGACAACACAACAACGTCTAGGACTCTCGGCTCCCGTGAGTTCATGCGTTACTACAGACAGAAGCCGCGCCCAACTTCTCAAAACAGCAACCAGATTGTTGCTTCCCTGTCTTCAAGGTTTGTCTCAAAACCCACTAACCGTCCAACCTACCAACTTAGAGTCTCAGCAAGTTAATCGTAACTAAGGTTATTGCCGTAAATGGTAAATTATCAGGTACAAGAGCATGGGTTTGAGGACGGTGCCATCGAAAGAGGAGACAGTGAAGATGAAAGTGCTCAAGGAGATGAACAAGAGAGGGGAGACAATGCGTAGCAAGATCGCAATGAAGAGTAATGTCATAAGAAACTTGCCCAATAATGTCCCGTATTAGTTTCTCAGTTTGTGCCACTTATTCTCTTGTACTGGATTGTGTGATGATTTTATGTAACCAACTTGTGTCGGTATTTGGTAATAAGAGTGAGTTTTGAACATAATATCTGGGATGATCTTTAAAACAGTAAATGTTAAAACTGTTGACTTCTGTGATTTACATCTCTCGATATCTACATTGTTCAGAGATACGCATGAGAATTAAGAAGACACAACGAAACAGGGTACAATATCCAAAAAAAACCTTTTTTCTTGTTTACGTTTTTGTACAAGGCTGTGACTGCGAGTAATGTCACAAGACACACCTAAAAGAAAATTTATGTATGAAGAAAAAGAAGAAGAAGAGAGAAGAAGAAGAAGAGAGAAGAAGAAGAAGAAGAAGAGAGAAGAAAAAGAGAGGTCCAAAACCAATACTGGCTACGATTAGGCTTCATTTGCCTCGCTTCAATTTCCAGCTGACTGAGAAAGAGAGCAAACAAGAAATCCGAATGAAAACAATGTAAGCAATCAACACGACTATAGAAACGAAACAGCAAATTGAATGATACCTAATTTTCATAGAAGCGAGATCGACGCCTTCCTAAACTGTAAACAAGAGAGAAAATGGCATCAAACAATGTCTATCATGTAGCAATCATACATAACACAAGAAAGCAACTAAAGCAGGTGAGAACATGATAAGCCGCTATGTCACAGATAACCAATAATCCTCTAAAATCAATGCAGAATGCTCTCATTAACTAGGAGAATAAGAGAGTTTGCGTGAAGAGATTTTGTCTATGAAAGAGGAAAACTAAAGCAGCAGACGATTCTGACCTTTGATGTATAGAGCTACTTCTGTTGGCTCCACTTGTGCTGCTGATGAACTCATCATCGATCTCATCTACTCTATACTCTGGGAACTCTATCGATGCTACCGAGCTGTCGTCGGAGTTGGAGTTATCATAGCTAGAGCGGCGACTCCCTCTCCTGCTCTCGCTCATTCTTGATCTCCTCCTCCGATTCCTCGCGTTCCTTATATTGTCAAACATTTTATAAAGGATACAAGATGTCCACCAGTTTCCTTCATTAGCGTGAACATCCTCGAACTCGTCTCCTGTGTCATCATCTCCATACTCGATCACATAGTCCCCTAACACCACTCCTCTCGGAACCTCCGAGTGAATTGTGCTCAACACGTCGATGATCTCAGACGACTGCTGAAAATTTTCCCAGTCGAGCTTCCGCGCCGGGTCGATCTTCGAGGGACGAGAATCTGGATGCTCTGACTGAGCGTGTTCGCGAAGCTCGGTGTAATTCCCCATGAACCTGCACCGTTCTTCCTCACAGCAGCGTTTCTTCTCATCGAGACGAAGACGAGCTTCCTCCACAACAAGCCACCCAGTGACTTCCCCTCTACACAGTGGACACACCGGTTTGCAATTCTCTTCAAGAACCTTTGAACGAGGCTCCTCAGGAGGAGCTGGAGGCGGCGACTCTGTACCGCAGGCGGTGATGAACCGATCCAAACAGTTGGAGTGAAGGTGATCTGTGTTGCAGACGAAAGCGCGGCATCCGTTTCCGTAAGACGAACACTGGAGAAGCACGCCGTTGTGAGGGGAATCCAAACAGATGGGACAAACTAAATCATCCCAATTGATCGTCAGCTCAAACTCTTGGCTGCAAAACGTCTTTTCACAAACATGTTCTAGCGCCATAAAAATGATTTTCTCTGAGATCCGCAAATGAAAACAGCTCTTACTCCCAAATTATCGGGAACTCAGTTTACGTCATCTTCTCCGGATTCTGTTCCTTGATGTAGCTGTATATGCATGTAAACGAGACTGGTAAGCATTCAGAATCTCAAGACGCTGAAACAATCTATGAATAAGAATGCAAAGAGAATCCGATGGAGAGACTCGTAAAACCAAAAAAACCAAATTTGATATCGTCGATGGCGAAAACACTAGAAACCCAAAAGAGATTGGTGGAAATGAGAAAGGGATATTCAAAATCAAAAGAACCGATCGCAAACCGACCTCGAATCGAAACCTAGGAGGAGAACCCTAAGCAAAATTAGAAACGGATCCAAATCGACAGAGACGAAGCGGATTGGGTAATCAGCATAAGAAACCAAATTCGAAGAAGTAAAATATCAACAGAGAAGAAATAAGAAGCAAAAATAGGATCGAATCGAAAATCGAGGAAGAAGGAGAAGAAGAAGCTGACCTTTGAGATTGGCAGTTTCAAGGGAGTGGAAAAAAAAAAACGAGATGGGGTTTCTTGTGGGGATAGTGTTTCGCAGTTGGTAGAGGGAAGAAGCCAAGCCTCCTTTTTTCTCTCTCCTCTCTCATTCCCCCCGTACCATTTTTTTTACCTTTTCAATACATTACTATTATTATGTATTTTAATCATTACTTAAAAAGAAGGTTTCTTTGATTCATCTTAATTGTTTTGTGACGACTTTTACTTTATTTCCTTCTTTGATAGTAATACTTTACTAAACGTTCAAATTATAATACTGATTTTACTCTTGACTTTTTTCTTTTTACGCCTTAAAATGATTTTACTTTAGAGTATTTGTTAATGCTTATCTGAGTGCACACATTTTAACCAGAATTTTGTATCATTGACTCAGTAAAAAAATCGTAAAACAAAACTAGTCAACTATGAAATAGCTTTGACTGACTTAAATTGCTCTTTGATATTTTGGGTCGGTTCGGATTAGATCGAAGTGAACTTATGACTGTTCGATTAGGCCTAAAAGATCACATAGCTATATGCTATGACTGGGCCTTTCTACGGTGTTGGGCCTGCTACAGATACTTGGGCTTTGTATATTAAGAATGAAGAAGTCTCAAAATAATGAGATCCAAAAGCTCTTCCAATGGAGCTTGGTTGTGAAAATGCCAACTGAGATTTCTCCAAAACGCACCCATTGCTGAAGCTTTCCCTGCGTTTCACACATTCATAAAAACGGTGCAAACATTTACAAATGAGAATGCTTTCAGAATCAGGTGGGTTGCTAAGAGTTCTTTACCTCGTGGTGTCGAGTAACCATGTAGCTAAGCCTTTTCTTCTGTTGGAAGGTGAGACCCAGACTGCTCTTACTCCACAAACAGCTGCTTTAGCTTCTTCTTCACATACAATTGCTCCATCATCTAATCTCTCACCTGATTCTCCTCGACATCTTTTCGATACTTCTCTTTGCAACACAATGTTCCCAAACTGAATTGAGGTTGAAGGCGAGGAGCTCTCTTTCTTTAACTGTCGTCCATCACCATGAGGAGCTACGACCTTAAATGCTTCCTTAATTGGTTCTGCAACTAAACACCCCGAGATCCTCTGAGAGGTAACGAGTAGGTACACCTACACATAACAACATTGTTCTTGAAACAGCTGAAAGAGTAACTAGAGGCTCCGGAATCTATCAACAGACTTTGGCTTATACCATCTTTCTAGTGAATTCATTGAATGAGGTCGTCAAAAGAAAGCAAAGAGGCTCTTCTATTTAGTTATTTTTGGTTTCAATGATGGAATCAGAATAAGTCAGTGTCGTGCTCTTTGGCTAATAAGTGAAGCAAGTATTCCCAACAAGTTTTGTATCAGATCCAAGTTGGCTCAAAGTAGTAGACATCAAGTACCAGTAATCACCTATGAGCTATGCAGCAATTTATCCGTAAATGTTGGTTAAGACATGGATACTGGATACAGAACCATACCTTACAATGTTGGTGAAGAATCCAATCCTCGCCTAGCTCAACCTCCATCATTTTCACAACCTCTTGCACCTGCAGTTACCAAAAGATTACCCCGTTAAAACCTCTAAATGAAGAATCGGTGTACCATAAAGCAGCGCAATTTTTGATTTGTAACCTTGTTTCTGTGTGCAGGAGAATCATTTTCCAATACCATAACAATGCGGTTCTTGTTGAACAAAGGCGATGTGAAAGCCTTCTCGTTCTGCCAACCCTGAGAACAATTCAAAAACCGACACTTTATCAAACTGCCTCTACAACAAATCAAAGAAACATATATCTGCAAGCATATAATAAGGTCGAAGGCATCCTGACCTTAAAAGGGATTCCATGCATATAGTTCTTGTGAAAACTTTGATGGCTCTTCTCATCTAATTCATCTCCAGGAGCATATGCAGCTCCACACTCTGCGCAATTTCTGAGAAGAAAATCAGATTGCCCCAACTCCAAGTGGAATTGGGTATAATTGCGCTTCTTGTTGAGGTTTTTGGATCCATAAGAAGATCCTTTCCTCGGTGTCTTCTCAACGCATTTCTTAAGCACCTCACTTCTGAATACCCAAACGTAACCATAGATTAAAATGGTTGCCTTGAGAAACATATAAAGCAGAAGGGATTTAAACAGAAACGCAATGGCAATTGGCTCCAATCTCTTGCCTTAAAATAACACACAAATTAGGAGATTGCCCAATTGATCATAACTGGGACTTTTCTTTCCACATCGCTCATTTTCGATTTTTTTTTCTTTCCATGGACCTCTGATAGAACTAGACCCCTAATCTGTAGAAGATAAATAAATATAGAAAATTCGAACAATCTAAAGTGAAGCAAACCCCTAAAGATGATGATGATTCATGTACCGATCGAATATCGCAGATCGACGCTCGTAGGTATTGACGATGATGTTTCGATTTTTCTCCCAGACGGCTAAACCATCGTCTGTGTCTGATGTTACTAAGGCGGCGATAGGAGACGACGAAGAAGAAGAAGAAGAGGGCTTGAAGAAAGAATTGATTTTTGCTTGCATAGCTTCTTACTGAATCGAAATTCGTTTTAGGTTTGTGTTGTCCTTCTTCCTCTTCTCCTGCGATTTTGGCGGCACGGGAATTTTTTTTTTTCAATTAATAAATTTGCCGCCACGATAAAATAATCTTTACCAAACAATTTATTAATCGAATCAATAAGAAATTAAATCAGACCACGAAAAAAGATTTTTAAAAAATGAAAAATAAATATGTTTTGTATATTTTGTAACACGTTAAAAAAAAAAACTAAAAACAACGTTGTTCATTTATTTCCAATTAAACTAGATAACATATTTTTTAATATTTTGGATTTTCATATTTTTATATTAATTAAGTTTATTTTATTTCTAATTATTTTTCTACTTAAGTAGTTATTTAAAAAAAACTTTGACGAATTAGTTATTATTTGATGACAGGGTAATTTGTTTTTTCTAGGTCCCTCACTGTCCAACTACATTGAAGTTTGTGTGTGTTTTTGTATAATTACATGTATGTGTAATGGTGTATTGAGTTACTTGTATCATGTATGCACCGAAGATTAAACTGTAACAATCTTCGTTTTTCTCCCAATCTACTCCCTCCCGACAATTATCTCTTTCCTCTTCAAAAGAGCCACAAAATGGTGAGAGTCCGACTCATCATCTGTCTGATAAAACCGAGTTGCTCCATGACAGCACGAAATCCCGAAACACATTCGGTAAATCTGCATTCAAAGCAATAAGTAACGAGGTTTTCAGAATCATACATACAATCAATGGCCCAAGATTCTTATGTTTACAGGATCATAAGTAAGAAAGTCGATGAGAATATCCTACCTTGCACGACTTGCATGGCGAGTGTGGGAATATCTACTTCTTCTTCAACCAATTTATACACGTCCGCAAGCTAAAAGAACAAAAGTAAAGTTACTAATGTATCTCTAGAGGGCCCAATTGTCAACGGGACGATAACTGCTAGTCTTCTACTAATGTTTTAATGTACAAACCTCTTCTACATGAAGCTTTGAGTCCTCTGTGAGTGCAAGAATAAGTTTCCTGCGGATGCCTTCATCGAGGAGGAAAAGACGAGCTCCGTCTTTAACGGTATCTGTCAAGTCAAGCTTACTCTCCCTGAAAATACCATGCGTAAAAACATTCGATTAACAACTTAAGAGCGACTGAGACTTGGTAACAAAATGCATTTATAAAATTCGGTTACTTACACTTGCTTAACTCGTAGAGCAGGGTTGCTACTCATTTGGCCAACGTTTTCCTTTGCAAGTGATATGAGGTTTTCCAGTCTTTTCCATTGGAAAACACCATCTTTGAATAGAACCTGAAACGGAGGTGGCAACAAGAGCTCTGATTTCAGCTGATGCGGATAACAAAATTCGACATTCCTTCTAGGAGATGATGACATCAGAATTATCAATTAACCTGTATCAAGCGTTCCCGAAGTGCAGGATTCGGATCCGTTAGGAGGCGCTTTGCTACATATGGATAAGCAACCTAGACACACACAAAAAAAAAAGAGCCAGCTTTTAGTGTGGGAAGGGAAATGTCAGTGAACATATAGCTAGTATCCGCTCACTTCAGGATTTCTGTGTGCGAACACTATTATTGAAGAGAGCAATCAAAATATGACTTCACCTCAAGAAATTTAAAATCAGGCTTCAGCGTGAAACATATACCCTCCTGTGTGAGTAGAGAACGAATAACAAGAGAGAACCGCTCCGGGATACGGATGGGAAAGTCGTACACAAGCTTGTTGAATTGCCCTGCAAGAAAAACATGACACCATTCTATCAGATGTGCAAGGAAAGCAATTTATCTTGTATGGAAATGCATGAAACCGCACATACCTGTAACACTTCGGAAATTGAAATCCGCAAGTCCTTTCCCCGCAGAGTTCTGCCAGATGGCTTCTAAAGCTGGAACGATAGGAGAAACATCGGTACCTTTGGCCAAGAATCCGAGCCTAGTGAAATCATTTGCCATCTCCCCGTAGTCCTCATTAACCGCATGGACAACAGCATCAATCAAAATTTGCTTGTTTTGCTGAGAAAGAAAGGATTTACTGACACTATGAGTGACAAAGTCTATCTATATATAGAGATGTGAGAATCACTATAGGAAGGCGACATATGATAGTTTTTAAGGTTACTAGATCTTGTAGGACCATCAAACTCAAATTACCTGACTCAGTACAGCAACATTTCCAAAGTCAACATAAGCAATACGCCCGTCATGCATTGCAAAGATATTTCCAGGATGTGGATCTCCATGAAACAATCCAAATTCTAACAGCTGCCTTAGAGCAGCACTCACGCCAACAGTCAAGAATCCATTTAAATCAATTCCGGCATCCTTGATGGCCTGAGTACAATTAGTAAGAGTCAGTACTCTGAATGTACTTTATTTATGACTTTTTAAAGGGGTATAAAATAATTTATATTGGATTGGCCCTTTTTTGAAAGTGATACCTGTGGGTCAGTGCAACGAATACCATCAATCCACTCCATCACAAGAACCCGCGGACCACAAAGATTCTTGTATACTCCAGGAATTTTGACAGTGGGGTCATCTTTGAAGTTCACCAGAAAGTCTTCAATGTTCCTTGCTTCCTATAGTAAAGAACTTGAGGTTAACAGAGAATACTTATTATTTTAGCTCATTTATAAACCCATAGAGACAAATTGAAAATTATGAGATACCAAGGTATAGTCAAGCTCCTCCAAAAGTTTTTCTCCAAATTCATCAACTATTAGCTCTGCGTTGCAACCCAGCTTCTGTATACTGAAGCCATTTAAGAATGAGGCAAGGGTTCGGAAGAGAAAGAGATCCCGGTAAATTATGGGCTCTATCTGTGGTCTCTGCACCTGCATATACATAAAAAGGTAAAATGCCAAACCGAAACTCTAAAACAGTTTCAGTTTGAAACTCCCAAATATCACAATTCTCGAAGAAGATCAACTCTGGAGCTACAGTAAAAAAAACTCCACCTTGATAGCAACATCCTCTCCAGTGGCACGTAGAGTAGCTCGATAAACTTGGCCCAAGCTTGCAGCTGCTATCGTTTGTGAAGAAATCTTGCTAAACAGGGCCTCGAGAGGTTGGCCTAACTCTTCCTCAATGATTTGGAAAGCAACCTAGAAAGTCCTCCACAACTTAGTTTCATCACACGAAGGCACAAATGATAACAAGAACAACATCTTGCTCAACAATTTCCCAAAAAGATAAGTTTTTTTACCTCGTTGGGGAATGGAGGAACATCATCTTGAAGTATGCAAAGCTCGTTCATGTAGTCTTCACGGATGATATCAGGTCTATTTGCCAGAACCTTTACCCAACATGTAATAGATATTAGAGAAGATAACTCCGAGAACCCTTTTAATGCCAATCATTATTAACAAATTCGCAGCAAAAAAAACAAGGATCCACATACCTGACCAGCTTTGATAAACGATGGCCCCAAGTTGCACAACAGGTTCCTAAGCTGCCTCGCACGGAACGGGACAACTTCCTCATCCCTTCCAACCAAAAAATCATACATTAAGGTCGACCAATACAACCCCAGATTCCAAACAATCTCCACGCCCCTTGAAACGAGAGAGACGACTGATCCTCTTGATTCCAGCACTTTACTCCTCACCTGATCACCAAACATCAGTAAATTCCAATTTCTTCTTCATCTGAACACAAACATATCGATTCGTTCTAAGACGCTACCAAGCAATCCACGAAGGTGAACAATTTTAACCAGCTCAATTAGTGATTCAACAGAGAGATAAGCAATGAAATTAGCTGAAACAAACGCGTGAATCGAACTAGAAATGAAACAAAAATTCAGAGGCAATCATACAGTCTCCGGGGAATACTTTCGGAATGGCACGCAAACGCCTCGCTCGATATCCAGCTGCTCCAGCGCGGAGCTCGATTTCCCTAATCGCACCCCGCTCTTGGCCGTTGTCATTATCGCGGCGTCTCTCGAACTATTACCACCAATCGCCGCGTTTCTAGTGGAAACATCCGTCGCCGTCGCGGTAACGGAAGTCCGTACAGCCGAGAACGTCCTGCCCCGCCGCAAAGAAGCATCTCTCCGATCAAATACAGCGCGGTTTTTTCTCCGAAGACTCTGATTAAGGGAGAAATTAGGATTCACCAAACTATTCCAGTGGATCGACTCCATAGATCAGCAGCGAAGCGATGTCCGGAGAAATAAGAACAAACAGTGGATACGTAACCGTTGGACGAAAATGAAAAAAAAAAAATTATATCAATCCTCAATAAACTATTGCTGAAAATGGAATTATCGAGTGCCAACCACAAAAGATAAAAAAAAACAATTTCCCATAAAGCCCACAATAAATGTAATCTCTAGCAAAGGGACCCCAGAACTTTTTTCCCTTTGTACATCGCATAGTTTCTTTTTGGTGGTATGTTTTAAAAAGGCAGTGTGGACTGGGGACCGTGTGGTAATTACAAGAATACTATGTATATAATACATGTTATTTAGTTGTAATTTTATACATATATGGGGTGCAGTTGTAAATTTGTAATATATTATATACTCGCATGTATTTGTTTTTTTTTATTAAATGATAAATACAACAAAATATAGAAATACAAATGGTATTTAAGATTAGGTGATAGTATTTGGCGTCAAGTAGAGAAGCTGCGATAAAGAAAGTTTTGTGTGGCCACGAAAATTGCGACGTTTTAGCAACTAACAACACATATATAATAAACACCAAAACAAAAAATAACAGCGCATGTATTTCGTAGTATTTGTCGTGAAATGAACGATTCTTTCAAAATACTGTAGAAGTATAAAACCAATGTTAAAAGGTGACCCAAAAAAAAACAATGCTAAAATTTATCGATAGGTCTTACATTAACAAAACAGTCTAAAGTAATGAAAAATATTTGTTAATTTTTAACATGACTTCAGGTTCGTATTCTAAATTATTTTAACAAAGTATTTTTAACAAGTTTTAATTGAGAGTATGTTTGCCTTTCAATGATAATTTAGAAAAAAACAATAATAAAGATTATGTTTATCTCATTATGTAGGAGATGAAACGTACGTACGTTTGCTCCAATGAAGGTACTCGATATGGAATTATGGTCACTAGGACAAACAACACAGTTGCATTCATAATGGCTAATAAATACAATGCATGTTGGTAGAAAGTCCACTACATTTAGGTTTCACTTCCAACGGTCGTGTCTCTCTTCTTGGCTAAAAAAAACTGCAGAAGAAATGTTTCGAATCTTACCTATCATTATTGTGTTCAACACACATCGCCTAAGTCCATCTTAGAACCAAGCAAAGCTAGCGAAAAATGCTAGCAAGAGAACAATATCGAACTTTAAACCAGCTTTACAAGCAGAGGAAGAAGTTGGTTTAGTCTTATCAGCAGCAGCTTCCATCTTCTCATTATCAGCGCTCGGAACAGGGGCGGGAGAATCGACCTCCTGTGATTCTGTTGCAGGTTTAGGTTTTGGAACAGCAGAATCTGAGGCATTGGCTTCATCAGCGGGTCCAGGAGCTGGAGCGGTTGCAGCATTTGTGGGAGCTGGACTCGGAGCGGTTGCAACATTCATCGGAGATGGAGCCGGGGCTAAAGGAACGGGTGGTGGTGGAGGTGGAAAGACTGCTAAGCTGAGTCCCGGAGCCACAATGGGCATGCTAATCTGGATTATAGACAGGTTAAATGGATTATGGTACAACGTCGTGACATACTCAGAGGTTAGAGGTGAGCCCTTCACTTCTGATCCAAAGTAAACTCTTCCTTTGGATTTGGTACAGTTGAGGAAACCATTCATCTCTTCACCCAAACCGGTTGTTTGGTATAAGGTAGTGAGCATTATGCTCTTCTCCTTCAGACCGTTAAGCTTGAGCTCATCGTAGTAGTCAAGAATGACGTGCGTCATGAGGATGTTTTTGAGCTCGATGGCGGATCTGTTAGTGATGGAGCTGATGGCGTCGTTGCTTACAGCGAGTATGGTTATGGTTTGGTATTTGCTGATGAGTGGTGTAAGCTTGGTTTTGATGAGGAGGTCACTCATGGTGCTGAAATTGGAGTATTTCTCAAATGCCCGTGTGACGTTATCCGCTGTAACGACCGTAGAGAAGACGAGTAAGAGGGTGAGGAAGAGGAGAGGAAGGGAGGCATTGAGACCCATCTTGTGTCTTGTCTTTGCTATCAAGTGAGAAGCTAAACCTTAATGGCTTCACAGGTTTGGTATTTATGCTGAGAAGTGAGGAAGTTGTAGAAAAGGAGATATTTTCTCTGTTTTTGGTGCTAAATCTCAACTACTCTTTTTAGTGAGCTAAGTCTACTCTTCTATTTTTAGGGTGTAATAAGACTTGGCCGTTTGAGAATTTGATTATTTGACTGCTATTTTGGTATATAATTTAGGCTGTACCATGTTTTTTATTTGAATGTTGGTTTTCGTTTTTTACTTTTTAGGCTACTCGATTTTGAAGATTTAAATACGATATTTATTCTAAAAAGGAAAAATACTTCAAAAAGAAAAGTTTTTAGAACTTGCTAAAACCCCGTGAAAAACACCAAGTAATAAACGAATGTCCATTGATATGTTCACAATATATTTCGTTATAAAAAAAAAAAAAAAACTGGCTGAACAAAACAAAAATCAATTAATTAATGGATTACGTCAAAAAAGGTTAATGTCGCATATAATTAGCCACTTAGGTATATTATCATCCAAAAACTTAGAATCTATTATATTCTTAGTATTGTGAGTAACCCTGTTTATTTGTCGAACCTGACTAGATGGTCTTTTACACACACACAATATATATAATAAACAGACGAATATTTTTAAAGTTTCGGATTTGTACCAATTATTCGAATTGGCAACTCGGAGTTCATATTCTCTTTGTTAACTTACGAATACAACATGTTATAATTGAGCTGTTAATATTGTCGCACCGTGTGTGCTACAAAATATGTGATATTCATTAATCATCATCGTATACTTATTTTCAATAATAAAGAATTTTTGGCTCATTTGACCTTAATATCAACGTGATGCGCCATGCTAGTTATAGTGGCAGTGGAACTCGAACTCATATCTGTATTATTATTATTACTAATCATTAAATAGTACAAAATGATCGAAAAGGCCCGAAAATATAATTTATAAAAAGTTCAATAAAGAGAAATCTAAATTATAGTGATTCACTAGTTTCGAATCAAATTCGATTGTAGTCTAATAATAAATAATAAAATATAAATACTAATACTAGTAATGTTAGGGATCTAAATTTAGAATGAGATGTCATTTTCTTGACAGAATTATTCTAAGTTGTAAGTGACCTGGCACTAATCGCTCCTTCTTTGGCTGCTCAAGTATATCTTTCATAATAAGAACATCAGTAAAGCTATATATCCCCTATCTTTATATATGTGCATCTGTGAACTGAAATCTTTAATAGTTTTCTTTTAATGTGAATTTAAGTTATGTTAACTTTATAGTACGGTGCATACGAGAAGAGATTTTTTGTTCACATGAAAGAGAATAAGATTTGCGAGTATGAGAAATTAAAAATAATGAACATTCTAATTGCTAAATTAATATAATTTGCAATGAAATACAATCAGCTTTGTGATATGATGGATTATAAAACAACTCAATTAACGAAAGTTGAATAAATAGTTAAAAACAAAATTAAACGAAAGTCACGTTACAACGTGGAAAAGAACAAAAGGGTTACGTACGTTCTTAAATGATGTTTATGGCTCCTAATAAACGATTACAAAGCTCGTTGTGGTTGTTACTTGTTATAGTTAAAAAGGAGAATATTGTGTTTATGTTTATATCTTCGAAAAGAAACATATATAAAGTTTTTATAAATGCATATACGGAACAAAAATGATATCTTCTTTTTTTCGTTTGTTCTTTTTTGTTTTCTTTTATAATTTGTAAATGATGGTTGATAAAGAAAAACTAAAATATTTATTTTGCGTGTAAATACTACTACAAACAAATAAATAAAATTTATAACCTGAATCATTACAGCATTAAAACTTCGCAACTCGTATAAAGTTCAAACGTTTTATTTGAATAAGACCACTCAACAACGTCATCAAATTAATTAAGTTGATGTTTCTACACCTACTTGCTACTCCAATCTATATGTGTGTATGAGTTTTCCCTTCACCTAACTAACTTGGACAAAATACCTAAAATGATGAAATAATGATGATATGGTCCATATTTATGAAGACAGCAATCTATTTTGACAACAAACTTTCGTTTTATAAAAGGATTTTTCCGAACAAAGCTTTGCATATAAACATTTTGATTTAGAATGATAAGATATGTGTTGACCAAAAAAAAAAGAATGATAATATATGTGAGTTAATGCAAAAATAATCTCAGAACTATATATATATATATATATATAACATATATGCTTACATGAGGACAAATTAATCCTATAAAAAACAAAATCAATTAGCAAAACGCTCTTCATGGCTGGAATATTGTTCATGCCGCTACGGTCCACTAGATTGCAAAAATTGAATCAGTTATAACGCTAAAACACTAAACAATTTCTGATAGTAATTAAACACACACATATACATATAAAAGACGTGATGCAAACTTTATGGCTGAATCAAGGTGGCTTAGCTTATGTGAACACACATGAAGATGAGAATAATCTTTGGTCAAAAAGAAGAAGATGAGAATAATCTTTGGAAAGTGTATCTCGGAAGCCTCTAGAAACAATGTAAAATTATAATAGCTAGTTTCTATTTTGGTTTTGTAGATTTTACCTTCTATGATGTTGACACTACAAGAACAAAGCAAGTGATTAACGGATAGATGCAGTTACATAAAATTTATTAGAAGAATAATAATAGAAATATCAATTTCTGTATTGATTATTGATAATGGTCTATGAACGTCGTCAGATTGGGTGGAATGGGTCATCGATATGAGATCCCGTATGAATCCATACCGGCATGAGACTCAACTTGGTGTGGTTTAGGTTAGGCTGAGATGGGTTGTAACATTTTTTTGACATAAAAGCACAAATAATTTTTTTTTTGTTAAACCACACATACAATGGATTTTTAAATAACCAAAGACTGCTGAGTTTTTTTTTCTGCTAAAATAGTTTCTTCTTATGGAATTGTGAAATGTATCTCAAAGTGTAAAACATTTTCAAGACAATAAATTCTAGGGCAGAAATTAATTCCATTGCTAAATGGTCACAAATAAATTAAATAAGTTTGAAGTTAATTTAGTTCACACTAAAATAGTTCATAGTTAATTTAGTTGAGATTATATCACTAAAATAGTTCGATAGAATCTTATAAAAATAGTTTGATTGAAGCTCTTTATTGTATTTATGTCGTACTACATTAGTAATAATGATATGATAATGAGTACAGTAGATTATAGTATTTCATTGGCTAGTGTCTGCCTCAAAATCGGTTGCAAAAATGATCGTTAGATTAGCAAAAAATAAACTACAACACTACCAATTTAAAAAAAACCATAATAAAGGAAATATTCCTTACTAAATTCATGTATCTTCAAATATATATTTGTATATAACATAGATGTCAACATAGGAATTAGGATGGACCTAAACGGTGAGCAAAAAGAGGAACAAAAGGACTAAAACGTTGTGGTTTGTGTTGGGTGTTGAGTGTTGAAGAGCATGAGGAGTGAGTGAGTGTGGCTTCGCATCATCTCCCACGAGGGCCTTTGCTCCCACTTCCCTTATTTCCTCATCAATGTCTCTCTTTTCTCTTTCATTTTTGCTTTGTTCGTACTTTTTGTCCATCTTTCCACAAATTTGTAAAAATAAAATTAAAATAGAATATTGCATTATTACGAATTATTGATATACAATAGACCCCCCCAAAACAGAATATGATGATGTTGAAGGTAGTCATTATCACATTGCATATGTGGGCGAGGACCAAAGGATCTATAAAGATATAGTAAATAACTGAACAGGGAAAAATATATATGGGACATAAATTTACTTTCAGGATTTGTCGATCTTTTGATGGTTAAAACTTAATTAAAAGAGTATCCAAGTTCTCAAAAAAAAAAAACTGACAATCAACAAAATATAACATGTATACTAAATTATTTCCCACTCCGATGTGAAATTTGTTATAAAACAAGTAAAAATGCAAAAGAGGGAAAAAAGGCATAGCTCGAGGAGATAGAAGAATTTCGCAAGACATGACCTTAGTTTATTGGAAGTAGGCTAAAGGGGAGTAAGGACCATTATGTATCTAAAATCCACGTGACACCACGTGACCGTAACGCCATCTAAATGCCTACAGAACAAAAACTGAAATTTGTTTTCCACAAATTACTGAAATTCTCCTTAAAAATAAAATAGTTATTTCATTTTAACCGTTATGACTTGACATACCATATACGTAATAATGTTTATTAATTTAACCGATGTTAAGTAACCGATGCTACGTCAAGGTGAGCTCATGCAAACTAGAGGAAGTCTTGCCGTATCTGAATTTCATGTAACATATATGTATATTAATTAATATTACGATAAGAATCTAAATTTTGTGAAATCTTACCAAAGATTCTTCGACATAACGAAAAGCAGGAAATTAAACAGTCACGCACACACACAAAATAGAATTGAAAAAAAAAATTAGAAGAAGTTTGGTTCAAAAAAGAAGGAAGAAAAAAGATATTCGAAAATGAATTAAAACTAATATCTCATCTCTGGTATGTGGACCCATTGTTTCCTAATATTCGAACGCGCAAATTAAAAAAATTTGTCATACGAATTGTGATTTCTTTATCTTCTTGCATATCAGTATAATCAGTCTTTCAATTAATCTATCTAGAAAAGAGACGGCATTTCTTACGTCGCAAATATGACGATCAAAATAATGTTTTTTTTTTCAACTTAAATATTAGTAATTAACTCCATCTGGTTTCAAATAAGAACAATAGCTTTGATTTTATGGAATTTGAGTTATTCCTTTGTGTCCAAATATGATATATAAATGGTGGATTAAGATTGATAGATAAGATTCGTCCCTTTCGAGAATTCTGGAATAATATATTTTTATATATATATAATATATATATATTTCAATATCTTTACACCTCTTTACTAAGATATATAAATAACCCTCTACACAGTTTCCTTCTCCTCACAAAAATTAACAATCTCACTGTGAAGAGAAAATCATACAAAAAATACACACTTACACACAAAAACCCTAAAAAAAACCCTAGTTCGTAGACTTAATATACTATCATCACAATGTCTGGTGTGTGGGTGTTCAACAAGAACGGAGTGATGAGGCTGGTAGAGAATCCTTATAACCAATCCGTAGGAGATTCGTCGGAATCTTCCTCCTCCGGTGGTAGCCAGCAGCAGAGGATGAGGAGGAAGATTCTCGTCCATCTTCCAACCAGCGAAGTTGTCTCTTCGTACGGATCACTTGAGAGGATCTTGAAGGGTCTTGGATGGGAGAGGTACTACTGTGGAGACAACGCGGACCATCTCCTCCAGTTCCACAAGAAAACATCGATCGATCTCATCTCTCTCCCTCGCGATTTCTCCAAGTTCAACTCTATTCATATGTATGATATCGTCGTCAAGAACCCTAACGTCTTCCATGTCCGGGACATGTAGGAGCCGATCATCAATGTTAAAACTGGTTCAGTTTGATCCTCCAACTAATCATCCTCGCTTATATATCTATCATGTAGATATTTGCCGTTTCTTTTTTGCTTTGTCTTATTTGCCGTTGGGGGGCTTGTTCTTGGTTTGTTTGATTTTGTATGTGTTGTGTTGGTCGATTTGGGTGGTCTCAAGATAGAGCCATTTTAATAACTTGTATCATTTTGTGACTTCAATGAAATCACGTCGTCAAGTTCTCTCAAGGATGTTGTAAAGAGCATATCAAAGTTTTTTGTTTTGTTTTGTTAGATAAAAACATATCACAGTTTATTGTTATATGATGCTATATTTGATTTGGTCAATGAGTCAGCATTCAAGTAATATATATGATGTATGCGTGGAATGGAATATAAGTAAACAAATCAAATATACTTAAGACACTTTTGTTCTGTCAAAAAGAAATTGATACTCACATATCATATCAAATACACATATAGCTTAATTACTTTGTTTTTAATCAAAATTACTTTTGTATATAGACGGGATTAAACCCTGTTCCAAGAAAAACAGAATTTGGTTATTAAACCTTTTTGGATTGATTAAATGTTAAAACCAATAGATACGTATTAAATTCATGATCCATAGATTTGTATGTAGATGAATACAGCCATACTGAAATTCAAGATGATAAAAACTCAAGTACGACAAAATCTAAAGAAGGAAAGTCAAAAGATGTCCAGTTAGAGAAGGGCCCCCAAAGTTTGGGAAGACAACGGATAAAATGATGGGCGCACGTGACCTCTCATACTTTTCTACCGAACTTGGACAGGTGTCGGTTCCCCATTGCCCATTTCCCACTTCATCACAGATTCGTATGATGGGCACACGTGGTATCTAGCCTTTTCTTGGAATCTGGGCACGTGTCGATTCCCCATTGCCCATTTCCCCACTTTGTCACTTCCTTATCGATGTCGAACAAAACTTTCTGTTCTTCTTCCAAATAAATTCGCACATATCCTTTTCTTCTCACTCTGTTATATATTCGGGGACCTTTTTCTGAATTTGTAATAGTTTGTATGATTTTGGTATATTACAGTTCCTTGAACTAATAATACTTTGGGCCGCTTGATTTCGCATTGGCTATTAAGTAGGTTCATGCTAAAGATTTTCAGCAAATAGTCCAAAAGTTCGATATCGCTCTCTTGCTAGCATTTTTCGCTGGCTTTGCTTGGTTCTAACTTCTAATATGGATATAGGCGATGTTGGTTGAACACAGTAACAGGTCAGATTCGAAACATTTCTTCTGCAGTTTTTTAATCAAGAAGAGAGACACGACCGTTGGAAATGAAGCCTATATGTAGTTGACTTCACTTCATTTTTGTCCTATTGGTTTTGTAACACAGTTCTAAGTGGGTTAGAACTAATAACATACTTTAACCAATGCAAAGAAATGTTAAAACCGTGCCTGATCCCATCAACGAAAAAACACTTATGCGTCAGTTAGCAAAGAGATGAATCATACTAGCCTTACAGATACGAGTCAATTCCACAAACAAGCCAATCATGCATAGCAAAACGACGAGACTGCACTTACAGTGCTAATACCGAAACAATAAAAGTGAACCTAGCAAATCTGACATTGCTCTAGAGAGTCTACAATGGAATCCTACTTGATTAAACTGAGGCCATGACATAAAGAAACAACACATTCGGCACAAGAGGAGCCTCTTTGCAGTCTGTAGCTGTCTCTCATTTGATTTTCTTTATGATGTCCTCGATGACTTCTTCCATATCGAGTGCCTTCATTGGAGCAAATGGACGTTTCATCTCCTACATTATGAGATCAACATAATCTTCATTATTGTTTTTTTCTAAATTAAGATCGAAAGACAAACATATTCTCATATTGTATACTCACAATAACTAAGACAAAGGATTGCTCCTTTAAAACACATTGAAATTCAATTATAACAAACAGAAAATTACCATAAAGATTGCTTCAGTATATTTTCTTATAGTCAAACTGCAAATAACATGCCCCTGCTAAATGTAAATGCCGAAAAGCAAGCTTAAGATGTTCGCGAATTCATTTCTGATGTCTTGTTTCAGTAAATATCATATCAATTTCATAATGAATAAGGATCTAGAATTGATTTTCAATTTCATATATACAACAAGCTGTTCTAAGAGACTCTTAATACTGATAATAAACCTTCCTCAAAACAAAATTATCCACAGAGCAGAAGTGAGACAGGCTGACATTTGTTATCAAAGTATTAGGTTAGAATAATTACCAGAAGACTGATGAATGTCTTGCCACCTTCCTCCCGAATTTCAAAGCAACCCCTCCTTGGCTGTTGGAGCAAATCAAAAGAAAGATTCAGAGACAGAGAAGGTTCCTTATCAAGCATAATGCGGCAAACATTCTTTAACACAATGATGCATAGTGAGCATTGATGACAATATACTCATGTGCAGTAAAAGTCTTACCTTTTCAGGATTCAGAGTCACCGTGACGCCAGGAACAGCTCCCTCCAGACCTTCCTTCACCTGAATGGCCCTTGTCTTGAAAGCATTGCATTGTTTACTTCAACAACATAACCAAAAAACAAAAACTTCTGTGAGAAAACAAGACATGTCGAACCAGAAGCAACTACTACTTTTCTCTAATTTGCAGAAGGAACATGTCATCATATGAATACATTGCAATTAAGTTTAAGACAAGAAAACAGACAAAAAAAAGCAGATAATCAGTTCCTCCTCAGAAAGGTGAAAAACACAATGCGAGAAAACCATAAGGATAAAGAAGCCTGCCAACTTTCTTCTCTCATCATACTTTACGAAGCCACTTTTAAGAAAACATTGTGCAGAATCAAGAAGAAACCCTAACAATAAGAACATAGAAAACCCTAGTTGCTACACGGAGACAAAATTCGCAACATTACAGTTCGAGAACACCAAAGCTTTGGCCTTTAGCTTCAATTTCAAGGAGAAGACCCAAACTTTTACTCTCTTACGACTCCCTCCATTTCTGAGGAAACCTTAAGATAACACACAAATCGAAAATGTAATACATATGCAGATCTTACCAGTGCTCTATAACAATCTTGGGCTTCGTCGGGTCCTCAACCTCCGCCTCCGCCTCTTCCTCTTCATCTTCCTTCTCAACTTCCTCAGATGCTTCCTGTTCCTTCTTTGCCTTCTTCGCTCTCCCAGTCTCAATCGCCGGCTTCTTCCTTTTTGCCTTCTTTGGCGACGCAAGCTTCACCTGCTTGGTGACGGATCCAGCCGGTTTAGCACCGTTTTGATGAGTCGCACTTCGAGTTCGGCGATCCATGCTCCGAGTCACTCTCGACGAAACCGCCGTCACAGGTTTCGCCTTCTCTTCTCCATCTGCCTTACTCTTACTCGGCGCCATTGTACGAAACACAACCAAAGAAACAGGGTTTCGTCGAAACAAATCTTCTCCGTTCCCGACCTTACAACTTCTGAAGATTCTCTTTCTCTCTCTCTCTTACCGCTCTTTCTTACTTTGTGTTGATTGGTTTTTCTTTTCACCTTGGAAAGGTAATTTGAATGAACGGTTGGGATCAACTTAAAAGGACTAAAACATTTTGACCGTTCGATTGACTGAAGCGAGCAGGAGCGACGTACGATTATGATCTCGAGGTGGTTTAATAAAGACAATGAATAGTGCGCTATTGTGCTTCGGAACGCCTTGGCGTTTTGCTTCAAAATTGTATGACTACTTGCCGTTTCAGGGTTCGAAAGAGAGATATCCCAACTTTAATACCAAATGGTAGTGTTTCTTACACTTTTTAAGGAATAATACTGAAAGAATATAAGATACGTATTTTTTTTGAAACATTGCATAAGATATTTGTATATACAGAACTGTGTTTTAGCCTCAAAAAAAGTAAAAACATCAATGAAGAGGAATAAATTTTCCTGATTTATAAAGCAAAAAAAAAAAAGAGAGGTCAGGAAACTTTTTAGTTTTTTGCTTTGTCACAGCACTTTTAAACTTTAAATTTAAAAATAAAATTATTAACCTTAAAATATCTTCCAATCCTTTTTTGTTGCCGTTGTTTACTTTTTAATGAATATAACCATTAATCTCGCTTTACAAACAGAACTGGAAGTATAATGCTGAAATATCCAAAGAAACATTACTGATAAATCGGAGTACAAAGTTGTTAATAAGTAAATATGGTAGCAATTTCTCCATGCTGATGTTTGTTTGTTAACCATAAACAAAATCAAAAAACACCAAAGCTGTTCTAGTTCTTGTCTGTGTCAGGTCAGACCCAACATTTGAATCACAGTAATATGAATGGTCCGAATACTTGGCAAGATCAAACCGGACAATAGAGAATCGGATATGCGTTTCAAACCAGCGAGATGTAGTTTGCTTCAAATTGTATGACTACTTGCCGTGTTTTGGGATTCGAAAGAGATATCCCAGTTTTAATACCAAATGGTAGTACCAGTTTCTTAAACTTTTAAGGAATAATACTGACTTTTGTTAAGTTATACTCTCGCATAAGATAAGTATTTTTTTTTTTAACATTGCATAAGATATTTGTATATACAGTACTATGTTTTAATCCAAAAAAAAGTAAAAACATCAATGGAAAGGAATAAACTTTCTTGATTTACAAAGCAAAAAAAGGTCGGTCAAGAAATTTTTTAGTTTTTTTACTTTGTCACAACACTTTTTAAATCTTTAAACTTAAAAGTAAAATTATTAATCTTAAAATATTGTCCAATACCATGAATGATGAAGCTTTCAGATGAATAATCACGTAGACTTATACGCTCAAGCATTGGAATTTCAATTTCAACAACATAATCATCGATAAAGTTTTCTAGCCTTATCGATGGCTTTTCTTTTAGTCAGTCTTAGTTCAGAACAATCAGTTTTAATGCTTAAAAAAAAGCAAAACTGCAAATATAAATTAAATTATAAAAAAAAAATAGAAGTTTGTTCATCTCTCTTGAGAGCTTTTTTTTATCAGAAATCCATAACCTTTTTTATGTGCATTTGTAAGTCAAAAAAATTCATAATCAAATGTTAAAAATTCGACATAAATGACTTCTTCCGATATACATACAAAATACAATTCAAATTTGCATATCTACATAAGTTTCGTTCATTATAAATTAAATATTGCTCTTGGTTTTTAAAAATATCACTAATGTATAAATTCACACTCAGACTTGTTCGATTGACAACTAATTCTCATAAACTTTTCTTGCTATTGCAGCTAACGGTCCTTGCCATGGAAGAAAATGGCCTTAGTAACCGGAAAATTTTGTCTTACTTTTTGCATATAATTTATGCTGTTTGATTAAGGTTTATGGTCAGTGATTAATGAATAATACTGACTTTTGTTAAGTTATACTCTTGCATAAGAATGTAACATTGCATAAAATATTTGTATATTTAGTATGTTTTAACCTCCCCCCACCTCCACAAAAAGTAAAAATATCAATGGAAAAAAATAAACTTTCCTGATTTATAAAGCAAAAAAAAAAGTCAGCCAGGAAACTTTTTAGTATTTTTACTTTGTCACAACACTTTTAAATCTTTAAATTTAAAAATAAAATTATTAATCTTAAAATATCATTCAATACTTTTTTGCAGTTGTTTACTTTTTAATGGATATAAGCATCCAAAGAAGCCTTACTGATGAATCGGAGTACAAAGTTGTTAATAAGTAGTAATATGGTAGCAACTTTCTCCACGCTAATGTTTGTTTGTTAACCATAAACAAAATTAAAAAACACCAAAGCTGTTCTTGTTCTTGTCTGTGACTTTGAATCACAGTCCAAATAAATGGCAAGATCACTCAACGGGGTTTCAAACCAGCTGAGGTGTAGTTAGGGAAGAGATACATCAACCGGTCCAGAGTTTCAGGATTGAACTTCCGAGCAAATAGATAACATGGACGTTGCTCTCCTTTCCATAGACACGGCTTTACTGTCGTCACTTTCTGCATAGAAAATTGTTATGGATTAGTGACAGAAATTTCAAGAATCAATGGTAACAACAAGAAGAAGAATACTCAGGTTTTTTACCTTTAAATCGCTTGTGACATGGTAAGCAAGTTGGATGGACTGCATATCAGGTTAAAAAATCGCAAACTTAGATGGCAGAATAACAAAAAAAATCAAACCGAGCATTTGGGAAAGAGAAGAACAAGAGGAACCTTAATTTTCCTAAGGAGGTAAGGAGTGATGTCTCTTGCATTGTATAATCTCGGATGCCATTTTCCCTCTGACCAGTCAACGTGTGTCACCGACCAGTTTGCTATTCCATTTGGATCAATCATCTGAACGAAAGAGATCAATAGTGAAGAGATGTTATGATGAGAATAAAAAGGGAAATGACAAGTTATGGCATAAGGGGTCATAAAAAGAAAGATGCAAGCAGGCAGTACACTGACATTGAAAAGAGTTGGGAAATAATGCTCGTCTGCATAGCAGTTGCGTCCTTCCATATTCGGCTGTGAGAAAACGTAAGCCATTAGGAGAAAAGTCGCTTGATTTATACAAATCGCTAACGATATGACATCCATTGTAAAATCACATCACATCTATACATATATCACAGCTCGTCCCACTGGTAAAAACTATATGCTATATAAAGAGAAGAAAGCAGATGGGTTTTGTTTGAAAATCACACAGCATTACACCTATACCAATAAAGCTACTATCTCAAGTTTATTGTCTAACTTGTCCAGATGACTAAGTTTGATCACCCAAATATGCAGAAGAAATGGATAGTGATAGATTGGGAGAAAGAACTATCAGCAGACCATACTACAAGATACAGTATGGTAAGTTATTATCAATGAAGAAGATGTGAATATGAGAGACCATGAAAAGGAAGGTTTGCTTACCCTACAAAAAAGCTTGAATTTCGTGTAGTAAAGGCTGTCCGCCATAACGACAATAGCATGTCTCCTCTTCATTGAAAACCACTGGAAGATATGATTATAGAGACGCACATGAAATTATCAGACTTACATATACTTAACTGGAAAAAGAATTGTAACCATCATTACTAGGATTGTGAAGCAAACGGAGGGATGATATAGATGATAGCATGACTACAATAAATAAATAAAAAAAAATACCCTTTTAGTATAACACATACCTGTGAGCCCTTCCGAAAATCCTTCTTTTCAACCTCAGGCAGCATATGTTGTGAATACCGGCCACTTCCATGTGGTCCAGGATCTTCGAAACTGGAACAAAACATGCAAGATGAAAAATACATAACACCAGAGAGACTGAATGATAGTATACGACATAAAAAAAAAGTTCAACCGCATGAGTAAAGTGTAGGCACAATAGTACCACTTACCAATCAATGAAGCTAAGGTTCGCGAAGATCAAGTGATTGTAGATATAGTTAAAGTCGAATAGCGGTACACAACTGCCAGTTAACAACAAAGAAGATGGTAAAGTATGATTAACAAAACGATTTCATCATCACCTTGGGACACACTAATTCAAAAGAGACAATGATTCAATCACCTATCTGAAAGCAACACAAAGTGTTGATTATCAGGATCAATGAGAGCATGAGCTAATAGCCTCCTTTCTGCATCAACCATCGAGATCTGACCCCAAGCAACCTGCACGATATTATCATATTAGCACCGCACTACTAGTCAAAGTCTTGCATAATTGCGACTGTGAAAGGTTTTATAAAAATCTCATCTACCTTGCGACTGTGAATATCTCGACCAACAAAATAGCTGCTTGTATGTAGAGGACTCTTCTTTGACGCGTGCACATAAATCGAAAACTTGTTCTCATGACCCTGAATCAACACAAAAAAAAAAAAAAAGTGTCCCTGGTGTTAGGAACATGAAAATCTTCAACACAACAGACTGAAATGCACTTTTTGAAGAGCTTTTATTGCAACGAGAAAATCTTACACGGAGGAACATTTCCCACAGAGGCTCAAAAGGAAGCGTCCCTGGAGTTAAGAACATGAAGGCAATCTTGGGATTGGGTCGCTTAGATTCAGGGAGGTTCATGATTTCGTTCGTCACAACCTGAGCTGCAGCTTCGGTGTCAGTGAGTTCCCTCGTAGGTACGAACAAAAACTGTTGGTACAAAGGGCATCCAGGACCAGAGAACATATAGCACGCCACAGAATTCCGCGGAGGATATACGAATGCCGTGATGACAACGACTGTAACCAGAACAACCAAAGTGATGATCCATCTCGGGCCCTTGAATGGAGGCCTTTGGCGAGACTCTGACATTACCGCAATTTGTTTCTCTTAAGAAGCTACCATTGTGTGTTCCTTAGTCTTCATTCCCTGATAAAACGAAGCAATAACTCTTGATCACTGAGAGAACCCGTAAGGTATTTATAATATACAGATTTGTTCAAGAGAAATACAATTTGACTCCACAAACCAATAACTCAAAACGCAATCAAGAGATTCAAATACAAAACCAGAAGGTATCAATATACCACATCAAAAGCATCAGTCCTTTAATCGGAAAGGACTAAACCGGAAAATGAAATTCAATTTTCGATGCGTACAAAAAGATCATTGTGTAAACTACAGTAGATAAAGATAGAAGATGGCGAAACGAGATAGAATCAAATTTGCAGGTCTCTGAAACAGGATATTGATATAAAAAGGAAAAAGGATTCAGGGCGTAAGAGAGAAGACAAACGTCAAAAGATCGAACCATAAAAAAAGAAATCACCGGAGGCGCAGAGCCGCCGAAACCGCCGCCACGGCACTCGGCGGATTAAGCGGAGGACACGAACAAGAGCAGGTGAGCGGGGTAAAGTGAAAAGGTAATCTCTCAAGGAGAATCTGAAGATCGGAGAAAGATTCCCTCTCACTGAGAAGGCTAAGTGAATAAAGCCGTCCCTAAAGTTAATCTCCCACACAACCAAAGCCCCTTTCTCTCTCTCGTCGTCTTTCTCTAAGCAATAGAAACGGTCACTGTAGCCAGCTCCAAATGAGGAACGAACGGCCTTCTCTTTTTTTCAATTTTCAATAAAGTATCTTTTAACTCATAAATAATCCCATAAAACAATTGAATATTTGTATTTAAAATATAATTTATAGATAAATAATTAATGTTTAATTTTAAAATAAAATATAAGTCATTCATAAAATGACAAGTAGCATGAGAATATGAGATATGTTTCTCATAGATTCTCTTTTAAGAAACATTTCTTACCCTCTCTTCTCCTTTCTCATTTTTTTTTATTTACTAAATATCTTTTCGAAAAATCTACATTGTAAATGCTCTTTAAGGTTTCTGTATTAAATTGAAACAAATCTAAAAGTATTAATAAGGAAAAAACCCAACAAAATGTAAGGATAATAAATTAGATTTTTTAGTAATGTGCAGTACAGAGTTTTTTTTTTAACTAGTAAAATAAAAACGTATTTTGAAGTTATCTTTTTGAGTTTAATTGAAAAACTATTTTTAAATTATATTTTAAATACAAATATTCAATTGTTAAATTATTTTTGGTGATTCATCAGCTGCTGCAAGAGATACAAAGGCCGGTCCTAATTACGTGGCCTATCACTTAAAGCCTCGAGTGTGCAAAGAATGAATATCTGACCGATGAGGACCAGAGAGCGACCTTTGTGTCTGACCGATAGTGAACTACTAAAATTCTCGTCTTTTTTTTAGCTCCACTGTTTTAACACACTTTCATATTAGCTTCAAGACTTCAAAGGTAAAAAGACAAAGAAAGGCTATCACGGAATCAGACATAAAAACGAGAGATTTTGATTCTTAAAAAAAAAAAGAAGATCAGTTTAAAAAGAAACAACTGTGTGAAAGAAACTAAGGACATCCCAATATATCCACGTGATATGGAAAAAATACACTAAAATACACCAAGCTTTGCTAGATTTGCTCTAGTAATAATGTCTAATATTCTGTGTAAAATGACGTAAAAAAATTGTCCAAAACAGCACAAAACAGTAAAGGAAAAGAGGTGACACTTTTGCACCAAGAGCAGAGCCTAAAAAAAACAAAGCAACCCGACCGGTGATCCAATGACTTAGAAGAGTCCGCGACAAAGGTGTTTTAACCTCCTGAAACGATTAATGAGCAACAGATTTAGTAACAATAAACATGGATTCAACAGCTAAATTATTAATCACCTAGTATCATATAGTATCTAGATGTTCAAATACTCAATGCCACATTCCAGCCAGATAAGCGACAATCGATAATCTGAGTTTGGTTCTGTTACTAACATGATTCCTTATGTGTCTGGAAACTAAAAGCGAGTATGTTTCCTAAATAGCTCACTCAGCGTGGGAGAAAAGGTGTTCATTCTTGGCCAGAACGTGAGAGTGTACCTTAACTATTTTGAGCGCGTGGAACAATGAATTTTTACTTGTCAGAGTGACCCCTTTTGGTCTTACGACGACCATGGTGATGAGGGTGTTTAACAGGTTTCTTTGTCTTTGTGCTGCAATAAAGAATAAACAGTAAATATGAGATATTTCCATGATTTGGAGATCAACTTTAGATTATAAAATAAAAATTAGGGAGTTAATTAGGAGACTCACCAGAAGAGGGAACAGAGCACTCTGTATGCAAAGAAGATGGGTAACGCCAACAACGCAGAAGCCTGCAGTGAAAAGATTTTAGATATGAAGTTGAAAGAGGGGGAACAGATAAAAAAGGCATGGAATCTCAGAATACGTTCTAAAAAGAAAGTAAAGATAATTACCGCAAACCAAACAAACTCATAGGTAGCAAAAGCCTCCGTCAGCTCATGGCTCTTTAGTTTTTGTTCGACATGGGCTTGGACCTTCGCAGATAACATGTAAATGTTAGCTTTGAGATTCAAAAATACTCATTGATTCACCCAAACAAGTGCATAAGCAGGGATTTAGTTTCAGACCTGATGGTGATAAGTCGTGGCGGATTCAAGGAACTCTGTATAAACGATGATCACCTTGGTAGTGTAAGGCTTCATGGCAACCTTAATGTTATCAACATGTGGTTTCGTGGCCGTTGCCACTTGGTCAACATATGGCTTGCTAAACTTTTTAGCCTCCTACAAAGGGTAAAACACGCGTTAAGTCTACGTCCGTAAATACTTGCCGAAACAATGTGAAACTGGACCTATTTCGGTTGAAAGAATAAATACACTGTACCTGATAATAGGGGTCTACAAGTTCTTGAACCGTGACGATATGAGGGGAAACAGCACTCTTGGATGCATCGTAAGCCTCTTTTGCTTTGATGGATAGTGTTCGGACGTGCGGCTGAACATGTGTAGCAACAGTTTCCTTGACGGCTGGAATATATTTCTGCAAGTAGTGCGTCACAAAACATAGAATATCAGAGCCAATTACAACTATAGAGATTGGTGACTCATCGAAGATGAAGACAACCAATTACTGCAAAAATAAAATTGCCAAATAAGATGCTCACAGTTTTAACATTTTCCAAATGTGGTTCAGCCCACTTCCCAGCTTGAGCCCTTGCGTCCGACACCTAATAGATGACAAGTAGCTTCATCAGTCAGATGCGTTTAGAGACAGTAAATTTCAAATAGCACTGAAATCTGTAAACAGCACCTTTAGAATTACTGTCTCCACAGCAGGTTTCCCGTGAGCCTTCCAATGTGTCTCGGTATATGTCTATGCGTTACATGAAACGCCCCAAGTTAATTGAGGAAAAAGCTGCTGCGTTACAAAACGGTAAAAAGGCAAGCATAAAGCTTACCTGGAAACTAAACCAGTGAGCAGCAAGCCAAGGGGGAAGCCACGAACCATGAGCCTGAACCACACACAAAAAAAAGCAATAACGTTAGCTTTCTGCTGTATTTCTCATCGATTCAATACTGTAATACTATAATAGCTTCAGAGATAGCCAAATGGGAAAACTCTGTCAAACTATTACCTCCAGAAGTTCCCTAGTCTTCGAGGTTGCTTCAAGCTTTGTCCTCAACATTTCTTCCTGAAATTTAAAATTTTGAGAAAAAGCAAAAACATGAGGCAGAAATCAAAAGCGTAGGAACATTCGATTTAACAAAAGGGTACTATACCTCAGCTATTTTAATAGCACGTTCAAGTTTTCCTATTTTGTTCTTCTGATCTTCATTTGTCTTCTGAAGCTGCAAGACATCAGATACTATAATTAAACATCTTCAGGACATATCCATTCCAGCTCGGTCGATAGTGTGATCAGAAGTAGTAAAAGACACAGGTCTGATGGTATAATCAGATTACATCACGAACCCTTGATACAACTCTAGTCCAAATTTTGATCAAACACATATAACAAATCATGCAAGAAGCTGTACCGTAGGGATCTAATATAGCTGTGAATGGAAACTGCAATGTATAGAGGCATAGTGCATGAAGATATTTCGACCTCAACGTAAACAGAGTCTAGCTAAAGCTGAAATAAAGAACGTAAATAAACTTCCACCAAGTCCCTTAACACTACCATGCTAAGCTATTCAGAGAAATCGAAATGAGCTTGTGTAAAGAGAAAATGAAACAAGGGATGTCAGAAAACATACTCTCTCAATGCTCGAGTTAAGTTCACTTAGTTTTTTCTCAGCTTCATTAGTCCGAGCTTCAGTAGAATCTTTCTCCTTGTTTTTTTGCTCCAAGAAGTTCCTGAGTACCTCGACCTGAATGGCAGGAGTCGCATCACAAAAAACTCGAATCTGCATATTCTAGGATATATACAGATTGAGTTCTTGAAATTAAAGTCTCACCTGCTTCTCTAATTCAGAAACTCGTGCTTGAGCCTTTCCCAACTGTTTTGAAGAGTCTGATGATCCCTTTATCTGGAAAAGGAGTGAAAACATACAACTCAGGTGTAAGCCAAACATGTCAAAAGATTAAACCAATCTTAGTAGATAAAACTTAAAACGGTAAAAGATTCATACTTGTAGTGAAGAGACTTCTGTCTGCAAGGAAGTGATCTTGTCTTCCTTTTCTTGGAGCAGTTTCTCCTTCTCTGCTACCAAATCGTCTTTGCCCTTAACTTCACGGGCTTTCTCATCGATTTGGGATTCTTCACAACAAAAAAAAAGATAAAGAAAACATCAAGCTCATAAGCCAAAATCTGCATTTACCAATTCAACAAGGCTGTATAACAAGCTCGACGCTGAACAGAATTGAGATTTCACAAATGCCACAAACTCATAGCAAGAAATTGGATACAATGAGGACAAGTTTACACGGCTCAAATATGAAATCGATCCAAAAGCTACCAATTAAAGTCAATGCTCTAAAATCAGAACACACATCAATCAAGCTGAAACAGTAATTTTTATCAGCGTCAAACAACTAGCAAGCGAATTCTGAAGAAGCAGATTTCAAATGTCATACCATACGAATCAAAACCAAAACTCGCAATAATTCGAATGGAGGGAAGAGCCTGAAGAATGCAACTCGTTAACTAACCTAGGGAACGGATCTTGGCGTTAAGCTGATCCAGTTGGATCTTAGAGGAGCCGTCGGATCCGGCGGCATCAACAATCTCCGCCTCATCACTGCCGACTCCAGCATCGGCGAAGACAGTGGTGGTGAAAACCAAGGCAAGAAGTAACAAAGCCACGAGCTTCGAGGCAGCCATGTCTCGATGCACCACCAAACCTCGCGTCGATCAACGAAAGGGACGGAGATTCCAACAACACACAAGAGAAACGTTTCCTATCTCTCTCGCTCTCTCTCCCTGTTATATATATTTATGAAGGGTTTTTTGACCATGGACCGTAGAAATATCTTTTCACCTAATTTGAAAAACAAGAAACAGCGTGCTGCGTGCGAAGAGGACAAAGACGAGAGAGAGAGAGAGGAGGTTTTGTGTTTTTGACAACGTGAGGTTAATGGCTTCGTGGTGATGTCGTGACCGACACGCGGCATCCATCAGATCTACTTTTGTGGTTTTTACTTTAATGACGTGGCACAAATCCAAAGGTTGGCCATTACTATTTGATTTTTATTTTTTTTATTGGTCGATATTATTATCGTTTTCAGAGTACTGTGTAAATAAAAGTCATCAGATCTCAAATGATGAATTTCTTCATCTACTAATATTCTGAACCTCTGGTCAAGAGTTACGGATTCTTTCCTTTTCTTTTTCTATCATCAAATTTTGATTATTTTTTAATATATAAACTGTTTACTTTTCCACAATCTAGTTCATGCCTTTGGAAATAAATTCTCAATATCGAAATCAGACATGGAAATAAATGCAGTTTGCAATTATAGTGACAGTTGTGTAACGACGAATGACAATGATCGATATTCATGTTTTATTTGTTCAGTTTGGAAATGAGTTAATTATATAACATGGAGTAGTATTTTTTCCGATTTTTTTTTCCGAAACTTAATTAATTATCGTGACAGTTGGGCCATTGTGACCAATTACATACATTTTCGCTGGTTCTGCAGCTACTTCTGCTGTTATGCTAAGCTATTACTCAATTTAGGCGTATAATCTACACTAATTAACGTGACGCTGATTCGCCTCGTATTTACAGGTTTAGTTATTTTTTGTCTTTTGATAAACATTCCATTTCAAGATTCTTCGTGCATATAATTTTGCTAATATCAGTCTGTATATAAGAGATGTGGTCACCAATGCACACCATGCTTCGTGGGCTATGTATGGTCCACTAGTGCCATTTAATTTCTCGTTAAATCAAGCAACTTCTATCCGAAATTTCCATTTGTTTAATTTATTCTTCAACGAAGTTACAATGTTATAACATCGCCCCTCAGAACTGAGAAACTTGGTTTTTCTCTCTAAGCAACACCGCACGTTGATAAATTTTTATATGTACGCTTGATCCAACACGACTTACACTTGCCAATAATTAATTCTGATTAAGATATGTACACAACAACAACCTGTACAACACCGGAAATTAATTAAACTAATATATTGATTAAGATTACAGAAATACGACAGTAAGTACCGCTGGATCTTCAGAGATGTGTCTGGTCCCTCTGATCTATCGTTACCTTCTTGACAATATCTTTTAAAAAAGCTACGAACCAATCAAATTTGTATACATGGACGACAATGCCAGCTCAGCGGGATAGAAGCAACGGCTTTGGCGTAATTTGTCTTTAACTCGGTAACAGAAATAAGAGCTCTCTCCTACAAAATTTTCCAGGTAATTAAGGCATCGATAATGATCAAACAATAAACAGTGCAATCAACGTACACAATCTGATGCCATTGTTCAAACATTACCGGACTCTGTCCTTTTCTTCTTCTTCTTCCTTAGTTGCTTTTTAAGTTTATCTATTATCTGATCCTTCGCTTCGAGTTTCTGCTTCAGTTCTTCAATTTCCTTCAGTAAATCACCATCCTCGCGTAGCTTCTCTGTTTTCTCCTCTGTCTTTTCTTCTCCACTATGGTGGACATCTACTTCTCTGGTCTCTTCGGAATCATATTCTCTCTTCTGTTTCTTACGACTCGCATTCTTCTCCTCTTGGCAGCTTCTCTTTGTTGCAGTGCTTCCCTCGACAGAACCATCTTCAACCATTTTACGGACATTAAAGTATAATATAGGTCCTGAACTTGGCTTAAGAAAAACCTGCTTTTGCGGCAAACCCGCTGAATCCTGTTAAGCAAAAGGCGTGGAAACTTATTATATATCACTCATCTGCTTCATATCCTGAAAATCAGTAGAGAGACGATGCTAAAATTACCTTTCCCAAGTCTCCAGCAATGTTTTCAAAAGCTTGATTTGCTTCTGCTGGACTATTGAACACAACAATCGCACTATAGTAGCAACCTCCTTGTCTTTTCGATGGCTTCGCAAACGAAAAACAACAACAAGAAGTCCTCATGAAAAAGAAAATACGGGAATATGAGATGATGATTTCAAAATGAACTTGTTGGGAGGGATTCATGCCTTAATTTTGGGTGTGAAATCCCCCGAAATAGCTTCAACCAACTCTTCAGATGTTACATTGTGAGGAATTTTATGAAGATAGAGTCTTGACTTCTCAGATTCCAACATCTTGCAGACAAAAGTGTTTTTTTTTTTCATAATTTTTTGATGGAGCTATTAAAGTATTTAAAAAATCTGGCTTACCTCTTTAGTAACTGGAATAGAGGTTTCTACTCCTTTCTCTACTATAGCAAGTACAAGTTTCATAGCAGCCGCTGCGTCATCAACACAATTGTGGGGAACACCGTCTTTCTGCACTTCATATCCCAATATAGACTTGGAAACAAAACAAAAAAACAATGTGATTTATCCGTCATTTACATATCCCGGACTTGATTTCTCAAACAAGAGCAGAGAAATTAAGAAGCTTTCACAGGCTTACCTTGCACAGATAATTCAAAGAAGGTCTTTGAAGTCTCCGGGGCTTTCTTGCACCTGGATACGTATACCTAAACACCAGTGAAGTATCGATTACTCTTGCATGATCTATCTTCAATACTGAGAACAAACAAAGTAAACCGTAAGAAGGCAGGGTTAAAGAAAGATTAGGAGCAATTGGACCAGTTTTTTAGTTATACCTTTCATATCATTGTTCAAACTTTGGCCTATCAAAATAGTATCCTCAGATAGAAACCTCCGCAATTTTTCCTGCAGAATTATTCATTCAGTTGGCATCAAAAACAATGTGTTGAAACAGCAAAACAAAATATCTATATATATAAGTACACGATGTACCTGTATATCTACCACAGATAGTGTAGCAGCATGTTCAAGATCCTCAGCAGTAAGTCCAGTAATATCAGTCCTATAGTCAAGAATTGGTTGATCCGGTTTCACAAATTCGTCAAGAATCACCTGATTCATGACATATATCAGTTTCAATGAACAAGACAGGTTTGTTTATAGAAAAAAAATATGTTGTCACTGAAAATAAAAGATTAAGACCTTTAAACGACGGTCAACTGCAGCAACTCTAACAACAGCTTCACTCCCATCTATACATTGAACCATCTCACAATCAATAGCAACCATTTCGATTTTGGTCGATTTCATGGCTTCTGACTTATTCTTTCCGGTCCCCGTTACCAACCAGTCCTGTTTATGCAATTCAAAAGCTTAGCCTCTACAATCACAGCGCAAAAGAGACAATGAGACAACTAAAATTGGATGAAAGACACAAACCTCAGCATTAGATGGGAACAAATAGTCTAAAAAGTACTCATCATCCGTGATAGTCATTCGAACTAGCCTCTGCACTTACCAATAACATTACAAGTAGATTGCATTACACAACCAAAACTTATGTTTAAGAACACAAGATTTTACTCCTGACCTGCTCAGCAGTCTCCTCTGGAGATTCCTGTTTGAATTCCTCAGCCAGATGAGAGTTGGGTTTCAGAACCGTAGCCAATAGCTGTGACATAGCCAAATGTTATTAAAAATAATGAAACAATGGAGTGTGTGTGTGCTTGTCTTACTACAAACAACCTGCAAGTCTTGTTTCTTGTCGAGTGTGGTAAGGAAAGAAACAAGGACATCTTTGGACCGCCTCGAAGGGTCACTCAAGCTAGATCCTGCCTGTTTGTCGTAAACATTTAGAAACTCCTTCCATCCTCCGTTTTTGCCTTCCAAGCGTCGCTTCTGCACTTGTTTCACCAGCTCCACCAGTACCTAAACACCATACGAAAATCTCAAAAACTAACAATTGACCCTCTCGAATCAAGAAATTCTACAGACGTGCTGAGGAAAGAGGCTTACTTTTTTCTCAGCTGTGGCTAGAACGTGCTCCATAGCTGATTCTGACATCGGAAAGTAGCTTCCAACGGCGGCTCTGTGAGTTTTCAGTGGAGGGGAGTAAACCGTGTATCGAGAGCTAGGTATTCGCGTACCGGTTTTTTTTTTCGACTCTATTTTTGAAATAAGTGAAAGTACAAGCCCTTACATAATAATAATTTCCGTGCCTTTTTTGTTTAACTGTCAAAAACATAATTTTTTTTTTTATCAATTAATTAAAACACAATGACAGAAAAACCTATTCTGGCTTTCTATTAGATTTGTAATTTTCTCAATGATTTAGACTTATTAAACCTTAAATGTGTTAACAGTGTAAACATTAACCATTACAACAAAATCGTATTACTATTATATCTAGTTTTTGTTTTTCTTAGAAATGATTCTTGGTATATCAAAATATTTGTTTATTATGATCACAGAATCCTATTTTAGAACATTTTAATTTTTTTATAAAATTTAATCTATCTGATGAATAAAAGAAACATAACAAAGAATGTAAGAGAATAACGTTTTCTCGTTTTCTGGTTTTCTTCTTGACTTCTTTCTATAAGGTAAATTGTTTGTATGTTATTGGAACATTTAGATCATCTATTTAAAAGCAAACTGAAGTCTCCAAATTAAGATATTTGTTGTTTTTTCAAATCTTAAAATAAGAACTTTAATTTTGGCTATGAATAATTAATTTATTATGAATTTGTGTTTGCAGATACTGATTTATTGCCAAAATTTGTATGCTCAATAAATTTATCTATGATCAAATAAAATTAATGTTTAAACTAAAATCCGTAAAAATTTATAATAAAACTAGTAAAACTTCATATTTTTATATTTATTCGAGTTCACAGAAACTACTTCATCCGCAAACCGGATAATAGACAGCAATTGTATATCATCCCATTATTATAGTTATAATAATAAAAGAAAACCAGTTGGTTTACAATTTCATCGAGCGACTCTAGCAAGTATATTCGCATTCGCACACGATATAATCACCAAGTTGGGAACAAGCTCCACGTCCCGCATTGTACTTTAGTGCACAATTCCTATCACAACAACTACCAGCACATTTACTAGTACACAGACCAGTCGAACCAATACACACTTTCATCGGTTTAATCGGTGAAGGTGGTCCACAACCGTAGACGCACGTGCACATCCCACCAGGACCGTCACAATGGGTTTTAACCGATGGTCCGTATTTGGTTAGGCATTTTTTGTCACAGTTTTCGCAAGAGCCTAAAGTCTCGTTACATGTGGCTGCTCTACTCTGATTCACAACTGCAATATTATATGTATCATTTATTAATATATTTTTAACAAAAAGAAACTATTCCGGTGTTCTATTACATTTGTATATTTTTTTAATCATTTAGACTTATTAAACCTTAAATATGTTATCAATGTAAACATTAATCATTACAAAAAAAAAATCATATTACTATCATATCTAGTTTTTGTTTTTCTTAGAAATGACTCTCGGCATATCAAAATATATGTTTATTATGATCACATAATCCTATTTTAGAATATTTTAAATTTTTAGTTTAATCTATCAGATGAATAAAAGAAACATAGCGATCGAAAGATATAATACCCGATGTAAACACGATGAGTAAAGTAACAAGGAATGTAAGTGAAGTTATTCTCTGCATGTTTTTCGTTTTCTTCTAAACTTCTTTCTATGAGGTAAATTGTTTGTATGTTATTGGAACATTTAGATCATCTATTTAAAAGCAAACTGAAGTCTCCAAATTAAAGATATTTGTTGTTTCTTCAAATCTTCAAATGAGAACATTAATTAATTTTGTCTATGAATAATGTATTATGATTTTTTTTTTGCAAATACTGATTTATTGCCAAAATTTGTATGACCAATAAATTTATCCATGACCAAATAAAATCAATGTTTAAAATAAAATCTGTAAAATTTATAATAAAATTAGTAAAACTTCATATTTTACTATTTCTGCAATATTTTATTAATAGTTTCCATTTTATTATTTGGTTCTTCAATAAAAGAGTAGTCCCTCTAAAATTATTATTAAACAGAAAAAAAAAATTATGGATATCATTTTAATATCATATTGATTCTCTTTAAATTTCAACTAATAAGTATCAAAGAGAATCAGTTTAATATTAAAATGATATCCATTAAACGGGGGATTTACAAATTTACTAGTTGACTAATTTATGCAAATACAATTATATATTTACCATAACATCTGTGTTTGAACAAAAAATGTTTGACAGCAATTTTGTGAGTAAAACTTATTATTACATATGTCTTGTTGACTTGCTCAATATAGTAGTTTTGGTGTGTGAGGGTTTTAATTCGGGGACCAAGATACTCTCCAACTCACAACTGCAATGTTGTATATACATCATTCATTTGTTAACATAATAACAATTATTCTGGTTTGCATCTGTTAGATTTGTAGACTGGCTTTATTATGATTTAAATTCAAACTTAATACACATACAATATTATCTTAAAATACATAAAGTTGTATCTGAATACATAGAATTGAGTATTAATATTCGTAGATTTTTGTATTAAAATTCTATCTTAATACATCAAACTCTGTCTTAATATACATAGAATCCTATACTAAAATGTTATCTTAATACATAAAATTCTATATTAAAAATATTCGTTTTATAAACTCTTCAAACATAGACAAAAGTCTAGCTTTTCATAAATTCCAATGCACTTTAATTTCAAATTCGAATTGTTCAACACACATACCACACTTTCATTACTGTTTGGTTTGAAAATAAATTTTGATTCAATTTCGGTCCAGCACGTTTTTATGTCCACTTGGACAACTTCTATTGGTGACTAAAAACAACTCCAAAATCTTTTCGTGTCCCAAAGAAAAAGCCGAGATAATTGAGTTTTATCATTCTGATTTCTCATACTACGCAAAGAAAAAACAGCCGTGTAGACTGGGGAGATTTATAAAGGCTCGATTGTGACGACTGCTTCTTTGGCACATATATAACTAACTAAGAAGAGAGATACTAATGCACGGAATAAATATGTACATCGCATTTTTTGTCACATAATATTATAACGCATGAATATAATATATTTTCAACGCGTATCCGTTATAAAGTTACCCACATGGAAATGCCAATAACGCTCAACAAACCAGAACGTGACACATTTAAACCACACAACACACACTCCAATAATAATAATCATATCTTAAAGTTTTCCCATGTAACATATTCACCCTCTTTCATCATCATCATACGCTCACACAAACCCTATACTATAGGCATAATATATACTTATAAAATTAAGATCTTAAATGGAAACCTAAACTAACTATATAATCTTCGAAATCTAAAACCGTCATGCAAATTGCTCATGGGTCCAACAGTGCCTGGGACTCTTACCAATAGGACGATATAATCACTTATTGACCATCACTTTGCTCTGCTAATAAACTAGATCCTTGATTCATCTACTCAGATCCAAAACTATATTTTTTATCGAGTTTTCGTCTTTCTTTACCGAAGAAGAAGAAATCAAGGTTGTAAAGAAGAGGAACCATCACGACCGAGCACAAAAACACAAGCACGGGTCCAAATATCCAAAGCATCAAAGGCAACGCCGCGTAGAACAACCGATTCCCCACCGTATTCAGAACAAACCCTCTCTCTAGCAACTCCGCCACGTATTCCTCCGCGGTCATCATCATCTCCTCCTCCAACTCCTCCGGTGGAAAAGGGGTGTTGATGAGGATGTTGACTTGGTTGATGAATCGGATCGAGAGAGAGTGACAGAAGAAAGAACAGAGGAAGATTGTGAGGATCGTGACATACTTAAGCGCCACCATGAACTCTCCGTGAGCTCCGTAAACTGCGTCGTTCAAAGGCTTCTTCACTGCGTATGTGCTGCTTATAACCGCCGCTAGACCCGCGCAGAGGAGGATCGATGTTGTTGCCATTAAAGTCGATCCCATTATGCAGTTTCTCAGCGTTTGAACGGCCAAGATGTTCTTCTTCTCGTTGTCCTGTTTAATTAAAATACATATGAGAATCGTATATATATTTATGCGTAGATGTACATATAAGAGGTTCGAGAGTACCTTGATGATGGAAGCGACCCAGAAACGGCGAGCTCGGGCGTTAGTGCCGATGATGGTGGTAAGAGGCTGTGTACGTAACTTGTGCCACAAGTAAGCATGGTAAGCTGCATATGCCATTAGCCCTAGCGGCACCAAGATCACATCTAAGTAACATTCTCTCCATTCCATTACTAGTTCTAAACTTATTCAAAGCTCAACTTTTTTATTTATTTTTCTTGTTGTGTCTATACAACAACGCTTTATGTATGACTTACTGGAAGGTTTGGAGAAGAAAAAAGACTCTATTTATAAGAAAAAATGATAACGAGGGCATGGAGGGAGTGGATGACGTGGCATATTTGTCATTTTGTTCGCCATTGTTATAGTTTCCAAAGTGATCTCTAGCTGGAGCCCATCATAATATTTATAAATTCTTGCACGCTTTTGATTTCTATCTTATATCATTTCTTATTCTTTCTTCTTTCTAGTCATAGATTTTGATTAAGCCCTGATCACGTATATCATATGTGTAGTCGTCGTCAAGTAAAATTTCTGGTCCATTTCTTAAAAGTAGATGTTTTACTTCTAATTCTGGTTTTATATTCAAAAGTGTTTATAAGTTTCGATGTAAAATTAGATGATAGTTTCAAATACACATCTGTGTAAATACTAGTTATTTTTACTTCTACGAGTAGTTAACAACCTAATAAACTAAATAATATTACAGTTAACATTTTATTAGTATGTGTGACAACAAAACCGTGCTACAACTATTTACTTTAATCTAGAACATTTTATTTTATCCCGATTGATGTTGATTATTCTTTTGTCACTTTCTTAACTATTTTTATGCAAGGGGGAGTATATGTTAATAAGTTTTAATGCATATATCTATACAATTTTGTTTCTTGATTTTTGAAAGAATATAGATATCGTGTATATATGTATGTATGTATACATTAATACATGCACACGGGCACGTATAAATGTTATCTACATTAAAGCTTTGAATCCGACAAATATAATGTTGCTAGTTTATATTACCAGTTTTCACGAATTTCCTCGGGCTCGAGCGTAAATTATAAAGCACTGGAAAATATTGAAATTTAAGTAACAATGGTTTAGTGGTTAAAGGCTACACTTCGAAGTTAGATCGTACCAAAATTCAGATTTTCTTGAAATGACTTAAACTTAGTGAAATCTGACGAGGACCATATCATATGAGATAAGAGAAGAAGACATGAGGCCGACCTTTAGCCATTTCAGAGCTATCTCATGACTTTAAGTTTATTTGGTTTTTGTGTCTTGATTTCACCCACTCCGTTTATCTTCCAACACGTTGGAATCCTAACTAGCTATTACTTTCAGTTTCATAATTTATTTCTACCTTTTTTGTATGATTGGAAATTCTTTGTAGAGATTGGAGGATCATAGTATTAGATAGTAGCTACAGATAGACGAATACTATTAACATCCATAAAAACCAACTTTATTCCCACATGACGTCTTGGTTCCATCTTATACATATTCAATCGGCATTCTGACAATTTTAGATACCTAGTTGTATTGATAACCATTCTATCAATCTACCAAATCACTGATTTCCAGTTAAAAAGTCAGTGCATGCATAAAGTTAGTCCGACTCATTACCACTATTTTTTTTTTGTAGAATATCGATTGTATATGTTGAATATTTCAGACATGATATTTGGATATTTTGGAACATATATCTGTATATCTCAGCACGGAGGAACCTACAGTATACTGGGTCGGATATATCATCAGTACTAGAGTAGAAAGAACTTCTGTGTGTTTGGGCGTTGAAATATGTAAAGATAATGCATAATATAAATTGGGTTAAGGGAATAACGAGACGAATGTTAATGAAATAACACATGAACTTACCGACTTTGAAGTACCGTGGCTTTGGTCCTAGTTGATACGTATATAGTATATAATATATCCAATTTTAATACTATGTTGTTGATGCAAGTTTGCATACTGTCAGAGTATTTTATGCTATATATATAGATCAACTGGTTCTTTTGAAGCTTTCGTTGCTATATAATTGAGGAATCAAATCAAAATGATAATAAAGTAAAATACATAGACATGGATTGCTTAAGAGAGTCAAGCTTTAGTCGCGACGTTCTTAGACGGGAAATGCGGGTTGGTTCGCATTTCGGGTCCTTTGTAATTTCAAACATTATAGTTCTCCTTCTTTATATTCTTATTAGTTAGTACTAAAACCTAAAGGAAACTCAAAAGGCTGAATCAATTAATCATCGAGCAATATATTGAATTCTTTAATATTTTCGAAATGAATTAACTTTGAACATTATAAAATATTTGAATAACCAAGTTGGTTGTTGTTGTTCTTTTACTCTTTAGGTATTGATAGAAGGTACTAGTTCAAAGTTAGTAATATGCATCATATAAGAAAATAACTAAAATAAAATAAAGTTCAATCGTAAATATAAGAACCTTAGATATTTACGAGTGTAACTAGTTTCGTACGTGTTCTATAAACTTTATTGATGTCTAAGGTTCAATCGTATATATTTCAGCTGTAAATTATTATGAATGACTACAAGTCTACATGCATCCACCTATGATTCTTGACATTCATATTAGGATTTACACTTATAAATTTTTTTTAAAAAAATTTGGAATCACATATGAGTCTTATATATGCGGGAAAATGAAATGTACAAACCCATCTTCCAGCTTCATAGCCACTCTAACAAAAGATCGTTGCATTTGGTCGAAACTAATGCATGCTAATTTGCAACTCAAGCACGAGCCAAGAACCACCTAACATCCCCAATTTTTCTTTTGATGTCTGAATTAACATTAAACATGTTTTGCAAATTTAGTAAAAAAAAACATTAAACATGTTTTAAATAACCCTAGTGATCAATATCGTCTCTTAATTCCATGAAACAATTGAGAAAAACACAAGCTATAATTTTATTTATTGCATAGTTTTTGTGTGCATTGGAGATCGATCGACTTAGTGATTATGTGTATTGTGACTTTCAGTTTCAGTGTTATTTAGCTTAGTCATTCGCCACAGATCCGACATCATGTGTAGACGTTGATGTTCGAATCCTGTTCCCACATATGGAAAAGATATATGCTCTCTCATTTGTGGAATCCAACCTTTAAAAGGTACGTAATGCTTTGAGTAATGTAATTTCTTGGGCAACTTATTTCGTTTAAGAAACTGAAAAATAAAATTTCATGAGGAACAAATTAAAGACGGAAGGTGAAATTCGTTGGACTATTCTTTAATTTTTTATATATAAAAACATATTTATAGCAAAAAGAAAAGCAACATTTCAAAGAATAAAAATCGAGTAAAGTATTGACGCAATTTCATTGAATCTTTTTTATAAATAAAAATCAAACAAACCGTTCTAGAAAACAAAATCTTCAAATTTTGAGTCACGAGACATCAAAATCAAACTTTAGAAAGATTAGGATACCTCAATAGCATACTAAACTTTGGTCACCTGCGAGGACAAACAACGTCACTGTACTCGTTAAGAAAGATGAAAGAGAGGGAAACCTAAAGATAAATCGATCGCACTGAAGATAAAGACAGTTCGCTAATTAAAGATCATTCGGTATTTCGGTTATAGTCTTAAGGTCATATGATTCTTATTGCTCGGTCCATACCTTTGATGTTCTCATGATGACATATTTTATCATTTCTTTTGGAATCTTGACGACACCTCTACAAGATACTTGCAACTACTTTGATCTTTTGAACTATCCCCGTCAACAATTTTTATTAAAATTATGAAGTTTTTCTTTTGTAGCCCAATATAAAATTACAATATCATTTGGGCTTCAGAGTTGTAAAATTCAGGCGTATATGGGTTTTCAACATCTTCTGTTTATGAAAAGAATCATATTCTATAACGGCCTATGCGATGAAATGTTATTATACACCCATCATCCTTTTGTTGCTACCTTATTATACATCTATCTTTTTTTGTAAAACAACAAATCAGATCTTGGAGACATTGAAAATCAGATCAAGCAAAAGCATACGCAGAATCAGACTAAACAAAGAAAAGCAAATTGGAATGTGTATCATATGATTGATAGATTTTATATACTATTTTTTCATATAGTCATCTAATCAAAACTAATAACAATCATGAGATGATAATTGATTTGTGGGTTGTGGCACGTAGAAAGATCAGGGAATAAAAGCCAGCTAGTTTTTTTTCAAGTTTTAGTTACATTTTCTCAATTATTCATAGGGACTCAATCATTTATATATGTTTGTCTCTTCATGGTGGTTAGTACCACTTTAACAACTTAACCTCAAATTTCAATCAAATTATTTTATAGAAAAATTCAACCATGAAGAATGTACGGAACTACAAACCTACTAAGTACTAACCCCTCAAAAGTAGAACTGTACAATTCTTATTTCTGGAAGGGTGAAGTAAGTGATTAGAGCAACTAGCTAGCATAAATAATTCAAAATGAAATTAGTAATGCGTACCCAAAAAAAGAAAGAACGTGAATTGTGATAAAGGCCATGTTGTACGGGCCACTACGTATGAATCATTCAGAGATTAATTGTTTAATATAAAGTAAATGGTGGATTGGTGGCCTAATGGAATGGTCTCGTGGATAGCAGTTACGATGGACAATGCTTTCTCTAGTAGTTGACCCACCGGTTGATTAACATCTTATGTATATATTATTATTTTTTCGAAAGAAGGTTTACGTTTAACATCTTATATTCCTTTACATTCATTTCTATCATAATATATAAGTATAAATTTAGCAGGTCGTAGGCTTGAAATGTCAGAAACTATTGCGAGTCTCATCAACTATTTTTTCTTAACATTAATTTCAAACTTTTCTGTACGTTTATAATATATTAAAATGTTTGATGCTTTTTGCGTAATCGTTGCTGATATATTCATTGCTTCCCCGCTAGTTCATCACCAGCACATGCAACGATCGCCAGTCTGAAAACATGAATTCTATAATATTGAATGTGGCATTGAAGATAAGTTTCTTATTTTATCAATTCGGCGACAACTTTTTTTAATGCATTTTATGTAATATTAAGCCGACTTTCTTGTTGATATCATAAGAAATTAAATAAATTCGAATATTGTTCTTAGTCGTTAAAGCCAATCATTATTTGCTTATATATTTTTCAAAATATTCTTTCTTTTGATATTTTATTGATTTACTTGAGCTTATAAGAAAGAGGGATCGAAACTTTAGTAGGGGTTATTGGTTCTTGTATTTTGGTGGATTTAGAAATCTTTTTTGGATTTGATAAATTTATTGATTTCAAAATCAGCAAAATAGAAAAAAATCAAATCCACTCAAATACCAAGGTTAGACCTTGTATTTGAGTCTTTGTATTTTAGTCATGAAAATCCTTCCAAATCCATTCAAATTCAATTAGGGAGGTGTTATTGGTTCTTGTATTTTAATGGATTTGAGAATCCAAACCAAATTCAGTGTTATTGGTTCTTGTATTTTAAAATCTATATTGAAATACATTGTTATTGGTTCTATGATTTTAAAATTCATAATGAAATATAGTGTTATTGGTTCTATCATTTTAAAATCTAAATATTATAAGGATTTAAGTTTTAATTGAATTTGAATGGATTTGGAAGAATTTTCATGACTAAAATACAAAAATCCAAATACAAGGTCTAACTTTGGTATTTGAGTGGATTTGATTTTTTTCTATTTTGCTGATTTTGAAATCAATAAATTTTTCAAATCCAAAGAAGATTTATAAATCCACCAAAATACAAGAACCAATAACCCCTACTAAAACTCAAATCTTTATAATATTTAGATTTTAAAATGATAAAACCAATAATACTGTATTTCATTATAGATTTTAAAATCATAGAACCACTAACATTGTATTTTAATATAGATTTTAAAATACAAAAATTAATAATACTGAATTTGGTTTGGATTCTCAAATCCAATAACACCTTCTTAGTTTTATCATCGAGACATCTAGTCTTAAAATCACCTGTTAATGGAAGGTGACAACTATACACTCATTTATTAAGTTGATAAATTGTGATTCAACTAGACTGTATTCTTTTTAGCGAATTGTTATATATTTTGGTTTCTGATAATTATTCGTGAAAAAAATGAATAATATAAAAGATTTTTTTTTTTACCTTTAGCAACAAAACCACATGGGAACTTATTATAGAAAAAAAATCGAATCTGTGGAGTAAATATTAACTACAAAAAGAGAAAAGTAACAAGTTCACATGGGGTACATGGAGTTAAAACCTGAAACCGCACGAACAGGAACAGTGACGTGGAAGTAGATCAGTCTTTTACCGGGACGGCCCTCCATGTTCGATTGGGACTTCTGAGGATGCGTCAGTAAGTTTTTTTTTGTCGTTAGTGATATTAAAACTCAAAAGTTAGTTAAAAAGCAGTATAGGAGTACATTATTTCTTTTAAAAAGGTAAAGAAGAGATCCAATCGTTAGATTCCCGGGAACTGAACTGCTAAACTGTGAAGTGTGAAGCCGTTTGCTTTGGAAACTGAAGCCTTCCCCATGTTTCATGTTACTTTTCTTTTCTTCTTCTCTCCTCTCACCATAAGACTTTTATTTCTTACGTTCGAAGTTATTAGTACTACTACTATTTTATTCTGTGGTAAAGTAAGTGTATTAGACTTCATACCCAAAAAAAAAGTGTATTAGACTTGAAATTCATAGTTAACAGTATTTACACTTGTATTTTCAAACCTGAGTAATGAAATCAATTATGCTGTTTTTGAATATTAATTAATAAAAAAAATACACTTTGAAATCTTTATCTTGCGTTGTTGACCAGAAATAATATCTGTAGGTTTGTTAAAAAATGTATTGTGGCCTGTGGGTTTAATATTTTTTTAAAAAATTTGTTGAAGATAATAAAATGGTAATATTTTTCATTTCGCGGTGTTATAAATAACAGAAGTGTTAACCAATAGCCAAATCAAAACGCAATCCAAAAGGATAAACAAACATGGCCTTAATAACGATCTAAGTTAAGAGAAGGTCAAAACTAGAAGAAATAACTCAACAAGAGGTTTTCAAGTTGGGTATTAAGAAAACCAAAGGCATATGATTAGTCCAATATTTTAAACATTAAATTTCAAAACTAATCTGTAAAATAATGAAAACAAGATTCCCAAATGTCATCAACATCTCTATATATCTCCCTAATCTCCAAAACCCACCATGTCTCCATCACTACACAACAAACAGAGATAGATAATAAGACAAACACAAAGAAGAGAGCCATTTCTTCTTCTGTTTCCGGCATGGAAGCCAAGAAGTCAAACAAAATCAGAGAGATCGTAAAGCTTCAACAGATCCTCAAGAAATGGCGAAAAGTCGCTCACGCATCAAAACAAGCCAACAACAAGATTGACAACGAAGAAGACAGCAACAACATCAACAAAAATGGAAGTGGAAGTGGAAGTAAGAGCATCAAGTTTCTGAAGAGGACACTATCCTTCACAGATGTGACAGCTGTGCCTAAGGGATACTTAGCTGTCTCGGTGGGGAAGGAGGAGAAGAGATACAAGATACCAACGGAGTACCTTAGCCACCAAGCATTCCACGCGCTGTTGCGTGAAGCAGAAGAAGAGTTTGGCTTTCAACAAGCTGGTGTACTGAAGATTCCATGTGAAGTTGCTGTGTTCGAGAGCATATTAAAGATAATGGAGGATAACAAGAACGATGCGTGCCTGACCACGCAGGAGTGCAGGTTCAGTGCCACGACTGAGGAAGTGATGAGTTATCGCCATCCTTCCGAAATCCCTCGGACTCCATCTCACCAACCTCACAGCCCAATGTGCAGATAGTTTTTTTGTTTCAAAATGTGCTTGTTGCTTTGACATTCTTCTTCCCCCCATGCATGTTCCCACTTTTTCCCTTGGGGATTTGGACTTGTGTACTCTGTAACTTCAATGAGCAAACGAGTGATCAGATATAGAAAGATTTTTGAATAAGGGAATGTATAAACGGATCGTTGAAACAGATTGCAAAACATGTTCAAACTTCTTGTTCATCAGTAGAACATGAAGGAGAGAATCTGTCACATGAGTAGTTTAAGAATGATTCATCACACACATCTAAAATAAGAGCAATTACAGGGTAATTTAGTTTCCTTTTCCAATATCTTAAGTTGTTCTTAATAAACTCTAAACTGAAATCAAACCAAACATCAACCCAAAATGCTGTGGGATGTTACACTAGACCACTCTGCTATTCATATGGCAGTTATTTAGGTCCCATGGTTTAGGCTTAGGCGACCTTGATCCCACAAAAAGAAGAAAGGCAAAAGCAAAAGGTTCATGTTTCTATCTATGCATCCACCGTTATTCCCGGGAACTACCACCCATGTGTATTGATGTTGCAGTTATGCCAAGTAATCAGAGGCTTAAACATAAACTAATAGTGCAATTAGCATCAATTAAAATAAAATGTAAAAATATGAGAGTACCTACGGCATTGTACTTTTTAATCATCAAGTGGAGACTTTGGTTGTTATTTAGATTAAACAACCTACAGTAGTATCCTATGCTTTTACTACCAAAAAGTTATGCTATAATAAGTATCTTAATTAGTGAATATTATAACAAAGTCACAGCATCACAGGCACAACTTCTAAACTAAGTACCCCCCTCATTATTGAACTCACATGCAATTAACGATTCATCCCCCAACAGAGTACGGCAAAATCAAAAGGAATGATCTTGGTATCCTCCCAAAATCAATCAAGATTCAAGAGAGAGAGAGAGAGAAAGGTACTCATGGAATGATATGTGTACTCTCTCTCTCTCTCTATCTCTCATGGTCAAAGTCAAAGCTTAAGCAGTGAGATCTGATAAAACGGAAAAGCCACATGACATCTGCACCCTGAGGCTTAACACCACAACTAAAGCAATCAGCCAAATAATACATCTCCTGAACCTGATCTCGAGGATACTGATTACTGAATAGTGATTATATATGAGCAACTAGAGGAAATTGCAGGTTGCATAAAGGACAGCAAGATCCAGCAGGAAATTTAGCATGATCAAACCATACGCCTCGGAAACCGTTGTGACTGTACCTCCATGACTCATATGGTTTACTGATTTAAAACAGTTTGTTCTTCAGAGTTATGAGCTACAAGACAACTAGAGAAACAAGGGAAAGGTTTTTTTTGTATTCTAAGGCATTCCCTATTATTTATTGATCAATATAGACAGTCACCAATTTGACCAAAAGGCTTGGCAACCATTTCACATGAACACAGACATCATCAGTATAGAGACAAGAAGAGTTCCTGATTCCACAAGCAGCTTTCTATGAAAATATTCCTCAAGTTATCACAATGGGCCTATAATGGGTTGAATATGGACTACTATGGGCCCACAATAAAGCTGAAGCAAAACAAACAGTGATTTTGTTTTCATGAACTAGATATGATTGATTACAAACAAAACCAAATTGCTATAGATAAGCCGTAGGAATAATCTATATATAGCCCTTTAGAGTTTTAAAAAAGAAGAAGAAAAAGCCACTCTTGGATGAAATTACAAATCATAAGAGTTCATCTGATTACATACATGATCATGCAAACCAATGCATGTCTCTATTGTAGCTTCTCTTTCTTATAATTTCCCAAGATGCATCATTGTCTTATTTCAGGTGAAGCAATGGCCTCACTATAATGTAACTGTAAGATAAGAACCAAAAGTCACACAGCTAAAAGATCAGAGAGAGCATCAAGAATCCAGAGGTTTCCCATTCTCAATATCCTGTTTAAAGAACGTTTTGAATGTGTCGATCCTCGTCTTTGCTTCTGGTAGTTTCCTCCCTTCCATAAATTTCTTTGTTGCGGTTATGAAACCGTCCTTGTCATGTCGCTTCCATATCTAACACAGTTGAACATGTTCTAAAGATTGAAGCTTTCACATTCTGAAAGCAAACAAGGAAGACAATAGTATAAGACTTGTTACCTCGAGATCCCATTCGCCATACAGATCCGGATCCTCTTTGTTCCTCCATACATAAGTTCCGACTTGCAGCTTCTCGGAAGTATCCTGCAATTGAACAAGAGGTTTATATCAGAGTCTAATCTTAACAAACACCTAAATCCGAGATGTAAATGCAGAATTAGTTGTTCTGTTTAAAAATCAAAAAGGTAAATTATTACCGTCAGCACCACTTGAACAGCCTTTCTGACATATTCAACATCCTCAAACTCATCTAACAACTTCAGTTCATCATCTGTTATTCCCTTTAGCACCTGACAGCAAAGTTCTTCGAAGATCTCAAATCAGGATTATACGCAAAACCAAGGAGGAAACAAAACCATCTCTACACTAATAACACAAACACAAAATCTCCACAGAGAACAATGGGCCTTAGCGTTTATCTATGGCTTTAAAATTCTTTTCCCAGTTTTCCCATCATTTAACATACAAGAGACAAATGTAAAAGTAGGAATGAGGGATAATGAACCTTTCCGGTGACTTCTCCGGCACCGTCCGGTAGAATAGTTGGATAAACACGACCTTTGATTCTAAACCTGTGACTGAAAATCCCCAAAAAGAATCCCCGTTAATCAACCCTCAATTTGATCCCAAAAAATTAAATGATAACAATACAGATTGAGAGAGACGCACAAGCCGGAGAGTATGGCAGACACACGGTCAGGGACGCGATTAAGAAGCACGTGAACGACTTCGGGCTCCTGGAGACTGCCATAGACAAAGAGATCGTGACCAGCTTTCCCTGACAACATACTCATCGTCCTCGTTCTCTCCGACTCCGTCTAGTTCATGTGTCTACAGAAGATATCCATTGTCCGGCCACGTGTCGAGCATACAAAATGTACTAGTAATTACTATTTTGATTAATATGCTTTTATTTCAATATACAGTATTTCCTGTTATTTTTGTTTCGTGATTAAGAAAGTCATGGCATAGATAGGAATCAACGTCGAGAACAGAGTAACTAAAACCATAACAGAGGAATCAAAACACGATATCCATTTTAAAAAGACCGATCGGGTCAATCCAACATAACCTCAAGCAGAGTTTGGAGTCATAATAGACATTGGTAAATGTAATGAAATATCTAAAACGTTTGCTTGACAGAGTAAGATAACGATTGTTGTTTGCATCACATGGCCATTGGTTCAGGACCAGCAGCGTTGAGGATATCCAGTAGAGAGTTCTGTGGCTCCAACTCCTCGTGCCAAAGCTGCAACTTATCTCCAGGGTAGAAATTTCTCGTCACTCCCTCTGAGTTGATCTGTTCAAAAACATCAACAACCAGTTTTTGTTAACTGAGTTCCATTAAAGAGGTTATAATGCAAGTCTCGCTTAAGAGAGTTTTGGCCAGAGGAGATATCTTACTATGACAGTCCGTACGACACCTCCACTGGCTCCATCACGGGCGATGGCTAGTGAAACAGCCTTCACAACAAGTGCCTGCAATACACAGCGTAATAGCAGCAAGGACCGTTACAGCAAATGGGTTTGTGAGTTTTTAGCATATGCAGAGATATAACGATCTGAACCGCCTTACCTCAGCTTCTTCTTTGGTCATGTCTTCTTTCCAGGCCTGATCAAAGAAACCATAAAGGTAACTCGAGCCAGAGCCTGCACAAACAAACAAAAAGTCCACCAGTTATTAGCAGGAAAGCTAAGTATCATACTATCATACAAGTAAAATATCATAGAGAACTTGATCGAATGCAGCTGTGTTAAACCCCATAGATCATAAAACGCAAAAAGATTTGGTTTTTACCTCCAATAGCAAACGGTTGCTCCACTACAGTTCCACCAAGTGGAATCCCGTAGATCTTTCCGCCTTCATATTTATCCCAGCCACCAACAATGAGGCCAGTTTGCAGCATGTTCTGCGCAATAAAGACATATCATGCTTCAGTCCACAAACCCATATAATTAAAACAAGGAATAACCATACAATAACGCACTGGATATGCATCTCTGCTATACAGATAGATAGATAGATAAGACTCAAGAGTACAGAAAATTGAGATCGTAGGATATATATACAATAGAATACATACTGAGCATTGGATACAGTTGCATTTAGAACATATAATTTCCTTCTACAGACTAGAGAACAACCATTACAACAACACTACGGACAATAGGAGATTCATATATGCTAGCAAGCTAGGTTTGACATGAAACATCAATCTCTATGGCCCCAAAATTTTGAGCTTTAAGTCATATAGCAGTGAAACGTAGAGCAAGTTTTCTCTAAAAGAAACGACGCTGGTCTAAAATGGAACAACATCCACATTGCCCACTACTCATGGGTTTAAGTTTCTGGTAAAAAACCCAAACAATCTGCAAGCTTTACAGTAAACTTGTACCTTGTTGTTATATGCGAGCATCCTAATGAGGTTGGCAGAAACCTTTACAGTCGCAGGCTGTCCCAGCTGGATTCTGCAAACCATAAGCAAACAAATTATTTTTATCTTCAGATATAAAAAGATAGCAAAAGTATCAAGTCATGTATTTACGTTGAATCAAGGGAAGAATTGAAACACTCACGTATGCTGGTGAAGAAAGTAGCGGACATAGTCCGAGACAACCTGAGAATCAGCAGCCTGAAAAAAGGAAGAAGAAGAGCTTCTGGTACTCAGTAAAATGCAGCCACAATAACACATTTGCAAGCTAATAATCATGGACAACAAACATCCGAGTAAGAAACCTAGTAAGCGAAAGAGCTTCAAGAAGAGGTTGTGAAGATCAATAAAACCCAATTGTCAATTATTCGTGAATAATAATAAACATCTGAGTAAGAAGTCTAGCGAGCAGAAGAGAAGTGGTCAAGCAAAAAAATAATGAAATCCCTAAATAGAAATCCGGAAAAACGAAAAATTACCGATCCAGAGCGGCAGACGTAGACATTGTCGGTAAGTTGAGTGATTTTGTCTGAAGCCCGATTCGCTACGTACATCCCTGCGCGAGTAATAACAACAGATCCCAATTCAATCAGCTTTCTAATAAATTTCCCAGATAGAACAATCGAATACGCTTATTCTCCGTTCCGATTGAAACGAAAACAGAGCTCAAAGACAAACCCAACGAACCCAAAAAAGAAACCCTAGAAGAGTAGAGAAGAGAAAGCTCACCGGTGCTGGTACGAGAGTCGGCTCCGAGGACGACACCTCCATTGTAAGTGACGCCGATGATGGTAGTTCCCATCGAGTGCGGCGCATCGAGATTGAGATCCATTGTTGCAGAATTCGAAGCTTGTGTGGAACGAAAAGAATCCCCCTGAGTTGAGAGTTTGGCGATTAATAATAATCCAGATTACGGTGATGACTGAAGGGGAAGAAAGATGAAATAAAGACGAAGAACTGGCTTATACCCCAAGTCGGGTTCTCTTTTTTAGTCAAATATATTAAGCAAAGATTAAAAACGCAATTTACGTAAAGGCCCAATATCTAAATATCTCATGGGCCTTCCAAATTCAAGCCCAATATCTAATGGCCTGAAACTATTTTGTTAAGAGTTTTGAGTTTTCTTATTTTTTTTTTTTTTGGTAGTGAGTTTTGAGTTTTCTTATTAGGACAGTGTTGTTGTATTTCTTCATTCATAAAAATCACACATTAATCCTCTCGTGTATACAATTAAAGCAAACTGTTGGAGATTTATTGATAATTTGCGGATTTATTGATAAAAAGAATTTGTAAAAGAAAAACTTGTGAAAAAAGTGGATGAAAAGGCAATTAAACGGATCATATTCACAATCATCTAATCATACTGTATTTTGTTTTCTCCAAAAGATGCTGAAATGAGCCAGAAAGATAAAACAACTAGCACTCGTTAGGACAAGTTGTCAATATAACAGAGTTTTCAAACACACAAAGATAACTCTTCTCTGCTTGGGAAAAGAAAAACGAACTTTGTTAAAGAAGGAAGCAAAACGAAGCAGAATCCCTCATGTCTAAAGCCAATTAAAAGACAAGTGCAAGAGCTAAATAGTAGTGGCAACAGCTTCAGGTTGATGAGCAAGTATCTGATGAGCAGTGGGGACATTGCTCTTGGACTTGTTAGCCACACGGCTCGCTCTTGATTCCTTCACCGGTGACACCTTCTTCGTCGAGGACTCAGCAAGAACTTTCCTCACCTCGTTCGCCAGCTCTATAACATAATCCTCCTCATGCCCTGCGTGAAGAGTGATAATCAATGTTTTATTCAGGTTAAGATTTCAAACCGTAATTCCTAAACATGTTTGTAGTAAAAGGGAGCTCTGGACTAACCGATGTCGTGCATTGCCTTCTCTAGCAGGAATAGATAATCTCTGTTGTTACCACATGGTCCATTGGCTGTGGCGATTTGTCTTCCAATACAACAAAGCAACGGGATAGTGTGAGGACAAGAATCTGGCATCTAAAGCGAAGGAACAGAAGAATTTGAGTTGAAGGCTGTGTGTTTTTTACCTTGCCATGTCTTCTAATGGCGCAGGTCCAAGGTAATACTTGTTGGAGATCTTGTCTGGAGTAGAAGTGAATCTGAAAAATGCTTCCAAAACAAGTCACAACACAGACACTTGTAGATGAAAAGCAAAAGATACAGCGCTGTATGATAGAAAACAACTTACACCATCACTCCAGTTACAGCTGGCTTCAGGGGATCATCTTCCTGTGTAAGTTAAGAGAAGAAACTTTTTCAAGTTCAATTTTTAGGAGCATAAGAGAATAGGCTTATTCAATAGAATCGGGGATTGTAAGGACTCACCTTGTAAAAGTCCACACATGTCTTGAGATCATATTCACACTCTCTACGTTCCAAGTACTGTGCATAAGTAGAATCGTCAACACAAAGGTATGAACATGATACATCATCAAGCGATCTGGTTTTTAGATGCAGAGACATACCTCCATAGCCAGACGTTCTTCTTCTGGTCCTCCACGGACACAGAATGCAGTACCCCACTGTCAAGAAAAATATTGGATTGTTAGTAAGAAATAGAGATTTTATGGGTGAACATGACCAGACTCTTGAAGATTCTCGAACTCCTTTAATCATATAGACACGTAAGAATTTCTACATACGCATATGGCTTCTTCATCTTTCTCGAGGGTGCAAGTTCTTGCCGGGTGTTCTGGTGTACCTCTGTGATCAATGCAAGCTAGCAAATCAAATCAAACACAAAAGAATCAATCAATCAATCAACAGTTGAGGAGGAAAGATAAAACAGTCAAATAAGCAAAAGGAACGAAAAGGTGTTACCAAGATCAAAGACACGTTTATATCCCTTGATGAAACCTAACACTTTCTCATCGTAGTAAAATCCTGGGTTCCACACAAGAGAACCATAGCCAAAGACCCACATCACCATTTTCTGCAGTTAGATGCTGTAAAACACCAAAAGAAGAATTTCAAGAATGCATAAGACACAAATCATTGATCTTGTGGAGGGTAAATGCCGGAGAAAAAGGTACAACATGTAAAGACAAGACAAGAGGTAAAAGTACAACATGTGCAATGAACCATTAAGAAAAATCACGAGTGGACCACCGTTCCAATTGTTGATTCAGCTTTACATGTCCACAGATATGCTCAGTTGCTGGGTTCTATTCAAGACAGCTCAGACAAAACTAAGACCCAAATCTTCTTTGTTTCAATTTGGAAAAAAAAAAGAGGAAAGTTTTCTAGGCAGTGATGCAGACCTTTGGGACAAAGACAGAACCCAATAGACATGTGGTCCCAAATTCTTGTAAGGGAGAAACAAAAAAGAGCTTTCTTTTCCTATGGTGCAATAATCATAACCAAACAGTAAGAATAATTCATTCAACATAGAGTTTCACCAGATAGAGAAATCGCTGAGAAGATGCAACATAAGCTACCTAAACCGAAATGCGGAAGGAAAAAGGAAATAAAAAAAATCAAAACTTTACCCTGGGGCAGGATCTTCGTAAAGAGAAAAACTCAATCCCACCGTGAGACAAGATCTCCTCTCGTAATTAGATTAACTACAACCCGAGAAAAGCTGAGGAAGTCGTGGGAGGAGAGATTGCAGATGATATTTGAGGGGACGACGTCGTTTCGGTTTGTATGGAGCTAGTACTGGTAATGAGACCACTCAGCTCCTTCTCCCCTCCTTTCTCTGAATCTCTCTCTCTCTCTCTCTCTCTCTCTCTCTCTCTTATTTATCTCTGCTTTCGAGGTGTATTAAAATGAGGAGGAAGCAATGAGAAGGAAGAAGAGCATTTATAGAAGAAATATTAGAAATAGAGAGAGACAGAACCGCGTGTTCATGCCACGCATGTTGTTTTAAAGTTCATCTGATTATTTGTCTGTTCCGCGGTCCATTCGTCACGTGACGGACCGGTGAAGACGCTTGTTTCTGCCCTTTCCAAAATATCTTTCTTCTCAAAACAAGGAATCTAAATCTATTTTTCTTAATTGAAATTGATGGGAACCATATCTCCAAAATCTATAGAAAAACAAATTTCCTAACAAATCACCGGAAATTTAATAGGGATACAATCAATAACCTAATTTTTAACCCAAATTAGAGCCTAATTTCTAAATTTTACTAAATGACAAATTTTCAAAGAATTTTTCCACTGTCATCAATTCTGAAGACAAAGGTGTTCATTTTTCATTTGTAAATATTTAAATAAACAAAGACACAATCAAAAACCACAAAACACAAGAGTCAGAATGTATTTGTTACACAAACGCAGATATGTACATTACCATCGTTATTGATAGATACATTACCAACGTCATCGATAGTCGATACATAAAAAACAATACTTTTGGGGCTTTGCTTAAGGTAACTAAGACTAATTTAATTAACTTCTCCCATGATAATTGCTTTCTCACGAAATCAGCCATAACAGATTTCGAGAAGGCTAAAACCAGATCTCTTCTAAACGAAACCATCTTTCATTTTTCAAATACCAAATTTGAAATAATTAACTATATATATATATATATATATTCGGGAAAATCCGTTTTGAGCTAATTAGTAATAAGATCATGTGAATTGGTCGAAAACCCATAAAAAGTTGGCAAACATAGAACATAAGAAGGTTTGGGTTACACCACGTCAAGAGAAAGATGTGGCGTAATATGTACTGATAATCTCCAATTTATAAAAATAGTTTGGGCCTGTGGATAGATACAGCTTATAGCTTTTCATGAGATGGGCCTCGGCGTCACTACAACACATCTCTTGAACTCCATTTATCGCCGTCGGAACACAGTGGCTTGCTGGCTCTCGAGTCTCGACTTGTCGTCCCAGAAGCCGTGTCTGACGATCCGGTAAAGCTCGTATCATCTGAATTTTTGTTGCTCAAAGCCTTCTTCTTTCGCCGGGTTAGAGAAATTCTCGTATGAATTAGGATGCTTGTTCGAATTTCGTGTCAGATTTGCGTGGTACCGATTCTTCAATTTCGAACACAGAGCTGCATTTTGGGAATTTTGTCTTCAAATTTTTCCATTTCTGACATTCCTGCAAAACTGTGGATCGAAACAGCTCAAAAGCACGCATTTTTCTTGATTTGAGTTTCGATTTAGTAAGCATATCATATCATAACATACTGTTGCTCAAACACATACAAAGATGAACATGCAGAGGCACCTCACACTACTATCTTCTTGTTCATTTTTCCAAATTGACTATAGTGTTTAATGATTCAGCTCACAGTTATGCTGTAATGTGTAGCTGATGATGATATATTCACGAGAGTGTTCATAAACCAAATTGCAGTGAAAGTTAAATAGATGGAGGAAGGCACCACCTCGGGTTCACGGAGAACGCGGTCTCAGGTTGCTCCGGACTGGGCTCTCAAAGACTGTCTGATTCTCGTGAACGAGATCGCTGCGGTTGAAGCGGATTGTTCGAATGCGTTATCCAGCTTCCAGAAATGGACAATGATCTCAGAGAACTGTAACGCTTTGGATGTACACAGAACCCTGAACCAATGCAGGAGGAAATGGGACTCATTGGTGTCAGATTACAATCAGATCAAGCGGTGGGAATCCCAAGGACAAGGCAGTGGCCATTCCTATTGGTCCCTGAGTACTGAGAAGAGGAAGAGACTGAATCTCCCCAGGAATGTGGGTAAGGAGCTCTTTGAAGCCATCAATGCGGTTGTGATGATCCAAGAGCACAAAGCTGAGACTGAACCTGATAGTGACCCGGAAGCAGAAGAAGGCTGTGACGTTCTTGATGTCACTACCGAATTAGGTACATAACTCTATTCTTCTTTGGTCCACTTGGAGTAAGCCCAGGTCAGTCAAGAATCACTCGGTTCTGAAACTCAGCTTTTGCAGGATCAAAAAGGCCAAGACAGCGAACTGTGGTCGTCATGAAGGAGAATCCGCCACATAAGTCAAAGACGGAAGAGGAGCCACGGAGAAACCGAGTTCCGGAAAACATTCGAGACCAACGTGCAAAAGCAAACCTTCAGAACAAAACCGTTGAAGAGAAGAAGCCAGTGGAAGAAATCTCCACGGATGAAGAAGAGGAGGAGGAGGAGGAAACGATGAGCATAGAAGAGGAGGAGGAAGCGATGAACATAGAAGAGGAGGTAAAAGCGATGGAAGCGAAGCTAGGTGAGAAAGCTGACTTGATACATGCAATAGTTGGGAGAAATCTAGCAAAGGGTAGTGAAACAGGGGATGATATTGGCATTGACGACAAAATGAAGTTTGCGAGACATCAAGGAGACGAGCTAATCGTTTGTCTGAGTGAAATTGTTAATACCCTTAATAAGCTCCATGAAGTTCCCCAAGAAATCGAGTGATAGCCAGAGCCGTGCCTGTATGTAATTAAAAAAAAACATTAGGACAGCAAATTGTTTTTTAAATCAGGGCAGCAACTTTTTAAAAAGATTTAATAATCTATTTTTATTATTTGTTATATTTTAATCTCAAATATGGATATGGACTTATACATATATGAGTTTACAAAAGAGAAATTAACAACAATAAGTTAAATTGTTATTAAAGGAAATGATCCAAAAAAATCAAAGAATTAAAGTAAAAAAAACCAAACTATACAAATTCTTTCTTTCTCTGGCAATTAGAAGTTTAATAGTACAAACAATTTTTGTATTTCTCCAACAATTAGATATAATTAAGATAATTTTTTTTACTTTCTCTTCTTGTCAATTATTTAATTATTTTTCTAAATAGTTTTCATCTTTGATTGGTGAAAAGAATTAAAATTCTGGTCAATTATTTTGGAGAAAAAATGTTTTAAAACTACAATTTAATTTATTTAGTTTTATTTTATTATTTTACTATATAAAAATTATATTTATTATTATAATTTTTTTATAAATGAGAGCATTTAAAAAAAAATGTTTATGTATGAAATGAGCTTGACACGGCTCTGGTGATAGCTAAAGGGAATAATTATGCTTTAAATGTTTAGTCATTTTCTTCATTGGAGTTCTCTAATCGTGTAATACTTGGCGTTTCAAAAAACTGGTGCCAGTGCGGTCCGGAACATTTAGAAGACTTAAGCATTTCAAAAAAATAAAAAATTGTGGCTCTTCATAAATTAAAACTGCTAAAATGGATCAAAACCACTGAAAATAGACACATTTTCATGTTTATCATTATTGTCTAAGAAAGAGATTTTTTTTTTCTTTATTTTCTTCAATATGGTCAACTCTATCAATGTTTTCATATTGCTCAACGTATGCACCTCTTTCTCACTATTTTTATAACCATCAGTTTCAATATCATTTCTTGTTAACCTAATTGTAACAATCTAAAAATATGTCTTCTAGTGCTTACTAGAATCTAGAGGCATATTACTGGAAAAAAAAATTGCAGAGACTATTGTTAAAAAAGAAATTAAAACTATGTAGTTAAAATGTAGCATAAAAACATGTTCTTGTTTCATTACTTTCATAAATATTAGCATCTAATAACAATTATTTATTTTTCTAATTCAATTCAACACCATTGTATCATTATAACTATTGATTGTTAATTAATTAATCAGCAATAGTCGAGTACAAAGTGATAAAGAAGAAAACAATAATTAGAATTAACACAGAACTTGAGAAATACCCAAATTGTCAAAATCAAAACTCAAATTTTCTGAATTCTGAATGATTTAATGAAAAAATTTGTAAAGAGAATTTACAGCTTATGTGATAGCGGCAAGAAAGAATTTTTCTTATTTGACATAGAAAAGAAGTTATTTCATAAAAAATAAAAATAAAGAAAGCTTTCTAGTAAAGAAAGAAAAATAAGAAGGTAAATTATGCATATAGATGTGAAGTAAATTTCTCTTTATACCTTCTTAGTTGACCACCTAAACTATAAATAATTTTTGTAAATGTGGCCTGGATTTGAAAAAAATATATGTGGATGAAAGCCAATGCTTCACCTGCTTTAAGACAGGGATGGGCCTGGCTGGCGCTAGCAGGAACGCTGTCTGTATATATACTTTTAGAAAATGCGATGTGAGATGACAACATATAGTTGCAATGTGAGATCACGTTTACTTTTTCAGAAAACAAAAGACCATTGATGTGCTTTCATCGTGATGAGTAAAAGTACACGTCGAATTCACTTGACAAGTTGAAAGGGCAAGAATCAGTTCATGGGAAGGTTTTGAGCAGTTCGTCCCATATGGGACCAGTCAAGACATATGCTGAGACGGATGCATCACATCCCTGTAGACAAACACATTCCCCAATTGCAGCATGAGCAAATTCAAGAAATGGCTAAAGGAAACATAAAATTCGGTTCTCAAAGTATTCTAACAACCATCGAAGGATCAACACACATAGATTCTTAGCCAATACTAAGAAAAAAACAGCCGGATTCTTATCTAACGCTAAAGCAGCCTAAGATCTATTGACCAAGCAGAATTCCACTGATATGGTAACTTATGTCATTAATCTATGTTAGGTAGTCTAATCAATTTAGGACACATATGCAAAGTAATAAGGTATTGTAATTTGTATGATTGTAAAATTGACATGATAGTTATTAAAGTAATTTAACTTTGGCTTTGGGTCACTATTACCAAAAGATTAATGGTAGTATATGAATAATTTTTTTGTTTTATGGTTGATTATATTTTATTTTATTTATGTTAACAGCCACAGAAAAAAATAAAATGTTTTACAATTTTCATGCCATTACAGAGTAGGAGGAGCAAGTCGTGTTCTTTTTCTCATATCCCCTACACTTTGATTATTTAAGAAACTAACCAAAAAAATTACCCAAAAAAAAGAAGGAAAGCCAGCAGCTTAGAGGAAAACCCTAGATGCTCACAAGTGTATGATAACGGGAACTGACCCGACTATATATGCTTAACAAAATATATATATATGTAACTGACGAATGCTTTATATTATATATACATACAATGATTCTTTTGGCAATCTCAGGTTCTCAGACAAACCCTAAGAATCCTAATCGTACAAATATCCTCTCGAATAGCTTCATGATTTTGTAGCTGTGTGATAAAAAAGGAAAAGAAGAAACAATCGAATTAATCGAGCCAACTCGATCTTGAGATTAATGATTTTGGCTTCAGTGCATCCTCCGGAGAGAAGCTTCCGCGTTACGGATCATCGTGGGATACAGGAATGGCTCAGATTCGAAGCGAGTGACGCGCTCTTCAACCGTGTCGAAGTAGGGACCAAGACGTAGCCTTGAAGCTTTCTCCCTCTGATCAAATATGTATCTGTCGATACGGAATTGTAGTTGCTTCTTTGTCGACGTAACCAGTACTCGTGTGATCTGAATGAGTAAAACGAATCCGTGTCGCGCAAGACAACGTAATCAAGAGGGCGACGATGATGAAGGTGATGGTTTCAGAAGCTTTTGCCATCGTTGCGAGTCTGGGAGAGAGTGGCTAGGGGTTTCTTTTTTCAGGTGTATACGAAAACTTTGGAAAACTGGTTTGTGTGTGTGCGTATATATACGTTTATATATAGTATGGAGGATGAAGTTAGGGTTTCTTTGGTGTTATGGTTTTGGTATTATGAGAGTGTGCATGTGTTTAAAATTTTAAATAGAGGATCTGAGGATGGATAAGAGAAACCGACCTTATTTCCAATTAATTATTGACTGGGAGACCGACCTTAAATTCCCCCTTTTTCTCGTAATTTTAGCAGAGATTCTTTAATTACTTTTGAGTTCAAAAAATCAAAACGACTTCACTGGGGATCGAACCCAGAATCTCTGGTTTCGTAGACCAGCGCCTTATCCATTGGGCCATGAAGTCCTTGTTGATCACAATTTATATTATTTATATATATAGTACTTTTTCTTTGTGGTTTCGAACCATTTCAAATCTATTAAACCAAACTGGAATTGAATGTATTCTGAAGCCATGCATAAATACAATGTCCTTAAATTATGTAGGTGTGGTGTGTGGATATTAAAAAGTCCATTAAAGTACAAACACTGTTCTGGATTGAGTCTATTTATGAGTAATTTAAAAAAAAACCAACTAGTGATGATACCTCATTAATATAGATCATAAAATGTATATATCAGCCAAATACATAATTAGCCAATTCCATTAACCACAATCTGCGGATGAGATGTTGTGGAGAGATTATGATGTAATGGATATAAGTTTGTGAAAGCAAATTAAAACTTTCATACGTTAATTTGACAAATGACAACATTAATTAATGAAGATCATAAACTTACATCTAATGTAGAAAATTATTTATTACAAAACAAATGTTAGAAGCATATAAGAAAATGTTATGTTACGAAAAAAAACCTAAGAAAATAATTTAGAATATGACTTAAGATTTATATATAATCTAGTAAAAATAAAAAACATTAAGAGCATGAAACAAGGTTATATATAAAATACTCCACAAAACTGTGTGACTAAACAACATCGAAAGCTTATACAGTACTTGGTTCCACGTTCTCGGAGCTTCACAAAAAGAAAACTGACATATTAGCAGGCGAAAACGATTGTGCTTGACCTTTGCTGTCACTTCACCATCAGCCGTCCTTTCATTCTCCTTCCGGCAAAACTCATCTCATTTGATTAATCCATATTCAATCCACAGGAACCCGTCAAGATATTGTTCCGTGTCGACATATATCTCTTCCTCTTCCTCTCAAAACCTAATTTGGATTTGTTTCTCTCACAAACCTCGCTCCGGCGATCCAAATGAACCGCGGTGACAAATCCCGGATCGTGTACTACTCTCTGTTGTTAATACTCGCCGTCTGCTTCGTCGGTCCTGTCGTCGGAGATGGTGACTCGGACGCTCTTTTGAAGTTCAAGTCATCTCTCGTGAACCCTACCGCGCTGGTGGGATGGGACTCAGGCGACCCTCCTTGCTCCGGAGAAAAAGGAAGCGACTCGAAATGGAAAGGAGTGATGTGCTCGAACGGCGTCGTGTTCGCTCTCCGCCTCGAGAACATGAGCCTCTCCGGCGTGCTTGACGTGCACTCCCTCGCGTCGATGCGAGGGCTCAAGAGCATCAGCTTCATGCATAACGGTTTCGAAGGGTCGGTGCCACGTGGACTCGACGGGCTTGTCTCGCTAGTGCATCTTTACTTGGCGCATAACCGGTTTTCAGGCGAGATCGACGGTGATTTGTTTGATGGAATGAAGGCTTTGGTGAAGGTTCATCTTGAAGGAAACCGGTTTTCCGGTGAGGTTCCGGAGTCGTTGGGGAAATTGCCGAAGCTGACTGAGCTGAATCTCGAGAATAATTTGTTCACCGGGAAATTACCGGCGTTTAAACAGAAGAATCTCGTTACCGTTAACGTTGCTAATAATCGACTAGAGGGTCGAATTCCGTTTACTCTCGGCCTCATGAACAACACCTTCTTCTTAGGTAATCATCATCATCTCTTTTTTCTTTTTCTTTCTAGTGAAGTGTTTTTTCATTATATCTTTCTCTTTTCTTGATTAATTATCATCGTTATCTTCCACATTCATGATCCCATGTTAATATATTGTAACAAATAGTCTTGAAAGTTATGAAACATGAGGAATTACCTTTCTTTTAATTATTATTACTCCATGGGAAGATTTAAACTATATTATTGGTCATGGACTCTTTTGTAAGTAGCGAGCACGTTAGGCACGTTGTTAAGCTTTTCATGGATCACAATATGAATTAGTTTGTTTTGGAGATCGAATAATTATTTTTTTGAAACATACGACACTTTGTTGTCAGGAAAAAATCGAGCTAATAATACATTAGTAATTTTTCCATAATCGTAATTTAGCTCATAACCAGATAAACTAACTATTCGCTTGTTACATTCTTAATGGGCCTACGGAGAAATTGGGCCATGTAAGATCTCACAATTCAATAATTCGTATGTGTCTAAAACAGGTAACAAGGGGCTGTGTGGGCCGCCTCTGCTTCCGTGCAGATACACTCGTCCGCCGTTGTTAACGGTGTTTCTCCTTGCCCTCACCGTCCTCGCCGTCATAGTCCTCATTACCGTCTTTCTTTCCGTTTGCATCCTCGGCCGTCGTCAAGGGCAAGGCCAAGGCCAAGGCCACGACCACGGCCAAATCTACGGACCAACCGAGCAACAGAGTGAGAAGAGCTCGCAGGACTCGAAGGTCTACAGGAAGCTAGCCAATGAAAGTGTGCAGCGAGATTCAGCATCAACAGCAGCATTATCCGAGGGAGCTCAGTCTCCAGAAGAAGACAAGCGAGGAGATCAACGGAAGCTGCATTTCGTTCGGAATGATCAGGAGAGGTTCACGCTCCAGGATATGCTCCGTGCGTCCGCGGAGGTTCTCGGCAGCGGCGGATTCGGATCGTCGTACAAGGCGGCTCTATCGAGCGGCCGCGCGGTGGTTGTGAAGCGGTTTAGGTTTATGAGCAACATCGGGAGAGAGGAGTTCTACGATCATATGAAGAAGATCGGTCGATTATCTCACCCTAATCTTCTTCCATTGGTCGCCTTCTATTACAGAAAAGAGGAGAAGCTTCTCGTCACCAATTACATTACCAATGGAAGCCTCGCGAATCTCCTCCATGGTAAAATTAGAAAACTTTCCAGTGTTCATCTCAATCTGATGACTTTTCGACGAAAGTGATGAACTTTATTTGATAACTTTTGCAGCAAATCGGACACCAGGTCAGGTGGTTTTGGATTGGCCGATCCGATTGAAGATTGCAAGAGGAGTTACGAGAGGTTTGGCTTATCTCTACAGAGTATTCCCTGATCTGAATCTCCCTCACGGCCATCTCAAATCTTCAAACGTGTTGCTCGACCACGACTTCGAGCCGCTCCTAACGGACTACGCTCTCGTGCCGGTGGTGAACAGGGAGCAGTCGCAGCAGTTCATGGTGGCTTACAAGGCCCCAGAGTTCACTCAGCAAGAGCGGACCTCGAGAAAGTCCGATGTGTGGAGCCTTGGAATCTTAATCCTCGAGATCCTGACGGGGAAGTTTCCGGCGAACTATCTACGGCAAGGGAAAGGAGCTGATGACGAGCTAGCTGCTTGGGTTGAGTCGGTAGCGAGAACGGAGTGGACAGCTGATGTGTTCGACAAGGAGATGAAAGCAGGGAAAGAACACGAAGGGCAAATGTTGAAGCTGCTCAAGATTGGGTTGAGATGCTGTGACTGGGACATAGAGAGGAGAATTGAGCTCCACGAGGCTGTTGATCGGATAGAAGAAGTCGACAGAGATGCAGGTGGAGGTCAAGAGAGTGTTCGATCTTCATACGTGACTGCTAGTGATGGCGATCATCGTTCTTCAAGAGCCATGACTGAGGAGTTTTCTCTCATGTAATAGCTTCCACTGAAGGCCTGTCTCTCTCTCTGCTCTCCACTAGTCTTCTTCTTCTTCTTCTTCTTCATCTAAACCTCGTTGATGTTTCGTGTCTCTGTTTGTAGGTAAACACGATCACTTTTAATTTGTTACCGCCAGGATTACTCGCATTCAATTCTTTTTCTTAGTTATGGTCGATGAGTAAAAAAGCTTCAAGCTTTTGTTTCTTTTATTGATTTTTTTCAGTATTCAGCTCTTTTTTGTTGTTTTCCTCATTTTGTGAATATTCGTGCCCTCATTTGGTATCATCATCTAGACGCAAAAGAATGTCTTTTATGTCCATTTCTTCTTCAACTTGTCCACTTTTTCTGATGCCACTGTTGAGATAAGCAAGAATATTAATTTATGGTTTTCACAAGCTTGTTGCTTTAGCTATTGGGTAACGTTGCAGATGGTTGGTATATTCTTTGAGGATATTTTTGTATGTTTGACAAAGACCTTAATAAAATTTATATCTTTTCTATTTTTATTTTATTGTCCCCATGTGATTCTCCTTTATCCCCTTTTCTTGGAATTTACAAGCTTGATCAACCGAAAGGAAAATCAACGAGAATTAGACCTGTGGTGAAATCTTGTTACAATAGACTCTGTGTTCACATCTCTTTGGTTCAGGTATGTTGAGTTTTCGCTTGCTACTTTTTCTCAACAGGTCTTCTGAGTCAGTTCATACTCTGTAAATCCTCTTTCAGTTTTTTTTTTTCAGTTGTATGTTCCTTCAAGTTTTGTCTGCGTTTCTGATGATTTAAAACTGGTCTTGATATTTCTGTATATCTAAGATGAAACTTGGGGGGTTTTTAATCACCAGAAAAGAAAGTCAGGTTTAATTGTAGTTGTGTTTAGAACATCTCAGTCTTCACCCAATCACAAAGCATTTGCTCTTTTCATTAGAAGCCTTTGGAGTTAGAATTCACTTGAGCCGTTATATAACTATAGTAGCATGTACTCCGACAATAAGGCTAAGGCACCTGTTCTTGATGAACCATGTCCATTCTCATATATTGGTTTAGGTTTCTCTATCAAAACAGAAGAAGCAGACAGAGAATAGTGGTGTTGCAGTTTAGATGGCAGTATCAGCAGATTATCAAGTGCAGTTTCCTGAAAATGATGATATTTACTCTATACTAGCAGCGGAAGGGATTGAATTCCTTTTGTCGCATAGTGGAGAGGTACCAATCATTCTCTCTCCTTATTGTTTCACAACGTGGTCTTGAGTCGTATGTGGTTTTTCTATACTCAGGATCTTTTATTAAACTACAAGCTCACTTCTCTCAGGTGCCTTTGGAATATATTCACGGGAAGACGATTTGTCTCTTCTTCTCCGCAAACTGGTGCAGGCCTTGCAAGGACTTTACTCCAGAGCTGGTAAAACTCTACGAGAGTCTTCAGAAACGAGGAGAAGAACTTGAGATCATCTTTGTCTCATTTGATCATGATATGACTCTATTCTATGAACACTTCTGGTGCATGCCATGGCTCGCAGTTCCCTTCAGTTTAAGCCTACGCAACAAGTTAACGGACAAGTACAGGATCGCTCGTATCCCGTCACTCGTTCCTCTAGATCCAGATGAAATCTCGGTCGCTGAAGATGTAATTGGTCTAATTGAAGACTATGGTCCTGAAGCATTTCCTTTCACTAAAAAGAGGAAAGAAGAACTCAAGGCCATCGATGACTCCAAACGCGTTGGAGGACAGTTGGAGAAACTCCTTACGCATGAATCCCGGAATTACGTTGTTTCTAGAAATGGAAGTAAGGTAAGAAAAATGACTTAGAAACTTCAACGATCTGGTCTGATCAAATGATCCTTAATGATTTTATGTCTATGAACAATATGCAGGTACTAGTTTCTGAACTTGTGGGCAAGACCATAGGTTTATACTTTGGTGCACATTGGTGTCCACCTTTTCGATCCTTCACTTCTCAGCTCATAGATGTGTACAATGAGCTTACGACCACCACAAAAGGCTCCTTCGAAGTCATCTTAGTCTCAACAGACAGAGACTCGAGAGAGTTCAGTCTCAACATGACCAACATGCCGTGGCTTGCAGTACCTTATGAGGACAGAACAAGACAAGATCTCTGTAGAATCTTCAACATCAAACTCATACCTGCTTTGGTCATCATAGGACCTGAAGAGAAAACGGTGAGCACAAACGCGAGAGAGATGGTCTCGTTGTATGGATCGAGGAGTTATCCATTCACGGAATCTAGGATTGTTGAGTTAGAAGCTTGTTTGAAGAAAGAAGGCGATTCGTTTCCAAGGAAAGTGAAAGATAAGAAACACGAACATGAGCTAAAGCTGGATATGGCGAAAGCTTATGTGTGTGATTTCTGTAAGAAGCAAGGCAGGTTTTGGGCGTTTTCTTGCGATGCTTGCGATTATGATCTTCATCCTACATGTGTGGAAGAACAAGAAGCATTGTTGGTTTAGCAGCAGAGAAAGTCATAGTGAATTTGTCAATGACTTATATAATCTGTTGTGTTTTGAAACTGAGACACCAGAGTCAATGGACCTATATTCTTTTATCTTTTTGTCAAGAAAAACTCAAACACAGTTAGGAAATTTGAGACTGTAGTTGTGCTTGCTTATACAAATAACATTCTGATCATTTTTTTTTATTGACACAAGGATCCGTAGTAAATACACATAAAATATAGTTCGGGTGTTTTCTCATACATTTTTTTTTTTATTGTAGATTTGTTGTGTGCAAGAAAAAACAGAAATTGTTTGTGAGTAAAATATATAACACACATTTGATAGGAAGTTTGAGTAAAGAGAGGCGGGGAAGAAGGAGAAACGCTCAAAACAGAGAGATAAAAACAGAGAGATAGAAACAGAGTCAACGGATTTTTATAGAAAAATGACAGACGAATGACAATCGGGAGGATCTTAGAAAGGAAAAAAACAAATAAACTTATATTTGACCATTGAAGCTTCAAAAACCTCTCTGTGTATTGCTCTTCCATATTCCTTCCTCTGTTTTTAGAGATTCATATATAGAGAGAGAAAGAGATTTGGATGGCGAAGAACAGGCGGGACAGAGACGGAGGAGGATATGGCACGGATGGATTGGTTGCTGTGGCAATAGACAGAGACAAAAGCAGCCAAAATGCTCTGAAATGGGCTACCGATAATTTGTTGCAGAGAGGCCAAACCATCCTTCTCATCCATGTCAAGCCTCGGGCTTCTTCTTTGTCAACGAACCCTTCTATTAGCTCAACCTCTTCTAGTAAAATCTCTCTCTTTCTTCTCTGTTTCTAGTTCCTTTATGCGTCTTCCTTTCCTTTCTCGGTACCTGACTGGTTTTGTTTCTCTGTTTTTTTTCCAGAATCGAGCCAAATAAATGGTGATTCTTCATTGGTGAGTGGAGAACCAGAAGGCTCTTACAAACAGTTGTTCCTTCCCTTTCGTTGCCTCTGTTCACGCAAAGATGTTGGTCTCTCTAATCTTATTTATACTATATACGTCAAAAACAGTTCTACGTGTGCTCTGTATCTTCCTATGCTTATTATGATGTGCTTTCTTGAAATGGAACGTGTTTCAGATACAATGCAAGGATGTGGTGCTGGAGGAGTCAGATGTGGCGAGAGGTTTAGTCGAATATGCAAGTCAGGTCATCATTGAGATATTGGTGGTTGGTTCCTCTTCAAAAGGTGGCTTTCTCAGGTTTGTTTTTATCTATCTCTTTCCGGTTTAGCTGTGAATGTTTTAACCGGAAATGATGGATCAGTCTGGGTCTTTGAAACTCTGCAGGTTCAACAAACCTACAGATATCCCGGGAGCCGTTTCGAAGACGGCACCTGACTTCTGCACGGTTTATGTGATAACCAAAGGGAAGCTTACATCAAAGAAAGCAGCCTCTCGTGCTGCGCCTTCTGTTTCTCCATTGCGTATGCAGCTTCAACAGAATAGCTCAAAGCCACATCCACCTTTGCCTTCTGCTACAACTACTAATTCAAGAGGTTCAAAAAAACAGACATGGCCTCTTTCTTAGTGCTTCTTCACATGGCAAAATACTAATAACTTTTCTGAGTTTGTTTCTTTCTTTTTTCTTGTTTCTTGTAGCTGAGAGAAAATCATTTGAGTCTCAGAATCGGAGGTCACTTGACGATCAAACTGATTCATTCAGGTACACATCATCACTTCTTGTTTTTTTCATATGACACAGCTCCGGGAATCATGGACCATTGAGACTTTAGACGATGAAACATTGTTGGTTGAAACAGGTCACCCTTTACTAGAAGAGGCATGAATGGGAGATCATACGGAGATATATCATTCGCGGATTCTGACATATCCTTTATCAGCTCTGGAAGACCAAGCACTGAGCGTAACTCGGTTGATTCAAACCGGACTCCTCCTCCAAGGCTATCAAACTTCTCAGACATGGACTATGGTAGCTTCGAGTCAATAAACTACGGACGGAGGTCACTGGATATAAACTCCCCAACTGCTTTCTCAACAGGCTCATTTGAGAATGAAAGGTTTTCTTCTGCTTCTCAAGGAGGGGTAAGACTCACCTGTAATGTATCTTTATCTACTTTGGAACTAGTAGTTGCAAGAGCTGAGAAATGTGATTCTTGGAAAACCAGGAAGATGTTGAGGCTGAGATGAGGAGGCTTAAGCTGGAGCTGAAACAAACGATGGAGATGTACAGTACAGCTTGCAAGGAAGCGCTCACAGCAAAACATAAGGTCTAAATTATTTTACATGACTATTCTGTGGTGTGGCTTCACTTACGGATTCGAAAGCGGATTGTTGAACCTTGCAGGCAACGGAGCTTGAACGCTTGAAGTTAGAAGAAGAACGGAAGTTCGAAGAAGCAAAGCATGCAGAGGAAGCGGCGTTAGCCATTGTAGAGAAGGAGAAAGCAAAATCCAAAGCAGCAGTGGAAGCAGCTGAAGCAGCACAAAGGATCGCTGAGATCGAGTCCCGGAAGAGAATCGATGCAGAGATGAAAGCTCTGAAAGAATCCGAGGAGAAGAAAAAAGCCGTGAATGCTTTAGCGCACTCGGATATCAGATACAGGAAGTACTCCATCGAGGAGATTGAGGATGCAACAGAGTTCTTTGACGACAAGTACAAGATCGGTGAAGGCGGGTATGGACCTGTCTACAAGTGTTATCTTGATCACACACCCGTGGCTGTGAAAGCTTTGCGCCCAGATGCAACTCAAGGCAGGTCACAGTTTCAGCAAGAGGTTGAAGTGTTGAGCTGCATGAGGCACCCTAACATGGTTCTACTCCTTGGAGCATGCCCTGAATGTGGATGCTTAGTGTATGAGTTCATGGCCAATGGGAGCTTAGAAGACCGTCTCTTCAGACAAGGAGACAGCCCGCCGCTCTCTTGGCAAACGAGGTTCAGAATCGCTGCAGAGATCGGCACTGTGCTGTTGTTCCTCCACCAGACTAAACCGGAACCACTAGTTCACCGTGATCTCAAGCCAGCTAACATCTTGCTAGACCGAAACTTCGTAAGCAAGGTCGCTGATGTTGGTCTTGCTAGGCTTGTCCCTCCATCTGTTGCGAACACAGTGACGCAATACCGCATGACATCAACCGCTGGCACGTTCTGCTACATCGATCCAGAGTATCAGCAGACCGGTATGCTTGGTGTGAAGTCTGACATTTACTCACTCGGCATTATATTTCTGCAGTTGATAACAGGAAAAGCACCAATGGGTCTAACTCATTACGTCGACAGAGCACTCGAGAAAGGGAATTTGAAAGATCTGTTTGATCCAAGTGTGCCTGATTGGCCTGTTGAAGACACCACAGAGTTTGCCAAGTTGGCTCTCAAGTGCGCAGAGATAAGGCGTAAAGACAGACCTGATCTTTCCAGAGTTATCTTGCCAGAGCTCAACAGATTAAGAGAACTTGCTGAGGCATCATCTCAGTCTGCAGTGGTCATCAACAGCCCCGGACCAACCCCCAGCGTTAGTCAAGCTTCCTCCCCCAAGTTGTGAGAACTGATTAACGAATACAAAGAAATGCATGTTTCAAACTCGAATCCTTGTATACGACTCATTTCTCTTCTCCAATATTCATCTGCAGGAACAGATGAATGGTACTTCCACGGCAGTGCCTCGGTAACAAAGTGTCAAGTTTTGTTGTGATGAACAAATTGATCTGCACATAAGAAGAGACACAGAGGATTTAAATGTATTTCATGTATAGAAAGTGTTCATTTTGTATATACAGATGATTATAGTTTACTTACCATCTACATCAGGATGGAGGAAATTCAAGGATTAAAACCTTTTTGTCTTGCCTTCTCTTACATAAAAGCAAATTCAAAGAGAATTACCATAAACCATAAACCCATACATGATAAAATTAATGGAATTATCATTTCATTAACAAAAATGGGTAATAATATTACAACAGTATCCAATCTTTTTTCGTTACGATTATTACTTTGATAACCAAAAAGAATGCTCAAATTTGTCTCCCATGAAAGCTTATGCTCTTCATTATTCATCTAAGATCACGAATCAACTGTAAATTAGCCCGATGGCGTCGCATTGTGGATTAGATTACATCGCCTCCGCAACTTCTTCATCTCCTTCCTCTTCCTCATCTACAGGTGGCTTGATCCTTTTAGGTCTGCCACTTTGTCTCGCATCTTTGCTAGACAAGAGCTTCATTGCTTTCTCTAAAGTTACCTCACCTGGCTCCAGATTCTGCCAAGTACCAAGTTAAACCTCGATGAAAACGACAATGCTTTGAAACTCATGCCATAACATAGACAACAATAGATCCTATCATATTATGGATGCAGAACCACGCCTCAATTCCTTATCAAGTATTAGACCAACATCTCCTTAAACATGCTCCTTTTATTCTGAGGAGGCATCATATAACAGTAGTATATAACTATACCTTTGGAACAGTAGCCATAGTGCGGCGATGTCGAACAGTAAATCCAGATTTACTAAGTTTCAAGACAACAGGCTGCCCATCTTCAGGGTGGGTTCCCTGGTCAGAAATCAGCAAACCAATTCGTCAGCACTCCAAAATGTTGGAACAGCCCATCCAGAAACGCAATAACTTTAACCTTTTATATCAGTCTTACCACTGTCAGAGGATATCGTAACAATTCGAGAGCACTTTCAAGAGTAATAGAGTTCACATCCTTTATCTGAAATTGCAAGAGATTTCTCAGTAAGTATAGGCACGCATTATACTACCAAGACATTACTGGTACACATATGCACACTGAACGTTTACTCAGTATGACTCCATTTATGCAGGAATGAGAAACATAGAGAACATTTTATTTAAATTGATAAAAACTCCAACATACATGGGCCGCGTTTGCTCGTTTTGGTATGTGCCCTTTTTTGTCCTCGCCAAGCTGTACATAATGCCCATAGGGGCCGCACTTTAAAATAACCTGAACGAGGAAATGGATTCAGCAACTTAGAGTTGTAAGAGAAATTGTCAACAGAAGAGGGTCAGAACAGCGAGACCTTCTCACTGGTATTGGGATGAACACCCAACAATTTGGGCTCTTCGACGCAGGTATTCTTCGGAGGCTCATCTTCATCTTCATCCTCTCCATAAAGCGTTTTAGCAATGAACCTGTATATGAACCACATAGCTCAAACTATATCAGTGACCATGATAAATGATAATAACACGGATAGATTTAAAAAAACACACAAAAAGTTAATACGTAATGTCAGATGGAGAGAATATATGAGTAAGCATCTCAGATGTCAATAGTTAGAGATTTCAACAGCAAGCAACTTACTTGCATGAAGGGAAGTGATCACAACCGATGAAATACCCCGTACCGAACTTACTTACTTTGAAAATTAAGGTGCCTTCCGAACAACTGAAACATGGAAAGAAACCCAATAAGAGTCAACATACACTCATCAAACTATAAATAATTTTTTCTTCTTATTTAGGCCTCCTCTGTATTTTTACTGCACAATCTAGCAGAATTGTTTGCTGATACTAAATGTGAAAGTATTAAAGCATAGGTTTCTTCAAAATTATAAAGATGCTATATCCTGAGATTGATTAGCATTTCTATTTTAGATAATGTGGAAGGGGAAAAGGTATGCAGACCTCGGGCAAGTCCTAGTGGGGTCGGGAAGGGAAGAAAACAAAAAGTCATCATATTTTTTTTCCAACATTTTCTCCACCTGTAAATGTATGATAGATAATGTAAGAATAAATTAAAAAAAAAAAAAACATTGTAGAAAGTAGACTTCCAGAGTTCGTTCTTCTAAGAAAGATGTACCTGTTGTATTTGGACATTTTCAACACGTTTACAATACGCGCTGAATCGTGTCCAGTAGTCTCTTAGAAGGCCTTTCCATTCAGTTACACCACCAGAAACATTGTCAAGCTGAAAGGAAAATCAATCATAGGAAAAAAATTGAGCATCTTCTCATCTTGCAATATCATAAAATATCTATGGAATATACAGAGTCCAGTGATGAATAAACAAAAATTCCACCTCAGTCTCCATATCAGCAGTAAAACTATAGTCTGTGACCTCAGTGAAGTAGTTGGTAAGAAAAGCTGAAACCTAGAAACATAGCACAGAGGTTTAGAAAGATACGTTGCAATGGTTGGTTTACTAAATCATCAATTAGTGAGCCTGATTAATGAGAAAAATACCATCCTCCCACGGAATTCAGGATACAGTACTCGGCTCTTTACTGTTACGTACTTTCTGTCCTGTTAAAAAGAATAAGAGGTGTCAAAATCAAGAAAGTAGGGGTGACGTTAGAGTCTCTTAACGTCCATCAAGAAACAGAAGCATTCGAAAGAAATAAACCACCACTTTCCTAACACGAGCACATACCTGTAAGACTTTAAATATAGATGCATATGTCGAGGGTCTACCTATCCCGAGCTCCTCGAGCTTTTTAATCTGAGACACATTGAAAACATGTTTAACAAATTATGTATTGTAAAACCTGGAGGCAGTAGAATAAAAAAAATTCTCATGCCTAATATATCTGCGTAACCACCAGATTAAGAAGGCAGAAAAAAGAACGGATCTTTTTTGGAAACAAAACTGTGTCAGTTCTCATTTTCCTAATCATTTATATTTTTCTCTTCGCCTATAGAAAACTTATTCAATGTGACCACATATTCCAAAAAGAGCCTTACCAGTGACCCTTCGGAATAGCGTGGTGGGTGCTGAGTATGGTGTTGCTTGGGCTCCACTTCACCAATACGTAGCAGATCCCCATCCTGAAAAGAGGAGAATGAAATGACAACCAACGTACAAAGCACAGGTACAAAAAATATTGTGATATTAGAAATGGTACCTTCAACAAACTGAGAGTTTCAAAAGTTTCCCCCCGCTCAATACTCTTATCATCGTCTTTGTTTTTGATTGCCTTCGCTTCAGGATCCTACAACATCACCACGAGAAACAACAAAATTAAAATCTATAAAGTTGCTCCTAAAGCCAAACTCTAGGGAATCATCAGCACTTGTGAGGCATTAAAAGCCTACATAAATGATATAGCTTCTAGGTAATCAACGATAATGTCAAATAGGTTGTACCTCGTAAACTGCCTGGTATCCAAGGAAATCGATTTTTGAGCATGATGATCTGAAGATAATGGTTTCAGAGGCATTTCCGATATCAAGTTGTATCTGCGAAAGAAAAGAATCAGAAATACTGGACAATTATGTTGGATTTCAAAATATTACTAAACCTTGAACCGTTCAATATTGGTTGACGGGACTCTGTTTTTTCCTTTCTTTTTCTCACGCTGACCAATAAGAACCTAATTGACATTGTATGCATGATTTAAAGTGCAAAATAGCAGATATATTACCTGGGCAATAGAAGCAGGCTCCATCTGACATGCCACAGCTCGTGACCATATTAAGGTATATAATTTTAGAGAATCCGCATCAAGCAGGCTAGCAATCGTTGCTGGAAATGCATACAAAAGGTGTTGACTTGTATCGTAAATTATTGATGATGACTAAAATTAAACTCTAATCTTAAGAAAGACGGTAAAATATCTACTTACACGGTAATCTACGTATATCGGTAGGTCTAATAGCTTCATGGGCCTCCTGAGCGTTCTTAACCTTTTTAAAATACTTACGAGGACTACCTGATGTAAAATTCTTCCCATACCTGCAGATAATAAGTAAATAGCAGCTAAAGTTTTCTGAAATCAATAGACTAACGTAGAATAACTTCACAGATGTAGTTATATGTCTTACCTTTCTTCCACCAATGACTGTATATCTTTGATAGCTTCATCAGCTATCTGAACAAATGAAAACAAAAAAAAATCAATCAAGGAAAATCAAAATGAAGTTGTGACAGGTAGCAAGATGAATCAGTCAGTAATGTTTTTGAAACTCTAAACAAAAATGAATGACCATAGCAGAAAATACACAAGTATAGAGATTACCCACATGTAAACCATCTGTCCGCATGTATGTTATAAGACCAGCTGAATTACCATCGGACAGTCTAACACCCTCATATAGTTTTTGAGCAAGCTGTACAGTAGTTATTATATCAGAGCTATGCACTCAATGAAAAGTGAATAAAAACTAAAAAGACAAAAAAAAAAAAGTTTCAGTTTCTTAACCTTCATAGTATATGCTGTTGAAAAATGCAATTTGTTAGCAGCATCCTGCTGGAGGGTTGATGTTATATATGGAGTAGGTGGATTTTTCCGTGTAGTGCTTTTTTTGGTGCCTTTCACTAGAAAGCCTTCTGATCTGATCCTCTGCTCAATGTCCTGTGCCTCTGCTTCGGAGCTGATAGAAAGCTGATTTAACTTTTTCGAATTTAAACTGGTCAAGTGAGCTGAGAAAGTGGCTGAGTTATCTTTCCCTTTCACTTTGATTCCTACAGTCCAGTACTCCTGAGGCTTAAACCCGTCAATTTCACTTTCTCTATCACATATAAGACCCAAAGCAGCAGACTGGACCCGCCCAGCTGACGGGCAACCCGGAAGTTTCCTCCAAAGTAGTGGCGAAATATTGAATCCGATCAGATAATCAAGAGCACGCCGTGCGAGGTATGCGTGTACCAAGTCACCGTCAATTTCTCGTGGGGACTGAAGTGCAGTTTTTATTGCTGACTCAGTTATCTCGTGGAAAACAACCCGTGCTACTGTCATGCTTTCATGTAAGGCACCCTGCTGCTGCAACATCTCAATGATGTGCCAGGCAATTGCCTCTCCTTCACGATCTGGATCCGATGCAAGAATCAGATTTTCAGCTCTGAGGAATAAGGTTAAACAGAATGAGAGAGAGAAGCACAACAGAAAAAAACAGAGGATAGAAGAAGTAGGGAATAGATGACAACAGTAACTGTGGATTTTTGAAAGTAGTTAAGCAGATAAGAAACCGTACCCATTTAATGCCACCTTTATGCTCTTAATATGAGTCCAGGCGGAAGATGGAACCTCCCAAACCATGCTAAAATCGTCATCCGGCCTCACTGAACCAGACCTTGAGGCCAGGTCCCTGATATGACCATAACTTGGCAAAACCTCATACATGTCACCAAGATAACCCTGAATAACCTTCGCCTTTGTGAGTGACTCAACGACAATAACAGATTTTCCACTTGGCGGATAAAGCGGTTTAGAAGCATTTTGACCTCGATGCTCTATGCTGTTTTTCATATGTTGAGCTTGAGGAACCTGCTTCTGTTTTGGTGCTTTTGCTGACTTCCATTGCTGTTGTTCCAACTTGGAGTTCGGTGAAGCAGCACTTGAGGGACCCTCGACAATGGGATTTTCTGCCACCTCCTTCTGAGAACGGTACTGTTAGGGTAAAATAAGCAAGGCTAAAACTATTGTCCCAAAAATTTACAAGTTTAACACCTTAGCAGATGAAGACTTCCGATTTCGAGAACCAGAATGTTTTGTCTTGGGAACGCTTTTTGGACTCTCTTCTACAAGGACCGACTCCAAAACTGGTACCGCTGAAGAAGATTTATCATCGACTTTCTTGCTCTTTGGTCGCCGTTTTGTTCTGGCAGTAGAGGCTGGCTTGCCATTACTAGCAGGTGAAGCTTCAGTTGATAGTTCCACCTTGGAATTTGATGGAGCAGAACTTTTGGGCACCTCCACAGTGGGATTTTTTGCAACCTCCTTCTGAAAAGTGTACCGTTAGGTAAAATACGATACGCACGGATAAGACTAACATTTCCCAAAATTTAAAAGTTTTAATACCTTAGCAGATGAAGGCTTTCGATTTCCAGAACCAGAATGTTTAGTCTTGCGATCGGTTTTCAAACTCTCTTCTACAGAGACCTCCTCCAAAACCGATGCCGTCGAGGAGGATTTATCTTCGACTTTCTTGCTCTTTGGGCGCCGTTTTGGTTTGACGGTAGAGGGTTGCTTACCATTGCCAACAGGTGAAGCTGCAGTTGATAGGTCCACCTTGCTGCCGCTGCTAACATCTCCGATAACTGGTTCAGTAGAAGCGACCACTTCAACTTTTGAGGACGCCAAAACTTTATGCTTCCTCCACTTCTTATGAAACTTCTTCTCCTTTCCATCACCACCAACAATCTTATCCTTATTTCCAGTATTAGGGACTTGAGAAAAACATCTCCCCGGAAAGGGTCTGAGACTATTTCCGAAGGAACTTAAACTCGAACTGCTCCAGTGTACTGCATAGCTAACAGAACCGAGAATCCTAAGACGCGAAGGAAGTGCGCAACCTAACTTAAAAGAAGTTGCATTTTCCCTTTTGAAGTGAAGCTGGCATACATTTCTATAGACTTTATCCACTCGAACTACTGAAGAGGAAGATGAGGCTGGGAAATTCTGAATTGCCCTGCACTGCAACTGCGTCGACAAGTAATCAACAGAATCTCCATGAGTTCTAGTGATGAATTCTCAAAGGCTTATAAAACAATATAGCATCAACGAAAAATTGAAACAAATTCGACATCATTTCATCCACTACTAGAACTACAAAAGTCTAAAGATTTAGCCGTAAAGTAAAAGAATTTGAATCGAGAAGCTAACACTAGAGTAACCCCACCAGAGGAAGGTTCAAACACAAACCTTAGCCATGAGAGGACGAAGAGAGAGAGCTGAAGTCGAAGAAGAAGACTTAGCAGCCGCAAGTGAGATGGTTCTTTGCATTGGGAATACTCTGCTTAATTCAATTAGTATCAAATCGTCCCACGAGTTCTTCCGTTGCTTTTCATATATCCATCCAGCCGAAGAAGAAAGAGTTGAGTTTGCTAATGGCGGAGAAGAAGATTTCTTCTAGTTAAGATTTTGCTAAAAAGGGTTTACTCTCTGGGGTTTATCTGTTTATAACTCGGGTCGGGTCGGTTATACGGGTCGGGTCTTGATCAGGATCAATTTCATCCGAGTCAAACAGGTATTCGAAACGGATCGGGTATACGGATCGAAACGGAACGCTCTCTCTCTCTCTCTCGGTGCTCTCGTCTTCTTCAAGGAAGTTTAGCTTCTGCCCCATCGGGTTCTACGAGTTTTTCTCAGAAATTTGCTCCGTCTTTGTTTGTAAGTGATAGAATTACTTATTTGTGTCTCGCTCTCTCCAAGTTTTCGCGATTTCAGCTCTTGTTAATCGATGTGGCTTTGTTGTTAGACTCTTCGATTCAACTGTTCATAGTTCGATTCTTCTCTCTGCGTATACTGATTCACTAATGGGAATCACTTCTTTCGTTTCGAATGCACTAGAATTTGCTTGTGTTGATTCATATCGCCAACTTCGAATGCTCATTCTTCTCAGGAACACTAGCTGCTGAATAGATGGATCGAAGGCAGCACGATTATGCTGCGTCTTCTGGGTTGCCTTACCCTCAGCAGCAGCAACAGCAACAGCAACAAGTCCCAAACTTTCCACAGCAATTCGGATTCCATCCGCAACATCAACAGTACCCATCACCGATGAACGCTTCTGGCTTCATGCCTCCTCATCCTTCTATGCAGCAGTTCCCTTACCAACATCCTCCTATGCAACAGCAGCAGCAGCAACTTCATCACCCTCCTCACCCACAGATGTTTGGTCAGCAGCAACCTCAGGGTTTCCTTCCACATCCACCTCCACCTCCACATCACCTTCCTTCGCCATTCCCTGGACCTTATGATTCAGCTCCTCCTCCTCCACCTCCAGCTGACCCAGAGCTGCAGAAGCGAATCGATAAGCTTGTCGAGTATTCGGTTAAGAACGGTCCAGAGTTTGAGGCTATGATGCGTGATAGACAGAAGGATAATCCTGATTATGCATTTTTGTTTGGTGGTGAAGGGCATGGTTACTACCGCTATAAGCATTTCCTCTCTACGCATCCCCCTGGTCCAGGAGGACCTTTTGATCCTCCATTTCCGTCAGCTTCTGTGCCTATGATACATCATCCGCCAAATCCCATGATGAGCCCTACAATGAACAATGTGCCCGGTGCATTGGCAGCTCCGCCTATCCGCCAACCTCCTTTCCCACCGTTCCATGACCACCAGCAGCATCTTCCGCAACCTCATCCTTTCGCGCCCCATGCTCGTCCTGATTTTAATCAGTCAGCTCATGCATTCAGAGGTCTTTCTGGTCCACTCCCTGCTGATGTTGCAGTGGAACTAAATAGTGTCTTGGCCAACCTTAATGGCACAAAAGAGTCTATCAAAAGTGCTAAGATTTGGTTCATGCAGAGGTCTCCCTTTGCACCAGCTTTAGCAGAGGCAATTAGAGACAGAGTCTTTGCAATAGATGACTCTGATAGACAGATGCACATAGTCTATTTAGCGAATGACATTCTCTTTGACAGGTATCTAAACTAAATCACTGCTTTCTGTTTTCATAATTCTAGGGGTTTAGTGCACATAGTCTTTGTTTTTCGTATATTCTATCTTGTTATGAATTTAAGCTTTCTAGTTCTGGTTCATTTGATATATATGTGTTGCACTTGCAACATTATGGTGCTTCTACTGACGTTTTGCTTCCTTTTTAATAGTTTGCAACGGAGGACAAACTTGCATGAGTTTGACAACGAAGCCCTTGCTTTCAGACCTGTTTTGGGTTCCATGCTGGGGAGAATTTACCACTTTCCACAGAACAAGGAAGAAAACCAGTCACGTCTGGAGAAGATTTTGCAGTTCTGGGCTTCTAAGGAGGTTTTTGATCAAGAGACCATCTCCTCCCTTGAGAAAGAGATGAAAGGTGGACCACCTGCAAATACCTTTTCTCGTTCACCCAATGTAGCAGCAAACTCCTTGCAACATCCAGGTACTCCTGCTCTTCCATGAGAGAAAGCAGAAAACATATTTCGATCTATGTAAGATGAATTTGGTATAGATTCACCAGACGCCAACAATTTTTTTTTATCCACTTGCAGGAATGATGCAACAGCCTCCAAGCAGTAATGTTCCTAGCACAATGAACTTAGAGCATGTGGCTAGTAATCCGGTTGCAACCCAACAGTTTATCCCAAATGTGATGCCTCCTGGTGCCTTTCCCGGTTCCATACCGCTTAACCCCTCTGTTCCACCTCCAACACAACCAGTGGTTGGTGAGAAGCCGCCTCCTTATCCTCTATTTCCTCCTGGTCTGATCCCTGGGATGGTGAGAAAGATGCAGATCGGCAGTGGCGTGCCTTACTCTTCACTGAGCCCTCTTGATATCCCGACCATCATACCACCATCTGATACACCTCAATCTCGAGTACTCGAGAGAGTATCAAAGTTCTTCAAGGAGATAGGTGAGGTCAACCCGAGCGAAGGCCCCATGGGATCTGAATCGCAAGATGACTATGATGACTACGAGCGGGATAGTCCAGTGCGCAAAGGAGGTGCATGCATTCCTCCACCTCCAAATCTACAGGTGGATCCGGAGACGGGCACTTATGCGGATGGAAGCACCGATAAAAAGAGCGGATCTGGGAGATTGGGACTTGGAGCAACAGCTGATCCCAACGAGCCAACTCAGTACGATGATGTTTATACATCTTACAGGAAACACAGAAGTACGAATTATCACACATCCATGAGTGCAAGATCTACAACCAGATGAGTTTCAGTTCTATTTCTCATCTTCTAATGGCTAGTTCAGTCTGTTAGTGTAACAAAGTTGAGCCTTTTTGTCTTGTATTTGTTACTATGAAAAAATATGTGATCAGTGATGAATGATCTCAGCTTTGAAAAAGATTTATCAACACATCAATTTTTTTCCGTTAATTTTGGCGCTAATCCAGAGTTTTAAAGAACATATTCCTCTTTTCAGTCAAACACAACAGAGATCTTGAATTTTTTTTGTTAATGGGGGTAACACAAAACCTTGATAAAACAAAGATATATACCGATAAATATATCATCGGGTTATTATCATTTTTATCTCTAAAACAGCATATTATTATGTTAGATGCTCTAAATTGTTGGGTTGAGATGTATCTCTTGAACTTATGTTATGGTTGAATTGTTGGATTGAGACATCTCATGAACTTATATCTCGTGAAAATTGTATTGAAAACAGCCACTAATTCAAGCATAATCCGTTTTAATGAGATAAAAGCGATCAGTCCACTTAAAACGCAGTGTGTTAGTGCTTATAAGATCAAACAAACAATTTCGGGATCAAAATGCAGAAGAATCCAGAAACCAATCAAGACAACTAAATCAAAAGATTCACTTGCACAAAAGGACAAGTAACAACAATAAAACCCCTTCAAATTCATGAGAAAATATCAGTGGAGTATGATCCACGCTTTAGCTTTGCGCTGACAAGATTATTAGGGAGCGAGCCTCTGAGGGTCACGAGGGAACAGCGATGTCTTGCGTATGTTATTGAGGGCACAGAATAGCATAACCACTCGCTCCAGTCCCACTCCGAATCCACCGTGTGGCGGTGCACCGTACCTGTAAACGTTATTATTTATTAGCCATCGTCCATCTCTGATTACCAATAAGTTGGAGCCAAAAGTGCTTCAGTTTATGGTTTACCTGAATGAATCGATGTATGTTTTTATCGTCTTGACATCAATGCCGCATTCTCCTGCACGTTGCTCCAAGACTTCTGGGATATGGACACGTTGAGCTCCTGATATGATCTCCTCACCTAGGACAAACAAAACCGCAGAAGTTATTATCAGAATGTGTGACAACATAATCGATGACAAGATAGATAAAGGTAAAAACTCAAAACTCAAAGATGCGCACCTCTGATGAAGACATCGAATGAGTTGCTGTAGCGAGAATCATCTGCACATGGCATAGTGTAGAATGGCCTAACTGCCGCAGGATAGCGATGCAGCATGTAGAACTCAGTCTTGTACTTCTCCAGAACTAGCTGCCCGAGTTTTCTCTCAGTTTCTGTATTTAAATCTCCAAGAGGATCAACCTCCACACCAGCATCCTGTCCACACATCACAAAGATTAGCAATTATTATTGATTCAATATTCCATTCAAACAACTTATCAAGACAAATGCAAAAGGACCAGTCATACCTTAAGCATTTGAATCCCTTCAGGAAAGGTCAACCGCAATGTTTTTGGAAGAAACTGCAAGTTTAATGCCAATCATCAGATATCAATAAGATACAAAAATACTCGGTGTACTAATATTCCTTGCTCATATTGCATTGTTACCTTCAACGGTACAAATGGGAATTGCTTTCCGACAGCTTCAAATTCCTTTTGGCACCTCTCGTTCAATTTAGTGAATATGAACACGAACAACTCATCCACAATATCCATTACCTGCACAAACAACAAACATTAGCACCCAGAGGCAGCACAATAGAGATGAAACAGCATCTCTTAAGAGCCCAACGTTTACCTCAGAGTAGTGGGTTTCAATCTCCATCTCCACATCAAGACCAACGAATTCACACAGGTGTCTATGAGTGAAGGAGTCTTCAGCTCTGAAAACAGGACCAACCTCAAAGACACGTCGCAAGTCACCACAAATTGCCATCTGCTTGTGAAGCTGAGGAGACTGAGCCAGACAAGCAGGCTGCCCTTTGTACTCCAGCCTAAACACAGCAGAACCTCCTTCACTGCTACCAGCCATCAGTTTCGGCGTGTGGATTTCAAGAAAACCCTTGGATAGTAAGTATTCTCTGAACGCCTACACAATCGTTAAGCTATAAATTCAGCAAACGCAACATAGACAAAAGCAATAAATCATGGAAGGAGAGATCAGACTTGCTACTACGAACGGTTCTGATAACATATGTAAAATGACAAATCTTATCCTAGTCTTGATGCATACAGTAACAAGGCTCATATCTATTATCAACAGATATGAATACAAATGATCAAATCCTCTAAAAGAAGGCTTACCACTTGGACTTGGCCCTGAATGCGGAAGATGGCTTGATTAGCCGATGTTCGGAGGTCAATCACCCTATTATTCAAACGTGTATCCTGATTGGCACCAGGTTTCCCAGCCTGCAACAATCATGGAAACGACGGCTCTTATCAACAGATAAACCACCACAGAATCAACCACAAGAATCAGAGTTCACAACACCATTGTAACAGTTGCAGGCTAATCTCTAAATCTGAAAACAGTACACTACCTCAATATCTGCTTCACTCCGAGCAGCATCCTCCACGATGAGTGGTAACTTTGGCAAGGCACTGTTGACGCAGTACACTTTTCTCACTTGAACTTCCACCTGCGATAACACGATTAAGCCTCTTTCGATGTCACAATTAGATTCAAAAACGATTTGGGATGAGAATGGAAGAAAAAAGGAAACCAACCTGCTGCGTGGTTCCCGTCAGAGGCTCCTTGGGGTGAACGACGACACCGATAACATCGACAATGGATTCGCTACTAAGCTGCCTGAGGAATTTAATCATGTTGACGCCTACTTTGTTCTCCTCCGAATGTGTAGCCACGCATTGAACAGTGAACCCACTTTGCCTCAAGATCACAAAACCCAATTTGCTAGATTTTGTGCGATTCGTGTCCAGTCGGCCTCTGATCAGAACCTCCGATCCGACGATCTCTTCCACCAAATCCCTCACATCGGTCCACTCCTTTCCCATTCCCTCAACAGCCTCTCTCCATTTACCGGCTTTAGGATCCTCCGTCGACTTTAACTCGGTGAGAGTCACGTCGCCGTAGTTACTGAAAAACGATTCGTCCTCCAGAGAAAGAGAAGACGTCTTGCTGGCAGCTTCTTCTTGTTCCTGTCTGCGGCGCAACTTCTCCTGTTTCGCGGCTTCCTTCTTTGCAGCTTTCTTGCTGATCTTCTCTCCAGATTCCTCCGGCGCGGTGGTGGATGACGAACCGATTTCCGGCTCCGACGACATTATGGCTCCGACGAAGGGTTCGAATAGGTCACTGAAACATTCAACATAATTGTAAGTGACTTTTATAGATAAAGTGATGAATTTAAACTTTTGAGTTTTAACACAGAAAAAGTACTAACAATCTAGCAGATCTGGAGGGGAAGCGACGAGGCTAAGGAGAACTTCCGTTGATGGGAGCCAGCGACAAGAGGAAGAAGATGAGTGAAGACGGCTATTTAGGTTTTTTTCCTCGTTGATTACGGTGATGAAATTGTTGGTGTGTATTTGTTTTTTATTTATATACTAATTATTTTCTTATTTTCATTATCTTTGTTGAGTAAAAAAAATGAAAAAGAAATACAAAAGTTTTCACAATTAGGCCTAGAACTTGTGACATGCCAATCAGGCCAAAACAACAATCCAACAAGACCTTACGATTTTGTGGACGAAATATTGTTTATTTCGAAGCCCATCAAGCATGGGCTTTCCTTCGGGCCCGCCTCTTGATGGGCTTCACATCGGGTTCGTTAGATGGCAGCGATTGGTTAGTACTAGAGTTTTTGTGTAAGCGAAATGATACTACGTGCTGCATGAATGTGTGAGTATATATCTAACAAACCAAATGATGAAAGTAGTTTATAGGAGACACATCAAGATGGTATGAGTAGTAAGTATCTATCTAGAAAACAACAATCTATCATTACGGACACTTTTATGACTTAACAGTTCTCAAGTATCAAATTAGAAAGGTAACACAATCAATCATCTGGTACAAATAAATCATGCTACATACTTATGTGGAAGATTCAAGCCATCAACAATTGCAATATATTTAGAGATCTCCAAAGTTGAAGAGTTTCAGACCATATACAGCTTAGAAGCATCAAAAGCAATATGCACGATGATCCCACGAATGAAATTTTGTACTAAATATATATGATGTATACAATCAATGTTTTTTAAAGCATTACACATCTCATAGATCACTTCCTCGCATATCTTGTTGACAATAAATTCAATATCCTTTGATGTTTCACAAGTTTAAGAACTACATCTGTTGTTATACAGTCACTTATTAAGATTTTTTTAGATAAGTCAAACCCCAAATCCAAACGGTTCTACCAAAATGTCGGGGTCACTAGTTTCCAATAAGTTTGTTCCACGTTTCTCTGATCAAATGCAATGTCGCTATTAATAAATAGCTATTATAAGTGAACCCCATACCGTATTATTGGCTGGTCTTATCCGGTTTAAAGACATTAGAATCCAATGAATTGATCAGAAATCAGAATCATATGCTTGTTATCTCGGGAAAATGATGGCAGAACATAAAGAACAGAAGATAGGATGGAAACGAAATCAAAATCAAATTTGGAAATTTTTTAATACTACTAAAGAAGAACAAATCAAAAATCAACTTATATAATCAGGCGAATAAAGTAATGTTACTACAGAAGACATGCGTGACGTGAACAAGTAAAGACTGTTGCTCGTAGCTTTAAAGCTACTACGCGCCGCCTCATACGACGACCAATCATCAACTACGAAATGACACCATGAATGGGACATGTGTCCGCATGTTAAAGCGCGTGTGAAACACTTTCTCTTGGAGAGAGTGCAACTCGGAAGCTGTCCCAATAAATAAGAAACGAATTTGCCAGCAAAGGGACGGGCCAAAATTAAATAAAAATCCAATAATCAAGAAAAAAAAAAAAAGAAGAAGAGGAAAATCGGAGTGTGGAAAAGTAAATGGGAAGGAAGCGACGACTGACTCTTCTCCCTCCTCCTCCACCTCTCTTCTTTAGGTTTCTGTGTTCTCTGCTCTGAAATCGATCGGAAAGTAAGCTTTTGGATTGCAATTTGATTACTTTGGGGGCTCTTGATTTCTCGATCAGCGTTTTTTTCTTCTTTTTCTCTTCGATCCTATACTTATCCAGTACCTGAAGTCAAGGTTTTCGTGTTTCTCTCATGTCTTCCAGCTCATATCTACTGTTTTTGGGGCCTATGGAGCTCTAGAGGTAAACCATGGTTTCTTCTTCTAGCTTATCACATCATGGAATCATCGGATCTGTGTCTACTTTTTTGAGTTTGTGGAAAATGAAACTTATCAACTTGTGTGTTTTCTTTGTAATGAAATTTGGAATTCAACTGTGGAAAATTACTACTTTTATCTAGTAGGAGTAGTTGCTTTCTTCCTTAATAACTACTACGAAGCTGAGAACGAAGGATCTGCTTTCAGCTTAATTCGCCGAACTTTTAGTGATATTGAGTATTTCTATTTTAAGGCAGAGATTGTGTAGAGCTTCCTTAAACCAAACTCTCATTTCTTCTAGCCTTTTGATCTGCTCTTATTTACTGCAATGAAAGACAATGATCATTAGGATGATGGTGATTGCTCGATCTATGCCCGTACCTAAATGCACGGACTTGCTATTTGTTTTTAGTTACCAATACGGAAATACAAAATTGTGTGTTCTCTCATCTTTACTTTTTGTCTCTCTTTTACTGCTGTATCTGATTGAAATTAGATCTACATGTGACTTGCAGTTCGGTCAAAGACATCATACATAACACTGTAATAACACGAGATTGTAAAGAATGCTTGAGGGACCAAAGTTCGACGTGCTCCCTGTTGGCAATCACAACAACGACAACAATTACTATGCCTTCACGCAAGACTTTTATCAGAAGCTCGGTGAGGAAGGTACAAACATGTCAATGGATAGTATGCAGACAAGTAATGCCGGAGGGTCTGTGTCGATGTCTGTGGATAACAGCAGCGTTGGTTCAAGCGATGCTCTTATTGGCCATCCCGGTTTGAAGCCTATGCGCCATGTCTACTCTCTCTCCGTTGGGCAAAGCGTATTTCGACCGGGAAGAGTCACACATGCACTTAACGATGATGCCTTAGCACAAGCGTTGATGGATAGTAGCTATCCGACCGAGGGACTGGCGAACTACGAAGAGTGGACAATAGATCTGAGGAAACTTCACATGGGTCCCGCTTTTGCTCAAGGGGCATTTGGTAAGCTTTACAAAGGGACTTACAATGGAGAGGATGTAGCGATTAAGCTCCTGGAGAGGCCAGAGAACAGCCCGGAAAAGGCACAAGCCCTGGAGCAGCAGTTTCAGCAGGAGGTTTCTATGCTCGCGTATTTAAAGCACCCCAACATCGTTAGGTTTATCGGCGCGTGTATAAAACCGATGGTGTGGTGCATCGTGACTGAATATGCAAAAGGAGGTTCGGTGAGACAGTTTTTGACGAAGAGACAAAACCGAGCTGTGCCTTTGAAGTTGGCTGTGAAACAGGCGTTGGATGTTGCCAGGGGTATGGCTTATGTCCACGAGCGCAACTTCATACACCGGGATCTAAAGTCGGATAACCTCCTCATTTCAGCTGATCGGTCCATCAAGATTGCTGATTTCGGCGTTGCAAGGATTGAAGTTCAGACTGAAGGGATGACACCAGAGACTGGGACTTACAGATGGATGGCCCCGTAAGTTTTGAAGTGTTTCTTGATAATCATTTTCCCTACTTGTCTTTGTACTTTATAACTTCAAATCTCTGCAAAGTTATATATATATTCTCTATGTTCCTGTCTGTTGATTGATGCAGAGAGATGATCCAGCATAGACCCTACACTCAAAAAGTGGACGTGTATAGTTTCGGAATCGTGCTGTGGGAGTTGATAACGGGTTTGTTACCGTTTCAGAACATGACGGCGGTTCAAGCTGCATTTGCAGTGGTTAACCGAGGGGTTCGTCCAACAGTACCAGCGGATTGTCTCCCTGTGCTTGGCGAGATAATGACACGTTGCTGGGATGCGGACCCTGAAGTCCGTCCTTGTTTTGCAGAGATTGTCAATCTTCTCGAGGCGGCGGAAACTGAGATTATGACGACCGTGAGAAAAGCGCGTTTCAGATGTTGCATGACGCAACCAATGACAATCGATTAATCTGTTGTGAAGAAATAGAGAGACGGGGAACGGAGGAAGAGCATAAAAGGGGAAAGAAAGAAGGACTAAATGGAGAAAACAGAGAAAGGGAGAAGTAAGAAGGGCTTTAGATATATGTAAGTTTGTGTGTGTATCTATTATATAAAAGTATCCGATTGTATCTCTTTTCCAAAGATAGGAGAAGTAACCCAACCATTTTAGACTACTGATTCTCTAGATTTTGTGTATTAAGAAAGGAAAAAACGAAAAGCATGTGCGTGAGAGACACTTTGACCGTCCGAAGTGTTTGGTTTAGTTTTCCTTGAACTGATTGTTCCTGTGATAGAGAGAGAGATGCATGCAAGGCTTTTTCTTTTCTCTCCTTTCTGTGTTCATCATCTACATCATCGAGACATTCATGTCATGTGTGCCAAGAGAAATCATGATTAACGAATATCAATACAACTACGTATCATCAAAACTTTGGGTAGTGAACAACCATCTTAGAGATCAAAAGAAGAGCTCAACAGAAAATATGATTAAAAGAAAAACTTAGAAAGGATGAACGTTGTCTAGATAATCCTCTTCGCCACTGCTCATAGAATCATCATCATCATCATCATCATCACCATCATCATCACCATCATCATCATCTTCATCCTCAGCTCCAAACATTCCCATCAAGCCACCACCATGGTCAAGAAGTATATCTCCTTCTTCATCATCCAAATCGCTCACACTATCTTCATTGTCATCACTATTGTAATCATCTCCGCTGTCGCTATCATCTCCAGCTAGTTCAAAAATACGGTCCAGGTCATCTTCCTCATCTTCATCATCGTCATCTTCATCCTCTGTCTCATCATCATCATCGGGATCGGAGTCGTCATCTGTTGGTCTACGTCTGCCAATCTCATACATCCTGGCTGAGGAAAACATATCTTCTTGATCTTCCATTGTTATCAGCCCAAGGAAAGAATCTGTTGGCTCCGTGGCAAAGTCGAGAAGACACCGGTCCACAGGTATAGTGGCAATGTCTGAATAGTTGATCGCATCCAGAGTGCGGAAAGCAGCGAACAACGGATGCTTCACACGGCGTGTGTGAACAGCAGACATCACGTCCTCTATGTTTCTCCTCAGCATGGCGTATATAACATCTCCCCTGCTGTTGAACGTAATAGCTGTCTGGTCCAGTGATGGTACACTTCGAAGAAGCCTGAAATTTCTCAGATCCCATACTTCTGAGTTTATGATGACCTGTGATAATAATAAACAACAAGATTTTGATAAGCCAAGACACAGTGGGTCAACTTGAAGAAGTTCAGCTGCTCAAAGTTCAGCTATACTATATCTAACCTAGGAGTTAATGAGGGCTAGGTTTCTTAGAGGCTGTCTTAGCACATTGTCTATGGTGTGGATTGGATTATGAATTTGGTTGAAAGTCGAGACTCTCTCCTTAACCAAAGATTTTCAAATCTTTGGTCTTATAACATAGTCGGGAAAATGATTCAGACAGCGTCAAAATAGACAGATAAAAAGAATTCAGCTTAAAGAGTGATAAAAATTGTCCATTACCTCGTTTCCAGAAGGATGATAACCACCGCCGCCATAATCAGTAAATTGATCAAACCGATTGATACTGTCTTGGGCTGGTTGTCGTTTGTCCCAGAGAACACCATTCCACAATATCAAACTATCACAAGGGCTGAAGTGTACAAGGGAATAGGGGTTACTCCGAGAAGAAGTGACCGTGTCGGTGAATTTTAAAACAGTACTGCAGGTCTCTACGTCATATACAAGAACCTCTTTTGATCCTTCGCAAGAGAGCGCTGCGAATTGTAGCCCAGAGTTGCTGAATTTTGCAGCCTTGCATCCATCAAAGGAGTGTCTAGACCCAACAGCTATAGCAGACGCGTCCCACAACTGCACATCACTGGAGCTCGAAGAAAGCAACAACTGAGTATCACCAGAGACATATGGCTGAACAAGTGTAACAGGAGTCTGGTGACCCGCGACACTCTCAAGCAAGCTACCGCTGCCAGCTTCAAATATCTTGATTTCTCCAGCATGACTACCGACTGCTAAATGATTAGTACCTCCAAGAAGTGAAATGCACGTAAACAGTGCAGTCTCATCCCGGCAAGATCTCCAAGATTTGAATCTGCTGAAAATAAACTGACGGTCCCTGCGATTCCCTTGGACTCCACCATAGAAACTACGGAGCTCCCGGGTGCCAATACGGCCAGTGATGTTTATTGGAGCTTCAAGTGCCCGTTTAGGTTCAGGACAGACATGCGGATGTAGGAGAGACACAGGGGGAAGAGTTGTGATTGGAGCCCTGCACTGCCTGTGCTGGTGCTTCAAATACTGAACCACAAGGGAGTCTAGTGATAATCGTTCCGGATTTGAAGGCTGGGGATCGCTTGGAAGCCTTAGCTGAGAAGCAGGTGTCATCTGGCCCAGTCTGGAGCTCCCAGGTTGGTTGACATCTAATGCTGAAGCTGGTGTTTGGAAACCTGAACCATCCACATTAGTTGAATTCCTACGTATGGAAGCTGTAGTTGGACAAACTGGAGTTCGTGGTCCTGACTCGCCCAAATTAATTCTTTTCACTGAAACTGACGACTCTGGGTCTCTAAGCTCAGTCAATTTCCGTTTTCTCGGTAAGGAAATGGGGGTCTTAAATTGAGCTTCAGCATCAACGTCGTTCTTCAGAACTAATTCTGCAGCAGCTTCTGAAGTATCTGCACAAGCAGGATCTGAATTTGAACTGCTATTTATTCTCTGCGTAGACTGAGGTTGAGGGTCATGGGAGACAGACTGCTTTCGTGACTGCAAACTAAAGCTGGGTGAAAAAGTTAACTGTTTCTTCTTTGCTGATGGAGCTGGATTACTTCTCGAACTTGGATCTTCGTTGTGTGGATTGACTTTGGGTTTGCTGGGGAAAAACCCACGATTAGCACGGCCAGAGGGCCATTGTTGCTGTCCTACTGGCGTGTACGTCTCCTGTATTGAGGAAGCCAAATGTTTCTTCTTGGCAGATAGAGCTGCATTAGATCTAGAATTCGGATCTTCATCATGTGCACAGACTTTGGGTTTGCCAGTGAAAAATCCACTGTTAGCACGGCCAGAGGGCCATTGTTCCTGAACTACTGGCGCAGACATCTCCTGTGTATAGGAAAGTGCAATTGAAGAAGGGGGAGCCAACGAAGGTAGAGGAGTTAACTGAGCCTCTTTTAAAAGTGCTGAAGCAGTTTCGCCAAGACCTGCTGCTTGGAGGTGCTCATGGATAAGGAGCAAAAGCTCCTTAGAATCGTATGTTATAGGTGTTGCTGCTGCGATAGCAGCTCTTTCTATGCGCCGCAGTGTTGGAGTAGCAGCATCACTGGCTGTTAGTGTAGTCGCATGCCCAGAATTTGTCATTATCTGCAAGCACATATAAAAACACAATTGAAAATGTCTGCAAAACTTCGACAAAGAAACAACGAATGAAATAAACACTACTGACTTATGAAGCACACAAAAAGGATCCTATAGAGACGTTAAATCAATTCGGATGATTACCCCTATTAGCTCAAGCGCCACCTGAGCAAGTTCAGCCTGCCATTTTCCCTGATCTGTTCCACTTGACTGACCACCTGAATCTCGAATAAGTTCCGATAAACTCTTACCAACCTAGAAACCATGCCTGGAAAATCAGTATCTATCACCTACGACGCCTGCTCAACTTCATCAGGTGTTTCTGAGAAATAAAAAAGATATGAAGATAACTGGGGAGAGAAAATTGCTATTCTACCTCAAGTTTAGTTAGTATTTGTGCAATTGTATCATCTCTAGCCAGACCAAGAAGTACCCTGCAAGCCAACGCTCGTAGACAATCTGGGCTAGCAGGGGGATTCACGTATATTCTGGGCTGAAGAAGTTTTAAGAGAATTTTTATACCATCATTCCCACGAACAACTTCACGTGCTCGACAATAATTCTGCTCCAACTTAGCAGCAAGACCAGCAGAACCAGTTCCTGCTCCTAGGAAAATTCTTCGATCCCCAACCAAACCTGAAGACGCTAGTGCCACAGGAGTTGGCGGAGCATTATCAGTGGACTGAGTACCTGCAGCAACATCAGTGGAAGGACGGGCAGTGGCTTGGCCAGGGACAGGTTGATGATTCTGTGCAAGAGGCTGCTTGTTGCTTAATGATGGTGGAGGGCACACCAGATTGATCAGAACATTTAGTGCAGGCTGTATAATCTTCAATAGCAAAGAAAACATCAAGAAGGCAGTACCGATGAGAAGCAGAATAAGAAAGACCAAACTCATATGAATAATGGACAGAAGCGGAATGCTGACCTCAGGGTCCACTATGCTGTTGGAAATATTTGCTGCATCCAGAATGACAGCAATGCCGGCACGATTGTTGCTGAGTGTTGCATTCACAATTGCTTTGCGGCCATCAGGTATTGATGTAACTATGTGAAGAACACCAAAAGCATACTGAAGTAGATCATGCAGATAACGGTCTACCGGTGGAGTCTGCGCATGTGACCAAAATGTAAATACATGATAGAAAAAAAACAAAGTATCTGTGCAGAGTAAAATGCTACATTACCTGACATAGTTCCAACAAGGTAACATGTCCAGACGAGGCCAAAAAGTTATTAACAGCCGGCCACTGAGTTCTAACGAAGGTCTGACCCAACTTCTTATCCTTCTGTAACTGATTGAAGACAGCGTCTAAAACTTCATTGCTGATGTTAAGGGGCTTATAGGGTGCCCTTATAATGGGAACATTACGCACGCCACCACGGCTACTTCTGCTAGGACGGATAGAATCCACAAGCAAAAGAAGATGAGCTCTAAAATATTGGCGCAGAGCAAAACAGGTGTGAAAAGCCATCTGTTTTTCTGAAGACGTCATGACTTCAGGAGCTGAACGGTCAGAGTTAGCACCAGTTCTGACTGAGGCTGCATCTTTAAGAATTGCAAGGAGTTTCTGCAAACTATCATGAGCATCAAATGCATCTAAAATGGCTCTGAAGACAAAAGCAGCAGCAAAGAATAAAGCAGAATTTTTTCTGGCTTGATCCTGGGAACACTCTAGAAGTTCGGTAGCTAATTTAACCACTTGATGTATGAGATCCGATGGGAGTGCACAGACACGCTCCATGATACCCTGAGATAAATATTGAAGGTAAGAAGCCGGATAAGGAGATAAAAGAGATAACGGGTGAACAAAAATTGCATAGTAAGCCGTACACGGTTGTGGTTATTATTATTACCTGAATAGAGCCTATAGTGTACAAGCAAGATGAGAGACCATAAAATGTCTCAGTGACCCTAGGAACAGCAAGCAATTTTTGTATGCCACCCCGGTCAACAAACATCGCAGCAAACTTCCGGTGTGCAGCCAAAGCGCAAATTAATTTCATAACATCAGGTAACAAAGGAGACAGTGTAGAACTATCATCAAATTGGGATGTGCGTTCCAGCAGCTTAATGCATACGTCAACACCTTTTTCTGAGAGTACAGGCGCGAGAACCTCGACATATTCTCCCAGTATCTCAAGGCACTGGATGCAATATTTTTCTTGTAACTGAGCCAACGATTCCATATCTGGAAGTGAAACTTCTCCAACATCCTCAATTTCGTGCGTTTCCACACTATTCAAATCCGTAGTCTGATCAGATGTAACACAAGTGGGATTTCTGCCACCAACCGAATAGCAGAGTTAACACAAGCTACCATAAACGATATAAAAAAAGCAATAAGATTGACGACATAGCATTACTGACCTTGAAACCGCAGTAGCATGAGCGGCATCTATGACTGTAGTAGCTGCTTGAGTAGCAGCAGATACAGCAGCTTCTTCGCTACCGGAGGAATTGAATTCCTGGATAATTTAAAAGAAAGAAAATCAAAATAAATATCAGGGTCACCTGTACCAGAGGTTCATTAAGGCAATGAAATTAATAGCAGCTACATCAAAATAAAAACATGCCTCTAACGCAGCAGTTTTAACAAGCTCAGCTGCGGCATCGCCAGCTGCTTTAGCAGCGTCAGGAGGAGCATGGGCAGCTCTAGCTTCAGCCTCAGCAGCTCCAACTGCACACTTTACTAGATCAGTAATGTTTTTGGTTCCTATCACGCAACCTTGAAAGCACTCATCATTCTCCTCTCTTCCTATCTCCATAATATCACAATTCATTTTCCTCGGACATAAGGTCACATCTTCTGCATTTCCGATATCTGAAATTTTTGATAGATCTCTATCTCTGACAACCAGACGACCTGATCTAGGCGATGCCAAAGGAACTTCTGTATCAGTTGCACCTTCGTTGACCCTTCCTCTCCCCCTGGATTTCGATCGGCTCAGTCTGTGTCTCGAGGGGTCATCTCTTCCACTATAGTCATCTCCAGGTTTCATTTTACAATCAACGACACCTGCAATATTACATCTTTCTCTGCCATCAATTTCCAATTCGCCTTCAGACCATACATCAGATTGTCCCATCTCTCTTCCGGGGTCCATCTCAAGAACATGATCACCTTCGAATGTATCCACAACCTTCCGCACCCTACTTCGACCTTCTTCTTTTGTTTTCAAGGACACGTGCTTGGCCTCAGTTGGGTGAAGGGCATCTCTGCGGTTTGTGCTAGGCTCTCCAATAACTCGTACTCGAAGATAATGCATAAGCTTAGCAGATAGTCCTGATGAAGGAGAGGGTCCTGATTTCAAGACGTCTTCGAGTAATTGCCCACGACTTTGATCGATCAGCCAAAAAGAAAAAAATATTTTTATTTCAGTTGTGGGCGCCAAAAAAAACATTACAAAAATGGAAGAGAGACAATAAGTTGAGAATGTTTAATCAATACCTCACCAGAGAGAGAGCAAGAAGCCCTGTGGAATAAGTCTTTAACATTTCAGCATCTGAGGCTTCTTTCCTGCCAGAGTCTTCACCAGGAAACTTGACTGTCTCTTGCATGACCCAATTTTTGAAGTTGTCCGTAACAGCATCGTCGAAGACATGAGGGTACTGAAAAGAGAGTTTCGTTATTAACAAACCAACGAGCCAAACGTAAGGGAAAGGAGCAAAAAGGTCGTCAGCTCTTACCATCCAAGTAAGCGAACAGTTCATTAGCAACCTTGCAGAGGCTGCCTTTACCGCGGTTGAATAAGCATTCTCAGATAAATAAGTTGACGAAATCAATTCAAAGAACTCATCATTTTCCTGCAAAATCAAGTAACCAATAAAGACGGAAGAACCCACCACCCAAGAAAAACAATGAACAATCCAATTTAAAAGAAGAAGACTTACTCGGATGAGATTACACAGCTTGCCACTGCTATGACTAACGCGATTATTAGAGTAGTACCCATTCTCCTTCAAGAACCTGTGAATATAAGTAAGCGTTAAGCTAAAAGGCAACTAAGAAATTAACAAATCAACAAGAGAGTGAAAACGAGCGAGAAAGGGGCATACAGAGATTCCTGAGATTCGAGGAGATGGCTAAGAGCGTGGAGGATATTATGATTAGGGTTATTAGCCGCGGAGGTGATCTTTTCCATGAGATTCTGCGCCTTCTCTATAAGCTCGTCATCGACGCTCCGCTCTCCTCCTTCCCCAGGGGTAGCTCCGCCGACTGAATTTTCCGTCTCCACCTCTGCCGCAGTAGCCTCCGCCGCAACAGCCAGTTGTTCATCCTCACCCGTCGGATTGTGGACCTCGGCTTCGTGCCCTTGACCGTCCATTATTTCCTCTCTTTCCAAGGAAAAAAACGAGATACGGCGATCAATTTAGACGCTGGGATCGCGTAAATTAATAGTTCACAGATTAGGAAAATTAGGGGAACGCGAAAAAAAGCTTAGTTTTAGAGTAAGGAACGCAGCAGAGGAGGTGGTGATGGAGACGACAAAGCAGAACCGACTGTAATACTAAAATATAACCCGACCCGTTTTTCACAAAAGAAACCCTAGCCCATATTTAATAAAATGGGCCTTATAAAGGCCCATACTCGTACTGTTATCACCACGTTGCGGTGTTTTTAGCCCGATTTGGATTCGGGGCTCCACCCGCCACTTGACAATAAGTCATCTTCCCGTGAAGTTTGTCTCCGGCGACTGACCATTCTCGGAAATGGACGGAGAGGGAATGTTAGGCGAGACTTCGTCGGGAACTCAGCTCGAGAATTGGATAGAGTAGGTTCGCATTCGACTTCTCTTTGATTCCGGGCAATCAAATAGATTAGTGATTTGTTTGATTTCTTTCAGAGAGCAGGATCGGCTGAAGAAGAAACTGATCGCGTACGATGACTTCCCATGGAAGTTATCTTCATCAGTGGAACTGCCTCAGGGATCAGAGATGCTTAGGTACGTTGGAGGTGTGGACATGAGCTTTGCCAAGGAAGACCCCTCGGTGGCATGCGCTTGTCTCGTCGTTCTCGAGCTACGTTCTCTGCGTGTAGTCCACCATGACTTCTCTCTCCTCCACCTCCATGTTCCCTATGTCCCTGGATTTCTTGCCTTTCGTGAGGTTCCCATCTCCCTCCTTCGTTTCCTCGAGCGATGCTCTGCTAATTTCAAATGCGTCATTAAGTATCTCAGAATTCAAAATTGGATTTTTTTTCATGTTATAGGCTCCGGTTCTCTTGAAGCTTCTGCAGAAAATGAAGGACGATCAGCATCCTTTCTATCCTCAGGTTTTAGATTTTGTCTATAAATCGCTGAACATTGCAATTGGCTCACTCTTAAAAGCATGCTATTGCGTTTTTGCTTTATCTGAAGATCTCTTGATTTGGTCTTTGTGAAAAATTACAAAGGTACTGATGGTGGATGGAAATGGAATACTTCATCCACGAGGTATAAACACATGAACTTTCTTCGTCTACCTTTGTTTTTTGGTTGCATCTTAAGCTCTGTAATATATGGTGTTGAATCTAAAATTTGTATTCTAGGATTTGGCTTGGCGTGTCATCTGGGTGTTCTGGCTCACCTCCCTGCCATTGGAGTCGGAAAAAACGTACGATATATTCTTTGTCAGAATCTCTCTTTAAAGCCGTCTGCTTGTGTATATCATATTGTGCCAATAAGTCTTTGTTTTGCCCACATTTGCATTTGATCATAAATGGGGAATGTATATTCTGTGACATGTCAGCTGCATCATGTGGATGGTCTGAATCAATCTGAGGTTAGACGGTCGTTCCAGCTCAAAGAAAGCCAGGATGAACAAGTTATCACTTTGGTAGGGAACTCTGGATCTACGTGGGGAGTAGTAAGTGGCTTTGCTTGAACATTTTTATAATATTATGTGAGAAAGTGAATGAATGGTCAAGTTTCACTATTTCTTTTCAACAGGGGTTTAGGCCAACTCTGAATTCACTGAAGCCCATTTACATTTCAATTGGCCATCGCATATCACTTGACTCTGCGGTTAAGATTGCCAAGATTACATGCAAGTACCGTGTTCCGGAGCCTATTAGACAGGTAAATGCTGCATTTTGATATGCCAAAAGACGTGTAGTCATCCTTTAGATTACTTTGGGAAGTGGAAAGTATAAAATCTACTGTGTGTAGGCAGATATAAGATCAAGAGCATATCTTCAAAAGCATCAACGTCGTCTTTTAAAAGAATTGGGACCACAGGGTACGTGTAACTTTTGATGTTTTCTTCACTCTTATAAACCTTGTGGTACATTGAAAGCACTATACAGTAGTTCACATGTCTATTTGCTTCTCTCTTTTTTCTGTCTGGCAGACTGAACACTGAGTCATTAAAACAACCAAAGAAGGCTGTGAACACTTTTCCACATAAAAGAGATTCCTGCAATGTCTTTTCCCAAGAAAGACCATTCAATGGTGGACAGATTCACGACACTGCACATCCTTACCAAGCTTCTCCTTTATTTATCTCACTAGTTCTAACCAAGATTATTACGAAATCGAATAAATTGGAGTTTCCTTAACATTTATAGTATGAATAGAAAGGGTATGAAGCTGGTCTAGGGTCTTTGTCATGTTGTTTTGGTTGTTTGGGAGAGTTTGAGGTTCTCTACGACAACACTGTTTGGTTCAGCATCTGTAAACGTGTGGTTCATTCAGTAATGAAGCAGGATCGTTTCAATTTTAACATATTGTTCGATTGTGGACAGGTTCATTGCATTGCAGCGTCGTGGGCTTGTCCTTAACTAATAAGGTTTGAATTTTAACGGCTAAGTTCGCACAATGAAAGATGAGATTTTGTCCTTATGAGCTTTGATTAGTACAAACAAGAGAAAGCGAAGTAGAGACGGTGAGCACCAAGCAGCTCTTGAGAAATAAGTCAAACAAGTAAGTAATACATAAATCTCAATGTTTCTTGTAGTTTCTAAATAAAGCACCAAAGTTTTGCCAAAAGCAGAAAATAAATAATCAAACCCATCAAATTTTCTTCAGTATTCACAGAACAATATACAGACACATCGACAAGAGTAGCAACACTGCCATTGATCGTGTTAAAGGCATCCTGGCACTTGCTTCACTGCCCGACGAATCTGTCTTGATCATAACCTTGAATTTGCAACTCCCAACAGAAGGATCATTGTTAGTGATCACAGAGAGACCCGGGAACTTACACGCACTGTCAAGCTGATCACTCACCTGGAAATAGCTATTGAACGCATAGGAAACATTCTGCGCTAGATTCAGGTTGCCACAAGAGGAGCCATACCCAAGACTGGTGCAATCAGCATGATCACAAGCGTAGCTCACGCTTGGTCCCAACTGAGGATCCTGAAGATTAGCAGATGGCGCAAGAATACACCATTTCTTTGCCATATGACGCACATCCTTCGCCGGGATCAGCCCGTTACCGTTGCCAAGGCTGAGCTGATACTTAGGCTGTCCATCGATGTAGAAAATCCCCCAATGCCTTTCAAAGTTTCCCGGCTGAATGCTTTTGGCATCTTCGTCGATAAGACTGAACAAGTAAGCATCCATTGGCCCTGGTCTCATAGGTGTTCCTTTCCCAGCCTTTTGACGGTTCATGAACCCTTGATTGTACCGCCTCGCGTACTGCATGTTCGCGTTCTTATCCCCATCCGTAGGCCACCCAACTTCCCCAACGATGATAGACAAGTTACCAAACCCATTCTTCTGCAGCGACCACGCGAGTGTGTCGTAGTTTGCATCAAGAACATTGTCATAGACTCTTCCATTGTCGTTTATAGGCGTACCTGTTCCATCGAAGAAAGCAAACTCCACAGGGAAGTTCGGGTCTTCGTAGAGGCTGATGAAAGGATAGATGTTGATAGTGAACGGAGCTTGGTTATCACTCAAGAACTTGACGATCTCGATCATGAGATCGCGGATATCAGGCCTGAAATCTCCATCCGACGGGAGGTTAGACGCGCTTTGGTACACATCCGCGTTAAGAGGCACTGTGACTTTCACCTGAGTAGCTAAACCGGCCTTGATGAGAGCAGATTGTATGTTCTGAAGAGCTGGTAGAGTTATGGTCTCGAATGTTCTGTTGAATGCCTTTAGGAAAGGCTCATTCCCAACTGCCACATACCTAATTTTAAACACATAAATTGTAACTTCAATATCAAAATTATCTTCAAAGTTTCATTTTTTTTCCTCATCAACTGTAATCAACATTTGAAGATTGAAACTTTAGGTTGTATTAGAAACTGAATAATCTCTTTGAACCCTACTTGACAGAGACTAACAAAGAGAATATGGTGCTTCTATGAGAGATACAAGCACAAACCTGATGTCGACGCCATTGGAGGAGACATGGGCAGAGACATTCTGAGAGACCCATCTCTCGGCGGCTGCAACGCTTCCAGCTAAAGGAGCGAGTAAGTCGTTAGGGATTCCGACCATAACCTGAATCCCCGACCGGCTTAAAGCTCTGAGAATATCCGAGTCGGCCTCGAAAAGTTTCACCTTTTGGATACCGTTTTCCCGGAGAAGTCGGACCACCGTCGCCGGAGGCAACGGATGGCTCGCCTGTGAGCCCCAGTTCACACCAATCCCTCCAACTTGGGTGAACAAGTTCCCGTGCAATAATATGATTACGAAAGAGACGGCAAAAACACATCTGGACAACATCGGAATCGAAAGATATTTCGTCCTCACCACCAAATACCAAGAAACCAACAACTCAAAAGAGAAACAACGAAAAGCTGAACTTTTTGATTAAAAGACGCTCAGATGTAAGAATCAGAAAGAATCAGTAAAGTGGGAAACTTCGGTTTGAAGAAGAGTTGAGCTGGGTTTTAGCTGTTTCAGTCATCTAAGTATCGTAAACATCCGATACGATACTTACTTTTTATAATTCTCTACGGTGGTTTTGGAGGAGGAGGAGAAGAGAAGGAAGAGGTTTCGAGAATTAAAAGAATATAAATCGGTGAAATACGCGAGACTTGAGAATGTTTTTTATTTTCTTATTTATTTTAATATTTTGCAAAAATCGAACATAAACTAAAATGTCTTTTTTATTGTCTGTCCCAATGTCTGAAAGGTTCTTTGATTGGTACCGCAATCTTTAAATTTAGCAGAATATTGTGAAAATTTTAAATACTAAGAGTAAAGAAACTAAAAGAGAAACATTTAATGTTGTAATCCCCACTAGCTGTTGGTCTACTTCGCAGCTGTTGCTAATCACAATACCACTCAATGCATAAGTTTATAATTATACGGCCATTATGATAAATAAATAAAAAAGTGACAACGGCTATTATATGAATGACTTTAACTGAAAGAAATATGTTCATTTTAGATGAAGATGTAGATTTGGGTTTACCACCTTTCTTAGAGTTTATCAACTAGTATAATTGATAAGTACGAATATACATCGTCAAGTATAAATACTACTAAATTTGATGATCTAAATATGAATAGTAATTTCTAAAAATAGTTATATCGTAGCTTTTGCCTGTGTAAAGAAGATTACTAACTAGCCCCACTGCTAAATACGATTGTTTGATGTGAGGGAGGAGCATGTGGGTGAGGTCAAGCAGAGGTGTAAGGAGGAAAAAAAAGAAAAGGAATCTCTAAAAAAGACTGAGGAGCAGTGTTACGTGATGCTGTTGGGATTAAAAAAGTTGAGTGATATCTGAAATAAATAAATTAAATATTTTGCTTTGTGAAAAGAATTGTGAAACAGAGAGAATGAAAGAGGTCGGCAGGTACACGGTTGGTGAAGAAACATTTATTCTCTCATTCAAGCGGCTCTCCTCTTCATCCTTATTTAGTTATTCAGCCCATTTTCGGCCCATTTATAATTTTCAAAGTTTAATTACCTTAACTGCAATCGTTTTCTTACATTTGAAAAACAAAAAAATGAAACTTTAAGTATTGCAAAATATTGTGGCTACAAAACTTTGGAAAATTGTCTTCGTGATGGTTCTGCTTTCATTTTGTTTTAAAAGTTGGTTTAGTTTTTAATACAATACATCTAATTAAAAAAAAAGGCAAAAATCCAAAATAAGTCAAACCAACATCATTTTATTCACCCGTAGGTTATATAAACTTTTTACAATCTAAGAAGAAAGTGGAAGACTTGTCATCTTTTCCCGAGAGAAGACAAAAGTCGATATTTTAATCATACTTCGCTATAATATTTTTTTTAGGTTATAAATGATAAGAGTGAAAAGAGAAAGCGACCGGGTTGGTTTGATTTGATTTGATTATTCGTTTTGGACTAAAACTTAGAAAAGCATCATTATAATGAAATATATCAGATGAAGAAAGGGAAGTGATAAGGACAAGTAAAGCTCGAGGGGTAGAGAGAGAGAGAGAGAGCATTCGATGGTGTGGCCAATGTTGGTCGATTAAATTGTTACTTTTGTGTGTGATTCACGGTCGTTCACCGACCGGATAACGCATCCAGCGATCCTGATTCCATTTTCTTGATTAAAAAATGCATTTTTTCTTCTATATAAAACAAAAGATGTAGTTTTTGGTCTAAATGTGAATGTATGAAAATTAATGTAATGAAATAGATTTGATAGAGAACTATGGTTACATAACGATTTTATTTTTTATTTTTTTGCCGGTTACATAACGAATTTTAAAGTTAGATACTGTATGGTTTATTTGGGAAATAGTTAAAGTTAAATCATTCACTCAGTATGGTTACAAGCCAAAGTGTTTATTGTGGATTTTCATTGTGTAAAAAAAAACGAAGATTTCTGTAACAAATTTTAGCAAAAAACGAAGATTTCTGTTGAAGGAAAAAAACACAAATCAGAATGTTAAACCGCTAAACCGAATGAAATGCCCATTAACAAAAAGATAATGGGCTTATCTGCCTTTTAAGGCCGAGTTAAGAACGACACCTAACACCAATATTTATGGTGGTTTTTGGTCATCAACGACAAAAATTAGATACTAAGTACTGGCTTCATACGTATGTAACTGGCTTCATACTTCATAAAATCCACCATTAATTAAATTGTAATTACTGCCATAATACCGTACGACCGACGTAGTTATCTCCATCATAATAATAACTTATAAAATAACAATAATGATTTACGACCGAAGTAATTACAATCTGATGAGAATAAAAAGAAGAGGATAAATATCAAATCTTTTTTTTTGTCATTATACATAATCTGCCTTTTAATTTTTTTAAGGTCAACAGAATCTTTAATGAGCCAAATTCAACACTCGTGAACGCGGAGACTTTTAAGGGCTCTTTCCGAATTATCAGTGCAACTCGAGAAGTTATCTTAAAAACCAAATCAAATCGAACCAATCCACATCCTCCGATTTCCCCTCTCTGAAGCCAAAGTCCTTCAGTCGCCAGATTCATCGTCTCGGTAAGTGTTTTTTCCCCTCCTGCTTTCGGTGATTTTCCGGCGGCGGATTTCTATTCTGAGTAAGAATTTTTTCCCCTTCTGTTTGAGGTAATCGAGTTTTACATTTCCTCTGTGATCGGATTTAGGTTAGACGGAGAAGAAGAGAAAACCATGGCGGTTACCATGAAACATATGTCGTTGATCGTCTCTTTCTTTGGCGTCTTGTCGTTTCTTCTAGGAGTAATCGCGGAGAACAAGAAGGTAATAAGTCATAATTATAATGCTTTTGTTCACTGTTAAATTTCATGTACATAGTCTCTTGATTGGGATAATTTTGCTTGCTAGACATGTGCTTATCCTTTATTCATGTTGCTGATTAGCGGAAGTTAGATTTGTTCTTCAAAATGTTGTTTTAATTTGTATGTATGAAACAGTGATCCCCTGCAATACCCTTGTTACAGCTTCATAAATATAGATCCTCCTGATTTCTTGTTTGTTTAGGATGCTTTTGTTTACTGTTTGTGCTATCTTATGTTCATGTTGCTGAATGAAAGATGTTAGATTTGTTTTAGTAACAGTAAAATCGCTCCCGAATTGTTGGAGTAGCATTAAACAGTGATCTTGTGCACTTCTCTTTGTCACAGCTTCATAACTAAATCTAATGGTAGAGAAACCAATTGTTTAATATGAATTTCGTTTGTCTACTGAAACCATAGGGAAACCTGAGTCTTTCTACACCATTGTTTGACCTCATCAGTAATTACACTCATCTCTCCAGGAGATTTGATGTCAAGAGCTTTTCATATGATTATTAGTAGTGCCTATACACTCAGACTTTCTTCTTCGTATTTGTTATCTGATTGTGAGCTTTGTTTTTTTTCTTCTTTTCGTCTTAGCCTGCGTCTGGGACTCCAATAAACGGAAAGGGAGTAGTTATCTGCAAATATCCATCTGATCCAACTGTTGCCTTGGGATACCTTTCTGCTGCCTTTCTCCTTGCCTGCACTGTAGCAGGATACAAATCCTTGTTCATCTCTTACAAGGGAAAGTCTGTTCCTAACTCTGTCTTGTTCAAAAGCACCAGCTTCTCTGTCTTCTTCAACATTGCCTTGTAAGCATATTCATTCTCTCCTTTACAGTGTCATTTCAGTTTCAGCAGTACATACTGTATTTTAAAATACCAAAAACCCCATTCATTGGTTGTGTAGAATATATATTGGTTCTATGAAAAGAGTTGTTTGTGGCTTATGGTTTTGTCTTGTAGGATAACATCTGGACTGGCATTGTCGCTGTTGCTATGGCCAACCATTACAGAGCAACTTCATTTGACCCGTAATGTTCATCGGAACTTAGAGACCAGTTGCCCCACGGCTAAGACCGGTCTGCTCGGTGGAGGTGCCTTTGTGTCATTGGACTCGTGCCTTTTCTGGTTGGTCGCTCTGATGCTCGCTGATAACGCCCGTGAAGACCATTTTGATGAAGTTGAAAACGGAAACATTGATGGGAACTCTTCCTCCAGGGATGTTAATCTCAAGATTGAAGCTTGAGTGAATTATCTGCTTATTGGGGTTTTATGTTTTTCTACTTGTTTGATTAGGAAAATAAGAATTCGTTGCTTCTGGTTTTCTTCTTCTTTTTTCTTTTCTTTAATACATTTGATTTTAAAGATGCCCATATTGATGCATTATAAGTTGTATATATCTACTCAGATTCTTGATCAATTAATCTTTCGGATTTGGTGTTATCTGTTACTGTTTTAATATTATTTTGGGTGGAAATGTCTGCTGAAATAAGTTTTATAGGAACCCCCCCACACACACACACAAGTCACACTAATTAACATATAAGTAATATCAAGTTAATCATAAGAGAATTTCTAAAATACTTATTTCTAAGTAAATAATATTGGTCGCAGTTTGTATATATAGAGATTAGAAATTAAAATTACACATCTAAGATAAAGCAGTCAGAAAATTATTTAAATTTTTTTTTTGTATTAATTTGATCAAACTTAAGAATTTGCGATGTTTTATGCTAAACAAAATGAGCTTAATTGGGCTTAAATATAGCATATGAGATAGCCCATTAGAAAAGCCCGATATAAACTGCACATCAGTAAAATTAAACCCTCCCAAAACCCTTTCTTCTTCGTCGTCGGCTCGAGGAAAGATCTATTTCCCAGCTGCAATTCCTTCTCTCCTCGATTGCTCGATAGAGAGAAGAAAGAAAAGAGAAGAGACAAGAGATGCCGCTCGGAGAGAGAGGAGGATGGGAGAGGAGCGAATCCAGGTACTGCGGCGTTGAGACTGATTTCTCCGACGATGTTCCTTCTCTTCTCTCCTTCCACATCTCCACCGGCGGTTTCGACTATGTCCTTGCTCCTCTGGTTTGTTTACCTCTCTAACTATTTATTCCTCCTGATTTTTCACGTCCTTGTCTAGTTGATTCATTTTCTTTCTCTGATGGAGTTTTCTTTTCGCTCTTTGTGAAAATGCTGTTTCGCAGATGAACCCTTCGTATAGGCCGAGCTTGGTTGAAGGAAACGGTTCGGATACTCAGGTTCTTCCAGTGTCTGGCTCTGACTTAGTCTTGGCACCTTCTCAGTGGAGCAGTCATGTCGTTGGTATGTATGATTCTCTCTGCTTCTCCCTGTGTTCTTTTGTGTTAATTATGAATGATGGGTTTTGATTAGTGGTAGTTTTCATTCTCTAGGAAAAATTAGTTCGTGGATTGACTTGGATTCTGAAGATGAAGTATTGCGAATGGATTCAGAAACCACATTGAAGCAAGAAATAGCCTGGGCTACACATCTCTCCTTACAGGTGCTTGTGAATCTCATGGATATTAGTTATGCCCTATCTGTCTTCTTTGTTTTCATTGGCTGTGATTCTTTTCCTGCTTTATATTGTTGATGCTTGAGGATGAAATGCGTCTTGCCAATGTTTGTTATTTGCTACAGGCGTGCCTTCTTCCTACTCCTAAAGGGACCTCGTGTGCCAATTATGCCAGATGTGTGAACCAGATCTTACAAGGGCTGACTAACTTGCAGGTGGTTTACGAGTTTCTTGCTTTCGTTGAAGCTTTATTAAAAAATGAGCCTTTTCTTTATAAGTGCATTTTCAGTCAAGCTCTAATACTTTATTCCCTCTTCTTTCTTTTGTTTTGTTTAAATGTCATTCTGCTATGAAGTTATGGCTGAGGATTCCACTGGCGAAGTCTGATGGTGATTCAATGGATGCTACCTCCGAGGGTCTGGTAAGACGTAGTATCAAAGTTAATGCGAACTTGAAATTGTTCTTACTTTTTAAGCCGTCTCAGATTTTTGAGCCTGCTTTTGTTTATAGGCCTTTCGAACCTATAAATACAAATGAATCTCCCTATCTGTTCAAGTTTTCTGTACGCTTTTTCTTTGTTATATCATGGTGCCTTTAATATATACTCACTTCTATGCAGAATGATTCCTGGGAGCAGTGGAATTTATTTCGCCTTCTTTGTGAGCATGACAGTAAGCTGTCTGTTGCTCTTGATGTGATGTGAGTTGGGAGAAACTCTTGATTGGTTTTTGTTTCAATATTTTTTCCCTCCGCAAAGATAACACCGTCTCCTTTATCCAGGAGTACGCTACCCTCTGAAACTTCACTAGGACGCTGGATGGGAGAGTCTGTGAGAGCAGCCATAATTAGCACTGATGTAATTGCCTCACCTTTATACCATATCGTTAAAAATTTAAATACTCGATTTGTGGAACTCTTGTGATTCACAAAATGCTTCTAATTTATGTATGCAGTCTTTCTTAACAAATGCTCGGGGTTATCCTTGCTTGTCAAAACGCCACCAAAAGCTAATAGCAGGATTTTTTGATCATGCTGTCCAGGTAATATATATCCCAGTCTTTTATATATAGAACACTAACTTTCAATGCCTAGAATTTGGTTCATTATGTGATCAGCTTTTTTCTTCTTCTGATTATCTGTCATTCTGTGACAAAAATCCTCTTTTGATTCAGAAATTAGGTATCTATTTCTCTCTTCCTAGGGCTCATTATCATCAATCTTGTAACTGCAGGTTGTAGTTTCTGGGAACCCTGTTCATAATCTTCCAAAGGCACCTGATTCTAACTCTGAGGGTAATTTTTCTGTACTTTCTTTTGTCTACTGACACTGTTATACTATGGGCTTGATTTTTCGTAGTTCAATCTATAATGGACATTGTTTATAAGCATATCCATTCCATGTTTTGAGCTAAACAGTTTGTATATAACGTTGTCTTCTGACAAATCCCCAAATGTTTTGGTTCTCAGGTACGCAGAGGCATCCCTTGCGGTCATATTTGGACTATGTTGCTTATCTGTTCCAAAAAATGGAATCACTTCCTGAACAGGAACGCATAGAGGTCGTTTGTTAGATCCTTTGTCTCAGTTCTCTCTATTTTTATATTTGTTTTTATCACCAGATATGCAATCAGGCAGAAGTCGAAGTCAATTCTAACAGTTATCTTATTCTTTATACAGCTTGGCTACAGGGATTTTTTGCAGGCACCCCTGCAGGTTAGTCTCTCTTTATAAGTTATACTGATTTCCGTCTGTTCATCATAATACCTTAACCTTTCATGAAAATACTTTATTCTTACGGTAATGAGCTTCTACCGTCTTTAAAATACAGCCTCTGATGGATAACCTAGAAGCCCAAACCTATGAGACTTTTGAGAGAGACTCTGCCAAATACATCCAAGTATGTTACGCATGCTAGTTTTATTTCCTTTACTTCTTAAAAACACCTCTGTTTCCTTTGCATGCTTGTTTTTTTTATGGCGTGCCTAACTTATGTCCATCTTTGTGTTGATAGTATCAAAGGGCAGTTGCCAAAGCCTTGGTGGACAGAGTCCCTGATGAAAAGGCGGCCGAGTTAACTACTGTATGTCACTTGTCAATGTTTTGCTTTCATAGCTTACAAAGTTGCATTTTCTTGTATATGTTTTGTATTTGGTAACCATATAAAATACTTCAATAGTACTAAAGTTATAGTTTGTAGGTCTTGATGGTTGTGGGGGCAGGAAGAGGACCCCTTGTGAGGGCATCGTTGCAGGTAAAATTCTGGTACAATTCCATACTGATCACAGAGATAAATTTTCAATTTTTTATTTATTTATTGTCGTTCACTGGTTTCCTTTCCCAGGCAGCTGAAGAAACTGATCGCAAGTTGAAAGTTTATGCTGTTGAAAAGAATCCTAATGCAGTTGTAACGCTCCATGTGAGTTGTCAACAACCAAATCAATTCAAGCATGGCTAAGTTTTATGTTGTTTCTTTCGGACGTGGGGAGCAGTTTTTGATCAACTCATTGAGCATTGTTATCCTTCTGACAGAATTTGGTTAAGATGGAGGGGTGGGAAGGCATTGTTACGATAATCTCCTGCGACATGCGTTTTTGGAATGCTCCTGAGCAAGCTGATATATTGGTCAGTATATAGAGATTTTGATAGCTATTACTCATATCGACATTATACAGTTCATTTATTCTTGCTTGCATCTGTTCTTCAGGTTAGCGAACTGCTGGGTTCTTTTGGAGACAATGAACTTTCTCCTGAGTGTCTTGATGGAGCCCAAAGGTTTCTGAAGCCAGATGGAATTTCAATACCATCCTCGTATGTCTACTCCTTTGCTTAGTCGAATTTCCATAAGAAAACTATGCTCTGATAACTGCTAGGCCAGTTTTAAAGCTTGAAGGATCTCTTTTTCTGTTTCTCTAACTCAAGTGTCATCATCGTTTCTTTTTTTTAGGTATACAAGTTTCATACAACCTGTAACAGCTTCAAAGCTTTACAATGATGTAGGTTCTTCTTGTTTCTGCTGTGCACTCTTTCGCACAAGAATTTTCGGTTCAGCTTAGTCTAATACACTATTTTGCAGGTTAAGGCTCATAAAGATCTTGCGCACTTTGAAACTCCTTATGTCGTCAAACTGCACAGTGTAGCTAGACTTGCTCCTTCCCAATCTGTGAGTCTCTCTCGCTGTTTTCACGATTGCTTACTAGCTTAAAGCTTTCTGTTTGAATACATTTATGCAAGTCTTGTCCATCTCGTTATCAGGTGTTTTGTTTTGGTCTTAATTAGGTTTTCACATTTACTCATCCAAACTTGTCAACAAAAGCCAACAACCAACGCTACAAAAAGCTTCGTTTCAATCTACCAAGCGACGCTGGCTCAGCCTTGGTGCATGGTACACACTTTTCTTGTCTTTTGTCAATTGAAATGGGAATGATAGATGATTATTATCTCCATGACTGACTCTACTGTGATCATGCATAACTGAACAAAAACAGGATTCGCCGGCTATTTTGATTCCGTCCTTTATAAAGATGTCCATCTTGGGATCGAGCCTACTACAGCAACACCAAACATGTTCAGCTGGTAATGGCTTTATGTTTATTAAACAGTTGAACTGCTCTCTCCTATTGAGTCTCTTGCTTAAGAAGAACTGAATATAATGTGATATTAATATCTTGTTCCTTTTTGCAGGTTCCCCATCTTTTTCCCATTGAGGAAGCCTGTAGAGGTTCACCCTGATTCTCCATTAGAAGTACACTTCTGGAGGTGTTGTGGTTCCTCCAAGGTAAAAAAAAAATGTTAAATCCACAATGATTCTACGAAACTGTAACTCTCTTAGACTTGAGAACCATTATTGATCCTCTAATGTTTGGGTTCAGGTTTGGTATGAATGGTCGGTGTCTTCGCCTACTCCATCTCCTATGCACAACACCAATGGCCGTTCCTACTGGGTCGGCCTTTAGGATTAGAGTATACCGAGAAGAGGCACTTTGGCTGATGTTGAAGTGATGTAATTCTATTGTGCTGTATTGTTATGACAAAAAGACCAAAATTCACATAATTCTATTGTGCTGTATTGTTATGACAAAAAGACCAAAATTCACAAATGAATCGAATCTCTTTTGACCTTATTAATGTTTGTACTTCAGCACCTTAATTTTTTTTTTAATACAGATCTGTCTCTAATGCACATATGTCATCACAAACGGTACAAAACATACCAATACATTTCACATCAAACAGAACTTCTTAAACACAATGTAAACAGAATTTCTTAAACACCACTTCTTTATTGAATCTCTTTTGACTACATTAATGCCAGTTGTGACAAACTATTGGTAATCGATTAAGTTCTGTTTACATTGTGTTTAAAGAGTTTTGTTGCTGTTTTTGAATCCATTCGTCGTAATCTTTGAGTAGTTGCTGAAGCAGAAGAGGGACTAGTGTATCTACCAGTGTCTGCATCACTCTGTCATCATCATATCAAATATCAATATAAACACTCACTTCGAGCCAAGCAGCAACAGAGAGGTAAAGTGAACAATACTGTGTTACTTACAGATTCCCAGGAGCCTCAACAGCTGCTACTGGAAGCATTGTGAATGGCCGCGTCGAGATCTGCCATAAACAAAGGAGGTTGTATGAACAGCAGAACTAAAGATTATTCAAATACATGTATAAATGAAAAAAAAAAAAAAAACTGAAGTGCAATACACAACCTCAAGAGTAACTTTCAGTCTCACATCAACCTCCAAAAATGGCTCTGGACCTTCTATGTTCCAAGTCATGCAGTTTGTCATAATTGCTGTAAACCCGAAATGGAAAAATAATTTCAGAAACCTTAGATTTGCAATGTGCTGCTTTCAAATGCTTTGTTCACAAGACGAAAGTTACCTGAGAACCTTTCACTTTGGTTCTCCAATAACTCTGACCCCTCCAACTGCAAGACAGCAAGATCAAACCATTCGTCGGCAAAGAGATAACAAGAGAAATATTCGATAAATCATCAGAGCTGAGGGACTTGTTCGTTCAACCTTGCAGGAAAGCAGCTCAACTGTACAATCTTCCTGTGTGGGAATGACTCTCAAAACCAGTACTGGAGAAACTTCAAAGCTCATTAACTGAATTTTTGGCAATGTACATCTGCACTGTACGACAAAGTTTTACTATCTCTCTTTCCAGATAAAAGCATATTACAATATAAATCTGCTAACAGGTTAGAAATATCATCCACTAAAAAAGGTTGATTCAATAATATCAACTAAAAACATCTATGTTTACTATGTATTATTCACTTGCTATCTATGTTCAAAGATACACTCTTTAGATTACTTCTGCTTACAAATATAACATGTCAATAATGCGATGAAGATCCCAAAACATATGCAAAGACCTTTATGCCAGACAAGTTTGTAGAAACTGAAAAAAAGAAGAGAGAAACTTTCAAGTGCCCTATGAACATTGAAACTAGAGGGTTAAAGAAAGAACCTGTAAGTATTATCATTATCATCAACTAAATGATAACTCTGCAAAGCCTTAGCGTTGATTACAGCCTCCATGCCAGATGGGTGTTTCAGGAACTCACTGAAAGTTAGCTTCTTTTCTTCATTGATCTGTAACTTAATTCTCTGCTTCCTCGAAGCAGAGAGATTCGCTTTCTTTGAACATGAAATCATCATCGGTCTTTTGCCACTATGACCATTATTACTACCCACATGGATTCTCTCCCTGAAACAAAAGCCATTCCCCAATCAAATCAAAAACCCCAGAAAAAAGAAGAAGACATATTTAGAAATGTCTAGAGAGAGACCTACCGGGGAGTTGTGTTAGGGTAGGATCTGGGCAAATCCAGGAAATTTCTTGCGCCTTCTGAAGTTACCGAAGTTCTCAATCCGTTGTGAATCCCAATATCCATTTCACTATGAACGTTACTTACTCTTGGAGATTTAAGGAACCGAAAAAGGGCAAGAAGATGAAGAAAAATCTTAAATATTACTTCTTGCTAGTTGCTACAACAAGAGCCTTATCTCTTATTTGCTCTTGCACGATCATCGTGGACGACGACAGAAGAAATTAGTGACCAGGTGAGTTCTCCAAAAGCAGTGTGACCCATGAATCTCTATCCGCCATTAATGGATGTGCTGCTAGCGTTTATGCTCTTCCACGTGTGTTTCTCCCATTCGCAGTTAATTTTGTGTCAACAGTGTTAAACATATTAATAGTCCACTAACCAAAGATAATATGTGTACAAAAGAAACATTACGCACGCTTTACAACATTTATGTTACAAATTTATTATAGAAACGTTTTAACTAGATCATCAAATCTATTCATCGTGACTTTAATCTGGTTGAGTCACCATGTGAGACGAGGAAACAATGGTTCAGCATCTAAAGAAGAAGGTGAAGCCACTACTGGAGCAGTAACACCAATACTCCAAGACTCGCTCTCGTTTACCATCTCCATAACTTCCTCTTCATCGTCTTCTTCTTCGTAGTCAATCTGAATCTGCACCTGATAATCCTCTGGAGATGTACATATCCTCTCCAACTCGGCATAAACTTCTCTCATATTCGGACGGTTCCTTCCTCTCGAGCTCAAACACTTCATCGCCAGATTTGCCACTGCCATTGCTTGTTCCGGTTTGCAGTCATCTCTTATTCGATCATCCATGATTTCCAAAAACCTCTTCTCTTTCATCGCATCTCTGAAATGCTCCGCCAAACTTTTTATTTCTTGAGTGTTTTGTATCTTTATGACAGGCTTATCTCCAGTGATAAGTTCCGCAAGAACAACTCCGAAGCTATAAACGTCACTCTTCTCAGTAAACTGGCTGGACCGGTAGTACTCTGGATCCACATATCCAACAGTGCCTGAAACAACCGTTGTCCAGTGAGTTTGATCTATAGTGACTGACCTTGACGTTCCGAAATCAGCGACCTTGGCTCTGTACTTCTCGTCTAGTAATATGTTTGATGATTTGATATCTCTATGGTAAATTGGAGAAGTTGCAGAGGAATGAAGATAAGCAAGAGCTCCTGCGATATCCACAGCAACCCGTAGACGCATTCCCCAAACCATAGTGTAATCATCAGAATCTTCGTGGATATGCTGGAAGAGGTTTCCATTGAGGATGAACTCATAAACGAGCATAGGAACTTCCGTCTCAAGGCAACATCCCAAGAGCTTGACGACGTGTCTGTGGTTGATCTGTGAGAGAATCACGACCTCGTTGATGAACTCTTGTAGTTTGTCTTCATCTATAACTTTGGATTTCTTGACAGCAACGGTTCTACCGTCTATGAGCATTCCTTTGTACACAGTGCCTTGACCACCCTGTCCAAGAACTCTGTTTTGGCTAAAGTTTTCAGTGGCTTTCTCCAATTCTTTGGAGCTGAATATTCTCGTCCTTTCGACATTGCCTTGTCTTGTGTTTAGTTCTTGTTGCAACAGTATACCTCCGTTACGCTTGAAGAACTTCTTCTTCCTCTTTGTAATGCTTCTCTTTATCAGAAACTTTCTCAACCACCATACTCCACCAACTAGGGCTAACACCCCAAAACCTGCACCCACCCCTGAGATACCGAACACGAATATTTACAAGATTTGCTTTATAAAAATCTGCGGCTCAAAGGAAAACACAGTGATATATTTACCTATCAGTATTGCATTAGTCTTATCACCCACGCAGTGATAACCTCCAGCAGTATTCATACAAGTTTCCCTTTCTTTACACTGTGGTTTGCTTCTACATTCATCAACATCTACATTTGAAGAATCATATTGATGTTATATAATCAAATATACGACGAAGTAACACCTAGCGATCAAAAGAAGGGAGGAACATATAACTGACCTTGGCATCCGTTGAAAATATATGGATTACCTACGTAACCATTGTTGCATCCACAATTTCCATAAACAATCCCAGAAATGGTGGTATTGCCGCATGAACACTTGATTTCGGGTTCAGCATAGTAACTAGTATCGACGTAATCTTTTATGTTCTTGCAGTCCAAGGAATTGAAGAAGGAGTGGTTCTTGGTCTGTATTAACCATCCTAGACTAACCGTAGTGAATCCTCTAGTAAACAAGTCTTCTGGCTCTGTCGCATTAGACACAGTGTAGACTTCATCTGTTAAGAAGGCGACTCTGCATTCCTCTCTCTCCCTCGAGCTTCCAGCATTGCTCTCTAATCTGATACCAAGAACTTGTTGAGGCTCTCCAGGTAGACTCGCCTGGCAGCATCTGTCACCGTCGCATTCTGTTTCCTCCGGTTTGCTTTCTGTGCAAACCTTCTTGCTAGTGAAGGCCAAGACGTTGCGGCTTGAGCAACCTGTTTTCTCGTAGAAAGGGATGCTATTGCTATCGCTATTCGACCCTTTGCTTGTATTGCAATTCACCTCGCATCCAACCATGTTCGTCTTTATATGTGTCAACGAGACTCTGCTGTCGCAACCAACTGCTACGAGGCTGTTTACATCGTGAATGAAAAAAGGTGTACGCGTCAAGTTCATTACTGTGTCTGCAGACTTGTTCCCATCGCTGAAACATCCTGCGGTTGTTATCGGGGTTTTGACACGAACTAACCCAATCGATATATAACGAACTATCTCAAATGATTGAGGATCGTAGTAACGTTCTTCAGTCGGAAGAGAGATATTCCCAACTTCTTTCCCAAGTACTGAGAGGATAGGTACGAGCTTTCCTGAAGCAGTTGTATTAGCTAGACACTCGATTTCGTAAGACTTGTCGAGATAGCAGTTCTTCCCGACTCCAAATGGGTATTTGATCTCGACTTCTCCACATTTCTTTCGACAAGTGCTTGAAGCAGCGAGATCTGCAGAAGAAAGGATCAGCAAAAGTAGCAGCTTCAACAAGAGAGAGCAACTTTTTTTCTCGTAGCTGATCATGTTTCTTTACTCGATAACAAATTTTAATCTTCCTGAGTTTTGTTGTTGCTCCTTTGCTAATTAAAGTAGACGGATAATGTAAGTGGAGACGGAGGATAAAGTTTATTATTTGGTGCCTCACTTCCTTTTTCTTGATCAGGTCAATAATTTGGCGGAAAGCTTTTCTTTTGTTTAAAATATGGTTGGTGGAAAGATTAAAACGTGATCATCATCACATTTTTTTTGCAAATAAAATTTGGTAATTAGTTTAAAAACAGTAATCTTTGCACATGGAGATTCTTGCGAAAGTCACATTCATATCACCAACTAGCAAAAGACAGAAAACATCTAACACTACGTTCACAACTCTAAATTCAAGTTTAAATAAAGGTATAAAAAAACTGCAGCTTGTATATTAAAATAAAAAAAGGATCCACATTAACAAAAATAAAGAGACAATCTGTAAAGGTAAAGATAATTCAAACCACAAATCGTATGACAATCATCGTTTACGACATTTAGTTAAAACGTTTGGGACTATTCCCACGTTCACCAGTCGAGCTGCTGCTATTAACCACTTCACTGGTCTCAATCAATGTCGGAGAGTCTGTGAGCAATGAAGCGGAAACAGGAGGAATCAGTGGGTTCTCCTCTGAATGATTTGGTTTGTTCAGAGCGTTACAGTGAGGGCAATAATATGTAATGTACGCGAAATCCTCTTAAAGCAAAGATAACATGTGTACAAACTACAAAAGAAACATTATTATTACACAAACGTTTTAACTAGATCATCAAATTTATGATTACACAAACATTATTATGACTTACAACATTTTATGTTACATATATATTATTACACAAACGTTTTAACTAGATCATCAAATTTATTTATCATTACTTTAATCTGATTGAGTCACCATGTGAGACGAGGAAACAATGGTTCAACATCTGAAGAAGGAGGTGAAGCCACTACTGGAGCAGTAACACCGATACTCCATGAATCTCTCATGTTTATTATATTCATAACTTCCTCTTCTTCTTCTTCTTCTTCTTCTTCCTCCTCTTCGTCAATCTCAATCTGCACCTGATAATCCTCTGGAGATGTATATATCCTCTCCAACTCCGCATAAACTTCTCTCATATTCGGACGGTTCCTTCCTTTCGAGCTCGAGCACTTCATCGCCAGATTTGCCACTGCCATTACTTGTTCCGGTTTGCAGTCATCTCTTATTCGATCATCCATGATTTCCAACAATCTCTTCTCTTTCATGGCATCTCTGAAATGCTCCACCAAACTTTTCAGTTCTTGAGTGTTTTGTACCGTTATGACAGGCATCTCTCCAGTTATAAGTTCCGCAAGAACAACTCCGAAGCTATAAACGTCACTCTTCTCAGTGAACTGGCTGGACCGGTAATACTCTGGATCCATATATCCAGCAGTGCCTGATACAACAGTTGTGCAATGAGTTTGATCTATAGTGACTGACCTCGACGTTCCGAAATCACCCACCTTGGCTCGGTACTTCTCGTCTAGTAATATGTTTAATGATTTGATATCTCTATGGTAAATTGGAGAAGTTGCAGAGGAATGAAGATAAGCAAGAGCTCCTGCGATATCCACAGCAATCCGTAGACGCATCCCCCATACCATAGTGTAATCATCAGAATCTTCGTGAATGTGCTGGAAGAGGTTTCCATTGAGGATAAACTCGTAAACGAGCATAGGAACTTCCGTCTCAAGGCAACATCCCAAGAGCTTGACGACGTGCCTGTGGTTGATCTGGGAGAGAATCACGACCTCGTTGATGAACTCTTGTAGCTTGTCTTCATCTATAACTTTGGATTTCTTGACAGCAACGGTTCTACCGTCTAGGAGCATTCCTTTGTACACAGTGCCTTGACCGCCCTTTCCAAGAACTCTGTTTTGGCTGAAGTTTTCAGTGGCTTTCTCCAGCTCTCTCGAGCTGAATAGTCTCGTCCTTTCGACATTGCCTTGTCTTGTGTCTAGTTCTTGTTGCAACAGTAGTCCTCCGTTACGCTTGAAGAACTTCTTCTTCCTCTTTGTCAACCTTCTCTTTATCAGAAACTTTCTCAACCACCATACTCCACCGACTAGGACTAAGACCCCAAAACCTGCACCGACCCCTATCAATATTGGTTTTGTCTTATCGGCGCGGCAATGATAGTATCCTGGAGTATTCACACAATTGTCTCTTTCTCCACATGCGCCGGGTATGCTTTTACATTCATCAATGTCTGGATTTCAAAGGTAATGAAAAATAATGAGAAAGATGTCATAACATCTAGAGATGACTTATAAAAAGTCAAGAGGATATGGATGCCCTTGCACACACACACACACAAAAGAAGAAGAAGAAAAAGGGAGTATTCACACAAGTTTGGCTTTTTTTACAATGTAGTTGTTTGCTTTTACATTCATCAACATCTAGATTTAAAAAACCATATTGCATGTTATATAATCAAACAAATGATGAGAATTGAGAAAGATCCTATCGAATAATAACATGTCGCGATGATTTGTAAAAGCAACAAAAAAAAAAGAAAGAAGAAAGAGCATAAGGAAGGAACATATACTGACCTAAGCATCCGCCCGGAATATAGGCGTTCCCTGTGTAACCTTGGTTGCATCCACAAGTTCCATAGTTAATCCCAGAAATGGTGGTATTCCCGCATGAGCATTTTATTTCGGGTTCACCATAGTAATTAGTATCGGCGTAATCTTTTAGATTCTTGCAAGCCAAGGATCTGAGGAAGGAGTGGTTTTTGGTCTGTATTACCCATCCTAGACTAACCGTAGCGGATCCTCTAGCAATGAAGTCTTCTGTTTTTGTCGCATTCGACCGAGTGTAGACTTCATCTGTTAAGAAGGCGACTCTACAATGGTCGCTTGCCGTCGAGCTTCCACCATTGCTCTCTATTTTGATACCAATAATTTGTTGAGGATCGTAAGGTAAACTCGCCTGACAGCATCCGTCACCATCGCATCCTGTTCTTTCAGTGCAACCCCGCTTGCTTTCAGACAACAAGATATTGCGGCTGGAGCAACCGGTACTGTCGTAGAAAGGGATGCTATTGCTATTCGACCCTTTGATTGTATTGCAATTCACCTCGCATCCCACCATGTACGGCTTCATTTGTGTCAACGAGACTCTGCTGTCGCAACCAACTGCTACGAGGCTGTTTAGACCGCTACTGATGAAAAAAGGGGTACCCGTCAAGTTCGTAACTGATTCTTCAGGCTCTTTCCCATCGCTGAAGCATCCTGCGGTTGTTATCGGGATTTTGACACGAACGTACCCATAACTCAGATAACGAGATAACAACCCATCAACTGAAGAAGTATAACGTACTTCACTCGGAAGAGAGATATTCACAACCTCTCTTTTGATTCCACCAAGCTGAAGGAAAGGGACGAGCTTTCCTGAAGAAGAAGTGGTATTAGCCAGACACTCGATTTCGTAAGACTTGTCGAGATAGCAACCTTTTCCGATTCCAAATGGGTGTTCCATCTTGATTCCTCCACATCTCTCTTGACAAGTGCTTGAAACAGCCACATCTGCTGAATAAAGGATCAGCAAAAGCAGCAGCTTCAAGAGAATCAACAAGGGAGAGCAACTTTTGTTCTCGTAGCTCATGTTTTTCTTTACTCAAAACAAATTTGACCTCCCTGAGTTTTTGTAGTTCCTTGCTGGTTAAAGTAAACGGATTTTGTCAGTAAAAACGGAGGATAAAGTTCCCTCCACCAATGGTCTTCATATTTCAAATCTTCTTTATTGCTGCCTCGTTTTATTTTTCTTATCAAATAACTGTACATGTCGGAAAGCTTTTCTTTTGGTTAAAATATGGTTGGTGGAAAGTTTTAAACGTGATAATCACAGTTTTTTGCAAAGAAATTTGGTAATTAACTACGAAATATAGTTTACTCTTGCACATGCAGATTCTTGTCTTGATCTCATCCCACATCAAGTCGACCCACCGTTTCTATCCACACTAGAACTATGATTTCGACTTTCAAGGTCAATCTCAAATATTCCAATCTATAACTAAAAACCATGCCAGTATTTATCTTCAAATTTACTTAGATATATATATTTACACGAATTAACTTAGTGCAAAAAAACCAATCATCCCATAAGTGGATGATCTCTATAATCTAACTTGAATCACAAATATATATATATATATATATATATGAGTAACGAATTGCTCATTAAAAGCAGCTATTACTTATTCATGTCAACGTGCTTCGATGATAGTCACTAAATATGAGAAAGTATTAAGGGACACAAGTATTAAAGAAAACTCCACACATTTTTCTAAACCGTTGAAATAAATAATATTCCCTCAAAAAAGGAGTAAGTAAGCTACATAATATTCCCCCACACATTTTAATATAATGAACTACTTACTGTCTTTCGAGGGGGGCAAGGAAAAAAATAAATGAAAGGAAAAAAGAGTTTGAAAATGTGACGTGACATGAAGTGAAAAGACTCTTGAAAAATGAAAATAGATTGATAAAAAAAGAATGAAAAAGAGTGGCTCATGGATCATGCCAATGTATTTGCCTTCCTGTCATCACTAATGAGTTGGGTCCATTTTTCTTCAATCCTGCTCCAAATCAAATCAGACCTTCACTTATTCTCACGTGTCTACTGGCTCTATTAGTTTGGATTCACAATATTCTAGGTTTAAAATTCTTATCATTGATGATGAAAAAGTCATTTCTTTTTCATCCAATTTGTCATATAGTTATGATTGCATGTACTACTGTTTATAAGCAGTTGTAACAAAGATTCCATGACAAAATGCTCAGTAAAAGATACCAAAATTTGCAAGTGGGTACAATGTATGTTTCATTGAAATGAACCTATAAAAGTTATAATGTGTTCTACAGTCTTTTACTCGTCAATCGAATTATTTATGGATTCAAGTTTTTTATGGAATACAAACAAGAAACTGAAGATGCATGATAATCTGATTTGTATAGATAAAACAACTGAGGGTGAGATCACTATAAAGCCCAACTTGTGACCCAAAGCCTAATAAGTAACCTCTAAGCTAATAAAACCCTCTCCATAATTACAATGGGGTTTTACAACTTCTGAAATCTTTCTTCTTCTCTTGTTCATCTACAGTCACATTCATACCATGAACTAGCAAATTACAAAAAAAACATCCAACACCGTCTATAACTCTACATTCAAGTTTGAATACAGGTAATAAAACTAAAAAAAATGCAGCGTGTAGTATTAAAATAAAAAAGATATGATACAGAGATTATCTGTAAAGGTAAAGAGAAGTTTCAAAAAAACTAAAACCGCAAAAACGTAAAATATTCATCGTTCACGACATTAGAATCATATATATTTACCCACCAATTTTTTGGTCTTGTATAGAAACAGACCGGTATCAAAACTGTAAGCAGCTTCAGATATTAGCAATTCATAACATAATTTACCTGAAAGAGTACTCGCATCCACAGACACACGCACACAATCCCTCTCTGTAGCACAAACAAACGAAATCCCTTCTTCTTAAGCTTAACTGGATCTTCCTCAGCTCGGTGTCCTGGTCTCAGTAGTCGCAGTTTCCTCGTTTATTTCTGGGATGGGGCTATTCCCACGTTCACTAGTCGAGCTGCTGCTATTAACCACTTCACTGGTCTCAATCAATGCCGGGGAGTCTGTGAGCAGTGAAGCGGAAACAGGAGGAATCAGTGGGTTCTCCTCTGAATGCTTCGGTTTGTTCAGAGCGTTACAGTGAGGGCAATAGTATGTAATGTACGCGAAATCCTCTTTCCTCGCAAGTCCTGCGCATATATATAACACATTGCAACATCATGTTAGAGGCCAGCATATCGTAGGAGATTCAGGTTTAAAGGATGACGCTTTGATATTCATTCACCGTTGTGCATATGGCAGTTTCCACAAATGAGTGCAAATGATTGTGTGGGATCTTCTCCCACGAGTAGAGCAGCAATGCGTGAGATCCAACTGCCATCGTGAGCAGCATATCCCTGAGGACTGTAATGCTCAACCAACATCTGCTGGTTTTGCTCTGCGGTGCCTGGCAATCTCTCGCTTGTCCCCGAATGGTGAGACTCATCATCGGAATGATGTGCTGAAGCGCTCCCAGAACTGTGGGGTCTTGTGTTTGGTTGTCTTCGATTCCTCAGCCCTCGTGATTGGTTGAGTTCCATGTCATTGCTCTTGCCCGAAGATAGATCGACTTGGGGTTCATCTCCTAAGAACACTTTCAAGCCTGAATCAGCACCCAATTTGGATGCCAGGACGGTTGCAGCTGCTGCCTTTGCAGCTGGGTCGGGGTCATATCTCTGCATCAAAAGGCTTATGTTAACACCAGCTCAAGTCACAGTGACAAGCATCCATTCCTTTCTTTCGAGTTTGTGACCATATTGCACTGCTATGAAACGCGTACAAGAAGTACTTTCTAAAAACTGGTTTACGTCTTACTCTTACTATATTGAGGTATGGATGCTTGTCACCGTGGCAATAAATACAATCAATTCTAACTGTCACACTATTATCTATTCATAATCGCCACGAGCTCTAAAAATGGTATACAATCTTTGAACACAGTTACTATCCCAGCAACTATAAATTATAAACCGTTGAAAGCATCAGTATGCCTAATTGACATTATCCCAAATATGGCAAACCTAATATAATGCAAGAAGCTGTTGTGTGAACAAGCCGCAGTCACATAAATCTCTTTGTTTAAAACTAATATCTCACCTGAATAAGTTGCTGTGTGGTGTAATAATTGGTTCTTTCTTTAAGCTCATTGATTTTAGCCAACCTTTCTGCTCGCAGGTTTTCCAAGGTCTTTTGATCTCTCCGATCACCTATACAGCCATTTTTTTACACAGAGAAGCGATTAGAAACACTGAACCTACGAGTAAACACCAACATCTTACACGAAATGAAAAACATAAGACTCACACATCTTTGAGAAGTTGACGATTGAAGAATAAGCAAGAGCAGACACAGCAGGTAAGAGAAACATTGGCAGTATCCGAAAACTCCTCATTTTCCAATCCAAATCTTCCGTTCTGGTTGTCACAATCCCATAACCCACTGCAATTATCTGAAAGGAAGCAAATTTACCATATTCATCGCAAATTACTCACATGGGCTTAATTTTCACCACACGCTAACTAAAACAATCAAATTCAAATTCACAGGAAGAAAACTGCTGACCTCAAATATCACGGAGGAAGCGATGAGATTTCTAGTGAGTTTCCTCCATGTAATCGATCTGCGCTTCATCCTGGATAGAACAGTCGCTTCTTCCTTTGAAATGTATTGAAGTCTCTTCTCGAAATCGTCTCCCCTGACCCTAAATATTCCATTCCATATACGCGAGAAGAATCCCTTTCGCTTCTTCTTCACGCTATCGGAGCTTGCGGTCACGGCAGCCACGGCGGAATCATTCTGCTCACCCGTCTCAACCACCGCTCCTTCCTCCTCCTGCGCCATATCTTCTCACCTTCCCACCACCACCACCACAGGAAAAATACCGAAACCACTGCGAAATCAAACAATCGACATCAGAACCTGAAGCTTAAGAAACCAGAAACTTTTTTCACTCGAGATACGAGGATCGCCCACTTGCCTGATTCTCTTGATCTGGAATTCTCTAGAGACGGAGGATTTGAATATCTCGAAGATAAAATCAGAACAACTGGCAATGGTTGGCGTCCTCTCTCTCTCTCTCGTCTCTCCGACAGTTTTCTGCGCCTTCGAGAAGCCAAAGGGAAATGGGGAGGACGAGATCCACCGGTGAAGCCACCTCGGCGCAACGCACGTGATCCACGTGCCTCTGTATCACAACCTCGAGGATTGGGCCCATTACTAGCCCACCATCTTTCAACTTTATTGGGCCTCATATTAATTTGTGCCTTGTCCATGAGAATGTTTTAAAATTTTAGAAATTCACTTTTATTTAACCAAATATCCAAAACACTTTAGAAATTCATTTTTATTTTTTAATATTTTATATAAATTTTGGTTAATTTAGACAGATATCCGGAACCAATTCAAGTTCGGGCGGACTTTTCTTTAAAAAAAAAAAAAAAATACATGAATGGATTTTATAGCATAAAATCACAATACCCAAAACCCAATATACCTAAATGTCTATGACTTAACTGAGTAACTTAAACCTCAAGGACTTATATGAATATGTAGTTTTGAAAATTGCGGGACGAGTTCTGTTATGTATATATAACAAACTAAGATCACAGAGCTAAGCTGCATAGAGTTTGACCACACTAAAAAAGATACAACAAATGAGAAAGAAGTTACAATTTGTAACATTTGAGGAATAAACCAATATACAATTTCTTACCTCATTCATAGTTGGATTGATAAGAATTTACCCCTCAATCATTCCTAGTTGGATGAATCCAATGGGCCCTCTCCATGGAATATCAGATAGCATGAGCGCTGCCGATGATACGTTAGCTGCTACAGAAAGTAAAAGACAAAATCTAGTTTTTGCGATTGAGTTTCGAATTAATTGAGAAAAAATTCTAAAAGTTCAGAAAAGTTGTGAATTATGAGATTATTTCTAGCTTTTGATTCATTTTCGCACAACAAATGCATGATTTTAGTCATAATATCAATTCATTCAACTCGCGAAAAATAAAGTTACAGAAATCAAAAACAAAAGGTTCTGAGATTATGTCCGCACACAAAAAATGACAATGAAGATCCAGGAGATCGAATTGAGCTTCATTTTCTTTTATTTCATGAGATTTTTGTCTATTTTATATCAAAACCAAAAGATCTTTAGAAATAAGCCAATAACATTTCACATGTCCATATTTGTATTGTCAAAAGTCTTATCTCTCATCTTTTATCTTAGTGCATGTAATTTTTAAATGTGAGATACCAAATATTTTTATTTTGACGAATTACCAAGTGTTCCTTTTCAATTGATTTATGTTTCCTAAATTTTAGAAATTATAGTTTTAGACTTGAAAGTTGAAATAAAAATAGATTTTTTTAGTTATTTTTTTGGGATTACTGCAAAAACCAAATAAAAAATTGGTTAGCACACCCAATGGGAATAACCCACACAAATGCTTGATTGTAAGTCAAAGCACACCCAGTGGGACTCGAACCCACAATCGCTTGATTAGAAGTCAAGCGCCTTATCCATTAGGCCATGGGTGCTTGTTGTTTAGAATGCTTCAACATTAAATATATTATTATAAAGTTCGCTTATTGGTCAGATCATTTTTTTGTATCGTATGTTCCTATGGGGATGTCTTAGCGGTCATATAATGGCAAGATCTTTCCCTTCCCGCCTAAACTTGGAGTTCGGCTATAAGCTTAAAGGATTGGTGTCGGAACAACTCCACGATGAAGCATTGAGGCTGTACAAGCAAAAGATTCATCCTTTAGGCACTAATGGCTTCACAGCGATTCTTCCTTCTGTCATCAAAGCTTGCTCTTTCCAAGACGAGCCTTTCTTACTTGGCGCACAGTTTCATTGTCTTTTTCTCAAGTCAGGCGCTGATCGTGATACCGTTGTTTCCAATTCTCTCATCTCTATGTATGCCAAATTCTCCAGCACATACTCCTCACGTAAGGTATTCGATGAAATGCTTCCAAGAGATACCGTTAGCTATTGCGCAATCGTGAATTGCTATTGCCAGGATGGGTTGTTGTATGAATCACTAAAGCTTCTCAAGGAGATGTATTTTGATGGTCTTGTTCCCAAGTCCGAGCTGGTTGCATCTCTATTGGCTCTCTGCACTCGCGTGGGAAGCAGCAGTAAGGTAGCAAGAATGCTTCATGCTCTTTTTCTCGTTGATGAGAGGATGCAGGGATCAGTTCTTTTATCAACGGCGTTGGTCGATATGTACTTGAAGTTTGATGATCCTGCAGCGGCTTTCCATGTGTTTGACGAAATGGAGGTGAAGAATGAGGTCTCATGGACAGCCATGATCTCGGGTTTCGTTGCAAATCACAACTACGAAATGGGCATTGATTTGTTTCAAGCAATGCAGAGAGAAAACGTGAGACCCAATCGTGTCACTCTGTTGTCTATACTACCTGCTTGTGCAGAATTGGGTTCTGGCTTAAGGCTGGTGAAGGAGATTCATGGGTTTTCTTTTCGTCATGGATTCCATTCTGACGATCGTTTAACAGCTGCTCTTATGACCATGTACAGCAGATGCGGTAATGTAAGTCTCTCGAGGTTACTATTCGAAGAATCAAGAGTGAGGGATGTTGTAATGTGGAGTTCAATGATTGGTGGCTATGCAGAGACTGGAGACTGCTACGAAGCTTTGAATTTGTTAAGTCAAATGAGAAAAGAAGGAACTGAACCCAACTCGGTTACTCTGTTGGCTATTGTCTCAGCCTGCACCCGTTCGGCATCGTTGAGTTTTGCGTCCAGAATCCATTGTCACATCCTGAAGTGTGGCTTCATGTCAAATATCTTATTGGGCAACTCCCTCATAGATATGTATGCAAAGTGTGGCAGTCTACTTGCGGCGCGTAAGGTATTTTATGAACTTAATGAGAAAGATCATGTGTCATGGAGCGCAATGATAAATGCATACGGTCTTCATGGGCATGGTTTAGAAGCGTTAGAAGTCTTTCAAGAGATGATAAAAAGTGGAGAGAAAGTAGATGCAGTGGCACTTCTCGCAGTTTTATCGGCTTGCAACCATGCTGGTCTGGTAGAAGAAGCTCAAAACATATTCACGAAAGCTGGAAAAACTTACAATGTGTCACTCACATTGGAGCACTATGCTTGCTATATCAATCTTCTTGGCAGGTCTGGGAAGATCGACGATGCCTTTGAGGCTGTTAGAAATATGCCCATGAAGCCAAGTCCAAGAATATGGAGTTCTCTGCTATCTGCTTGCGAAATTTATAACAAGCTTGATGTGGCAGGAAAGATAATTGCAAACGAGCTCATGAAATCTGAACCTGACAATCCAGCCAATTATGTATTGCTGAGCAAGATTCACACAGAATCTGGTAATTTCTATGGTGCAGAAGAAGTGAGGAGGGTTATGCGCAGACGAGGACTGAACAAATGCTATGGATTCAGTGAAATTGAATCCTGAATTCTCGGCGTCCTTTATGAAGATTGTATCTAAGCACTGTTCTCTATCTGCAGTTCAAAAGCAGCATCACTGATGCACTCTCTTGAAGAATTTTCCAATAAATTGAAGTGAGGATTAGATCGTAAAGCTTATTTGTTTACAAGAGTCGAGTGTGTACATATCACATTGCCATAGATCCCTTTTCATTCTTTTGCTATCGTTTGGCGACATGAACTGATATGCAAGGGCTGCCAACATGATCATCTAACAATATCATTGAACACCATTTCGAGCCTTAGTTAGGTTGAAGATGTATTTGAAGACACAAGAAAACAACCTGTAGCCTAGTACAAATATTGCTGGCATAGTTGCATCATATCCACAATTTGATTTCGAGTCATAGCCTGATATTGTACGGATTATGCAGAGGTTGGCAATTGGAAAAGTGTTGGAAAATCATGTGGGAACGATTATTTAAAACAGAAGTCTCAAACATGCAACAGAAGATTTAGGTTAGACGCCAACTCCTAATCATTTCATTCATGTACAACATCTCATGAAGTCCAGTAGAGAACAAAAAAGGAGCACACACATACATAACAAGAACAACGAACTGCATGCTAAATAAAACAAGTTCAAAGACAAGGATGCAAGTATACCCTCACAATAAGCAGCTAAAGGGACACAGGTAACTAGTAGTTAAACCCATATTAAAGCTAAAAGTAAACAAGCAAGCTGCGTTACGCATGATCAGACAAGATTGTTTATCCAGTCGATGTCCATCATGAGGAAATTGTCCAGCTGTAAGTCTTCTACTGATAATATTGATTCTGCAGTTGCGTCGACTGGGAGATAAAGTTCACTCGCCATCTCTATAATCTCATTAGAAACAGATGCATCAGGGGAAGTAGGACCCTGAGAGGGAACTTGAGCTGTTGCCGGAATCGTGGTGGTAGGGGAAGGCACAGACACAACTGCTGAAGCATAGTTTGTTGCTATTGTCTGTATGTCATGCTTGGACAGAGGCCGGACAGAACCTTCTGGCAGCTGCGGCTTTTTGTCAGTTGGAAAATTGAAAACTCCCCTCTCACCCCTGATGCAGAACAAAGCAGCATCATACGCTCGAGCTGCCTTCTCTGGAGCATCATATGAACCTAGCCATATTCGTCTTCCAGTCTTTGGAACTCTGATTTCAGACACCCACTTTCCCCACGCCCGCTTTCGAACACCCCTGTAGCATTTAAATCTTCGATCTTCATGAGCTTCTTCTTCAAGTGAGGAGCTAAGAAAAGGAGATTTAGGAGTAGAGGGTCGCATCGTTTCCATAAAAGAAGCAGTTTTTCCAGATTAGTGTCTAACAGTTTTATGCACAGAGTATAGACACTGTAGATATTGGAAACTTAGTGTTGAACTATGTTTGTCAACAGCACGTGGCAACGAAGAAACTGCGGTTCTGCCAGCATAGTAGAGTCCTCGAGAGTTCCATCTGCGGGGATCGACTGACAAGGTAAACGCCAATTTTATCTGTCAGGCATACGTTTCTTAAAGGAGACACACCGCAAAAAAAGAAAGTAAAAAGGAGAGGAAGTACCTACAGGTTGTTACGGGTCAAATGTCCGTTTCTTTTTCGAACTTGAGACACGCGTAAGAACCCCCGAGGTTTCTGAAGATATTATCTGATCAATCCAAGCTAGCTAAACTTTCAGTTTTCTATTATGTGTTAGCCAGAAAATCCGTGAAAGCATTAATGTCGACCGAGATCTTTCGATGGAAACATTTGATCAAAGTCCTGTGAGAGCATTAAGAAGAATGCCTCAACTTCAAAGCATTTCCTGGAACCTGAGCCACTTCTTGTCTTCCTGTGATCCGAGGAACCAAGCCTGACAACATTGAATTGGAAAAAACGATTTAAACTGCAGAAATTGGAAAGAGCAAAACAAAAGGTTCAGATGTCCTGCAAATCTTATTCGTACAATTATGTACTTACTTGCTCAAGGCACTAAAGCATAATCTTGTACTTCAGCTGAAGATTCTTCTACTATCACCTATATGGACCACAAAGGGACCATTGATGATCGTCATACATAGCACATGGACCTCCATCAGCAAACTGCGTAAGTAAAGGTACTCATAAAAGATATATCAGCTAGTTATGGAAATATCTCTACTGAGCAAACTCAATTTTAATTAGAAACGATCCAGATGAATTCATCATTATTGGACTATTCTAATCGCTACCTTTCTCTCTGTAACGCATAGGGTTGGCCTTAAATAACAGCAAATGCCTAAATGCAACACGCAAGAACGCTTTTTTGGAAAATTTCGGACACAAGCCAATATTTATGTCTCTTCTTAAAGGGTTCTCAGAATGGAATCAAATACGAGTAATTATCTGATCAAAGAGACCCAGAAGTGGGACGAACGTGTTCAGAAACTAGCAATGTCTTAAACCCTTCTTCCAAAATCTCTGACTTCTGAATATTTTGGCTGGATTTTTAATTTACCTTTTGTAAACTCGGTTTTGTAATTCGGTCTTTTGTAAACTCCTGCCATCCTCCATGTATCAGTCATTTTACTAACAAACACCTTTTGTGAGCAGTTTCCTTGCCTTAGGTTTCATGCATCCTCCATTCGAAGACTCTTCTTTTCAAGCCATCTCACAAATCCTGACAGTGTGCAAAAGAGAAGTAGAGAGACCAATCTCACACAAACATCTACAAAAAAGCAGGCAATGTCACAAACAGCCATATAAACCTTTTATGTGGATAAGATCTTTATATTCAAAGAGCTTACAAGAAAGTGATAGAGATTGCAAGGATTTTGTCATTCCAATCGTTTGAAAGGCTCAGCTTTCTAAATATCAGGATCTGAAACTGTCTGCTTTTCGATTTGAAGCTGGAAAGCTTCAGAGAATTCCTTAAGTAAAGACTCGTGAGCTATATCTATTAATCTCAATTCATCCACATTTTCGTGCTCTCCATTCTCAAGCAAGCCTTTTATGCTTCCGACTTGTCGGTCTCTAATCCCACATGGAACTATCGAGTTGAAGGGTGTTAGATCTGTTGCGACATTAAGAGCCAAACCATGATATGTTATCCATTTCGACACACGAATACCTATGGCCGCGACTTTTTGGTTGCCTATATCACATTTGCAAACGAGAAGAGATCACTTATCAGCTCACTTATAAAATCATCCAAAAGGGATCAAAACACACACTAAGAATCTTAGATTTGAGACATACCGACCCAAACTCCAGTTAAACCATCAAGACGGGAAGCTTTGATGGAGAAACTTGAGGAAAGCACACGGATGACAATCTCTTCAAGCGTCCTGAGGTACCAATGAAGATCCATCTCGTGATTTCGAAGGTTGATTATAGGGTACATAACTAGCTGCATTTCCAAATAATCACATCCACTTAAAAGTCTTACCTTGAAAAAGAACTCATTAAAAAGCAGAGAAATTTCCAATGTATATTGTTGACATTAGTACCTGACCAGGGCCATGATAAGTGACTTCGCCACCACGTTCAGTTCGATACACATCGAAAGGAGCATTCTTTATGTCGAAGTTGAGATAATCCTCTGAACTGCCAGTTCCCAGTGTGTAAACAGGAGAGTGCTGTAAGAGAATCAAAGTGTCTGGGCAGTCTTGGTTTCTATCAATCAATGCCTTTTTCTCCTTGACGATGCTTTTCTGCCATGACCAAGCTTTCTTGTATGGAACCAATTGGTCGTAGAGATCAAAACACTGGCACCTGCAAAAGGTTTTATAAACTGATGGTGATTGCACAGAAGGTGTTCGTGAAAATGCCAGAAACAAAAAAAAAAAGGAGAGCAAAACCACAGTGAGACTGTGAGAGTGAGTTACTAAGAGCGAAACTTTACTTTCTAGGGTTTTCATGATTCCCCAAGTTCGAGAACTTGACAGATTTGGATACTCTATTCCTGTTGGCGTTAGTACGATGGTGATGATGGAGGCCCGAGATTAGAGTTTCTACTCGATGCAACGACTCCATAGCTAACTCGGGGATATTTGGAAGAATGTGATATTTTTCTTAAGTTTATCTTTAGCCAATTAAAAACGACGGATACAACAATTTTGACCATAAACCAAAAAGCAATCTTATGGATAACAAAACATTACTTGATTTTAATCTGAAGAATAGAAAATAACAAAAGAGTTACTGTATATCTATCATCTGGTCCTTCATCATCCACTTCCTCTCGCAACTGGGGTCTGCTTCTCTCTCTCTCTCTCTCTCTCTCTCTCTCTCTGTAACTTTCTGGGAAAAACCCTAATTCTTATCCGTTCGGAGGTTCTTCTTCTTCTTCTTATTCACGGGATTGTAAAGTTGTTGAATTTACACAGAAACATGCTGGTTTGCCTGGGTTTCGTTGGAGAATCTGTCTTGCTGCCTTGAATTACAGTCCAAACAATGTTGGGTTTGATTCATGTCCTTGATGAGCTCGTCAATGGTCTTATGCCACTGCTTATCATTCACTAGCCAAAACTCAGCTCCTGAATCATCATCATCCTCTCTCGGTTATAATCCCCGTCACTCGATTTCGTTGCGGGGTAAGAGAAGAAACAAGCTTTGGAGTTTTGTTCCCAGTGCGGAGAAGGATAACAGCCATACGGGCAACAAGAGGAGAAGAAGCTGGTGGCAAAGGTTTTTCTTTGATGATGATGGGAATTGGCTTGGTTTGAGGGACGACGAGATCGTTGATGAGGCATCTGAGCTTGCGAATGATGATGAGATGTCTGATGAAGAGAAATTCGAGGCTTGGAAGAGACGAGCAGAGGCCATTGTGGAGCTACGGGAAGGTCAGGAGGAGATTGGGGATAACGGTGATGGTGATGTGAGCAAGAAATGGGAGGATTGGATTGTGGATTCAGATGATAGTTTAGTCGAGTCTTGGAGCCGAGACTCTGCCGGAATCAGAGAGGGAAGCGAGACACAGTCAGAGCTCGATGAATTGGCGATTCCAGAGAGAGGGTTGGTTAAAATGGTGAGGGATATGGTTTTAGGAGCCGAAGAGGAAGATATTCTATATGAAGACCGTGTCTTTCGTTATGCTTCTTCAAAATCGGTGAGCTATGAAATACTTGTGCTATGCTACATAGCTTCATTGCCATTGATAATGTGTAATTGTTGGTCTAAGTGTTATTGATCGCAATGTTCTCCACAAGACTGATCAATGCTCATTGACATTGTTAACTCTTTTACAGGCAAAGTTTCTGGCGGTATTGATCCTAATACCATGGGCATTGGACTTTTTAGCCCATGATTATGTACTCATGCCCTTTTTAGACAGGTGATTTCTTCATTTGTTATTGTTAATTTCCCCAGCTTATGTCTCTATTTACACTGTGTTAGTTCCGAGTTTGATTATTTAGTCTCTGCTTTTTACTTACAGATATGTAAAGACTGTACCACTTGCTGCACGGACGCTTGATGTGAGACGTAACCAGAAGCTAGAAATGGTAAAGGAACTGAACAGAGAAAAAGCTAGGTACAGGCTTGAAGTCGAGATTGGAAAATCTCCGCCTCTTTCTGATGATGATTTGTGGTGGGAGTTGCGGGGTAAAGCGTAAGACTCAACACCACAGTTTTTAGTTTCTTTTGATGTTTATAAGTGTTGAAAACTCATCTTGATATGTATATGAGATAGTTAACAGTTTGAGCTACCTCTGATTGTTTCAACAGCTTGGAGCTGCGAGAGGAGTGGAGATTAGAGAACAGGAAAGCATTTGCCAACATATGGTCTGACATGGTGTTTGGGATCTCGCTGTTCGTTCTTTTGTACGCCAATCAGGGTAGAGTAAGTTTCTGTTTCCAGTTTGAGATTTCACCAACCTACACTGACATTTTTAAGTTTTATTTGAAGCTACTAGCTGTTTAAACCCATTTTGTTAACATGTGCCGTTCTTCGGTTAACTTTTTTCAGGTAGCGTTGTTGAAATTTACGGGATATAAAATCATAAGCAACATTTCAGACACGGGAAAAGCATTTCTGATCATCCTTATCACCGACATTTTCTTAGGGTAAATGTCCTAATCTTTGCTTTAAGTAAGAGCAAAACACCAAAAAAGTGAAGCTCATAACACATGTTAAAAACAGAGATGTTACCGTTCTAATAACTTGATATTGGCAATAGATTGAATCTTATCAATAGCCTGTTGTGCAAAGAAGGGATATATATATAACTTGATGGTTCTTTTTTAAAGGTACCATTCTGAATCTGGATGGGAGACATTGTTAGAGATAATAATGGAACATTATGGTCTTGAAGTTGAGCAATCTACAATAACCATTTTTATCTGCCTCGTTCCCGTTATTATCGATGCTTGTGTTAAGCTCTGGGTATCTTCTCTTCTCCTTTTGTGTCCTCTTGTTTACTTTCTGTGTCTATCCTTTGTTTCTCTTTCTGAATTGAAAACTTTCATTTCTCTTGTGCAGCTGTTTAAGTTCCTTCCAAGATTGTCTCCGAGAGTTTCCAACATTTTCCAGGAGATGAAACGTCATTAAGTAGTATCCATCATTAAAACCTCAATTTGAGTTCTGTGTTTCTATCACACAAACAAACGATTCTTCAGCTTCATTTACTTTCATATAGACACATAAGAGAAAACATAGGCTATTTTTTTGTCTTTCATCTTGATTTCATATGTATTTTTTTTTGTTGGTGAAAGAATTGAGAGATCACAATCTGTTCTCTCACAACAGTACTTTGCCATGTATACAATAAACAAACCCACAGAAGAAGCCCTTTGGGCTTTTTGGGTTTATGCATACTTTTGGTAAGTTATATGCATATCCGAAAATTTGAACTACAAATAAACAAAAGTAGTAAAAGAATTACAAGTCTCATCACTTTTTTTGCTTGCCTTTGGCTTTTTTTATGGATGGTTTTGAGATGATGATTACGATTTGTTTTTGTTGAGCAAACAATGATGATGATTAAGATTTAAGAGCTCAGACTTCCACACAAAACTCTCATGCCTTTGTTGACCCAAGACACTTTTCTCTCTTTTAGTCCAAGAACAAAATGTCTTAAAAACTAAAACGGTGTATTTTTCATTTATACAAAGTTTGTATTTTTAATCACTAAATATTATAAAGCGAAAAACAAACATGTATATTGTTGAAGGTCACACAAGTGACTTGCAACGGTTTTTATATTGGGACAAGAATTTGTAAAGTGAAAACGTATACTTGTCACTGCCCCATTTAATATGACGAATCTCAAGGGCCATTACCCAATTAGAAGTTAGAACCTCAAATAATCATCATTTTGCATAATTAAATTGGATCATTAGTTTACGCCATTTGCTAATAAATCTTGGTCAAAATCTGAAACTGACAAAGTCCAAAGCACACAGAATAGTGTCAGAAATCAAAAGCATACTTGTGGAAATGTCTCCTTTGTTTGTTATTTATCGTTACAAAAACAAAAATTGGGACAAGAATTTGTAAAGTGAAAACGTGACCAAAAGATAAAGAGCAGTGCAAAGATCATTTACATTTAAAATAATAAGGGGGCAAGAGAAAAAATAAACATAGATGGGAGGAATGTCTGACTATCTTACAGTAATTTTAATTAATTAAAGGCCATCACAAGCAGCCTTTGACCAAATCCTAGCCCTTCATTCTTATGTTGTAACTCTAATTTCAAGACGCAAGCTGAAGAGATAGATATATAAACATGTTTTAATTTGTTCAAAAATCAAAACCAAGTAAGAAAATATCTTTCTAAAGGTGTAAAATCTAATTTCCAGACTCAACCCAAATCTATATATAAATCATGTCTAAGATTTGTTTTACAACTTAAGTCCAATATATTTGACTAAAATTCCAATGCGAAAGGGTGTACTAACTAAAATGTTTAAAAATAGAAATCATCCGATGATATCATTTAGAGTTATTACAAAAAAAAAAAAAACATTCAACTTGCACGTCATAAAGATGAACATAAGTTTAAAAAAGCTTGGTATTTTAGTTACTTAAAACAGAATCTCTTTTTAACCCCAAAAAAAAAGAAAAGAGTTTAATGTATTACGCCATCAGAATTATGCACGAGGTTTCAAATATTGTGTGTTGTTACTACTACTATGTCTATTTTGAATTCCACATCCGTATAAAATGTTAATGCATAGTTAATAAATAATTCTATAAAAACCCCTTAAAAAAACGAAGAGGTATAGTTAATTCTACAGCTCATCTTCTTCTTTCCCCCGCCAGGTTCGGATCGCATCTTCGTCTCCTCCACCACCTTCTCTCCATTTTCTTCCTTTCAATTCACCTCTCAACAAGTTTACTCTAAACCCACCAAACATAACAAAATAACAAAACAAAAAAAACAATTTTTTTTTTTAATTCTTTTCTTAGACAGAGAGAGAGAGAGAGAGAGAGATTTTGGGTTTGTGTTTTTTGTTCTTCTCTTCGTTGATAGTTCTCTTCTCCGTCCTTTGTTGGCTTAAATTCCTTGTGGGATTTTGATTAGATGGGTAATGTGACATCAAATGTGGCGGCAAAGTTCGCCTTCTTCCCGCCGGACCCAGCAACATACGGCGTCACCAAGGATGAAGAGACCGGGAAGCTGGTCTTCGCCGGAGTCTCGCCGGACAAGAACATGGAAGTCCACCAGCTCAGCACCAAGTCCGGTAACAAAGTCGTGGCCACGTTCTGGAGACACCCTTTTGCCAGATTCACCCTTCTCTATTCCCACGGAAACGCAGCTGATCTTGGCCAAATGGTTGAGCTCTTCATCGAGCTCCGTGCCCATCTCCGGGTCAACATCATGAGGTGTGCATTAAATTACAGAAAAGCTAAAAACTTTTATGGGTTTTGTTTAGATTCTTACATTAAATTCTCTGATGTCATTGAAACAGTTATGATTATTCAGGCTATGGAGCTTCAACAGGAAAGGTAACAAAGAGAAAACTTTCAAATGTCAAACCTCAATCTGATTTTCATTTTCTTCTGACTTTAAACTCTGGTTGTTCAATTTGGTGGTATAGCCGTCTGAGTTCAACACGTATAATGACATTGAAGCAGTGTACAATTGCTTGAGGAGCGATTATGGGATCAAGCAAGAGGAGCTGATTCTGTATGGACAGTCTGTAGGAAGCGGGCCAACACTGCACATGGCTTCTCGCTTGAAGAGGCTGAGAGGAGTTGTTCTTCACAGCGCCATTCTCTCTGGCATTAGAGTCTTGTATCCTGTCAAGATGACACTCTGGTTCGATATCTACAAAGTAAGTCAAACACACACACAAAAAGAGATGTCTTTTTTTTTTGTACATACTCTCTGGTCCTGTCTCATCTCTTTGTTTTGGATGTCTTACTGCAGAACATAGACAAGATTCGCCATGTCAGCTCCCAAGTTCTTGTCATACATGTATGTAAGCTTTATCAACTGTAGAATTCTGGGGTGGTCTTGATTCTGTTGATTGAGTTCTTACTGACCTGCGCAGGGTACAAATGATGAGATTGTGGATTTGTCTCATGGGAAGAGATTGTGGGAGCTGGCGAAGGAGAAGTATGATCCTTTATGGGTGAAAGGAGGAGGGCATTGCAACCTCGAGACTTATCCTGAGTACATTAGGCACCTGCGCAAGTTCATAAACGCAATGGAGAAGCTCTCCTTAACCAACCCACCACCTAAGCAAATAACCAATGAGCCTAGTATCACTGAGACCAAGCACAATCGTTGCTTGAGATTTGGGAAAAGGTAGGTTTGGGTCTCTGGAGGGTAGTAGCAGAGAGAACCAGAAGCCAGTTCGTAGATTCCTTCAATTGCATCGCATGTGCTTTCAACTCAGAACACTCAGGCAATGAATGCTCGTTTCGATCGAGCACTTGGACTCAAAAGATTGTGCATAAACCAATGCGCGGAAGCAAGAACACCCAAGGAGGTACTTACTGTAGAATGTAGCCCTGTTCTTGGATTGGATCGATGTTCAGTCTCCTGTAAACTTTGCATCAAGTTTGGGGTTTTGTGAAACATCTTTACTTGTAGGAGAAGCTAGAGCCGCGAACAGAGAAAATATGTAATCAGCCAGCCGTACATAAGATACTTTGGTTTTATTATATCAATTATACGCAACGAAATGGGAAGATACAATCAACAGAATACAAATAGGCAACCAAAGTATAAGCATTCCAATACTATAACAATGCCTTTTGTTTCATTCCAAAAAAAAGGAAAGAAATTGATTTATCTACTACGCACAGAAAAAAAGAAAAAAAGAATCAATGTTTGACTCCAAAAATGGTTTACAAAGTGTATTCTTCACTAAGTAAACTCTCTGAAAGGAACATCGTTCCAAGACATCTCTCATCATCAACAAAGTAATCGTCTGCTGCTTCAATTAGTAACACAGGATCCGAATTTGGAAACTCATACTTTGGCTGCAAAACTTTCTCCCGTTGCTCTGCAAACTCTTCAGAGCAATTGGAACAAACATAAAGTGGAGGCAAAGTATCAGAATCATCAATCCCACAGCATCTTGTATGCTGCCAAACTTCACAAACAGCACAAGGAATCATCCTCTCTCCATCATCATCCTGAGCACTACAAACACATTTCACCATCCACGTATCACATCCACCTTGAAACTTCAGCTTCGATTCCAAACCAATCCCAGATCCCCTCACTGTTATTGCAGAACAAGACTCGAGCTTCCCAAACACAAACTCCCTATCATCATCTTCTTCAACCTCATCGATCTCATTCACAACAAAGTTTGTCAAGATGCAGTAAGTATTCCTGAATGTGTCTTCAATGGCCTGCTTTAGATCAAAGACTGGCTTGGAATGACACTGTGACTAACTCACCTGGAGGCAACTCTGTGATCTCTTTTGTTCTTAGACCGACCAAACTTGGATTGATACGACAGACAAATCTCAAGACTCTGTCATCCTTGTCCCATAAAGGCCACTCTTTAACGAAGTGTTTACTATCTAGGATCGCTTGAGTTGCAGATCTCACTGCTGGGTAATTCATTAAAATGTTTTTGTAAAGTACCATGAGCTCTCCATGAACATCCCTCAACGGAATCACTTCAGGCACAGGCTCATCATCAAGCTCCTGGATCGTGTAACGCAGATTCCGTGTACCATGCTCCACATAACGCCTAACCAAAACGTTCCCAACAACAACATTATCCATCGATTTCAACACGTAATCTAATAAACCCGTATCTCCAATGCTCAATCTAGCTGCATCCCTAACATCTTGCCGAGTCATACCGTTCTTATTCACTGCTTTCATCTCTTTCAGTGACTCTACAATCACTTCAGCTGCGTACTCAAGCCTTCTCACAGGCCATCTACTCCCCAAATTAGCCGCCACGGCGCTGTAACTCTTATATCCCTGAGACATCTCATTCTCCAAAACGTCACCCTTCTTCAAGTACAATCTGTTTCGTGACGCTTAGGAGGAGCATGAGACTTGGTGATAAGCATAAACCGCAAGAGATCTCTCAATGTCTTCAAATACCCTTCACTCATTTCTCTGTAATGCCTGAAAATGTTCTTCATCTCTTTGAATTGTTTATGCTCACTGAAGTCAAACTCAATCTGATCAATCTCAAGTGAACCAAGAAGCTCTATAGCATTCTCGTAATCATTCTTGGTCACACCGTAGCTTCCACGGCAGAACTTGTATCCCCACCTCCCAAACCACGAGTATCCATACGCAACCCCATATAACAACCGAAGATCCAGAGATCTCTTGTTAGTCAAATCCTCAACTGTTATCATCCTGCAAGAACACATTCATTCAATCTCAAATCATGGAGAAAAACCTGAGGGTCCAACAAACACAATAACGAACCTTGCTCCGAGGTTAGTGCATATCCGGTCCCAAAGGTCGACGAGCTCTCTTCCGCACAAGTATGTAGATCCTCCTTCGAGACCGTTGACGCAGATCAAATGACCAAACCCATTAGTGTGAATCATTCCATGTAAAAGGTGAGTTTGTAGATCAAGAACAACATCTTGTAAACGCATATTCCACTCAGTATCTATCGGTATTATGAAATGGTATTTCCTTCTCGATACAAAGTGATTACTCCATCCTGTAAAAAACCAATAATCACGGTTTAATCATCACGACAGAGATAATTACCAAAATACACGATTTCGTAATCATCTTTAGATGGACCAATACCCAGAATCTCGAATTAACAACAAACCGTAACCCAATTCTTAATCAAACACCAAATACGGAATCGATTTAATCCCATATACGATTAACTTAACCCTGATGAAGAACTTCCGAACTCTAATTTTCCATAAGCAGAAACTTGAAAACGATTAAACTCATCTGAGACCAAATTGCAAGAATCTCTATACCCAATTCTTCCCCAAACACCAAATACGATTGATTAAACCTGGATTTAGAACTTCCGATCCCAGTTTCAATAACGATTAAACTCAAAATCTGGAAAAAAAAAAAACCGACAGAACCTGTGCACCAAATACGATTGATTAAACCTCGATCTAACGACGTCTTCTTCGACTGTGTAAAGCGGAATCACAGAGTTCTTCGTCTCGTGGCTGAGAAGCGTACACCATACAGGCATCCCACGGATGCAGTACTCTTCAACCTCCGCGAATTCCCGGAGAAAACCCCTAATGTTATCCCGGAAAGTTCCATTCCGGCTAATCGGAAACTCCTCTTGTCCGAATCGTTGCAGATTATACAGTTTCGGCTCCCTCTTCCTCTTCCGGCAAGCCTCGATTATCGGAACCGGCATCGTTTCGAAAGCAAAATCTAGGGACTCAATGATCTAAGTCTCACACTAGGGCTTCTGGGATTTAGGCGCTACAATTTGAAACGAAACGAAACGAATTTAATCTGTGAAATATATGTGTAAAAAATCTTTTTACTTTCATGTGTTATTGGTTTGTGTCATTTTATTAAATTACTTTGAAGTCTAGTGTTGTTCAATTTATTAATTTTTTTTTTAATTCTATCAAATGTTGGTGTTATTCAGTTTTACTTCGATAAGGCACGTTAATAGATTTTGGGGATTATGTCCGTCTGTATATTAGAGAATAATGCAAACAGATTACTTTAATGGCTGACGTTAAAAAAATAATACAGCTGTTTATGTGAATGAAGTAAATTTAGTTACATGTTACAATCTAAATTATGATTTATCATCATTATCATATTTCTAATTTGATTTTATAATTTTAAGTCATTTCAATGTTTGATCTATTTAGCACACAGGTCATACTATTATAAAAATTCATTTTTAATACTTAGAAACATACGTTACATTCAATGCTATTAATTTAGACACTTTCTCTTTCGAACATGGTCGCATTTTAAATTGTGCTAAGTTTGCAGAAAAATGTGTTACCTTTTTGGTCATGGTTAAGAGATTCCAAAGATAAGAAGTGGCCATTATCAATTAAGCCTCGGAATTCATAAAGATGGTTGAAGACAACAACGCCTGTATTATGCGTCTGCTCTGTGTAATAAACGTAAAGTTTCCCACACAGTACACAAGTCTTTGCATGCTCCACCGTGTTTTCCCACATTCTATTTGACATTCCACTCCCAAGTAACTGCAAACAAGAATATAAACCAAGAAACGATAACTTGATGTTCAAATATTAGAGATGCACATACGCTTCTTAATTAGCTTCTGCGGATCCTTCACGAGTATCCGAAGGAAGTCTTCAACAGTCAGTATGTTAGATTTTAGTAGCTTCTTGTGTAGTGCTCCATCTTTCGCTATCCTATCCAATCTCCAGACTTCGTCATGTAAAGCTGAGCATAGCCTTTGGTCTTGGGGAAAATTAAACTTTGAAAAAATGGTTCTAAAGACGAGCATAGCCTCTGAAGACCATCTACCTTGACGGCTTCCACTATTACACTATAAAAGTAAAACAGTTACTGATTTTCAAACACCGTCGAAGAAAATTTGATGACCTTGCAAGGCTACGTAAGACTATCGAGAGAATTCAAAAAGCAAGATATTTCGCAGTGTTATGCTTAACGAGTCTCTCTCAGAAAGGTTATCACAGCCAAAAAAATCTAATTCACTTTACATTAACACATGTAAAGTATCATTTACCTTGTCAAAGAAGGAAGCATAAACTCGCCAGTGGTGGAAAGAAGTGCAGAAATCATAACAAACAATGCTGACTTTAATACTCAAATCTACGAGTCTAGGACATGATGGGGACTTCTTCATCATAACCATTACTAGTAAGCAGGAAGCTCAAGTTATACAATACATTCCAGCCAGATAAAACTTACACCTTAGTAGCTCTACGCATATGCAGAGGAGAATAATGTACCTTGTCCAAATTCACAAGGGTTTAGGCCAGCAAGAGCATACTTCGATATCAACGGGCAAGTACCGAACCACCGCCTGATACAGTTTTGTCTGATTGCCATCTGAAAGATCATTGGCTTCGAATGTGATGAAGAGCGTGATCGCAGCTGATGGGTGAAAATTTGCTCTCAAAACCTTGACAAGTTCCAGGCTTGTATCCTACCACAACCATAACCAAAATTTATATAGAGATTCATCAACAAACAAGAGTAAACTCAAAGGTTTTTGATTTTAAGACATTACTAACCGTCTCTTCCTTGTAGTACGAGATAGCCATCTCCGATAACATGTTGAGCAAATCTCTGTTGGTATCATGCTCATCAACCAGGTCATCGTCGTCGAGATCCACAGCTCCGGCACCGAATGTGTGACGAAGTTTCGAGAAGTCGACATCAAAACCCTGAAAATCACGGAGAAACATATAATCAGATTGATTAACCTAACTTTTTTTTTGTGTGGATAAAACAATAGAAATCGAGAGACCAAACCCCGCTCTTTTTCCACTCTTCGTCAAAAAGTCGAAGATCATTTGTCAGATCTTCCTCCGAAACAGTTGCATCGCTTGATGGCTCCTCTAATTTCAAACGCTTAGGAGAAGAAGGCTCGGATCTCTCGCTCGCACTCGCTGCAACCATCGCTAAAAAACTAACCCTAACTTTCCTCTCGCTGTGTTTGGGAAACTCCTTTTCTTTTTGTTTACCGGTCCATGTTTCCCAAGTGAGTATATCGATATTATTAATACATTTAAACAATTATCTGCAGGTTACAATTATCATTATCCTAAGAAAAATCAATACATATCTAATTTCTTTATAAAGAATGTGATATCGTACTTGCTAAACCAGAATTGAATCGGAGCTTCAAATTTTCACAAAAGGCTCACAAGGCCTCTTCTCTGCAGCTTTCTTGCGCATAAAGATACCCCATCTCAATTCAGCTTAGGCCATCTCACCGCAGCTTTCCCTGAGCCTCTGCCTCTTCTTCACTCTCATAACCCTTACCAATCTGAGCTTCATACTGATCACTGAGACCATAACAGACCTCAAATGTCTTGAGCAATCTCTGCATATCATCTGTGAAGTCTGAACTCCTCACCCGAAATTCCTCTGTGAGAATATCATCACTGTAAGACACTCAAACCAAAAAACTCTCCATCGATGAGTAGTCTTGTGATTGATTGAATGGTTGTTGCAGAAAAGGATACTGTATCGGTTGCTGAGGAACCGATCAGTAGAGCTATTCACATTTGACGACATGTCTGTTGCTTTTGATGGATTTGAGCCACTTTTGGCTCGGGTAAGCTTTTTATAACCTTCTTAGCGTCTTCTGAACATTTCACAGAATTTTCTTTAGTGCAATGGTAAATTCTATTGATTTTGCTTTAGGCAACATATACTCTAGGGACGGCACTGAGTTAGTGAAACTCGGTGGTAGTGAAATGGACAATTATATATGAAGAAATGTCAATACAAGGCCAAACCTTTCTTTAGCTACATTCCAATCAAAAGGCAAAACAAAAGACTACATATATGGAGAAACGTGGAAGATAGGACTTTTCCTTTTGACAATCAAACAGTTTCCTTTTCTTGAGCTAAGCTGTGAAAATTCGAAACACTTGAGGGCAGACTGTTGAAGTTGCAATCAGTTTACTTACTCACCTTCCCAGCCTGATTGCCGAGCTCTCTTCTCCCACAAAGAAGTGATCTTCCTCTCCTTGATCAACAAAGCTTCAGCTCTCTCCCTAGCTGATTCACAAATCTCAGTGGCCGCGTTGCACTTCTCAGCTTCCTTTTGGTACTGAGATGCAACTCTTTTTGCTTCCCCGAGGGTGACATTCATATGACGGCTATGCTCATCTGCAACTGCTTCTTGCAGCTTCAGCTCCTCGGTCAGAAGGTCCACAAACTGCTTCTCCATTTCCTGTTTTAGCTCTGGATCATCACTTCCACAATCTGTTCACAAACAAAAGTCAGGGAAGGAACGTCTCGACAGGAGAATACAAGAGCAAGTATAGGTTATTACATATCAGTCAAAAACGTAATGCCTCATGATAAGGAAAGGGCGTGAAACGTGTACGAGTCTGGTCACAGATAACTATCAGACAAGACAAGCCTGTTCCATTGGGATAACAAATGGCTAATGGTTTATCAAACTTTCTGTTCTCCAAATAACTCGTAAAAGCCTTAAGACTCGGAAAACATCAGAAAGATGAAGAATTTTGGAATAACAGTAAGAGGACCGTGTTTGGCAAAAAAAAAAAAGAGACAATCTTTCAAATTACTTCCCTAGACAGAAATCAAGGCTCCTCAATAACTATCAAATCACATTTGTAACTTGACAGGAAAAGATACAACACATGCAAAGCAGCTTAAACAAACCCAAGCTCAGAATCGAGATCTAACCTGTAATAGAGAGATTTGCAAGCCCTGCAAAAGGAAAAAGTAAAAATGCAACTTGTTAAAACGATATTCAAATCGAGATATTCTTTCTTATTGCTCAGACAAGAATAGACTAAGCCTAAAAGAGACAGGTTGATGTAAAGATCCAATATTGAAAACCAGGTAAAATCAGATGCTTCAGAGCAAGATCCACAGGAAATCGGAAATTCAGAGAACAGGACACCTCAAAAATCATGATCATTACTCTAAAAGGAGCTAAATTTCACAAGAAGAAATGTGAACACAAACTTGCCATCACGAATCCAACGGAAAATCTAGATCCAATCAAAAACGAGAAAAAAAATGGAAGTTATTATTATACCAGGAGCAATCTCGAGGAGAGACACAGGAGGCGGGCAATCACAGGCGCAAGGAGGACAAACAGAGTTCCGACGAGTGGATCCAGCGAAGCCTTTGTTGAATTTCCAGTAAAGAGCAGGCCCACACACAATTAAAGCAGATACAACCGCGAAAATCACCAGGCATCTCATGCAATCTCCAGAACGACGCGCCATCGCTGTGGAGAACCCAGAAAAAAAAAAAGCTCAATTGAACGAATCAGAGTGGAAGTGCTGCAGCAACAATGGTGGTGATTAGTGTGGAAAGACTGTGAATAGGAAGAATTAGAAACACACAGCTAAGTGTGAATGGGCCAAACGCGGAGAAACTAGAGGAGGAAACCGTAAAACGACGGCGTTTTTAGTGGGTCCGGTCCAGATGTCGGTGGTGCATTTCTCGCGGTATCACACTGTAACAGTGTTCTTTTCACTAATTTACGGTCTCACCTTTTCAATTCCATAATCTTCACGAAAAGGGCGCTATACTTTTATTTGTTTCAACTTCCAACCAATCCTCTTTCGAAGTGTAATTTAACGATTTTACCTTTTAAATTTTATAGTCCTCTCAAATGGCACTTTACTTTCCAATTGATCTAGAAAATATCCTTGAATGTAGCTTCTGACTGTTGTTGGTTTCAAAATCAAAATTCAAAAGTAAAAGCCTTTTGTTATTAGTAATCGATTAATATAGTTTTTACTCCTGGACCTCAATACAGAATAGGATGCATCTTCGGTTTTGTATCTAAGAGTAGATAAGCTTTTTGTTTCCGAGGTAAACTCATTACTTAAATTACAATTAAGGTTATGAGATTAGGAAGAACAATACATCCACATTTCTGAGGCCAAGTTCTCACCCAGCAAAACAATCATTGTTAAACAGATTACACACACTATTGGTAGTAAAAGACAACAAGATAAACAGAACTGGCAAGTTTGAATAACGAAATATTGTCGAGAGTCAGATTCTTGATCAAAACAGATTTCCACTCAATTCTCTCAACTCAAAGCAATGGTTTAGGCCTACAATTAATGGCTTAAGCAACTAATAATGCTGAGAGAGCCTTTCACGGTTGTTCAGATCTCTTGAAGAAAAAAAATACTCAATTTAGATGATAACGTGGGAAATTTTACAGCTCAAAATTTTCTACAAAATGATGCATCTAAGTAGATTTAACAGTAGCTAATAAACACTTAAAACGGTTTTTTGATGGAAAAACAGATATTTGCATGTCATAGGGAAGGACTCAGATTCGCCTTTTCTCAGACAGATTAGAAGATAAAACTCTTCCTCCATGGCTGCTACAGACAAGAAAAAAAGGAGAGCCTTTTTTCAATCTTATAGCCCTGCCGTCTAAGAGAGTCTTACCACAACGTCTGGTCTATTGACTTCTTATGAATCATCATAGTCTCCAAAGAAGAAGAAGAGGAAGAGATTTAAACACATCAAAAGAGAAGAAGAAGAAGAAGAAGAAGACAGAGTTCAAAGCTCAGTAGTAAAAAGACGAAGCAGATGGGGGTGGTGGTGATGGAGAGGATTACTGAATGAATCATCACCACTCGTAAAAGTGGTTCATCAAGAAAGAGTTTAAATCATCGGCATCCGCTTCCACCGGAAGAAACGACGGCTGGGCCACCATGCGGCCGCCGAATCGAATCCTCCGGGAGCAGAACCTCATACTTAAACTAATGAGACAACAGTAAAACCCTAAAGGCCACTCCTTTTTTTGGGGAAATTTATACTACCCATATTTCTCGACCTTGCAATTTCCAGTTTCACCCTCCGACGACTCGGATCGGTAAAATGGTACTTTGGTCATTAAATGAAGAAATAAACAAATGATTGAACTTTTTTAACAGTTTTACAACAACAATGGAGTAAAAACCCAAAACATAATCTCAGATGGTCTCTTTGCCCTTTTGCTTAAATAATCTTGTGTCGATCACTTGTCCCGATAAGTTGATAGTATAAGTAACCTGTTATGGTAAACAAAGAACACATGATTTCACTCTTGTTATGCTTTTTTTAGTGAAGAAAAGATAATAAAGAAAGTACTTACAAACTCTGACAAGCTAACTCTGTGAAGAAGAAACCCATCTTCCATTTCCCTGATGGTAAAAAAAAAAGATGTCTCAGACGTTGAGATTGAGCTGTCATATAGTTTATTATCATTATAACAAGAGATCTTGTTACCTTTTACTATCATTCGTTGAACCTCTGTTCTCTGATACATTAGGAACTGTAATGCAAGAGGAGAAGCTCTTGTCGCTGGTGCAGCCTTTCTCGCTTATATATAAGTTCTTGTATCATAAAAGTTTATCCTCTCAGATCAATCATATACTTGATGCAGCAATAGGATTTCTCGAGAATGTCATGGGGGATATTCAATATTGTCTTACCACTTCATACTTGGTCATGATTTGATGAAATGTCCCTGCGACTCCCTTGGCTTCCTCCGGCTCCTTAGTAAGTGTATAGACGAGTAATGGATCTGATCCAACCACAATACGCCTGTATCAAGAACGGACTATAGATTGTTTAGTCCATTGGGACCGACTATTTGGACTGATCTTATAAGAGAACTTGTCGTGGTATTTTCTACAAGAGAGCCTATGAGCTGAACAGCTAACATACCAGTCTCCATTTGCTGCTTTTAGAATCTTTGTCAGCCCTTTCAATTGACTGATCATCGAGCCACCGAGCACTTCCTTGAATTTCAGAATCAGACGAAAGAACCAATGAAATCAGAAGAAAAGTCTTAACATTGGTTCCTTCAAATTCACAGAAACAAACTGATTCTACCTTCTGTAACGAGCCAGTGCCTACGAAAACAACATCCAAGGATCCACCAAAAGGAAATTTGATCTGCTCTCTCGAACTTCCAGAGCCTATCTTCCTAGTGTACCTAAAATGCATCACATTGATCAGTCTTTCTGTTGAAGCAAGTTAAGCGAAAAGGGTTGGTTCCACAAGATCAAATTACCATGGAAGTTTCAGTTTAGATGAGATTCGAGTAGCCTGCGAGGAGATCAATAGAATACACACTCATTACTCATACTAAATATGTAAGTACAGAAGAGATCAGAACAGACATTGTTGAATCCACTAAAGTTCAAGGAAGCAAATCGGAGATTAAGCTTGAGAGCTGACATTTTGCAGGAGTGGGTCTTCTTCTCCATGTTCGCTTGTGCTCACCACAAATTTCGCATTGTACGTTTCTGCAACTCTCTCCATCTTCATCGATCAAACAAATAACAAAATAAGTACCACACTCGCTTAGCTACCAAGTAAAAACGCAACCTTTTGTCCCTGAAATCAACTACTTAAAAAGCTCGAATTTTCGATCTGGAGAAGCTAGAGTTTCTGTAAAGAACCAAACTTTTATCCACAAACCAATGGATTCGATAACTAGATAAATTGCAGAGATGAAAACAAATTCCATGTTCCAACCAAAACAGATTCATCATCAGTGGAAGAAGATGGGAAACAGACCAATCGGAGAAGGCGAGTTTGAGGATGAAGATCCCTGAAACCTCCGGAGACAGAGATGAAGTGGAGATCTAGAGCTCCGGCATTGTCACCGTCACCGTCGTTACTAGAGAAGAAGAATGGGTGACCCAAACACACATAGACGACGAGACAGAGAGATAATTGGATAAAGATCGTGCAACCCCATGACGACTGCTTCATGCCTTTTTCTAAGTTGTGAAAACAATCCGAAGCGAAATTGAAACTCAAGAGAAAATGAACAATTGCAAGTTGTTTATTTTTTTGTGTGGTCGTGAGAGACTACAAAATGAGCATGATGGTTAACATGTCATGTCACTGACTCATTCACCCAAACAATTATTTCACATAAATGAGACAGTAGATCTGACGATGATACATAATCTCTGTCTAGAACGATGGATCGGACTCCAGATCAACAAACATGGGGGAACTGAATAACCATTTTAGCCTGCTCCAATGACAATTTTTATATTTTCATTACCGAGAAGCGTTGTTAACAGCATAGGCATGACTGCACAAGAGGACTTGTGGAATTCACTGCAGAGTGACCAATGTTTGTTAATTTGCGGTTACGTTTATTTGCGGTTCGTAGTTGGGCCTAAAAAAAAGCCCAGGTGAAAATCATTTAATATAATAATGCAATAAACAAAATTCAAATAGACATACTTTATTTATCAAATCTGGACCTAAAAAATAACTTAAAAAATCTATTTTTTTATACTTTCAAGTTTGAAGTCTAAATACTATAACCTCTAAAATTTGGGGAATATAAATCAATTGGAAAAAAATACTTGGTAATTCGTCAAAATAAAAACATTTAGTATCACACATTTAAAATTACATGCACTAAGATAAGAGATTTGAGATAAGACTTTTGATTCAATACAATACAAATATGGACATATGAAGCGTTATTGGCTTATTTCTAAGGATCTTTTAGTTTTAATATAAAATTGATAGAAACCTCATGAAATCAAAGAAAATGAAGCCCAATTCGATTTCCTAGATCTTCATTGTCATATTTGTGTGTGAACTTAATCTCAGAACCTTTTATCTTTTGCTTTCGATTTTATGAGTGCATTTGATATTATGCATTTGCTGTACAAAACTAGAAATATTTATGTAAAGTTTTGTAGCTTCTAATCTCATAATTCAAACTTTTTTCTTCGTAACACTGGTTTTTTAGTTGGTTAATTTAACATATTCATTCAAAATAAATAAAATCATACATTTGTTAATTGCCATTGTCAATTTTTATTTGCGAAAAAATAATGCATTGATATTATAATTAAAATCATGCATTTGTTTTAACGATTGGAATGTCCATTTTGAAATGTTGCAATATCGTAATTTTTTAAAAAAAAATTTATATAAAAAGAGTTCAAAAATAAAAAATTTCTTCAAAAATCATCAGATCTTTTAGACTTTAGGTGATGCGAGGTCAACACACAGAAAGAGGAAGAGTATTAAAAAAGCGAAACTGTTATGTGGTCGGCCCATTGATAAGCCAATCAGACCATTGTTTCCTACAGAGATTTACTATAAAATTGAGGTACGAAATTTTCTGAGTTCTTTAGGAAATAGATCTATGTTGAAGTATTTTTGGGCATTTTCATCTGTAAATGATGTCAAATGCAGATAATGGCAAGGGTTCCATTGTGGGATGGGAAGCAAGATCTATATATACTGGCAGCTAACGCATCATCGGCAAATTGTTATCAATCCAACTATAAATGAGTTATGAGTTAAGAAGTTGTATATTGGTATGGAAAAAATTACCTAGATTAACTTTAATAAATAGGGTGTGCCTAATTTTCTTAAAAAATACAAGTTTGACCTTTCTCCCACTCAATGTGAAAAAATTGAAAAGTATAGGCATTTGTAAATAATTACTTTGGCCGGTTTAATCCGTTTTTTTTTTTGAAGCGAAGAGTTTTAAAGGGACTTGTTGTATCAATAAACATGATTTGTCATGTATGGAAGAGAAGCATAGACACCCTAATTCAGACCTGCGATTCGCCGGAGGTCTTGGAGAGAAGTCTCAGAGGATAAAAAAAAAACATGGCGTTGGCAGTTATGAGGTGGGATATGATCAAAAAAGTCGAACTTCTATATTGTGTCACATGAATGGCACTACTGTACATTCCAGGATTGTGGTGCCCCGCGTCAACCACAACGATGATAAAGTCTTAGAGGTGCGTTACATTTATCTAAACTCTTGGAATCTTAGATTAAACTGGTTTCCCAAAAACATTCCTCATAAACTTTTTGTTGTTTCAAGGTTTATTATGATGAGCCGACATATGATGAATTAGGGGGACCCCATGAGTCAGTAGATCGAGAGATCATATGTTCTCTGCTAATTGAAAGATCGATAAGACCATTATTTAGTGCAGGATGCTCTGCTAAAACTATGGTATAGTATTTATTTTCTGTTTTCAACGTACAAAAATATATATATCTTTCTTGACGATCATGATTTTCCAATTGTTGATTGTTTCTCGTAGTTCTATGCACGTGTTTTAAAATCAAACGCAAGACATGATGCTGACTTAGTGGCGATCATTGCAACTTCAGCTGCTCTTATGATATCTAATGACACCTGGGCTGGGCCTATAGGAGCCATCCGCATTGGAAGGATCAATGAAAAGATCATAATAAACCCTACCACGGAGGAGGTAAATTTCAATATCCTAGCTCCTCCTTCTTCCTTTCTATTTATTTTTTCGGTCATCATGATTTCTAATTTTATGCAGCAACGTAAAAGCGATATGGACTTGTTATATGTATGCACACGCGAAAAAACTATCATGGTTGACCTGGAAACTAGTGAGATCTCAGAGATTGATCTAGAAACTAATCTAAAGCTAGCTCATCTAGAGGTTAGGTTACACCGCTTCTGTAAATTCTTTGTAAACTTTAATGCAATTTAATGTATTTGCATTCTACTTTTGTTTGTGTAGGCTGTTAAATGCATTGACTCTCTAGTAAGGCTAAGAGATCGTTATAGGAAGGACCACAAAAGTGAAGTGTTGAAATCGATTTCTAAGAATATGCAGGATACAAGTTTTTTTCACAAGATGTGTGTAGCTAGCTAATACTTGTTCTCAGGTTTTTATTTCTTTTATTTTTGTAGGATCTCAAGCATCAAATGCGGGGAGCGGAAAATTGGAAAAGAAAAAATCAATGGTAGTTAAAAGAAAGTTAGTTATGTAGTTAAAGATTTGTTCGTGAAGCTAGGCGTGAAGTTCGTCAAGGTATATGTTCCACAGTTTTCTATTAGTTTTCACGATCTTGTCATTTATAAAGTTTGGCTTTTATGTGTTGTAGGAATGTTTGTTACAAAAGCGTTGCGTGGTGTCATTCCCTCTAAAAGAGATTTCCCATATGATTTTCACCTTGATGTATTATCTCCAAAAGACACTTCACCGATGCCAAGTGTTTGTGGAGGTACCCATCAATTTGAATCCTAATATTTTTTCAGTTAGCTTATTATAATTAATTAGTTGTTATGTCTCGAAACTCATGAATATACTTTGATACTAAAATGGTTTTGCTTCTCAGGTAGTATGGCTTTGATGGACGCTGGAATTCCTCTACAATGTCATGTTGCAGGTGCCTCGATAGGTCTTGTCATTTTTGATGAGACATCGAACGGACAACTAGAGAAGTACCGTATGATAACTGATTTACTGGTAGATTCCTTTAAATTTTGGTTTACCCTTTTCTCTACTCTATGTAATGATTAATTTGGATGTAGATGAATTCATATATATCTACTTTTTTTTGTATTCAGGGCTTGGAAGATGGTTTAGTAGAAATGGATTGCAAACTTGCTGGTACACGAAATGGTATAACAGCAATTCAGTTGGATGTAAAGTCAGCTGGAATTTCGTTAGATATCATTTGTGAAGCTTTGAGTTATGGACGTGAAGCCAGTCTTCAAATTCTTGAGCACATGGAGCGAGTAATAAACTCCCCCAACAAAACTTGTTCTATACTGGAGAATAATCCAGAAAAGGTATGTACCTTCCTTTACAAGCAACTGGTCTAGAATCCTTGTTGATTCTGACTTTGTTATGTCTTTAGATGCCCCTAGTCGCCCGTGATGCAGAAGTCGGCGAGCTGTATGAATGCATAGTGAAATCAATTAGAGTGGATGGGGCCTTGGTTGAATACTATGGTGGTCGTCGTGGCCTACTTTACACTATCCCACTGTACATTGAAGATAATAGAATGGCGATTGAATTCTATGGTGGTCGTCTTTGCGAATTGTCCCCTGAAAAGGTAGTTTGAAAGCAAAAATGGGTCGTGTGGTTTGTAGCATTGAGCTAGCTGAATTGAGTATGTGGCTTGTGTTCAGCTATCCAAGATTCCAGATGCTTACAGGCGCGAAATGTCCTATGAAAAGGTAATTTGAAAGAAAATGGTCTTGTGTGTTTGTAGCATTGAGCTAGCTGAATTGAATATGTGGCTTGTGTTCAGGTATCCAAGCTTTCAGATGAGCTATCTATTGACCAGCGTATCATACTGAAGTGCAATAGAATAAGCCCATATGGTATCCCCGAGTTTTCTCTAGAAAATGCTCCACAGCCAAAGGTACCTTCCTTTACAAGAAATTGGTCTATAATCCTTGTCAATTACCCTTGATTCTGACTTTATTACGCCTTTAGATTCCCCAAGTCGGCAGTGTTGCGGAAGTCGGTGAACTGTATGAATGCATAGTGAGATCTATTGACGAAAATATCTCTTTGGCAGTAGTTGAATACAATGGTGATCGTTATGGCGGAATTTACAAGCGCGAATTGTCCAATGAAGAGGTAATTTGAAAGAAAATGGTGTTTGTGTTTTGTAGCATTGAGAGCTAGCTGAATTGAATATGTGGCTTATGTTCAGGTATCCAAGCTTTCAGATGTGCTATCTATAGACCAGTGTATCATATTGAAGTGCATTAGTTTCACCAAAGGTGGTTGCGCCAAGTTCTCTCTCAAGGCGGTGGCATAGTATGTGACTTTGAGAATACTAAACTTGCATTCAACTTGTGTGTTCATCCGCAACAGTGTTACCACTTTACCGGAGGAGGAAGCTTCACAACTGTTCGATTGTCACTCTAGCCGGATAATCATCATCATCTTCTCTCTTTTCAATAAGAATAACAAATGTGTTGTTGCCAGATAACCATTGGAGATAGTCTATAAGATAAACTAGGTGGATGGCTAGAGCATGAGCAGTAGTTTTGGCAGTTGCTTTCTCTTTTTAAATGTCTTTAGTATTTTATTTGTCACAACATTTTTCAACGCAACAAAGAACACTTGGAACACAAGTAAGCAGTGTTAGATTCTTGGTTTCTTACACGATGATGGAAAGTGAATCTTTTTTCTGAACAAAAGTCTTTTACATAGAAAAAAAACTGGATCATAAATATCAATAGACTACTCTAATTGAAACATAAGACTCAAAAGTGATTTAACTCTGGTTTTCTATAAGCGTGACAAAAATGGCTGGATATGCATAAGAAGAAGGGGATTTCAAGAGCGTGCCCATCTGGATAATTTCATGCTCGTCATTCTTCTTCTCTTGTTTGCTTTATTCTTTGAAGCTAACCTCAGTTTCCTCTTGGCATTTCTCTCCGGATTCACCACTGCCATTAGCTTCTCGTCTCGCTTTCTCTTCTCCCTTTTCGTTTTCAAACTTTTCCTTATTTCACTGTAAACTTCCACAAAGATTTGGTTGCCTAAAGTCTTGTCTCTTATACCGTCTCGTACCTCTTCTGCTAGTTGTTTCAACTCCTCTGATAAAAAACATAATTTTTTTGTGACTCTTTGTTAGACTTGTAACAGAGTAACCAGATGTGAAGAGGGAAGACGCAAACACTTATAATATTACCTGAGATGATTTTTCCGGTGAATCCTTCGCAAACTTTGTACAGTGGAAGCAGAATTTTGTAGGCATATAAACGACATTCTTCTTGATTCATTTGCGAGGTAAATGCTTTATAGACGTTGAACACAATTCTCATCTGCATATCCCAAGAAAACATAAATTAGTTGAGTGAATATAAAGCCTGCAAAAGCTAAGGTTTGATCAAAAGAGCGAACATGCAAACCTGAACAGACTCCATATCAAGAGCAACCTTCCCCATCCTTTTGAGCAAACTTCCGATCAATACATTTCTTACATCATTAGCATCATCTTCACCATTCTCAGTACGTTCGCCTGAGGTAAGAGCCAGAAAAGTAGACTTTCCTTTCCCTGAATCAAGCAATTCAAAGGCTTCGAGGAAAACCACTTGCTCATCCTTGTCAAGACTGGACCAGAACCCATTGTTGGTTGCTTGATCAGATTGTCCAATCACAGAATGAAGACTAGAGACCGCAAAAACAATATTTGCTGTGAGGAGATCAACAGCATCAACCTTGCCTGTCATGGGCTGTTCCTTTAACTGGAAGCAAAGAGAAACAGCTACCATGAACAGGCTACTTGGCTTCTCGAGAAGAGAATCAGCTACTAATATCTGGGATTCTGCTCTTTTCCTCCCAGCCAATGCCTCAAAATAATGATTCAGGAGCCGGCAGGATATACTTCGCAACCATTCGTGTGGGTGCAGCAAGAACTTAAACACCATATTCCATATATCCTGAAAAATATGTCAGAAAAGATTAGGGTCCAAACCCTTACTCCTTTCACGATACTCACCGGACAATATGAGTATATGACTACGAAAAGCTAAATTAAATCAGAGCTACAAAATGCAATGGTTAACATGCAACTACTTCTCAGAAGTCTACTTAGTTGGCACCATAGGACTGAGTGCATACCTCTAAATCTTTTCCGAAACATAAATCAGGAAATTTCTCGAGCATCTTCTCGATCATAACCAATGAGTAGAATGCTTCCTTCCAGAAAGGAATACTAGCTTCCTCAACAGTAACTTGCAACTGTAGGCTGGAAGCATTCACAGCAGACTCCAAAATCGTTTTGGTATCCTGCAATGTACTGTAGATATGCTTCCGAAATGTTTTTTCCTTCATGGCGTCAATAATAAATCCCAACACCTGCATGGCATCCGTGAGTGAGTTAAAGATCCGGAAAAATCAATGAACATACTACAAAAAGTGCCTACTTGCAATAAGAACGAAATCAAGCTTTCTGAAGATGTTACAAGCCATACACTCATAAGAAGCTAGTGAAAGTATCAAATCCTGCCTTTTCAAGAAAAAACCTTCAGGTAACACCACTCGTTACTCCTATTTCTTCCATATTTAGAAATATAAGTTCCTACTTCCTACTGTCTCACATCTAACTATTGGCACGATACGAATTCAAATAAGAACATGTGCCTCAGAGCATTTACCTGTGCTGCGACTGCCCGTAAGTTCTGCTGCTTATACCAACACAGACAGTACGAAAGAGTAGTACCAACATGATCTTTGCCGATGCGCCCTATCAGAAGTTCTATCACAGAACCAATCTGAGACCGCACTTCTTTATCATCATCATTGGCCAAACAAAGAGCAAGCTGAAGAAACATTTTTTTCGACTGCTGGTCAAGAGCTAACTGCTTGCCAAGCTTAGGTTGTGAAAATTTCAAGATTAGCGTATGGAGCATGTCAAGGACTGCTAATCTTCCAGTTGGATGTTGATACCTGGAAGACAAATTCAATTACTATTGGAAAGTAATAGCCAAATTTAATTCACAGCTAGTGCACACACATACCTCAGATTTTCCAGCAGAAAGTTCACATGTTGCTCTAAACGTTTTTCAGAAAGTGTATAGTGGACCAAAAACTGCATCAGTATCTGTTTACAGTTCTTGCGGATTGATTCCAGCTGACTTTTTACCATCAACTCTGAAACCTGAATTGCAAGGTCATAAATCTCTGGAACCACAACCTTCCGTTTCACAATCGCTTTGAGGAGTGAAAGAGCAAGAGAAGATGGATCGGACTCCAGATCAACAAACATGGGAAACTGAATCACCATTTTAGCCTGCTCCAATGACAATTCCATATTTATATTACCCAGAAGCGTTGTTAACAGCTTAAGGCATGACTGCACAAGAGGACTGCGGGAATTCACGGCAGACTGCGCAATGGTTAACAATACTGTTTTCACTTCATCGGCTTCAGATATGAGTGAAGGCAGTGGAAACCTCATTAATGAAGTGAAACATCTAAGAGCTGAAGATACAATATCTTCATACTTGGAACTCAAGCATCCAGTAAGTAACTGAACAAATGGATCTAACTTTGACCACAGATCTTCATTAGTTCTGTCGAGTTTAATTTTCTTCATCCTGTTATGCAATAGGTCCAGAGCAAACACGGTTATAAGATGTGGACATGACTGTGCACCAGAAATCAACCCCGCAGTCTCTTGCATATCTCTTGATTTCCTTTTCTTTTGGGGTGGTGGAGAAGACATTTGACCTCCTAGACCACTCCTGTTATTGATACCATCATCAACGAGGTCATGTATAAATTGAAAAAGATCTCCTTGGTCAACAGATGGATTGCCTTCAATACCAGCTGCAATTTGATTTAACATCTTCTCCAGATTTAATTTTATCTTTGAAGTAAGGTGCCGCTGCAGCTGAGCGGAGACCGGAGAAAGTAATGTCAATGCATGGCTTCTGAACGTTACATTTTCCGCAATCAATTTCAGAGTCTCAAATGAGCTGCGTATTCTTGTTTCTTTCATTTTGGATGCGAATTTTTCCTCATCTTTCTGTTCAGCAACCTCTCCAAAGATATCTGTTACCACCACAGCCAGGAGATCTTTCACACAATGATCTAACTTCCCACATGTAGGATTGGAGAGGCACTTCGATAAGATAAAATTGACAGTGTATCCCAGCACATGCACCTCGGATCCTCTTTTTAAGATAGCACGTAAATTATTGACAACAACTTGCAAGTACTCCAGCCCTAGTTCCTTCAAACAAGCAACCAGAGCCAATCTCGCTTCATCACGTGTGCTCACCAGCCGGTTCTTCAAAAAAGTGGCAATTTTAGTAATGATAGAGGACAGATTTGAGTCCATTACATCCTCGGGGAGCAGCTTTAGAACCTTCAGCGCAGCCACACTGCTGTTAACATTGACATTATCAGAATCAGAATCCATTAGCTTCTTTATCTTCGGGAACAAATTTTTCTGAAGGTGAGTCCTTATCTCCTCAATCTCCTGCGCGTAAGCATCTTCTGTAAAATGAAAGTTATCCAAAATCAAGCCAATAAGACGCAGCAGAATTTTTCCCTTTTTGGTATGCCTGTTCATCTCACGGAAACATCGATTCAATAGAGCATAGTACGACTTCCAACTCATATGTGCAGATACAGATGCAAGGGCCTCTGTGCATGCATTTCGGACATTATTATCTTTTCCATCTTGTCCATCGAGCAACATGTTGAAAAAGATCGAGACCAAAAGTTTTCTCACTACTCCCTGCAACACCAACATTTGGTCGTAAGTATCAAGAAAGTACAGCAGTTGCATTAAAAAAATGTAGGACACTGAAAAGAGATAACCTCAGGCAGACCGCTATCTTTGACCACATTTGCGAAGCGTGAAATTGCCTTTGCTTTACGGTGTGCCTGCAAGAAATTGAAAGGAAATCAATCATCGTAAGGTTTCTACCATCTTTATAAGCTATACACGCTGCTTCATCTTCTATTGGTAGAATATGGTCTCAACAAACATATCAAATTGAATTCAAAGAAAGAATAGGAAGAACAAAACAAAATCAGAAGCGGCATCGCTTCCTGTGTGGTTATCATATCAACTTTAATTATCACCACAACACAAATAAAAATTGTGGACTCAAGGATTACAAAATAAAATGACTTACCTGAATGTGAACAATGGACTTAAAAAAATCTAAATTCTCATCTTCAGAGCATAAAGGTCTGAATGCAGCAAGATCTCCGGCATCTGGGAGTTTTGTCACTATTTCACGTATCAAAAGAATCCACTCCTGTGACAGAATAATTCGTTTCAGAGAATCGTCAGTGCAAAGAAGAGAGCCACGAGTATCCATCTTACAATTAGAAGTACAATACAATATCCCTGTTCAAGAGACTTATCTCTAAAGCAGAAGCATGACAGTAAGCTAACCATAAGCAACAGCATGAATTTGTTTAAGTTACTAAAACAGAAATTTCATTTTCTTCCTTCTGGGAATTTTTTTTTTACATAATTTAGAAGGGTTACTGTACCTTTATTATAAGGCCACCTCCGCTTATTGCATCACCAATGTGTTTCAAAATAAACTTTCTCAAAATGGACAGTACACGAACTTGTGTCCAGCTTGCATCATCAGCTATTTTGACCCCTTTGCCAAAGCCAGAGTCAGCTGAAGCCTCTTGGCAAAGAACTGAGGATGAAAAATCAATGAAAGAAGACAAGAGCTTCTGCGCGCATCCCCTTAACATAATTGATTCGGATGATATGTTGTATATACTTTGAGAGAGTATAATCATCGTGTGCTGCACTGAGGATCTATTAAAGAAATCCGCATCAATCTCCACATAAGCATTAACTATCTTTTCATAGTCAAGGTCATCAACTTCCATGGCTGAGATGGCATTCATATCGCGGACGCGCTTTGCCTGTAGGATGAAAAGCAATTGTTTGTTACAATTGAAAAGCAAAAAGCAAGAGAAGGAAATGACTCAGCATCAAACAGAGACATGACACTTACCACATCATCCAGAGAAAAGTCGATTTTTGCAAGCGATACAAGAAGATCGCAAATGCATAATCTAACATCACCTTCAGCGTCAACAAGCAGAGGGGAGACTATATTTATGATTTCGGTGCTACTCTCAGTCCCAAGCAACGGTATGATGTCCTGAATGGCTAGCAAAGCCTCACGACGGATATCTGTAAAAGCAATAAGACAGTCACATACAAGAGACATGAAACTGTAAGTTTTGCCAAAAAAAGAATCAATGAGAGTAACCGTACCAGAGTCTTTAACACGTTTATCCAAGAAAGAAAGCAAGACATCCAAATACTTCATAACACGAGAACGAACTCGCATGTGCTTTGACATTAATTTCAGAATCTTAATCTCTCTTTCCCCATGATACTTGACAGATTTCCTGGACATAAATAACACTTTACAAAAATATCGATACAAGAGGAAATAAACTGAGTCCGTCAATTTACAAGAGTCCTGACCTTTTCGAAATATCCCCAGTAAAAAGAGAATGCAAGCTGTTAATCAGTGCTTCAATGTACGGATCTAAGAATCCTTTGAACATATGGTCATCCTCATCCAACTCATTGTCAAGAGAAAGCAGATTCTCTATGAACTTCAAGGCAGAAGACTTTATAGCTTCTGAAGCTGTGGTGACTGTTAGAATTGAAAAAATGTCCGGAACAAGAGATTCTTCCCGGCATAAGAGGGTCACGAGATTGCGGCTTTTACTCATTGACAAGAAGCATGAGAACAAGGAACTTGGTTTCTCACTACTAGAACCCTCCTGCTTAAAATTCTTAATTAACGGATTGACTGCCGAAAAGAAAAGGTCCCAGAACTCGGAGCCAAGATCACAATCCTCGTATTTATCAAGCACATGAGCAATGGTTTTCACACATAAGGATCTCAACTCTTTAGACTGCTTCAAATCAGAGCCAGCCTACACAAAAACCGGGAAAAAAATGTCAGACAAGACCAAAAATTCCAAAAAGAAAAGAAATGGGAATAAATTAATGGTTTGTTTGCATGGATAAAGAGAAAAAACGCAAAACCAATAACCATTTTACCTGGTCGTGATCTATGGAAACATTCTCTTTATCATCTGGAGTTGATGGGGCGGCGGTGACATTTCTTAGTGCCAATGATTCGACGTTCCTTTCTTCATGGATATTTGGAGCATAGTTTACCAATAGCCGGACAACACATCCCATCAAAAAGTCTAGAAAAGGTCGGACACGGAGTTCATCAAAGACTTCAAGGATATGTTGGATGACATGAAGAAACCCAGATTTCTGATTCCTCGATAATGTCGAAATAGTATCAACAGTGAAATGTTTCAGGAAATTCGACTTTTGGAAATAATCCACAGAACTTTTGCCAGAACTCCAGAACAAGTCCATTGTTTCCTCTGATATGATGTTCAAAGGCTTTATCAACAACGCAAAGAACAGAGCAAGTTCATTAACATCAAGCTGAGATATAAAGCAAAGAACTGCCTTTCGGTGACGGATACTTGTATGCTGATAAACAAAAAAAAAAAACAAAGAGAACTTGTTAGGACCCAAATGAAATCTGCATTGGCATAGTGAAGTAAGTAAAAAAAGTAAGTAATATGTACCTTCCGTGAAGCCAAATTCTTTAATGTCCTAACTTTTGGCATAAGGATGCGAATAACAAGAGAAAAAAGATGAGATCTGTGTGCTTCTTCAATGTCTTCGGACAAGTTCCAGGTCGTGAGTTCTTCTCTCAATTCCTCTGGTTTGATCAATTTCAACAAATGCTCCCGGTGTGGGAGTAAGAAGTCGTTCGACAACAGAAGGCACTCTAGAACAATGGTTTGTATTTCAGCATCATTATCGTCCAGGAACCTAGAAAAATATTCAAAAACACACAAACCACATGCAGAGGTCAATGACATAATTCGATTCAGTACTAGGAAGCAAAGTTCAAATGAACAGTGTATTATCAAATTGAGTAGTCCCGCCCACCTATTCTGCAGAACGTCGTTTAGGAATTGGCTAAAATGAAACGACCTAGGATTCTTCATCAATTTTAGCAAAGTCAACCATTGTATAAGAATCTTCTTCCAATCCTCTCCTTTGCAAACCTGGGCATTAAATAATCCGACGCTGCAACATAGAAACAAAAGCATGATGAACAACAGTTGTATAAAATTACTCTTAAGACTAACAAATTTAGAGACATAGTTACCTCGTAGGATTTTCACTGTTGTATCCCAGAAATTTCAATAACAAAGGGAGAATTTCAGAAGCATGGGACTGAGCAACAGTGGGAACTTTTTGTAAGGTCTGGAGCAACCGGCATACCACCGTTGCAGTAGGTGTGCTATCAGACGGCGGAAAGAGAAATGAATTAAACCGGCCAATCAGATCTGTAGATTGAAAAGAACAACATATATGCATTAGGCTGTAAAGAACAGAAGATGGTTAGACGAAAGAAAAAAAAAGATGGTCAGCCTCAGTATATGTAAAGAACAGGAGCAACACAATTTGAAAAATGATATTTGAAATGGAAAGAACCAACTAACTCATTATATGAGCGGATGAAAACCTACCAGTATGCCTCTCTGACATGCTGTGGTTCGCATTCTCACTATGACTGTGGGGTGTTTCAAATTTTAGTTGCCACTGGTCCAAATAACAAACAAAACCACTCCACACAGCTCCTGTGTGATTCCTCAGAAGAACTGCAAGACACTCAGATGCTGGACCCCACAACTTTTCATATCTAATATGAAATAGTCCCATCATCCCATTCAATACTAGCTGCACATATGCCGCATGTATACTGCCAGCAGCGAGATCCTTTTGTATTCCAGAAATTAAACTGACCAACTTCCGATCGGTATCAATTGTGGGAGCAGTCTCTTCGACTGTGCGTAACACCTGAAGAACCTGGTAGTTTGAAGGAAAATTATAAGAAATCAGTGGTAACATGATGCGAAAATTATATAGTCACAACTGCTAGTAAAAAATCTGCTTGAGGGCAAAAGAAGCATTCAAAATACAGAACAAAGAATATCTACTCACGTTCTCTTTAGGAAAAGATTTAGTCTCTTCAGTTTTCATATTCTTCTTAGGAGGATGCTTTTCAAAAGAAGGGTCAGACGACAAAGTTTCAAAGTGGCACAAAATCCTCAGAGTCATAAGACGGATGTCTTTGTTTGGGTGACGCAAATTTTCCGAAAATTTGTCGAAACCATCTTCAACGTATTTAGCTTGAAGTTCTGGATATGCCTTAGACCTGTCATTATTAGCTAATGCAGTCCTACGATTTAAAATACGGAAATGGATCAGCTTACCATTACAGAGTCATCAACCTTGGAGAAATAACTGAATAACCACCAAAACAGAAACTCACCTGTGAACTAAATCCAAAAAATCGGCCACGGGGGACAACACTTGTACACATGACTTGTAGTCTTTAGCAAAAGACAAAGCTTCCTCTACATCACAGTGGTTGATTCTTCTCGAAAGTTTGTGACACGACCTCAAAGCAGCACCAAGTAAGCTCTGCCACATCGATTCTGGGGCACTAAAAGTGTCTGCTGAAAAGAATTTCGCATAAATAAGACGTTACGATAAACTCTAGAAAATAAAATCACATTCAAGAACAGCTCAATTTACACCGTACAGCAGTTCAAATAAAGAAATATCACGGCAAAGTCGCTGAAAATAGCATATGAGAATTATTTAGGATTCTGTACAGTGGAAGACCCAGACCGTGAATCTTTATGTGTTTATTCATCAGACGACACAGATCAAGCATATAATTCGAGGAAAAGAGTAAATCATGCAGTGAAACTTACCATCCGACACTGCCAAATGCTGTTGGAGAGTTTTCTTGAAGCAAATCAATAATGATGAATCCACTTTAAAGTAAGGATAACAGTTGACAACTCCCCAAACCACAGCCAACTCGGCCTCATCAATTTGAGATACTCCAGTATTCTCTATATTCTGTCGAACCTTCTTAATGTTTTCTTCCAAAAACTCATGAATTCTCTCAAATCTACTCTCAAATGTTTGATCTACGATGTTCACCCTGTCGTCACTTGTTTGTTGTATTTCACACAATGTTAGTAACAAGGGAATAACTTCCTCAGAAGAATCCCAAATCATATTGTTGATTGCACTGCAAAATAGAGTTTAGTTGCTTAGACACGGAAATAATAAAATCAAAGAGGTTTGGAAAAAAATTGTGATGTGAGTATTGCCTTAGTATATTATTTGTAAAGGCTTTCACTACTGACTGATCCTTCTGTAGCAACTCCCGCAAAAAAGTCATCATCAACCTGAAAATAAATATGATTAATGTAAAGAAAAAAAAGGTTGAAAAATATTAAACAGATAAACAGTAGGCAATACCTTGAACTCTTAAAGTCAAAAATGGGAGCCCATTGCGAAGCAACAGCTTGCAATTCATTGACTCTGTTTATTGTGCATAATATCAGTTGCAGAACTTCATCAAGGACAGCAGGTAAGTTATCCACTTCTGGAACGGTATCAGAGGAAGCCACAAAAGTTGACACAATGAGGCTCACGAGCCGAATCAAAGATGGGTAATCTGTTACACAGTGACAATAATTTAAATTGGCAACACAGTCATGCAAATATATGTTGCCATGCGCAGCCAAAAGAGAGTACAATATGAAGAGAGGGTGAGAGAGAAGCAAGTCAACAATTGAATCACACTATTACTCACCATGAACCTTGAGAACTTTCTCGATCCTAACAGCTGCAGTAAGGACACTCAGCAGTCGGCTTAAATGAATTGTGTTTTTGTTTATGATTGATTCGTTTATTTCTTGATTCAAGCATTCCCACATAACACTTAATTTGTCTGCTTCCAAATCCTCGCATAATCTCTGCAAAGTCAACCTCACAACTTCCACGACTGTACCAAGGCCTGCAACGCGACAAGATTCAACCATGATAAGAAGGAAGGACATAAGATTCTAACCCGTGTAAAGCATGCTCAGGTTATATTATTCAAGGACTATGTTTAAATGATTAACAGCCTCTACATAAGAAGAATTTTTCACCTCCAGCAAGAAATTAAAAGCAGTGAACAAAGATTCTCACCTCCCACCAACATATTAGCATCGGTTTTTATAAAGAAACGAAAGAAATTGATACGTATTAGCTTTAAATTATACACTAAACAGTATAAAACATCTCTTAAGCCATTAATTCCTAAAAATTTATCACATGCGACCTTAATAAAAATGGATACGCAAATACAATAAAACTCTATGATACTACTTCCATTTTCTAAATGTTACCCCTCTCCACTATGAATAAAACCAAAAGGAAGCCAATTCAATCAAACTAGGCTACTAAATGAAATACAGTTCTCAACAAAATACTCTTAACATCTCCTAAGAAAGAGTACTTGCCTTCAGAAGAATTATCACATAAAGATAATGTTGAATCTTTCAGCAAGAATCTCAATACTCTCTGGGCTTTTGAATGAAGACTTCCACAGGTACCTCTCTTCATAGCATAATATAGTAAACCAACTCCTCCAGCTTTTTTGGGTGGATCTGCAACTTCGGAAAGGATCCTCTTTATCCCTGTAATTAAGGATAGAAGAATCAACTGGATTGTCCCCAACATAGACGTAGAAAAATATATGACAAGCAATTTATCACCTTTTTCAAGTTCCTTATCCCGTGCATTCCTCAACAAAAATGACATGGACTCTGACATAAATTCACTGATATAGTCTTTGGGGTGATACCTCAATTCCACCGTATCCCTTCAGCAAAGAAAAAATAAATACAAACAAAATGAAACCTGTAAGATGAAGAAAAACCTATGATGATCAAATTTAAAAACATTTCCAGCATGCGATAGACATGTTTATGTCTTCCAAGGATGATAACAACAAATTACTTAATTTTCCTCCCTTGTTCAATAAGTAAAAATAAAGACAATGTGCCATCATCAGAACCATCACAGTAAACAGACACTCTAGATTATATTGAAATTCTTTACTAAACTTACCTGAGAATACCATCGATGTCGCATATGAGATACTTCTGCAGGTTCACCAGTATTTCAGACCATGATGAGAATATCTGTGCGAAAAATGACCAAACTTTGTCAGAAGAACATACAATTTAAGTATTGTGAGTGTACAAAATGTTATAGAACATCAACAACCTGCTCAATAATATCTGGCTCTTTGTGGGCACCATTTTTTAGGAGAGACACTAAGGAGTTCACAATCCGTGGAAGGAAGCTAACCACAAAAATACAAAAGAAATTGGTTAGAACATTGACAAGATTTGATCGAAGAAATTGCGGGTGAAGCTCGAACACTTAAATCCTTAGAAGAAATTTTAAAAAACTACCAAATATCAGTCAATAGGAGAAATTACTTGCTAGACGACAGTAATAAAGAGTTAAAGAACACTCACGGAATAAAGTCCTCCAAGAGATCTCTTGATAAAGCAGCAATCAACCTGCAGAAAAAAAAAAATTAACTTCTATATAAAAGAAGCATACAAAAGTGCAGAAATCTAGCGACCATTATCTTAGCTCCTCTGACAACATTATTCTTTATCAAAGATGTCCGAAGAAACAAACAATTTGCATGGAAAATAATTAGAAAGGGATTCGAGGTGCTGTGGTTAAATATACAGATAAAACTGACAACTGAATTGACCAGTCCATAAAAGTGAAACATATGTCTGTGAAAAACAAAATCGAATTATAGCACTGATCTAGTGGCCGATGGTTCCTGACTAAAAGAACGAGCAGAAATTAGCAAACCTGAGAATGGGTTCCAGAGACAATCTTGCTTTCATTTGTAATCGAGAGACAAGTTTTGTGAAGATTAATTCTTTTTGCAAAATAACCAAAGGCAAAGTCTGAACAAATGGCAGCATTTCTTCATAAAACAAAACAAAATCTTCAGCTGTATTCAGTTCCTGCATACAAACAGCCAAATGAACCAAAATATATCACTGAAACGTCTGTGGACGTGTGATCGAGCACCAAGAATACTTAAAAATATACAACGCAAAAGCAGCAACAGCCACGCTAGTTCATCATTTACATTGCAGATTCTGCGTCGGTGGGACATCAAGAATATATTCCGAGGGATAATGTTTCTCTGGTCACCCTAGATGCCTATAGAACAAACTAACGAGAAAACGGGGTACCAACATTCTTACTATAGCAGGGGCGAATTAGAGAGTTGGCAATCTCTTTATGATATCTTGTCAACAATAAAAGCCTTGAGGTTCGAATTACAAGTTCACACTAAAAGCCTTGAGGTTATACATTAATTTTCATCTTTCAACCACTGCAACTTCTAGCTAGTAAAGACTATAATTAATTTACTTCAGAATTTGGAACTGAAATCAGTATAGTAAGTAGCATACCGCAGTCCGAGAACAAAAATATTGAAACTTGAAACTTAAGAAAGACACTTAAGGCAACAAAATCAAACATACCCTCCATTCTACGAGGCAATCTCTAAAAAATGAGGACCCCTCTGAAGGCTCAGCCTTCACCTTATTCAGGCTCCTAAACACGTTGATGTCAATCTCATTGATTCTCTGAGAGAAAGTCTTGAACTGCAGCAAGAAGTAATAAACCACAAAAGGCCATATTAGAGAGAACAAAGGAAACAGATAATTGAGCTTCTTCATTTTTGAAACTGAAGCAGTAACTAGAACAAGCAGAAGGCGAACACGCACCGTGAATCTCTTACGTCCCTCGGAAGTGTTGAGCGACTTGACTGCCCGAGCATCCGCCGTAGTCGCCATGGTTCAGAGAGAGTGGCAACTGTTATGGTTTCTACCTCCCCACGATCAAAGGTTTCAAAGGGTCTGCCTTTCCTAAACATCAAATTCCAAAACTTTACAATTAAATCCCGAGTAAACAAGGTAAAGCTTCTATGATCAACAGGTAGCAAATTCGGATTATCAATCTATTTATTTAGTTTCTGCTAAAAAGCTGCAGTTTGAGAAACGACACAAACGAAAACAATTAAAGTAAGCTTACGTTTTGGAAGCGAAATCACACAGGTGCGAAAGAAAGATTGGTTCTTTTAAGAGAAAAAGCTCGAGAATGCTGGAATTTGAGAAAGAGAGTAAGAACGCGGCGGAGGAAGAAGGGTTTAAGCTTCTTTTGTTCTCAATCAAAGAGGAGGAGGTTGGGTTTAACGAGGCGGTTAGGTTTATTCTGGTTTATCTGTAACCGACGCTCTTGTATTAACCGAACTTTCGGGTTTAGACGTATATTTCTGGTTTTCTTTAACCGAGATTATTACTTATCAATGTTTTAGTATGTATTAGTATTAAAATGCTTGTCATGACTTTATATAATGTGAGAAAACAATTTTGACTTTCATATCGCGCGATTAAAGACTTTTGCTACGGTCTGAATATTTAATTCTCATTCAAAAATAACTTATTTTATACCCCCTTGATAGAAAATTTTGGTATACATTATTAATTAAGCACAACAACAACAACAAAATTATAGCATCATCAGTTTACATGAGAGACTAGATCTATCTCTCTGTTGTGTAGTACATCAATGCTTACCAACATTTGCAATTAATAAATGGGAAGTGTATTAAAGCTCATCTCTACGTCTTGTGAGTTTGTGCAAAATTCACAATGTCACATGTGCTTAATCATGCATGGTTCCATTATTCTACTTAGCTTTTGCAATAAAATCTTAATAAAATCTTACTCGACATATTATTTTATAATAGTTTGTATGAAATGATAAAAATAAAGCTTTCATATAGGTAAACAAAATTATTAATGCTTTTAACAAATGACAAAAAGATACCAAGTCAGTTTATAACCTTTAGAAACATTATATTTAGAACATCCATCTCTTAAAACAAGTATCTTAATTATTATTTTATTATAATTTAATATATATAATTAAATTTTAATATTTTAATAAAAATGAACCAATAAAAACATAATAACTATATAAATAAGTATCTTAAAACCTTATAATAGTTTCTTATTTAGTATATTTGAGAAACTTTTCTCTTGTTTCTTCTACTGTTTGATTTTTTTCTATTTTTTTAATATTAAGAATTTTTCTAAGATCCTCCCATTGGTGATAATGGAAGAGCGTAGATAACTTCGCATATAAAAATGAAAGAACAATTGACCGTTGATATTTAAACTCAGTTGTAACGTTGTTGGTGTTCATGATGATGATATTCCTTTTCATTTTTGTTTAAGAGATTTCGAGTTTCTCGAAAAGTTAACGAGGTCGATGGAGTACAACAGTTTCCTCGGATAAAATATCATATTGGTTTTTAAGAAGGAAATAATATGTAGTCATCTTCTTCTTCAAAAAAAAAAAGTGATGTTTTAAGGATGCTTAATTAATCTTACCCACGAGTATCGTTTATGGAGATAGCATGTTTGTGATCTTGGAGACAACTCGTAAACAGTAGAATATCGAGATGACACACGGAGTTAGCATCATTGATGAATCCACTTAAGCGAATATAATAATTTGGGTTAAAAATAATAATATAACTATATAGTTTCATGCATTTATGCTACATGTCTAATTTTATATGTTCAAATACTTGTCATTACGAAAAGTGTTGGTTTTGCGTTATCTTGAATACTGTTGCACCTTTTTTTTTAATAATTGTGGTAGTTCTTATATTTGAAACCTGTATAAGAAAGTATATATTTTTGTGAATTTTAAGAAACTACAATGATAATAAAAGATGTTACAGTAGAAATCCGTAGTTGGTGAATATCGATTCCTAACCTAAATCTACATTAAAATTCTTCACCACTCAAACACCGCACCACTATACAATGACCTTCTTGGTATCCAACTGTATTTCGAAACAGAACCCAAAAAGTGTATGTAGAATTCTTAATAAAGTTGTTTCTATCCAAAATTTAATCTTTGACAACCATTCAGATAAAATTATATTATAAATTTGTTTTTTAAGATTTATAGGATACGGTGTTTAAAACTAAATGCTTTACTCAGAATCAAAATAAAATAATTAGAAGAAAGTTAGAGATAATTTGAGTGAAGTTGGTTCAAACTAACTACATATTTTGATTCCTTCTAGCTTTCGTTTTGACGTCGAGAAATATGTTTTACTTACTATTGTTACTGAAAATTTGTCAGAAGAACTACCAACCAAGAATTATAAAACTGAAGATATCGGAAGTTCAATGATCGAAATTTGTTTCGGAAATTAAATAAAAAAATTAAGAAGGCCAAATATACGGAAAGTAAGGACGAAGATGCAAACAAAATAAATATTACTTTAATAACCCTTATAAATGTCGAATATTACCATTCCCATCCCTCCTTAAAACACCATAAAGCCTTAAACCTCAAAAACATTTTCAATAACATTTCATTCTCACTCAAATCGGAGTTTTTTTTTGGGAAATTTGGAAGAAAAGAAGAAGCAGAAGCCATGAACTCATCACTTTTAACCCCTTCATCTTCTTCTTCTTCTCCTCATCTCCAATCTCCTGCAACATTCGACCACGATGACTTCTTCCACCACATCTTCTCCTCCGCTCCTTGGCCTTCCTCCGTCCTCGACGACGCTCCTCCTCCCCACACCTCCGATTCCGCCGTTGCTGGATTCCACCATCACGACGTCGACTCCGGTAACCAGATCACGATGATCCCTTTGTCTCATCACAATCCAAACGACGCCGTCGATGGCTCCGTTCACGCTCTCTACAACGGCTTCTCCGCCGGATCTCTCCCTTTCAACCTCCCTCAGGTATAGTCACCTTCCTCTCTCTTTCTCTCATTTTTCTCAATACTACAAGATAAAACATGTATTAAGTGTGATTAAAACTTAGGGATCGGGAGGAAGATTGATGAACCAAACGCAAACGCAATCGACGGCGACGGCGACGGCGACGGCGTCAACCACCACCGGTGGTACAACGGCGCCGCCACAGACAAAGCCTAAAGTCCGAGCTAGGAGAGGTCAAGCTACTGATCCTCACAGTATCGCCGAACGGGTTCGATTTTTCTTTTTCTTTTTCTTTTGTTTTCTCTTCCTCATTATTCGCCTTCTGTTAACGAGAGAAATCGTGGGTGGTAAAGGCTAATTAAATATTTTGGGGGTAATTATTGGAATTTTTTGAAAATTATTGAACAGTTACGGAGAGAGAGAATAGCGGAAAGAATGAAATCTCTTCAAGAGCTTGTCCCTAATGGCAACAAGGTAAAAATCATTTTTTCAGTTAATTAGTAATTACTGATATTAGCTGAATCGTAATTACATGTTTTTAAATCGTCATTATTCTGGATTTCGATCCATGTTCTGAGTCATACACTCAAATCCAGTATATAATTTTCTTTCTTTAATACTACATCCCAAATTAAATAATGTGTTAATCATATGAATCACACTGATGTGTTGTAGTCTTGGAGTTCATAATATGATGGCTGGACCACAAATGCTCTACTATTTTAGTAGGTTATATAGAGCTTTGGACTTTTTTACAATCAAATGATTAAACACTGATTAGGTCATTAATAGTTAGATTAAAATACTAGTAGTAATAAACAGATGTAGGATCGCTAACAAGGTTTTCTTTATTATGAAAAAAAAAACAATAAACAGACAGACAAAGCATCAATGCTCGATGAGATTATCGATTATGTCAAGTTCTTACAGCTCCAAGTCAAGGTGAATATTTAAGTAAACATTATCATTTTTTTGTTATAATAATGGAAGCTTCATCACCTTCGAGTTGACATTACAATATGTAATCGAATATGGGCCTCTGCAACTAAAATTCCCTATGCTCCCTCTCCCATTTTCTGTAATTATTTATCTTTTGGGTAGTTATAGCTTGTAACAGTCACTTTATCTCCGTATAATTAAGTTAAATAATCATAATTAGTAACCAATTCTAAATTTTGTTTGTAGGTACTAAGCATGAGTAGATTGGGAGGTGCTGCTTCTGTTTCTTCTCAAATCTCTGAGGTAATTTCAGCTCTCTTTTTTTCTTAAGTTAATAGATATTATGAATCACATAGATTAAATAATTAGGTTTTCATTCAAGTCATATCTTTCAATCTTTTTTTTTTGGTGAAGTCATATCATTGAAGTCGTACGATTCGTATCTTATCATTCGCACGTTCTAATCCTTTTCTTACATGATGGTAAGGATGACGTAATCACGACAAACATAAAACGAATTTAACCATTTATGTTACAAATGTGTAGATCTTTTACTTTTCGAAATGGATTTTATAATTATGGAATTTGTTTTGGCTGAAGAAGAAGTTAAAAGTAATTTTGGTTCCGACTTTCTAATACAAAAATAAAAGTTTTCCAAAAAGAGTAAAAAAACAAAACGACAAACTAAAAAATTGCAACATTTTCTTTACAAAAAGAAGGCAAAAGGCACGCGTGCTGATTTTTCACTTATTCTCTCTCTTCAAGAAAGCCCAAAAACCTTCGATTCCGACATCATAGCTTTAGGGTTTTGCTTTTCATGTTTCTTTTTTTAAGCCTGAAAAGTAAGTTTGATTATCTAGGATGCTGGTGGGTCCCACGAAAACACCTCCGGCGAGAATCAGACGGCGGTGAAGATGACGGAACACCAAGTGGCAAAGCTAATGGAAGAGGACATGGGATCAGCCATGCAGTACCTCCAAGGCAAAGGTCTCTGCCTCATGCCTATCTCCTTAGCCACCACCATCTCCACCGCCACGTGTCCTTCTCGTAACCAATTGATCTCCGCCGTTAAAGATGCCGGCGTCCCTTTGTCTCCTAACCTCTCTATCCAGTCGACTAACACAGCCACTACAACAGCTATTAACGGTAACGGTTCGTCGTTGGTCACCGTTGAAGACGCTCCCTCCATTTCCAAGCCGTGATAACGGCCGTTTGAATTTATTTTTCCGGGGTTAGGCGGTTAAGTGGGAAAAAAAAAACAGAGACAGCGAAAAGTGGTTTTGGCAAAGTCTAGAAAGAATAAGGTTGCGTTTTAGTGGATACGACACCGTATTCGTGTTGTAAAGACCTTGGTTCTGTTCTGTCTTTTTACCTACTACAAACCACTCAATGGCACATTGATCATGTTTACTCTTTTTTGTATTATTCTAATTATTTGCAATGTTTTAAAAGCTACACATCCTCTAGTTAACATCCCGGGATGTCACAAACCAATCGATATGATGTAAATACTATACTCAATTACAATTAAAACGAATATTGGACAGTTTGTCCAAATTGCATGAGTTCTCTCACATAACCAGTCCTGTTAATCAATGTCAATGATATGTTAATTTAGGCCGAGGAGATGGAAGATCGGACCACACAAGTTTGAAATTAATCCGTCTTAATTTGATCGGATCTACAGTTAAATTAAACTGGTAGGATCTAAAACAGATTAGTGAAAGAAAATAGAGTACCCAAGAAAACTCAAAGCTTCTTTGTTTGGTTGGAGTTTTGACTTCAAGTTTAATAGTATAATTTGAGCAACAAGCAAGTGAGAAAAGAAATCAGGGTGAGGTTTTGGAAGTATTAGGCTTGCAAAGAAATGAGTGGGACACAGTTTGACTCAAAGAGTGGGTGGCTACTAACTCCACACGACTCCCATTTTTCTAAAACAATTTACATATTGCAGTATGATTGTAACAAAGAGCTTCAAAATTAAACTACTCGCTTCTTAAGTAAGATTCTCATCCATTTTCTCAATGACCTTAAATTGTTGCAAAAATCATTAAGAAGACAATCAAAATTAAACTACTCGACTCTTTAGGATATTGATCATAATATACTCACATTTGCTGTGAATATGAGAAGAAGACTGGTCACACGATCACACCTTTTGCTGTTTCTGAGAATTGGACCTTTGATGAAGCACTCTCGTCATAGATTTGGCTGTATCATCTTTACACCAATACATAAGAGTCAGAAACATCTCTTGTTTTAGGTAACAGACGATGAATCCAACATGATTAATATGCAAAAATTACTTCACACAAGAACATATCTTAAGATAACAATTCACATAGCCCTTTTGAATCTGTTGTTTCAAATTTCAAAGCAATGAATTAGAGCAAAAGCCTGGAAACGGTTTAGCTTCATGGACCTAGGGCAAAAATTAATACTAATGAAGAATCTACAACAAGAAGAAGAAACCACTTTTCCTCAATCCTGTATGAGTCCGTTCAGATGGCAAATCCAAATTAAACAAAGCGCAATACATGAAACCATGTACATATGCCAACTAGTCTATGCCTTAAAACTAAGGGCTATTTCAGCAATGCAACACACCATACAATATGATTCATATGAGTTCTAGTTAGTGACTTAGAAAAGACACTCCATAAGTTCAAATTCCAGGATTTTAGCATATAACTTTGATAATTCCCCATTTGTTAATATGCTTGTGAAACGAAATGGGTGAAAAATAAATTAAAGAGCATGACACCTTATGATTGACAACAATCGAGTTCTTGGCTACAAAGAGGTGAGAAGAAATCAAATAATACCTCCGAAATGTTCTCTAGCCGAGAGATGAGAGGAAAGGAAGGCTGATGAAGCTGATGCATCTGTGATCATAGAATAGATTAACCAACAAATGAATTTGCCAATCTTCAGCTTCAAGCCAGCAAACCCACTAAATCCACCATGCTTGAGAAACGCGTAAGTCTCTACATATCATTATTAACCACCATAAGCTAGCGTTTTTATTGCGAAATTCAATAATTAGGTGACTGGATTCCTCCACGATCATCGAGCAAGAAATCTCCTGTTAAGTAAACAGGCCAGTACTTCCCTATGCTTACATAATTGATTTACCTGATTGCTACTCTTTCAACCTTGAAGTATATATATCTTTGAATTGTCTTCCCACTTGATATTGATCTCATTCTTCTGCAAAAGCAAGAAAACCCAAAATCTTGTTATTGTTTTCGTGATGACAATATGCAAATCTACGAAACAGGATCCCGTTAAACTATAATAAAACTCACTGGCACGAACAAGGCGATCGACGACTGACACTTTTTCTAACATGATATATATATATATATATATATATATATATATTGTCTCTAGAGTTTCCTAAAAGCCTACAGATGCCCTCGATCATATATAACATCAAATAATCAGTATAGCTTAATTGGAATCCAAACAAAAACAAAAACAACATAGAGAGCCTAACTCATAAGATAGTGCATCACATTATACTAGATTTATGATTAAATCTGCCTCTATATTTAATCCCTGGTAATGAGAACATGAAATTCTAAATTAATATAAGATACTATTTAGAATCTTTCAAAGTGTTATGAACAGAATAATCTCTCTCTCACACACACAGATCTAAAGTTCATGCTCACTTAAACTCACCGGTTAAGTTACTCCAAGAACGAATGTCTGAGTATGAGCCCATGAAAAACTGCAGAAACAACATAGTCATACTCATCACAATAGCCTAAATCAGCATAAGTTCATAAAACGTTTCCCTCATATATATGAATAACGTAACACTGACTGTGATGTACACCGTACACGGAAAGTATATGCGTCTCCATTATCTGTTTTGTGACCTTCATATATTGATATCAAGATGAAGCACTTTTGACACCACAACAGGTAATAAACCAAATTTACAATTCGATTTCATCAGACACAACACAAGGACTTCGCGGGCTTGAATGGTTAACACGAACATAGCAAAAGCTCCTTCGTTTCCCATTTATATTGTGAATGTTATTGGAAGAACCAAGGTTACTCATCCATGGAAGCAAAACAAAAAACACCAATGCCTTCTTAAAGCCATTAAATTATAAACGCAGAGTAGACATAATTAATCATTGCAAAGCTAGGCATCCGATCACAAAAAGCACTTACTATATTGACACAAAATTATAGGAAGACACTGAAAAATGACAAATAATTGCTTAGACATCAAAGCTAAAGATCAAACCAACAAAGAATAACATCGTTAATTAGGCAACCTAGTCAATCATCTCAGTGGGAAAACAAACATTTCTAAGATTAAACCATCTCCACAGTTATCTCTACACGACTTTAAACCAAAACACATTTTGCTTTCATCCAAGACAACACAAGACTTTCCTTACTTGAATGATTGACACAAAATTAGCAAAATCCCCTTACTATTCTAACACATTCATGGAAACAACAAAAAGCCAAACATTCTTAAAGAAAAATAAAATATCAACTCATGCCTTTCCTTTAATCCATTATTTTGGATTTAGTGATCAAAGCAGATTAGAAAAAATCACTGCAAAACTAGGCATCTAACTACAAAGCACTTGATGTTGGCAAAAAAAATAAACTCATTAAAAGACAGAAACGTCAAGCTTGGCCAGCACAACAAATGAAAAATAACCAACAAGAATAAAATCAGATAAAATTATCATCAACTACGAAACTTAATTAAATCCATCATATCAGTAGAAAAATACAGTTTAGAGCTCCTTTGGCAGCAGAAGATAAAACAGTTTCAGTAAAAATAAACATTTTTAACTTCCTTTGGCACCAGAAGACAACCCAAAACCAAGCATGAAATCTACTTCTCAACAACTTCAGAAGCAAAAAAAAGGAAGAATCTTGCAAGGAAAAAAGAATAATATTAGGTATTAGGGTTCAATCTTTTTGTTTTGGAACACAAGTTGCAAAGAAATCAAGTTAAGTGAAGCTCCTCCACCTACTACGGGATCACATTCCAAGATGGACTTCAATGCACCAACTAGCATTAATCCGTACAAACCTAACACCAAAAAGGAAATTATAGAAGAAAGACTTTTTAAGAACCAACAGCTGGATTCAGTGCTTCATTACCAGCTTCCGCATAGAAAAATTCCTATTTCCATCAAAACGGCACAGAACTTAGAGTGTGTACATGAAAAAGAACTGTATCAAAGATCATCATTCACAAAATCCATCATTTATGGCTTCTGATTGATCCTGAAAGCCACATCTTCTTTTCTGAATTATTATTTTTTTTTTTAAAAAAGGAAGATAGAAGAAGAAATCATACTAATCGCAACATGCAATCACCAGGGAATTTTTCAACATGCAAAAACTTAAAAAAAGAAAAGAAAAATACACTCAGATTTCATCAAGAAAAAAAAAAGACAAAGAGACAATCAATAGTTAATTAATCTTTGAGAAGAATGTGTACCGGTGGGGAGGGTTCATGATCATCAAAACTCGCGCTTTTCCTAGATCCACTAGAAGAAATCAACCACAGCACAGTTAAAAAATTTCATAATTAATCATAAACCCAAATATAAAAATCTAAGCTTTTCTCCACCAAACTGCTTGCTCGAGAACAAAACATTCTTAAGCGTAAGCAAGCACCCACTTGAACACAATACAGAAAACATATATACACATGACGAAATGATTGCGAAAGGGCATCAGTCTTATCCACATCAACAGCGAAGTGCACAACAAAAGAGGTGATAAGAAGGTAAGTGATATGTAGATGATAAGAAGGTCAACAAAATTTGAAAAAGAGAGAAAGAGAGAGAGAGAAGGGGAGAGAAAGCGAGAGGGCAGGCAACTGACAGAAAGAGAGGTGAGCACGCACACGCAAAGTTATGGACACATAACAGTGCCTGCATGTGCTCACTCTCTTCTGTCAGTTTTCTCTGTTGCATTTCTTCTATCACCTCCTTCTCTGTCTTTCTAACAAACTAATTTATTGATAATAAAACCCACATATGGATCTCCAGTGCAAATTAAGGACTCAACTTTCTTATCCTCACAGATCTCTCCAAACCCTAGTGAACACTTGAGAACCCTCAATTCAACTAGCCTTTAGAGATTGAGTATTGCTTTCTTCTTCTTTGCTTAGTCTGTAATGGCGACGCAGTCTGTATATAAAGAGAGAGAGAAAGTGTCGATAGGAGAGAGAAAGGGGTTCCAAGACAGCGGAGATTGTGGTTTTTTCGTTTTTACTTTTTCTTTTAATTTTTTGTTAAGAGGGGGTTTAGAGGATTTCCGACACGTGTTCTATAGTGAGTGGGTGGAAGAGCACACCTGGTGGGTCAAATCTGTAACAGAGGGACTTCAATTTAAATCGGGTTCTCGAAGGGTGGCGCGTGGGTAACACAGCCGGAGAAAAAGTCTTGTGTATATTTTTTTTGTCCAATGAATTCTGTCAGACCTACTTTTCTTTTCTATTAATTTCAGTTAAAACATTCATTCTAAAAGGCAAAGCCACACCCTTTTGAAAACCCAAATTTAAATTGATGACCCCAATCTGTTACAGATTTTATGGGTGAATATGCGGTTAAATAGTTAACATTCATTTTATATGCAAAAGAGACTTTCTTGTTGGTCTTCCCGAAAGAACGCATGCAATTTACACTTTCAGAATTATATATACTGTTGAAGCATAGGTGTAACACATTCTGTTTGATTACGTTTTTCAATCTCCAAAATGTCTTGATTAAGTTACAACAGCCATCAACTCAGAAAGCGACCATACGAGCCTCTTTTGAGAAGTAGAGTTTCAAATAACTAAACCTAATTATGAGTGACTAATAGAGAAATTCGGCACTGCTCTTGTTAAAGTTATGCGATTTGGAGATGGAATTTTGGGTTTATGATGATTTGTGAATCTACCCAAAGGCTGTTTACATCAAAGCTCTCAGGAAATTTGTTTTATAAAATTGAGAATACTAGAATAATCGTTTCAATCAAATATTTCATAACTAACTTCCTAATAAATATTTCCCATATTTTCTACACACACACAAAATACATTGATGCTATCTCAAATTAGAAAACTACTCAACGAATCAGGGTTTTTGCATGCCTACACACCATTCCGGTTGTCAAGTCTTTTTATTTGATTTTTCTTTTAAATATTCTAGTATAATTACTTCATCTGATCGTTTTTAATTGATTGGAATTCATTTATTTCAACTATGGCGGTTGAAAACATATGTTTCAAACAGTCATTTTTGGATGAAATGAAAGTTTGGTTTATCTAAAGCTCACAAAATCACGTAATTTAGTTTTGTGACATGGTTGGCATAATATATAAGTATGTAATATTTTGCAAAAAGTCACCAACAAATTGTGAATACACACACATAGAGTATGTTTCTTTAAAGTTGTGTTCTTTCTTAATTGGGTCCGGTTTCGAATTTCCTTTTGTAGATGCTAATCATGATGGTCGTATTTATTGTCTATAAATATATTTATTATTTTAATCAATAACTACGTCAGGTGAATTGATGCTAGTTAAAAGTTAAAACACTTCCACAAACTCACAATTAAAAATGGCTATGTTAAACATAAATTATTAACGGCATTGGCGTTTGTGCATTTGGTTCTGTATTTTAATTTATGTTTCAAAGTTTGCAAATTCATTTGTTATACTGTGGATTTTTTTGTTTCAAAGTTAATATGTTGATTGTTGGGTTTTTACGGTCTATCATGATTTCATCTCGTGAGAACTGAGTCGTGTATTCTGAAATCTTAGAATTGTTTATGAATTATATATAAACAATATTATAGGTAAAAACTCTAAAACAGATAATAACTTATTCTTTAGAACAATATTTTTCATAGTTTTCTACGCATATTTTAATGTTTGAAATAATCTATTTTTTATTATATATGTCATTGAAAAAAAAATTTTTATTCTTTCCCTATATGTTGAACGTTAAAAAACGTTGGAAATCTAAAACCACACCATCAAATTGACAAAGTTCTTGTACTAACCACTGCTTAAATATAGATTCCGATAACAAAGCTTAATTAATCATTTTGTCGAATTGAAACAATAATAGCTGCCTATAATGAGCCAGGTACACACTCGTACATAGTACACTGCACGACTTGTGGTTAACTATGCAAGCTTCGTGAGCCATATGGATCCAAATAAATAAATAAATAAATATATATATACTCTATTACTTTTCATCCAAGACTAAAAAAAATTAATAAATAAGGGTATAATCTTTTACATCATCTCCTACGGTCCTAGCCCATAGCAATCGGTATGACCGGTAGTGGCTTTTACCGGAAAACTAAAAAAGAAGGAAAATATTACTCTGAAGTCTGTTCAAGAATCACACTAATCAAGCAAAAGACCGAAGAATCTTAAACATTTAGATTTTTAACAATAGAGAAATATCATTAATTATCTGTGATGTTTCTTTTTCTTTTTTTGTTTAGGAGGCATTTTAGCAATAAAACTAACAACGTCTTCTATTATTTTGCTCAAGAATCACTAATCAAGCAAAAGACTGAAGAATTTTAGACAGTTAAATTCTTAACACTACAGAAATTTTATTAATTACGTGTGATTATTTTTGGTCTATGTGGTAATCAAACTAACCAAATATTGGAGTATGAGTACATAAAAGCTTTGATGTAGAATTTAGACAGTGTCATTTCAAGCCCAAATAAGACAAATTTGAGCTTAAGGCTTTGAAAAATATTTTATATACTTTAATTTTAATAATTGGGTTTATTTTTAAAAAATCTCTCCAATGATTTGGCTTAAGTTTTTGAATTCGTATTCACGGTATCAAAATGAGTTTGGAGAATCGTGACTAATCCTATATAGGTTTGTATATGCTCCTCGCGAGATGGTTTGTAACTTCGTACCATTTGTTGGGTTTATTTGTCTAATATAATACAAATATACACTGAGTTAATGACAAAACAAACAAACTATATATATAATAATTTCCAAAAAAAAACTGTCTTGATAAATTGAATTTGGAGTCTAAAGAAGATTGAATTGCCACCATTGGAGGAGACTCTTCCTTTTTTGTGCTTTCAGTTTGGTGTTTATGTGTACCTTTGTCGATATTTGAAGGCCTTTATTATGTTCACCAACCACGTGTTTTCTTTTAATTTCGCTTTCTCAATATCTCTTATTTTAGTCTCACTGAGCCAAATTGATAAGTGATCAATTTTCAAATAAAGCCGAATATACTAAATCTAATTACGTTCGACTATGTTATAATTTTGGTTTCAGATCGGTTTGATCTTGTAACCAAATATATCATTAATTTTACCGATTAAATATATAAATATACTGTTGACCAAAAAAATAATATATATATATAAATATACTAAGTAGAATCGAAAATAGTAAAATTACATTAATAAAAAAATTACAAATAATATGTGTGTTAATACAGTCCATAACGGGAATAGAAAGTTCATGTAAAAAAAAGAGAGGAGGGATCGTCTAGGATTATATATACACATTTGAAGTGTACTTTTTTTTTTTTTTTTTAATGTTACATATGAAGTGTACTTTGAGAAGAGACTGATGCAAAGAGGACAACAAATTAATTTGAAGAGCGTATTTACTCTCAAAGACAAACAGGGAAATACATTACAAAAGAGTAGGAAGAAAACAAAAATAAGTTTGGAGTTTAAAGTTAAAAACAAATAGAATGAGGGATGATATATACTTGTATAAGAATTCGGCGGAAAATCAGATTATGTATTTTTCATATAATTAATGCAAACAATTATTCTCAAATTTTGCTACTGTAAAAGAGAACTATACAACAAAAAGTTATCAAGATCAAGGCACGAAAATCACGATCTTTAGCAAACCATTGGTAAAAACATTAATCTGTAACAGAGGGACTTCAATTTAAATCGGGTTCTCAAAGGGTGGCGCGTGAGTACCACAGCCGACGAAAAAGTCTTGTGTATATTTTTTTTGTCCATTGAATTCTGTCAGACCTACTTTTCTTTTCTATTAATTTCAGTTAAAACATTCATTCTAAAAGGCAAAGCCACACACTCTTCTGAAAACCCGATTTAAAAAAAATTGATGACCCCAATCTTTTACAGATTTTATGGTGAATACACACATAGAGAGTATGTTTCTTTAAAGTTGTGTTCTTTCTTAATTGGGTCCGGTTTCGAATTTCCTTTTGTAGATGCTAATCATGATGGTTGTATTTATTGTATACAAATATATTATTATTATTATCAATAACTACGTCAGGTGAATTGATGCTAGTTAAAACACTTCCACTAACTCACAATTAAAAATGGATATGCTAAACATAAATTATTAACGGCATTGGCGTTTGTGCATTTGGTTCTGTATTTTAATTTATGTTTCAAAGTTTGCAAATTCATTACTAAAAAAAAAAAGTTTTCAAATTCATTTTGTTAATACTGTGGATTTTTTGTTTCAAAGTTAATATGTTGATTGTTGGGTTTATACTGTCTATCATGATTTCATCTCGTGAGAATTGAGTCGTGTTCGTGTATTCTGAAATCTTAGAATTGTTTATGAATTTTATATATAAACAATATTCTAGGTAAAAACTCTAAAACAGATAATAACTGATTCTTTAGAACAATATTTTTCATAGTTTTCTACGCATATTTTAATGTTTGGAATAATCTATTTTTTTATTATATACTTCATTGAAAAAAAAAC